GTAGATCTAGATCAAGTATATGATCAACTATCACCTCCTCTTCTAGCTTAGTGAGCTTCTTTGAGTTAGGCTGGCAATCGCGTCGAGCAGGTATACCAGCGCGTCGGCGGCGGATTGTTCGTTCAGACACGTTGTAGACAGCAGCAGCGCGACGATACTTTGTGTTTAATGGAGATTAATAGAAGAAATAGCAAGCTGAATATCTGCTTCATTTAAAGCTAATTGAGTAGCGCTACGTTGAGCCATTGTTCGTTGAGATAGGAGAGGTGCGCAGGTTTGGTGGGGTGCGGCGCTCGCTTACCTGCGGCGCTCGCTTGCCACATACGTTAACCATTATTCTTTTCTGGATAGTTGGAAGATGACCGTGAAAACACGTATGGTGTTGTGTCATATGTGCATGGACAACTTGGCACAACACGATTGGGTATATGCAACAGGGCGCATCCCCTTGGAAAAAGGTCTTGCGCAACCCCCGGCAGATGAAACCAACCTATCGAGACCTCCCACATCCGGCTCAACAGCCGCGCTACCCGAACCTGAGCTTAGGGCATTACAGGTTTATGACTCTGTGATAGCATCATAAGCGGTGTGCGAATCATGGGTTGAGATTAGCGTTTTCTGTGCAGCTTCCGCGCAAGAGGACAGTCGGGGGGAGGGGGGGGGTATGGCTGTTCCTTCAGCCTGCCAATTCTAGCCGAGACAGAAATCGAGCCACCGAATTAGCCTTAATCAGCGCAATCTGCTTTCAATCAATCCGCAAACACACCCAGGCTTTCTTCTGGCGCCCAATGGACTATCTTTCGGTACATCTGTATCAGCCTCTAAACATGAGCATAGAAAGTGGCTGATGTTCAGTTAAGGTTCTCCAACTGCGACATGAATCACATCTTGAGTTTAGTTTGCTGCACTATCGTCCATCTCCAAACGTTGATGCCTCAGGCCACTGGCAAGGCAAGCGAGAGTAAAGCGGAAGGATCATCAGAACACGAGCATTAAGTTCTGGGGTGAAGCCCCTGTACATCCGCCGTATATTTCGCCTTGATATGTAGCTGCCAAATACAGGTGCCTACATGCCAACGTTTTGTCCGCCAACCATGAGATGAGCGTACTGGAAAACCCAACCACAATCCACGAGTGCGGCAGAGCCCGCTTGCCGCAATTTCAATCCTCCAAGTGCATGGACATAGAGCACCAGTGCCTGTACTTGAAGCAGAATGACCTCCTTCATTGGCTTTACCGACTTATCTTGCGTCTCACACTTGAAGTGTCAGCCGCAATATGGCGTTCGACAACCAATGAGAAGCATGTACCCTCACAAGGGGTCCTTCGTGACGTGAAGTCGGAGCAAAAAGAAATGGAGGAGATGGAAACCGCGGAGCTTGATGGCTTACCGTTTTAATAGCTATATTCTGGTCTGGTTAGGGTGCGGTAACATGCAATGTGCATCTAGTAAACAGTTAAAAGGCCCTACAATCGACCCAGGAGTATCTTGCAGCCCTCAACTGCGAGATGTCCTGTCATAATTACAGTACATAAATTGGTGTTGGCCTTGTGGGAAGTTGATGACTTGCATTGAAGCGTATTTTCCATTGCACTGGTCGACGGTATGAGCCATCTGGTCCTGTCGTATTAAAGCAGCGATATCCAACACACAAACTACTAGTCGACGTGTTTGCTTTTACGGACTCTGCATCAAGCACCTCCTTAGAGCAACACTTTCTATTGGTACAACGCGCCTCGCATCCTTAGCGATTCAGCCACGCATCTCAGCCCAACGCCTACAGCAACCACCAACACATCAGGAGATTGAGCGTCTACTGGAACACTGTGGCACTCACCTCAACTGCCAATACTGTTTTGAGTTACCATAACGGTTCTATTGACTGGATGGCCAAGAAAAATAAACGCCCTCTTGCTTTCCACTTGGTTGAAGATTCCAGATGTCCAGTTCAGCGTCTCCGTTTGAACGCGCCGTTGTTGCGCTTAGTCTGCCCAACATATGCATATTCCCCCTGTGTGCACCGTCCGGGTACATGCATCGGCATCCGTGAATGAGGATCGATCTTCCAACCGTAGTGCATCCGCGGCCCCATACCGAAGTATCCCTGTCGCTACGATATTGACATCGCTCTGAAAGGCATTCTTGTCCGCATCTGGGGTGTGGCGTCGGGGCCCCCACTGTAATTCATCTCATGTGCTGAAACGACAAGGAGTGTTTTCTGGTTCAAAGCCGCAAGTGCTGCGCGCGGTCATGGGGCGTGTAATGACTGTATAGGTCATCGGTGAGTACCCGCCAATCAAGGAAGATGTGTCGTTCGGTGTGGGGGCGATTGGGCGATGCCGTCTAGGCATGCATCTTGACAGATGTGGCAAATATTCTGCAATAATGACATTCAATGAGGCTCTGCTATATTCAAGTTGTAAAATTGAATGAGTTCTTCTACGGAGCATCTCTTAGAAGGCCATTCCGGGCATAGCGAAGTGTTCTTGAATTCTGAGAATTCTGAGAATTCTAGCGAAAAGCAAAAAAAAATCTTCGAAGAGGCTTTGAAAGATTGCAACCCAATGTAGGAGTCATAGTTGCTAGTGACGTGTGTAGCGAATATGGTGTATATCCAGCCCGCTTCCATCTTGCTGGTGACAGATGCAGCCCTCATGTCTGCATATGCAGCTGCAGCCATACATGTAGGCTGTGTTTCCAACAATGAGGCTCGACCTATGACTGGAGATGCCGGGATACATTTCGAGACACTTGCCGAGTAATACACAGGCTATTCCGATTAAAGTGTAGAGCAGAGCCTCAGGTATCTGAATTCTTACCAATGCACTGATATACAGCGTGCACAGTATCTTCCAGTCAAGGCTACAAGAAAAGATAACAAATTATGCCAGTTTCTCAATTTCACCCATAGAATCTCGCCAAGGATGCATGCCGATCATTCATCGACTGCTCTATCATAGTTTGGCAGAATCAAAATATGTATCCCAACGTGCTGCCAGATCTGCCTTCAGTATATTTAGATATCGAAGATCCTTCTTCCGAGATGGCTTATCAATATTACCGAAATGCCATCAAACTGTGCTCAATGGTATATATCGCATCTTCGGTATATTTCGCAATATAGGATGAATGTTTGACAGAGAATCGCTGTCTCGAGGCTATCAATGCAGTCCACTTAATCAAGAGAAGTCTGAGAGTTTACCCATATAGATCACAGAGTACTATGTAGCTTGCCATATGCCTGTGCATAATTAAGTCATACATACGTAGGGAAAGAAACCGCGCTATGCTCAATCTAATTCAATAGCTACTTAAAGCCCCGCAATGGGCTCGCAGCCTGACGACAACGTCTTCCTTCTGAACTACCAAATTATTGCAAAAGCTTACCATAACTCACTGTGTAAGGCCAATCCATCTCTGCAACTATAATGACACAGGATATTGAGCACTTGGACGCGACCGTTTTCATGCCCCACGGTATGCTAGAAGGTCTTTCCGACCAATTTGACTGCATCCCCCACTATTTATTCCGCACCTCATCACCTCGATCCGGGGGCACAACTAATGAGACTCATGTCGCATCGGTTGCAGCAATAAATCATTTCGACCAGAGTGATATCCTAGCTCGAGACTGGGATGAAGCTGTTGTGATGCTCCAGCAGCATTTGCTATGGGAGCCGTATGCGGAAGACAACTTGGTATCATGGACTAGCTCATTTATTTTTGTGGTCCAGCACGCGATACGTCGAGAGGAAACTGATAAGCCAACTTCGGCATCAAACTCAATATATATATCAGTTCTGGACACTCGAAAAGTCCCTCGGGGAACATTCTTGCCCGCTCGCGCTTTACTTAAAGCGTACGATCTTCCAGACGAGGGAAAATTAAAACACGATTTCTACTACGGCGAGTATATTTCACAGGGCAGTTTATACAGTGATGCGATTTCGACTACTACCCTGGAATAATTGATCACGCATGGCTTGTATGAGTTGTATCCTCGATTTGCAGAAGTTGAGGAAAGAAAAAAACTCTGGTTGCGTGTTCAACAGTTCCGCAAAGCATTTGACTATGGAACAGAAAGTCTCACCAAAGAAGAGATTGAGGTTGCCGAGAATATTTCTAGTCATTGTTTCCGCCCCGCTGAGATTCGTCCTATCATCATGATGACCCTGTTGTCCCTCAAACCTCGACATCCCTCTCATCCTGAAATTCTAGAAGCCTTCAAAAGCAATGGTTGGGGTAAGAGGTAGTTCTAGTATTCTAGTCTTCACTCTGATAATCCATAGAAGCTTTCTTGTCGAAGGTTAGCCTTGAGAGCTCTAAGGCAACCTCAGAGCATGTTCCTGAGCATCAGCAATTTGCCAAGATGATGAAAAATATCTACATTCATATGCAGCATGAAAAGCAGACCGAGCATAACACTCTGAATGCAGCCAAATCACTGACGGAAATCTCCGACCTGATACATCGCCTGCATGACCTAGGGTGTAAGAATGTGTGAACGAGAACCTTCGAAGCAAGAGCTGACCATGGAAGCAAGGCGCGATCTAGGAAATGCAGAGAATTCTAGTTCCAAAACCTCAATCAAGCCAAAGGAAAAGAATAAAGAGGAGATGCACCAGACGAACACGCAAGATGCTAAGACTGGTATCAAAATTACCAATATCTGACCATCCTCCCCCAAGACAAGAATGATTGAAATAATGGAAGAAGAAAAAGAGGGACAGCAAAGTGCTTTGGAACAAATCGGAGATTGCTATAAAGAGGCGAGATCATGGTGAGTTAATTTCGGCAGTACAAACAGCTGCTTACCATGGCAGCCCTGGATGTGCCGAGCCCATCAGTGAAAGATGTTTTCGCAGGCAACATTTTGGCTGGTGTACAACGCACGCACTTATGACAGATGAGAACGATGTGTGTCCTCACAAACCCCAGGACATCGCCCTGCTTTCTATGGAGCGGTGCACAACTGTCTATTCTGGTCGGCCTATCCTATAACGCGATGAAAAAAATGCCCAGCTCTAACGGCATATTAGATCAGACTGAAGAGGAAGCATACTGGGCTGAAGTCGAGGAGAACGCAATCCTAGGGGCTGCGGGATTCCGAGAGCCAGGAGAGCACTATGTCCATTGGCAATCAGATTGATGTTTACACAATGAATTTGGGAAGCCTTGTCCTTGGCAGACCTAGAGTTAGAAACGATGAGAGAGAACAAAGTTACCAGACATAAATTTTGCTCATAGAGACGAGGAAGATACAGCAAAATTCAACTACTTCCATTTTTTTTCATAACTTAGGATATTTTCGATAACCAAAATCAAGGGCTGTAAACACGTGACTTCCACCATTTCCCCTCAAAGAATAGTAAGCATTTAATCCACAAATCCAATGCCATCACAAACCTATCTTTCCAACTCCTCCTCCCAGAAAGTACCTCATCAATCAATCAACCTATCCTCATCCCCGGGCACGAAAGCCTCCTCCACACGCCAAAGCAGCCTTGTCGCAATATGCTCCATCAACTGGCCATTCGCAAGCGCGCGCGTCGTCTCAGGCAAAGCAGCGAGCCAATCGCAAAACAGGGACCACTCTTCCTTCTTCGCGCGGACCTCGAGCTTGGTCAGGATGCCGCGCGGAACGGCATCGTACCAGACGATGCGGTTGAGGTCGTCGTCGTAGCGGTGCCAGTCATGGTTGATTTTCTCCAGGTACACCACATGGTCACGGAGGAGCGAGATTTTCTCTCGCTGGGCTTTCATGACAGCCAGCATGGAGTTAGTGGGATCTTCCAGCTTGGAGAGGAACATGTCGGTGACTTCGTCGTCGGATGCGCTCGAGGGGAGATGCTGGGCTGTCACGAGCAGCTCGGTCAGGCCGGTGATGAGGCTGTGGAGATTAGCGAAACGCTCTTCGTAGTGGGCTGGCGTGGAAATGTCAAAGGCATTACGGAGCTCGAGGATACGGTCTTTGGCTTCGCTGGCCTCGCAGGACTGACGCGCTGAGAGTTGTGTCTTGTGGTATTGGAGGCCGCAGGTGCGGTAGCGGTCCTCGATGTCTGTGCATTCTCTCAGAAGCGTCTCGATTTGTTCGACGTAAACCTCAACAATGCTACGCATGCTAGGCTCGCGCATGCTAGTGTCGGGCGTGCTAGTGTCGGACATGTTTGTGGGTAGGCGGTTTTGGTATATGGTTGTGTGTGTTGAAGACGTACTGGTATGCTTTCCTGTCTTGGTGTTTGGATGAGTTTGGTTGATATGGTATGGAGAGAAACATACTGTGATTCTCAGACATTTATCGTTACCGGGTTGTACTGTGTATTGTGCGTTTTCGAGACTGACACTGTGTATACAACTCATCACTGTTCAAGTTCGACATGCAAAGTTCCCAAACACAACCCACACAATGCTAAGCAAAGCTTTAGCTTGTTTTTTAACGTCTCCCTATACTTCAAAGTACCTCTAAACTAAACAAAGGGGAGGACTAGCTGGTTCGGAACATCGAGCGTGACTCCACGTAATGATTGCACGATGGTGGCACGTTAAGATCCAACAGACAATAACATTGGTATCATGATATGCTGGCAATGAAGCCATGATATAAGGATATTCGTGTTCTAGGATGAATGAAGTCAAGTAACAAAGTGATATATACCGAAGCCGCATCTTATGTAACCCTAGCCCGAGTAAACGAATCCAATCTTCTATTGACAGCGCCAAAACATTCTTCCATTCTAAACGATACCAAAGTTGCAGCCATTCCATCCTCCATTCATGATGCAACAGCAACAGCCACAGCAGCAGCCACACTACTGACCACCGCCGATAGCAATGGTAAACAACTGCGGACTTCCATCAAAGACGGTACCAGCGACATCCTGACCACCGTCTGGAACAACATCATCGTACGGGAAAGCGTAGCCGCGGCCATCCCTTTGGACCTGGTGCACGAATTGAGAGTAGTGGTTTGTTGTCGGATCTAGGTAGTATTGGCTAGGGTTGCTACCATTGGGAAACTGATTGCTGGGCGTATTGAGCAGAGTGCTTCTGTTGAATGCAGCAGCAAGACGGGGAATGACTGCGTTACGTGCTTGGTTGGAGCCAGTGGCAAATGGCCCTGTGCTGCACGAAAAGATGTCTTGAGCTGTCGGCGCAGCAAAGCTGCCAGCCTGGGGGAACACAAGCTGGTTGCCTTGAACACGGCCAGTCAGGTTACCAGCAGCAGCCTGGGTGTTGATGATCATGTCTTGGGAGGAGAACTTGCTCCACACTGCTTGAACGTAGCCGTCCCAATAGTTGCCCCATGCATTTGGATTGCCGACAAGGAGGTTGTTAGGGCTCAGGACACGCAATGGGGTGCCATTGTATTCATAGATCAGCTTGTCCCAGGGACGACCGTCAAGTTTAGCCTGGGCGCGTAGTTTCTGCTGCAACACTGCCGGTCCATCTGGCCCCATGCCTGGCACAGTCTGCGTCTGGCCTTGGGTATTGGTCAGACTGAGAGCGACCGGGATGCTGACAAAGTCGACATAGCTGATATTGGCAAAGAGCTGTGCATCGTTGAAGGTAAACTCGCAGAAGGTCCAGTTGAGGTTGTAGTTGGGGTCGCTGGGGTTGGTCACGCTCGGCTCAACAACGGCAGGACCGGGGTTGAGCAAAAATGTGAGCTTGGAGCCGATGCTGAACCAGATACGACCGCCAGCAATCTTGGGTATCCTGACATAGACAGTGTTCCCTGGGTTCCCGAGTGGAATGGCGACATCGGCTTGGAGTGGTTGTAGAATGGTACTTGGTGCTGTAGGTTGGTAAACGGTCTGGCCGTCTGCCTGGATGAATATCGGCGCGTTGCCCCGGTCGAGCGCGAGACCAGTGATGTATGCGTATACAGTGCTGGAGTTGGACTTGTTCTGCAGTGCGAGCTGGAGGGTGCCGGGAGCGGCTTCAGCTAAGACTTGTTGGGCGCCGTTAGTCTGGGGTGCTGCCGCACGCTTCTCCTTGCCAGTGTCCGTGGTGGCGGGTGCAGGTGCAGGAGACGGTTCAGCCGGCTTCTTATTGCGAGCCTGAAGGTTCTGCTGGCGCTTTCTGAGGAAACTCCTAAATGCCTTCATATTGGATAGTGGTAGGTATGTATAGGTACCGGATATAGGGGCGAGGAAAACCGGACAATGTACAAGAAGGAGAAGGGTGCCTGGAATGTCAATGAGCGGCAGGACACGTCAGGCAGGTTATAGGAAACGGCTTTATAGGCAGAGTGCCGCGAAAGATGCGTCGTCGACCAGGACGAATTCAAGGCGAAGATGCAGGGTCCGCCTGATGTCACACATGCGACGATGCGGCCAGGATGCACAAACCGGTTAGCGATCGTCGCCTGCCAGCCAAGCAACAGCCTCGGAAGGCATATGGCGACGCCCAATCATAGCCGGGAAAGCAGCACCACCATTTCGCGGCCCGGTCGGGAAGGCCCATGTCCAAGAACCACGAGAGAAGCGCTCGTGCCTGACAGTGCTGACTTGGATGACGGCGGGGTAGCGCGGGAAAGGGAGGCTGGATGCTGGCATTGGACGGCGCCTACGAGGCTTGGTTGGCGGCTTAGTGCGTGAACGGAAGGTAGCTGGGAACGGTAAGCAAAAGTACGCGAAGTCTGGTAGACTTCTATACATCCAGACACGTGACCTGGGCAAAGGGCCTCACATGCTATCATCTGCTGCTGTGCTTCGTACGCATGCGGCCGCCATCAAATCTCGCGTACGCGGGGCGCGACAGAATCTTCTACCCGGTGGGTGTAGGCCGACACCTCGTGGACTACCTTGGCGTAAGAGCTGTCATCTACTCGAGATGCAACGTGTGGATGCGGGGACTAGCGTGGTAGTACCTCGAATACCTGGGCGATCACAGGCATCCTTAGACTAACGACTGCGAGTGTCTCACACCACTGACGTATTATGCTATTGGCTGCAAATTCGGACGTCTCCCCTACCCTCCCTAGCCTTGAGGCCGTTGGGTAGTATAAGAAAACGCCACTCTCCGGCTGTTGGCACGTGGCAGCCTCGAGACATGCTGCGAGCTGCTAGATATTGGCATCAATGATATCATGCTGTCAGGAGCAATCTTACTGCTTCTTGGGGTCTCAGGTCGAAGCCCAAAGCATGACCAATCCATGACTGTCCTCTTCATTCATCTGGCCGGATTGCAAGGACCCCATGGCCATATCCTGTCATGATTACAGGAAACATCAGCCCTTGCGTCACAAGTTGAAGTACGTGGTCGCTAGAGTCGACACCTAGCATAGGGCTGCGCTAGTTCTCCTCACGAAAAGATTTGCATGGCACATGCCGAAACTCAGAAGGCTCATTGTCTAGTACGCGGCGCTAGACCAATCATCTGATCTTCGTTAGCAGATGCTAGAAAAACGTCCCACCGCCAAAAGCCATATCAGAATAGCAGTTGTAGCTGTCGTCGCCCCATATGCCTCCGGCCATATCGAAGAATGGTTCGAGGTCGAAATCTGCACTTCTCATCAGCGCGAACGGGTCGCTGTTCCTGTTCGTATCACCTCCCAGCTCCACACTGGCTTCAGACTCCAAGGTTACATTGGCCGGTATGTTGCACTGCCCATCTGCTCGATGCGAGGAGCACGCTGCTAACATGGCGGGAATCGGGCATGAGATGTCGCGGGTACCCGCCTTCAATGTTTCCTCTGGAGTAAGTCCAGAAGCTTTCTGCGTGGGTACTTGTTGCTTTATCTTCCGAATGTACCACTCCTTAGTCAAATCAATGATGTAACTCATACCCCGCCAGAAGTCAGTGTGGGACTGCTTTGCCTCGTCGTACGTTGACAAAGTTTGCATTTGATGGCACAAAGCTTCAAGGCGAAGATCGAGGCGTACCTGCTCGTGGGCTGCTTGCACATCCCAGCCACGTGCTACATGCTCGTCATTGGGAATGCACAGTCTGGCTATCGTCAAGATAACAGATGGCAAACGCATCCACTCGGAAAACGAAATGACATGGTATTCGTCAGCCGGAAACGAGAGTAGGATTTCCAGAAATCTTTTTGCCGCTTCGAGCGCAGAGAAAACCGAGTCAAGTTGTAGCAAAGAGGATGAGACCGGGTCGTCAAGCTGGGGTGGGCGAAGTGCCACACCGTATAATAGCATTGTACTGAACGAGAGGGAAAGTTCGAGTACTACACGCTTTAGTATCTTCAGAGGTCTCACCTTAACATGGATCATTACTTACGTCTTTGCGATGCAGCTTGACATGACCAGGCCTTCCACGCGTCAAGTTGAGCTTCTATAGAGCGCAAGTGCATAAGCGTACGTCCATCCGACATTGACTGTCGCGTCGTATCGGCTGGAAAAAGCGCGTCTTGTATATGTTCCTCGATTTTCCTCAAGGATATCAGATGGCTTATGGCTTCGTCTGATTCATACTCTCTAGCTTTCCTCAAATTCTCGGCTGCTTCAGCCATGAAATGTGTGTGCTTGAGTAGATTCGGCTTCTGGAATGCTGCACCCACCCTGCACAACGTCAATAAGTGGTCGAGGCTGTTTTTTAAATAACGCACATGGAAGCAAGATAATAGCAGCCTAAAAATGTTCTTTGCCTCTCTCGCAGCTCTTTGGCTGGTGGCGGTGCAGGCTTGGGTCGTAGTGGGGTCGAGTTCAGTGGCTCATAATCGTGGTACAAGTCCATATCTAGTGTCAATCCAACCATAAGGTGATGGAGAAAGAAAATTTGTTGTGTCTTGTGGCTAAAAATGAAGTGGTACCTTGTTTTGTAAGCATCCGGTACTTTGTAGACTTCAAAATGACATACCACGAAAGATACACCAGGATGCTTTGGACTAGACCAAGCGTCTTTTGAGGACTAATGATTGTGCGATGAGCAAGCTCTGTGCGATAAACCTTATCGAGTTTCCTCTGCTGTGAATAATTTCTCCAGGAGGCTACTGTTATTACCGCAAGAAAGAGCATCGGCTTCTCCGCATGCAGTTCAGTGCCAGAGAGATGTTGAGGTATTACAACAAAGGGGAAAGTAACCGCCATCTGACGAAACTCTTTCATCAACAACTCGGCTTCGTCTGAAGCTAGTATGTCTCTGACAAGATCATCGTCTATAGACTCTTCCGGTCGTCTATGTCGTTTGTAAGGGCCGTCGGCGGCCTGGCTGTCACCTTGATGCTCATCAAGTCGATGAATCTTTCGAATATCCTCGAGATACTGGCGATCGACTTCAGCATCTTCGGCACATTGCTCTGCACGTGCTTTTGGTTGTGAAATCGTGGGCCTAGAAGGTTGCATCAAGTTTTCCAGGGCGACTGTCCTGTGCTTAGCCCTTGGAGAAACAGTCGGTGGGCCGGGTGCTGCATCAGACACGGCGTCATTATCAGGTGCACAGACGAGCTTAGCTACAAGTCCATCGATCTTTTGTTCAACTTGAGCGATGCGTCTAAGCATTGTAAGATCCAGGGGATGTTAATGACCGATGGCGACTTACGAAGGCGCACGCAATTTCCTTACTCGCCGAGGTGCATCAGCCCACACACAGTCGTTTCCCGAAGCGAAGCATCTGTTGCATCTCAGTCATTGAGGTCGCATCGGAATCGACTAGTTGACAACGTATTTTCTTTTGCGCATTGTGAAAGGGAGACTGTACCTTTGGCACCGACCAGATTGGGTGCTCAGCAAGCATCTAGTTTTGAGGTTCCTGCAACGTTGACACGCTTGTGTGGTTCGCGACCCGCCTTTGGCCGCGGCAGGTTTTTCGGTTTCCCGCATTCAGCAATTTTCAGGATAGTAGTTGCAGCGAGAGGAGAGGATCGAAGAGGCGTCTGGACTCGGAACCGAGAGATCACTAGGCACCCGCTCCGGGCTGGCGACGCTAACCGCAATAGGTCTCACCAGTTCGGCTGTGGGTGGAGAACCGTCATTAGTCTGTTGCCTGTTCAAAATGAACGGCATCACTAATTCAACGATGCAAAGATCATCGAAAGATGTTACAAAGAAAAAAAGCACCCCTTTTCTCATCTCGTGGCATTTGTGAGTTAAGCCAGGCTATGTGGTTGACATATCTTCGCACATTGGATAGCACCCCATCATCTTCTCTCGTTCCCAGCACCCCCTTTCTGCTGCAATCCGATCCAATGGGGCCAGAAATAGCTCTTGTTGCAATTCAGCTCATGGAAGCACTCAGCGTGCTTAGAATTGCAGTTTCGACACCAGCTGCCAGCCCCACCACAGTGTCGCACCAATCGTCACGAGATTCAAATGAATGCTCATCGCATGGGCTCTGGAAAACGCCTTATTCAGAACTTCCATTTCCTTTCTCTTTACACCTGGGTCAAGCCGCACATTTGCCTCGTGAGTTGCTGCTCGTCCTGTCAGTCTTACATCGCATGTACAAGGCTTCAGTAATGAGCCGTGAAGATCCATTCTCACATTGTCGTAAGGAAAGATCATTCCCGGCGCTACGTACCTTGATGCACCCTCTCAATCATCAATCTCTTAGTTTGTGGCCCACACAATATCAGGTTCAATCCCGCAGTTACCCCAGCAATTGCGAACGGCATCCAGTTGCGCGCTCCTCTGAACAACGAAGCTGGTCCATAGGGCGGCGATGTCACTGCGACGACTAACAAAAGCAGTGACTATGTCTTGAAATAGATTGTAAAGACACGCTTTTGCAAGTTTACAAATGATGGTCTAGCTAGAGCCCGGTGTGCAACTTTTGTCATTACAAAAGTCTGATACAGCTCGGTTCCTAGCAGAGTCGAGTAAGCTAGCAAATGGCATGGCGGGAGAACAGCAGAGAGAAGTGTTGAAATTGGCATCTCTGGGGTTTGAAATGTTGCAATAATAATGAATTGGATATCTGTAAGGCAGATATTTCGAGCAAGGCAGCATTCTGTGTACTCTTGAATTGTGCTGCTGCCTGATGCACCAGGTGCGCGTCCGGCAACGGCCAGACCCATTGGTAGTTAAGACAGCACGTGACGACCATGCACCTTTCAAATTCCAATGTTTCACAGACATCCCTTCCCAAGCATTTCAAAACTCTTGTCCAGATATAAGATGCGTATACAGTACCATGCAAGTCCGCTGCTCGAGAGCTATCCTCGGTCTAAGATTGCCGCGAGGTTCCTGCCGATCATCAATGCACCCCGCAACACCTTTCCCAAGGAAATATCCACACGGAAGATTTGCGACTTGCATGTAAGATTCGGGCAGAAAGCACCGGCGTAATACGCGGTTAAAAACGCCAGACAAGGAATAATTAATTAATGGGGGAAGATATCAAACCTTCTTTCCGCCCACAGCAACATAAACCTGATGCCGCGAATTACTTACAACCATCTTCTACACTTGAGGATGCCTACGAATTCTGGAGAAAATCCTAGTCAAACATCTAGCGCCCTATCAGGACCTCTCAACGAATAAATTGAGATTGCATTCACCACCATGCGCTTCACAGTCCTCTCTTTGCTTCCCTTGTCGCTCGCAGCACCAGCTGCTTTCCACAGCGCAGCCACAAAACCCATCTACTGGCTGCTAGCCGGCGACTCAACGACAGCCACCAACGGCGGCTGGGGCGACGCGTTTCTCTCCACGACGGTTGCGCCAGGCTCATCTGGCACCAACTACGGGCACAGCGGCGCAACAACCGCCTCGTTCCGCGCTGGAGGCGACTGGGCCAGAGTCCTCGCCGACATATCCACGTACAAATCCGACTACAGAGTCTACGTCACAATCCAGGTAAGCACTTCGATTGCGACAATGAAAAAAAAAGAAAAAGCAAAACGAACGTACTCGTGATAACCGTACTTAGTTCGGCCACAACGACCAAAAAGCAACGTCAGGCGTCTCGCCCGCACAGTACCACGATAACCTTGCGGTTTTCGTAGAGCAAGTCAAAACCTCGGGTGCGACACCCATCCTCGTTACGCCACTTACACGCCGCACGTTCAACACGACGACCAACCGCGTCATTGAGAATCTTTCTCGAGAAACCAGTCTGACCGTTGACGTCGCTACGGCCAACAACGTGCACTACATCGACCTGAACAAGGCGTCAACGGACTACATCAATGCGATTGGGCAGGCGGGCGCTGATACGTATAATTTCGGGGAGGGCGAGTCGACGACGAAAGATCGCACGCATTTGAATCCCTGGGGTGGCGTCGTGTTTGCGCGTATAGTAAGTGATTTGTTGGTGGATAAGTATGCTGGTGAGTTTGCGGAGTGGACGGTGAAAAATGAGACGTTGAGTCGGTTGATCAAGGATGGAAAGCTTGCGTAGCCTAGTGTCTTAGATCAAGCTTGAAGCAAAAAGAGGCGCACAAGGAAATAAAATTTCTGGTGTTCAAGTCGTAAATTAGTTGTAATTTACTGGAAAAGAACAAGATGGAAGGAGAAACTCTTGTACACAACGCTCGTCGCTCATCCATACCCCTCGCCATCATACCCTCCACTACCCCATTTTCTTTCCGATGCCTCATTCGCACCCTGTCTAGTGCTGAAGCCACTTACGCTGGAAGCAGGCGTGTCCCAAGGTCGATACTGGCCCGTGCTAGCTGTGAATTGGCTGCTGTGGGTTGACTCTGGAGAGGAAATTACCGAAGGCGCAGGATACGGCACATAAGTTTGTCCAGCCGCAAGATCTGGCGGGTAAGGGAGGTATTGGGCTTTAGATGCATCCTGGGGTCTGGGGTATCCGTAAGGCTGCGGTTGGGTGGGCTGCTGTGACTGCGAGTGCGGATGTGAAGAGGGATAGGACTGGTGTATTACTCCAAAAGATTCCGGGTGAGAAACAGATGGGCTGGATACATGATGAGCTGGCGGATAACCAGGCCGTTGCGTATTGGTAGCATGGTCGTCCTCCGTAATCAATGACTCCAAGCCAGGCGCAGTAATTGGGAAGCTTGACTGTCGCTGCTGTTGGTGAAATCGACTAAGCGCTTCCAGGTTTGCAACAGATCTGCGGTTGATGACTTTGCTCTGCCTTTTAAGCGCATTTTCAGCACTACTTTTTCTTGCTGGCTGAACATTGGGTTGGGGCGGATTAATAGCCGTTGTTGTTGGATGTTGTCGTTGTGCTGGAAGAGACTGACGCCCTGAAGAGATCTCTTCTGTTGATCGCGGATGCAAAGATATGGGCGACGAAACTACATCATCGTTCCGGGTGAATATAGGAGCAGAATATGGACCTTCTTTTGCACCTCCATAAGAGTCTTGAGTGAAAAACCCAGCCTGTGGTTCCGTCTCTGCATCCTCGCGTAGCGGATGGAGAGGTAGACTCCAAGACTTCTCAGAGACCTCGCTATGTCGCATGCCATAATGATCTGCAGCATCCCCTGCTTTGGAGATGTTATTCATCGCATTTGAAGGCAGCGGTGGTACCGATGTACGTGTGGGCAATCCCACACTGAGGCTCGGTGGGAGGTTCTGGTATTTTACGGTCCTGAACCGCTTGACGGTCGGGTTGCGTTTGCAGCGGTCTTGAGCTTCTCTCAATAGCTTTCGGATCTTTGCTTCCTCGGACGCATCTTCTTCCAATTGTAGATCCGTAACACTGCCCTCGTCTGTCTGACCAGACACTGACACATTGTCACCTTCCCATTCGTTGTCTTCCTCTTCCTCTTCGCCTTCTTCTGTTTCTTCGTCTGGATCAAATTCCATTTCTTCAAGATCGGAGTTTACGTCTTCCTCTGCAGGAGCATCTATTGCTTCTGATGCGGATCCACGAACTGGGTGACGAGTGTTGACATTAGCACCTGCTTTGAGCAATGCATCTACACAAGCTGATTGACGGTATGCGCAGGCTTCGACAATTGCTTCGTCCAGTAAGTAATCCGGAGGTTTCATGGATAGATAACGGTCCAGAATGGTCTTGTTGCCCCGGATTGAAGCCGCAGTGATAGCACTCCGATACCGTCCTCCTTGTACTCGAAAGTCTGCTCCTGCGTCTAGCAACTTGGTGACCACGTCCAGGCGATTAAAGTAGGAGGCTCCAATCAGAGCCGTATAATACTTGCCTGCTTTATGATTAACAAGTTCAACTGCTCTGTCAAGGATCTCGGTGACAATGGAGATATCAGCCTTCATGGCGGCGGTCTGGAGGGCATCGCCGTATTTTCCTCCGGTCGCATGAACATCTGCCCCGCGTTCTATGAGCTCGTTGAATACGTCCAAGTTGTTACCTTTGACTGCAGCTGCCACAGTCGATCCGTATAATCCTCCTGAAGCCGAGATGTTCGCGCCCTTGTCGAGCAAGCGTTGAACTACGGACAGGACGCCAGACTGGGCAGCGGCAAGAATGGGAAACCCATGCAGGCCTCCAACAGCATTTACGTCGGCATAGTGTCTGAGGAGAAGCTTCACAATCTTTCCATGACCACCAGCTGCTGCAGCAGACAAGGCTCCACCAAAAATGCCATTGGCTGGTCGAACATTGACTGCAGCGTTGTGTTTCAGGAGTAGTTGGACAACATTCAACCAGCCAGCAGCGCATGCGGCCTCTAGAGCTGTCCCGTACGTGCCGGAAATAGGTTCGCTGATTGTAATGTCGGCGCCCGCTTCCAGAAGAACATGGATGGTTTCAACATCGCCCGCCCACGCGGCAGCCTGCATAGCTGTCCCGTATGGTCCGCCAATGGCGTTGACATTCGCACCTGCTTCAATCAAGACTTCGCAACAGTCCTCATCACCTTCGGCACTAGATAAAGGTCAGTAACACTCAGGCTACAGTACGGGGACTTACGCGGCCACGTGAAGCGCAGTGCCATATTTCTCACTCGAAATATGTACATCTGCCCCATTTGCCAGTAGAAACCTCAAGCCGTTGATATCGCATGCATCTGCACAGTTGATCAAGGCAGTTGTACCTTTCGAACATGCTGCATTTATATCTGCAACATGCTTCACGATGAGCTCCAGATCTTCTGTGAGCAGTGTGAATGCAGCCAGTGATATGACTGGCCAATTGTCTTCCCCACCACGTACGTTCACATCAGCACCGTGTTCAAGCAAGATTCTAGTTGCTCTGCTGTCGCCTTGCTCGACTGCTGCAATGATGGTGTACGAAAAGTGGCCCCCGAGAGCATTGACATCAGCTCCGTGTTCGATGAGAAGACGAATAGTAGCCTCATCACCCGTATGCACGGCAGCTACAGGTCATAGATTAGCAATGGATCCCTCTACAAGGAATGTCTCAATACCTTGCAGCTCATGACCATAGTATCCGATTGGGTCGGTATTGGTCTTCGCACCATGATCCAGCAATAACTTCACGTTATCGGCATCACCAAACCATGCAGCGGCCTAAAATGAGTCAGTACAAGCAAAACTATCACATGTCTTCGAATACACACCTGAAGACATGTACCATAGTCCCCTCCGCGCTTGTTGACGTCTGCTCCTTTGGCAAGCAACGCCTTCATGATTTCCATCGTACCGTCATACCTGCAGTCTTCGTTAGCGCAGTTTCAGCGGCGGACCCCAATTTGTCTGATGAGTTGCAAGGGCATTCTTCCAGCGCATACAGCTGGAGGAAATTAAACCCTCGGTATGCAACATATTGTGAAACCCTTCTTCTCGACTCTGCAGTGAGGGGTTCCTGTCGCTCCCCAGACTTATAATAGAGATCAACTTACGCGCTAGCCGCCAATGCGAATCCGTAGCTTGAGAGTAGTCAGCATTTGATTACACGATGGTCTTGGTATGCTCACATGGGGCCTTCAGTATCTGGATCTGCACCAAATTCCAACAGGAGCTTAACAGTTTCGAGATGCTTGTTGTCGGTAGCTTTGTACAAAGCCTTGTCTAGTTGCATCTGGTCGATTCCTCGCGGATATAGCAGCCGTAAGACTTCCGTTCTGCCGTAGAAGGCCGCCAATGAAAACGCCCTCTGGTGTCTTAGTGTGCAGTAAGGAAGCTCAGAGTCACGTCTCAATATTGCTGCCACGATTGGAGCGTAGCCTCTCTGCGCAGCTGCCTGGAGTGCTTGTTCAAGAACCAGAATCCGCTCTTCATCCTTGAGTAATATCTCGAAAATCTCTAGATGATTGTAGGTAGCTGCAGCGCTCAAGAAGGTTCCGTATGTCTTTATGGGGCGGTGAGCATTCCAGGATTGTGAAAGAAGGTAGCGAACAACAGCAGAGTGCCCGCGGCGTACGGCTGCTCCGAGTGCGGAACCATACCTGCCATTGGAATTTGATTAGTAAAAGCTCTGGGACTGGCACAAGTAGAAAGTCTACATACCAGTAATCTTCATTTGGATCGATTTCCGCGCCCTTCTCGATCAAAATCCGCACGGCATCCAGATTGCCAGAAAAGGCAGCAAGATTCAACGCGCGTTGGTGTGGACCACCAACAATGTTTAACTCAGCTTTGTGATCCAGCAACAGTTCGACAACACGATTCTCAAGTGTACCCACAGCTGCATAGAGAGCCGTTCCATATTCAGCTGATGATGCGTTCACGTCGGCGTTGCGGTCCAACAGAATCTTGACAATGTCATAGCGGGCATTGCTGCATGCAGCGTGCAATGCCGTGGGGCTCCCCTCACAGCTCTTGAAGTCGATGTCTGCACCCGCGCCGAGTAAGATGTTGACAATTTCCTCGTTGCCATTTTCGCAAGCATAATAGAGTGGTTGAAATCCCAGGGAATCTTGCTCATGAACGCCGGGGGTTCCGTTGTGGCTTATGAGGTAATCAACCAACGCAGGAAACTCGAGAATTACCGCCATGTGAAGTGGCGAAATATCCTCTTGATCGGCCATGCCATGAACTTCTTGAATGGTATTCCACCATCGTTGGCGAGCTTCAGAGTCTTTTTCCCAGAAGGGATGATCGAAATTGAATTCCTCCAGCACATCGGGGGGTGCTCTTTTTGCATGTTCGACCCAATACCGGACAGGATATCTGAGGTCAACATCAAGTGTATTTTCGCTTTCGTCTTCTTCGTGGACAGAAGGTGTGTCAGTCACATCGGATTCAGCTTCGCCGATTTGTGGGCCGTCGTCAATCGGGCTGTATTGGCCAAACCCGACATCAACGGATCCTGTATTTGACGCGTCAGCAACAGACTCCAAATCTTCTTGCTCGCCATTATCCTGCGATATATCCTCGTTTCCAATGGCTTGATAGATGTACTCTAATGAACGTAGTGCAATAATGCCGTGTTGCATGTCGTTAAGATCGAGTGACAGATCATATTTCGCATACAATGTGAGGTGCTCCTGCGCAGAATTGTCAATCCAATCGACAGTGCTGTTGTCCAAATCCCAATCATTGCCTCGCAAGGTGAGAAATGCGCCACACCGTACTATGTAGGCTTTGAGCTTTTCGAGGTCCTCGAGATCCTCGTGGGGCAATCCAGCCATTACAGCGAGCTCTCGCATTGTTGGTGCTACATACGATACGATCCTGCAACGCAGTATCTCCTTCGTATATTCGTGTCCTTCTGCCTGTGGACTAAGGATGCGTTTCCGGATATGCTCAAACATATTTGTGAGGCCGTATGGAAATGACTCTAGAAGCTTTCGGATTTCCGCGTGTTGTGAGTATCCTGGTTTCCACGCATTCTTCAATTCACGAATGACCAAACTGACGTAGATCCAGTTATCTTCTGCGCGAAGGTAGACATGGCGCTTTACGAAGTAGGCCAGGGAGGCGGGAAGGCCTAGTTCATCCACGCTAACGGATATGTATGCTCTCAGATCATCGCTCACATGAGCACAGTTGTCTGCATCGTTCAAGTCAAGTTCTGTAACTTTTCCTTTCAGACACTTTTCAATGCTCGGGCGACCGCTGCGGTTAAGCAGCAGCCATTTGATCGGTCGAACATCCCCACTATTGCCGGTTGCGGCCTCAGGTTGAATCGTCCCTTCAATGTGTGTAAGGAATTGTTCCAACGAGTCTTCTGCCAACTGCTCTATACCATAGACAATGATGTATATAGTAGATCTGGGGAGGTCTTGGGCCATGTTTTTCAATGCTGTCCATAGTGCCGGAATTTTCAACATCTCCTCTGGGTCGAAGGTCTGGTCGCCGACATCTTTGAAATTACCCCGAGAGTCTAAAAGTAGATGGCGAGAAAGGTCTTGGTCCAGATCCAACAGCTGGCGGATGATTATTTGCAACAGCCCTTTGAGAGTACGCCTCATTCTGTCGCCTTGGTCGCAGAAAAAGGATGCAACCAAAGAGTTATGGTCGAGGCTTTGTTTCAAGTACTCCAGGGCAGACGATGCAATAGCTCCTTGACCAGTTCCAGCTTTCCCATGAATCCAGAAGACATGATTAGTGTCCGAAGTTCTCCATTGTTGAAAACTGGTAATTTCCATGATTGAGGAGAGCTTAGCGCCTTTTGCTTCGCGGTAGGAGCCCTTGGTCGCTGCTTCAACATCCACGAATCCTTTACTCAAAGCGTCGATCATGCTGTGGTATGTGCGGTCATCTATCTGCGACTGGCGCAGTAAGTTCTGGCGTGTTTTAATGATGCTGTCCGCTTTGCTTGCAATCTCCCTTATCTCATCGGACACAGAGGTGAAATTACCGTCTTTCGGTCCGGGATATTTGTTCAGTTGAAAGTGATCTGACATGAGCGAGATGCTCTCAAATGACTCGATAGTTGCAGAGGCTTGATCAACGATGCGTTCCTTACTTTTGAACAATGAGATGCCTTTTATCATGTAATTAACCAGATCGCTGTCATTCTCTTCCCAGAAGCAGAGCAGTCGAATCTGTGCGTCCCTCGCCATGAAGGAAAACTCAGTAAGCAGGCTTCGCAGTATTTCCGAGTCTTTTTCAAGGACTTTGAGAAGGGATGACGGCGTGCCCCAGCCGACATGTTCAGCCATAGATGCCAAGACTAGCGCTTTGGACTGACTTGATGTACCATGGAATGGCGTGCCGAGGAAGAAACAGCCGGCGACCCAAGGGTAGACGTTTGGGAAGTCTTTTTGACGCGATCGAGACATGAGCAGGGCCTTCTCCAAAATGATGCCACCGAGGCAATGGGCAATGAAGATGATAGGTGTCTTTGCTTCGTTCTTTGTAGGTATCAGCAGAGAAGCAGCCGGAATGGTATCTGAGGACCCACAACTCTTGAGCGGTCCAGACCATGGAGCAACTTGTTTGCTACATTATCTATGCGTTCGTCGACCGAGCCCTTGCCAAACCATTGCGACTGGTATTGGAAGACGCTGATTTTGGCATGGGGAATCTTTTTGGGAAGCATATTAGCATCGCGCAACCAATGCACCTTTTCCTTCTTCCATGTGTATTCAGGGTCCGCTCCAAGGCCCGGGATGGCGATGATTCTGTTGCATGTCAACCTCTTGATCGAACATAGCACGAGTGGTTGCGTACTCAACCTTGACCGGTAACTTTGACGATGCCTGTTCATCATTCGGGTAGACGACATTCAACCCTGGATTGAATGACTACGATGTTCAGCGGATACGTTCAGATATTGGGCATCCTTACGAACCTGTGCATCGAATTTCGAATGCTGAGTTTTGGCGGTCGCAGCCATGGCGAACACAGGCACCGCAGAGTTACGGTGTGGTCTGAGGAACAAACATTTGTCGTTTTTCCATCCATTGTTCGAGAGGATACGGCTATAGTATGCAAATATTTCTTCGTGTTGGTAACCAAAATTAGCTTGTAGGCATGAGTGAGTTGGGGGCGAAAATGGGTTGGGGGCCGAAACCCCCCAAAGAAGGAAGAGGCCGCACGTTTTACCGCGATAGCGTGCGCCTCCTTGCCACAAGAGTATCGATCGCCGACACGAGAGGCACTCTATGCACTTGGTAATAAGGCCTTTCCAAGCAGGGCCTGCCCGCTAGGTTACGAGTTTCCGGCACGCGACGGTTGCTTCTCTTATTGTCCTTTATTGCGCCTCTTGGAGAGCGCCGTCATGCTCTTTACCCCTAAAATGATTGACTACCCCGCGGTTAGAAGACCACTTGAAAATGGATTCAAAGACTGACAGCGAACAGCAGCCTGTGCCGTTTCGCACGTCGCTTCTGAAAACCACGAGCTCCGATGGTGTTGTAGAACCGGCGGTGCCTTTACTACCAGCGACATATCGAAAAGATTACAGAATAGAGCCTGTCCAAGCCGATATTCACGCATTTCTCAACGTCGAACTCAACGTCCAAAGATTGAACCAAGTACACGAATGGCTTTGGCTTGCTGGACTCCCATCGGCACCCAGGCCACTGCATTACCAAATCGTCAAGAAAAGAGAGATTGTAGTGACGGAACAGCTGGACTTGCATTTCGTCTGGTCCTCATCGAAGTCTTCGTCCATTTTGATCAAGCCGCTATCTCGCTTCCTCTTCTGCCCCGTTTTCTGGCAGACTGAGATTTGCCCGCATCAACATCTGTACGAGACGGCGCTAGGATTCCTGTTGTCGTATGTTGCGCTTATCGAACGAGAGGTCGACTACAACTTGGCCATCAACAACGGTCTGTTTCCCAAGGAGATTACCTGGTCTGGATGGTTGGCGCTCGCGAACGAAATCTCGAGCTCCCTGCCTCAGGCCCCCCAACTCGACGAGGCTGTGCTGTCACGCATGGAAGCTAGTAGGGGCTGCAAGCGCGTCAATAAACGCTTCAACTATGGCGAGTTGCGCCTTGGGCGCCTAAACTGGATATATCGCTTGACCATACTTAGGCGAGTTTCGTGGGTACCTCAACGGCTGCACCACGTATGGATCGTTCATGCGCGACAACCTCAACAGCCTCATTACGTGGTTTGCGTACACGACAATCGTCCTCTCGGCCATGCAGGTCGGGCTCTCGACAAAGCCCCTTGAGGATGACTACGCTTTCAGCATGGCATCGTATGTCTTCTCCATCTTCTCCATCTTGGCGCCGCTCGCGTGCATCGTCACCATCACGGTAGTCATGAGCTTCCTGGTCATCGTCAACCTGGCGCGCACGCTGAAGATTCGCGGACAAAAACGGCGTGAGGGGGTCAAAGTATGAGCAGAGCAGCTTAGAACAAAAGGGGTGAATATGGAAGCCTCACGCAGAGGGCAGTGAGGCGGTGCGGACCGATAGAAGGAGGAAGGGGCCATGGCTCGGCAACTAGGCAACACCCGGTCCAACCCACCAACCTTTATCCTATCCCTTTTCCGGTTTCAACGCCGTTCGAAGGTCCGCCGCCATCTCTGTCACCCAAGTCGCCACCACACTCACTCAAGCCAAGGCAAAGAGGTTTCACGCCTATGGAGACATGAAACTGATGCCGTGACGTGCGATAGAGCCTCACTCAGCCGGCGCGGTGTGACGGGACTGCGCGCGTGCATAACAGCCGCCGCGGCTGCACTAGAAGGCCCGTACGATGCGCCGATGCCAACAACTCTCTTGTACCGCTTCGTGTGTAGCATGTGTACGCTTCGTCTCCAGGGGAGAGTGGTACAGCAAAAGAGTCATAATGGCACGGATATTCTCTTCACACGACTCTGTGCCCACGTGATTTATTCTTTGGAGCATCCCCGAAACACCAACGACATACGAGAATGGCACCGTATGATCATGGACACATCTGCCTTCAGGATGCGACACCCCTTTACGGACCCTGGTAGAGGATTGACCGGAAAATGGAGATCGATCGTTTGCACATGTAACGTCGTAACGGGATAGATGATCACCCGCGTGTTTTCTATGGCGCTCAACGATTAGCTATAATCTTTTTATGTATTCAAACATAACTGTACATACATATAATAGTAAACCGACTTAGCCCTCTTGGCGGAGTCAGCCCGAGAATGGATACACTGCATTAGCCTGCATGGATTCCTTACTCTTTCGGGAAGCCTCATCTGCTTTGCTGGCTCATGAATATCAATTTGTAAAGGCGACGCGCACCTCGACTGACAGCAAGCTCGCGTTTGGCAGTATGTGTGTCAGATGCAAAGGCCCTCTCCAGTATTGCGGATGAGCGGTGCGCGTGAAGGCTCATGGTGCAGATGACGTGGAGAGGGCGCCTATCCACTCTTGGCGTAGCGCCGTTGTCACGAGCCACGACCGTGCGCCAGGCGGCGACTTGGCCATCAACACGCTTATCACAACACCCTCAACACTTGTCCCTTCACCTCTCCTGCAGTGCTCACGTATCATGCCGTTTCACACCTCATCTCATAATACACGAGGCAGGCCCTCGTTTTCTCTCTTTACCGTCGGTGTCCTTGCGCAGATTGCTCTTGTTGCTACCATCTTCTGGGCCTATACCAACTTTGGCCACCCCCGTGGGTCCACGGCTTTAGCGGACACTGCGGCTCTCACCACATCACCAAGGCCCAGCGGCTTTACGTTGCGACATGTCATAGATCACGGCGCAGGTCGGCCTGGACCGCGAGCGCGAAGGTTTGATGTTACTCCTGAACAGTTCGCCGCCGCGGGTCTAGACTCTCGCGTCGGACCATTTACGATCAAGACCGCTCCCGTCAAGATTGAAAGGCCATCGTACAGCAGCTATGACGGACAAATACCCATGTCCCCGATTTGGATGGCTGAAGATGTTCCGGGTCCGGATATCACGGATAAGGACACTATTATCAGTTTTGCGAACATGTCCGAAGATGCGTACAAGGTTGGGCGTGATGATCCCGGCTGGATGAATGTTGATGACAAGTACAACACATCGATTCCTTTTGGTTGGGACGACAGCGGTATCCGTGGCCATGTATTCACCGACGGCACAAACTCGACCATCATCCTGGCCGTCAAAGGAACGACTGTGGCCATGTTTGAAGGCAACGGCACGTCTGTGCACGACAAAGAAAACGACAATCTCTATGGCTCCTGCTGCTGTGGCCAAGGCGGCACGTACCTATGGCGCAAGGTGTGCGACTGCCAGACGGGCACCTACACCTGTGACGACCAATGTGTTAGGGACGAGCTGCGAAAGCCAAACAGGTATTATGAAGCGACTGTCGAGCTTTACGAAGAAGTCAGGAAGCTCTATCCGGATGCCAACGTGATCACAACAGGGCATAGCTTGGGCGGAGTGCTCGCTTCCTTGATTGGTCTTCAACATGGTATTCCTGCTGTGACATTTGAGGCATATCCCCAAGCCCTGGCTGCGAAACGCCTTGGACTACCAGCAGCTGGAGATGTTGCTCCACTCCGCAGAGACACGGGCGGTTTTCATTTTGGGCATACAGCGGACCCCGTGTATATGGGAACCTGCAACGGCGCTACCAGTTTTTGCTCGATTGGCGGTTACGCATTCGAGACGCTTTGCCATACTGGAAGAAAGTGCGCGTATGACGTGGTCAAAGACTGGGGCTGGAGGCAAAGCACGCAGACGCACAGCCTAAGGTATGCTATCGACAATGTCTACATGAAGTATGAAAAGGCGGCCACATGTCTAGAAGAGGATGTAGGATGCGTGGATTGTTACCTGTGGAAGTTTGAAAACGGCACCCATACCCAGCCGATAACGAGCTCAACAGCAACTAGCACCACCCTATCACGGACGCGGACGGAAACGTGCAAGACTCCAGGATGGTGGGGGTGCCGGGATGAGACGACGACTACCATGGTGTCGACAACCTCCAGCTCATCGACCTCGACAAGCACAACAACTTGCCACACTGTAAGTTTTTTTTTCAATCGACTCGCTCTATACGTCGCTAACTTGCACAGCCCGGATGGTTTGGCTGCAAAGATGTTACTACAACTACTGCGACTGGTCCAGTTACTACGACATCAAGCGAGCCAAGCACAACGACAACGTGTACTTCAAAAGGCTGGTTCGGCAGATGTCTAGACGACGATTCAGCAACGACAACGCCAGCCATGGAGGCGCATGGCTACTGGCGGACGCCAGCCACGGCGGCTGCGACTCCGACGGCTCCGTAGACAGCGAGTTGCGCAAGCCACTATGTAGGGCGAGTGAGTGAGTCTGCCTTGGGCAGTGTTGAGGGGGGGCTATGAATTAGATTTTAGTATGCAATATCGTCGCGTTTCCTTCCTTGTGCACATGGGGCCAGACCCATAGGTTCGACCCTGCTCCCCACACAGCCCCATGGATATAGCAGGTATTATACATATTAGCATAGGCCCAAGTGGCACGATAGCGGATGACGAAGACTCGCAGCACTCAACGGTACATGTACAGAGCAGCCGAGTCGAGTCGAGTCATGAGTTGCTATGGGAAGCAATGACTCGGCTGCCGTTGGGGGATTGTTGCAGCGCATCGTACCATCACATGCTTTTGGATCAAGTGGTGGGCTCCTTGGGTCGCGGGGAACGGGGGTATTGTCTACCGCTTTGGGTCGTGGCCCCACCGCGTCGCAGAATAGGTAGGTAGAGCAGTATCCACATCACGTGTACCGTAGCACATACACAGATACACAGATACATTTCATACATTCATAACGTGGACATAATCAACATGGAGCCAGTTTATAGCGCCCAGTTTCAGTTTCACCCCTTCTTTCTCTTTCTCTTTTTCTCCATTTTCGGCAACGCCATATCGGTTCATATCATACCATGCATTTCATCCAGACACACACCCCCTGGGGAGACATGCGCAGATAGAATGAGCAAGAAGGAGGAGTGAGAGTTTAGGTACGTGATCCAAATGAATAGTCAGTACATACCTGGAGGGAGGCTGAATCGCAGACAAGTCTGGAACCCAAATTTCCAAGCCCCCCTCCCCCTTCCACCTACCCTCCATCTTCCGCGCTTTTGCCCGTGGGCTCCTCTTCCTCCTGTCTTTCTTTCCTTTCCTTCCTTTCTAGCATGTGAAGCAACTCCCATGCTACATGTCAGCTGTTCAACTGCCGTCTCGTCTCATCTTTTTCCCCTGTTCCAAGGGCTCGAAATACCCTCTTTTCTCTGTTTTCCCTTTTTGAAGCTCCACTCTCACTGTTTCGTGTTTCTCGTTGCTTGGTATGCCGTGTCCCGCTAAAGTTAAGGCGAGTGAGTTTGGTTATTGTGCTCACTGCATGCTCAGTCTTTTCGTTGTTGCTTGGCTGCGCACACTCATGGATAAAATATGCGCCAAGTATTTGCTGCGCCGTATTGGTGTGGCTGGGCGAGGCATGGGTTGTGTCTCCGCGGGGGGCTGTGGTGTTCTGGATGTCTGGCCTGATTGAACAGTGATTGCGAGTGTTTTTTTGCTCGCTCGGTCGGTTTACCGGGTAACTTGGAAGGAAATGGTGTTACGTTGAGAATGCATGCTGGATGGCAGCTGTAGCGCGTTTGAAGTGCATGGTTGATGGCGACTGCGGTGCCATGGAGGTAATCGACCTGTCATCCTAAGACGCCAAGGTTGGTGGTGCAATGCTGGCGGCTGTCATGCGGCAGTGGCAGTGTTCCATGACACACCAATAGTAGAATCTGCCCACGCCTGCTATAGTCTGGGTAGGGATTCAATACAATCCAAGGTGGTGTGCAGGCTGGGAAAGCAGTCGTCGCGAGTGTGTGCAATGTTTCTGGCGGCCAAGGTCACAGCTGGATTAGTTCCTGACGTACGCAGAGAGCGATACCTGGGAGGATTTGAGGCAGAAATTAAAGGTCCAAGGACACAAATAAACGAACAACACCCGGCTTCCTTAAGACTCGAGTATTTTTGCAAGCACCGCGGAAGCTCTGCGACAACATGGCCCATGCGGCTGGGCATGGTACGGACCGGTCATGGTTAAGTCCGGGCACCGACGACCACGACACAAGGTTGCAGCGGCAGCAGACAGATTGCGCTAGGTGTACCCTGGAGCGGTTCATCTTAGGTAGTGTTAGAATCATGCGTCTTTTCCCTTGGAGCAATCTTAGCGGGAGGAATCTACGATGAGGGTTAATCGCGTAGAATTTGAAGATGCGGAAGCATTTCGGTGGAGCAGCGGGTGCAGGCATGGAGATAAGAGCATGCAGTGTTGTAAGCACACACACGTAGGTACACAAGCTTTGGCGATTGATTTGAGCGGGCCCCGACGTAGCTCGTTGGTGCAGAGTTTCGTTGGCTCGGGCAAACGAGCCAGGTAGCCCATGTGCATATGTATAGTGGTAGTGGTGGTTAGTAGAAAGAAGCGAAAGTCGCATGTGGCGGCTGGCCGCGTGGATTTGATCGGATGGACCGGACACCAAATCAGCGTACGGCAGCAGGCGTGGCGGTAGGGGTCAGGCGAACTACCTAGCGCGTGCTAATTTCCGCAGCAGCAGACAAATTGCGCGCTCCACAGAAGCGGGCCAGATCGTGCGGAGGATGTGTCGGGCTTGAGGCGACTTTGTGGTATTGCGTGCTGAGGGCGTGCGAACGCTGATCCTCATATTAATGAGCGAGTCTCGAAGCAGACATGGTGAGAGGTCCAGCAGCGCAGCGATGCGAGGGTGGGCACTAATGCGCGCACTTGGGGAGGCGACATGGTATCCTTATCCAAGTGCGAGATTGGGAGCCCTCGGACGACGGGCCAGATTGTCGACTTGGCGGGCGGCCAGCAGCCGTGCGAGCGATGGCGGGCATCAGGAGACGTCAGGACGGGCTCGCGAGGCGCCAAAGGTTCGCGCGGAGGGCAGCATGCAGCGTTGCGTAATGCAAAGGCTCCAACGGTAGGTAGTGGCAGGTACTATTCGGGCGTCGTGGAAAGAGGGCATGTCGGACTCAGCCCCGTAAGGCCGCCTGGGAGGGAGGAATCTGTTCGAAACATTGCGCGGCTGGCTGGTCCTTGTCGCACATCGTCGCTTGAAATTGTCGCAAGACGTGGCACGTCCCCTGCGCGGGTGCAAGCATCATATCGAGTACTGTACATAGTAGCAGCATCTGACGGGTGGCGTTGTAGGTGTCAGTGGTGGGTGTCAATGTGGGTGTCAGTGTCGGTGTCAGTGTCGGTGGGCAGGTAGACGGCCGTCGATATGCGTCGACGGGCAGGACGGGCGGCATCGAGGGCGCAGGCAGCTCGCGCGGAGGACACGGGGGCTGGCAGAAATCAAGATTTGGGGGGGTGGGTGGTTGTGTGGTCGATGGGCAACGAGGGCAGGGTCTTGGTGGAGAGTCGGGCGGGCTGGCGAGTAAGAGGGCACGGGCCACACGCAGTCTGGCCGCCGGCCTCTCCACTGGCACAATCTACCATGACACACGCTCCCGTTTGGACGCGTCAACTGCCGTGAGCAGCGTGTTACGGACGGTTTGGCCCTGCCATGGCTGCCTGTGTAGGGGCCGGCGAGTGCGTTAAGGGCTGGGAGCAGCATACCACACGGAACCACGCGCGCGGGACGGCCATACGGCCATGAGCGGCCTTGGACATAAAAGACGGGCGGTCCGCGGGCGTTGAGTATACAAGTACAGACTGACAGACAGTTACAGCTACACCTTCATCCAACACCTTCGCCCTGCAAGCCAGGCCCCCGGATACGCATTTGCATTGACTGCATTGAATTGTCCGTCTCTCTGGCCAGATCCGGCAACCAAGGCACGCCTGCTCCGACCACCGCCCAAGCGACGCCAACCAAGCCGCAGCGCCCACTACGGCTACTTTTCGGCCCAAGTACGCAATTATTACCCTGCATATCTCCAACTAGCTGGCTACATCATCGGGCGTTCGCTATCCTGCCGCCCCATATATTACGAAGTCTTGCCCTCGGCCTCGACGGCTCCCTCCCATACGCCAGCCGGATACACACACACACGCTACCACTACCACTACCACTACCACTACCACTACCACTACCACTACCACTACAACCGCCACCACTACTACCACCATCACCACTACCACCACTACCACCTCAATCACCACCACCATGTTCTCCTGCGCCAACTACGAGCGAGGCTGCCGAGGCCGCTGCAACCGCCTCAACGACCGATGCGACAGCTGCCACACGCTCAACCTCCAGGTCCGCAGCAGCAGCTCCTCATCCGCATCCTCGGCCAACAGCCTGCCAGCCGCCTACTCGGCCATGACAAACTCCTTCGCATCCCTCTCACAGCTCAGCAACTCGTCGGCAGCAGCCGCAGCAGCAACAACATCATCAAGGACATCGTCGTAGTGGCAACCAGCCAACCTCAACCTTGCCATACACACAAAAGGCCTTTTCTTCACGACATTCAAAACGAGTTTAATACCAACATGAGCGACTTGACGACTAGTGTTCCGGCAACACGTCCTTCTCCACCAAAGTGTCGCTTTCCTTGCGACATTCGACTTTGACAGTTTTTCTTTGGCCCAAGTCAATCCTAGGGGGTGTGCGTGGGGGGACTCACCGCGCAGCAAAGGCGCAATTGGGATCGCATTTCACGGGGACAAGGCGGCTTCTTCGGCTTTCTTTTCCTTTCCTTTCCTTTTTATCCCTTTGTTTTCCTTTTCTCCTTCAACCACTTTTTCTCTCTCCTGTATTCATACACCGCCCGCAAACCTCTCCCTCCTCCTCTTCTTCCTCTTCTACCTTCTCTTCTTGTTCTTCCTTTTTCTTTCCGGCAAGTCCGTCCCCACCGCAGGCGTTTGGCGGAATGTTATCTATGTACCGAAGAGGCGGGGGGTTAGGGATGAGCGTAGATGTCACATGCAACGTCCGCTCTGCCGCTTCTTCCTCGATTGGGCAACGGTTTGGCTGGTATGATTGGGCCCAAGCCAAAGCGCCATGTTTTGACAAAGAAAAATGCCATTCTAGAATACCTCACCTGACCTCTCTTATTTTCCTCCTCCCTTACTCCCGCAATGCATTTCTTACTGCGTGACACGACTCTTGCGTGCATGACTGCTGACTTGTCCATCCTATTCCTCCCGCAGCAGTGCGGCTTAACCCTGACGCCGGGCTTTTTTGGTCTCTGTCCCTCCTCCCAGACACCAAAAAAAAACCAAAAGCAAAAGGACAGCGCGCAAGAGATGCCCGATGGGTAAGGCGGAAAAAACACTTGGACCGGCTGCTTGCACCTGCCCCACAGTCACGCTCTAGAACTCCACCCAGCGCCTCACTTCTCCCTTTTTTTCTCGTCCCCCATTCATTGTCTTTGTGCTCGTGTGGGTTACAATTCGCCTTCTCTCCACTTTCTCCTTTTTCTTTCTATTCTAAGACGATCCAATCTTCTCACGGTAATCACGGCGTCACGTACAAATTACCCGCAAAAGATGCGACGGGGAAAGAGGGGGACGTGGTTTGTGTGTCAATGGAGCGACGAGGCTCTAGAACGAGGCGCGCGCCGCCGCATCGCACATCATTTGCCTTTATGATATGGCGCGTCCTGTTGTGCTAAGCTTAGCGGCCGCAGCTCCTTTCCCCCCCCCCCTCCATCCCTCGCTCGTCTCCCCTGGAACCATGCAGCAACCCATGCGACAAGCCACTACACTACGACAGGAAGAAAATAAATCGCCGCAACGTCCCGGGGATACGTGCGCGGGCCTCCGGGGTTAAGAGCAAAGAAAAAAAAATGCACCAAGAGTCGGAAGAGTTCCAGACATGGCGGAGACGCAGAGGCGAGATGCGGATGGTAGAGGAACGGCCATGGGCAAAGTTGGCCATTTGGTCTAGGCATGGGCTGGGGGGCGGTTGGCGGCCATCGATCGCAGAGTTGGGTGGTGATCGCACTTTTTGGCGGTGGGTGGGTGAGGCAACAAGAAAGGGCGGGCAACACGACGAGGGGGCCAGACCTTGGGCAGGAAGCCAGAAAAAAGTGGGCACAGCAAAAAAGCATAATGATAATGGACATGGACATGGGAAACACAGGCGGTTTGGGTCTTGTTGCAGCGCAGCGTTGGCGGTCCGCTGCGCCGTGACGTCTGTGGCGCCATTCTATTGGGTTTCCAGGCGGCGGGGTTGCATTCCGCTGCTCGGTTGCAGCTGTGGAAGAGGCAGAAGAAGGCTAAGCCACATGTCGTGGTCATGAGGATTATGGGAGAGCGGACATACCGGTGCCCTACACGACGAACACACACACACACACACACACACGTCGAGCCCCGAGGCCAAACGTCGGATTACCGTCATGCTGCCTGTCTGTCTTACGTACACCAGTTCGTACCTAACTACCACGGCTCCGACGTCTCTCCGGCGGCACCGCATCCCTCGCGTCCTTTCTGGGGTTGGAGCCGCCGCCGCTGCAATGGGATGCTTGGCACTAGGGTAAACCTAAGCCTTGGGTCGTTTGAAATGCCCTTGCTCCCGACGTTCCCTGCTGATTGAGAGGGCCTGGAAGCGTTCCCTGTTGATGGAGAAGGCCTGCAAGTTACGCTACATACGTAATCTGCCCGTCCTCGTCGACTTGCACCGCATACACCTACCTACCTAGTTACACGCACCATGTACACCAATGTACGTATTACCCTACCACACTACACTCTGTTCCTCTCCTAGCTGTCTGGGATTTACTTACTCTCAGCTCGCCCCCTCCCTCACTTGCATCTGCCTCGACTCGCACTCGTCGCGCCGTGCCCAACGGGGGCCCGTATGCACAAGTGCCCAGTTGCTTTTTCCCGCACGCACATACACGAGATGCAGTGTAGATCGCCAGCTTGCATCGTAGCGTTGCCGCCCATACAGCAGTACCAAGTAGTAGCAGTACCACTATAGGTACTACGTACTATACAGCCCGTCGGTCAAGTTGCCATGTCAACTCGGTGCCCTCCCACCCAAAAACCTACCCGCCGACCGACCTGCCCTTCGACTATGACAAGGGCCCAACAACACCACACCACACCACACCACATAGATTGACTGCTTCACACATACGCAAGCCCCTATCGTATAACCACCACACCTTGCATGTGCATTTTGCATTCCACGTCTCATGACGGCTGTGCCAGGTAGACAGAGCCACGATACGACAAGGCCCGATACATACATATTACATACTACCAGATACCAAGGTGCATCCATCACCCGAACTTCCCCCACCTTCGGGACAAAAGGCCCTTGTCAACACGCAGCGTCGAGGATGGACGCTGCAACTGTTCCGACGTCTAATGCACACACATTCTCTACGTCTTCCACACACGCTCTCCTTCTCTTCCTGTCTGTCTCTCTTTTTCTTTCCACTACCCACTATGCACTCTACGTTCTCGCACCCACTAGTCCGCAAATAAACCCCCCACACACCAACCAACCAACCAATCCCCCGACTCGCTCTCTGCCAAAACGCACTAACCTACCACCACCACCGACCTTACCTACTATATCCCCGCTGTTTCGGCCTTTTTTCCCTTTATTTTTACATATTACCCCAGACAAACCCACCGGTCGGCCCTTTATCTTTGCATCTTTGACGCCCGCGTTTACTTTTCAAACACTACTGCCAGGGGCTAAACTGCTGGGATAATGACACCCCCATGTACATTCCGCTTTCACATGCTGTTTTCGGATGGATGGAGGATGTAAGGGAAATATGGCGCTTATTGAAGGATGGAAAATGGTCGTGGGGGATTTGGATGCAGATGAGAGATGGTGCTCTAACTCATTACTAAGAAAGAAGGAAAGAGTGAAAATACCGGTCAAGTTACTTGGTTAGTTAGTTGGTAAGTACTTAGTTTGACTGACGGACTGACTGAAGAGTGCAAGTACTGCACGTGCAAACAGCGCTAGTGCACCACCACCACCATGAGCATCTCGCACCATCTCGCACCATCTCTTCCCCTCTTCCCCAGTCCCTGGTCTATCTCGCATCCGTCTCCGATTTCCACGCTGTCTCTGTCTCTCTCTCCTTGTACCTTGTCTCTACATACACATGTCTAGTTCCCGCCTCGCCTCGCCCTGCCTGTTTGCACACCCTACCACCACTACTACCAGCTACATTCATGTCATGCCGTTGTGCCGGCTATACTAGTTAGATGAATCAGTAAGGGGTGAGAGGGGGCGAGGGTGGAAGGGGGAGTGAGGGGGCTGTATGCCGAAACGCGCTTCAGGCATGCATGACGTCATTGCGTCTGTTACAAAGACGAAGCTGAAGAAGGTGAACGACGAGGTCTAGATTCTGGTGATTCCGTACTTTCCGACTATGACTAAGTAATAGCGAGCCATGTAACTGACTCGCTTGGTGATGCACTTGCACACGCACATTGCACACGGCATCTCTGCCCGTATTCAAGTATCCAAAGTATGTAGATGGGATGGATTATCATAGACTGCGTACATACGTCATTGTATAAAACTGAATCACAACACTTTAATCTCTTGCAGCATACATACAAATTCCCTTTCACCGGTCTGCAATACACACCCACACCGGATCCCACCACGTGCGCCCCTCTGCATGCTATCCAGGTCATCGGGGAATGCCCTTGCCCTTGCACTTGCACTTTGCAACTTGTTCCGGTACGCCTACGCTTATACCTATGTATGTCGTCGCACTTGCCTCGTTGCACGTGCGTGTGCATCTATGTTATGATTATGTATGCTAGTGCTAGCATAATTCTAACACTAACTGCCAACGACAGCGAGAGTAAAGGTGGGGGGGGGGAGAGATGACGCAAAAAATTGCTTCCCTCCAAACGCGGAATTAGATGCCGAGTGCGTTTGCATTTGCGTCATTGGCAAGGGGAAGCGTCCCCACATACACTTACACCCATCACCCATACATAGTATGTACTTGGTAGAATACCAGATTCTTGCTCTTGCAGCTGGCGTAAGTTAAGGGATAGGTAGTGGTAGGGTCTTTTTTACCGCTCTGGGTGCTAGGGCTGAGCCGGCTGGATTAGGCATGGCGATTGCGTGCGAAGATGTAAGCGGCGCCTTTTTTGGGGGGGGGGATGTGCGTGTGCTGACGCTGTTGTGGGGAGCAAGAGAGAGAGAGGGAAAACGAGGTTTGGAGGTAAGGACGCATGCTGGTGGATATGCGCTGTGGAAACATCGTGAAAAAAAAACAAAATCGTTTGGATATACCGATTAGGCGTTTCTTGTCTTATTTCCATCATTTGTACCTGCGTGAACTGCTGCATTGCTAATAGCCACGTGAATGCTACCTCATACTGATTCCATCCGGCGACCAAAGTACACTCACTCCCCATGTACGTCATGGCCTCTCCAAGCCCGCCCACCACACACACAAGCGCCATCCTGTCATCCCCATCCAATCCCCAACATCCCCCAACTCGTGCTTAACCATGCCACGGTAAAAATAAACCTCTTGTTTACACATATACACGCAACCTGCATTTCTAACACAGAAAATAATAATAAGCACGCATATCGCAGTAAAATAAACCCTCTGCTAGCCGCGCCGGTACAAGATCACTAATCATCCGCATCCCGAGGATATATTTAACACATCATCACATAGCATACAGCATACAGCATACAGCACATACAGCACAGCACATACAGCACAGCACATACAGATTCAACCACCCCTGCGCAAAACAAGAGGCGCCGCCCTGGTCTCGCGTCCTTTGGCGCCGCTGCCTAAGCAGGCTATCGACAAGCCACCGTCGCAATCTGTCTCTCTTGCTCTCGCCTCTTTCTGTTCCGGGAGAGAAGGTGGCGATTTTCAGCTACATGCTAGACAGATGGATGGATTTGGATTCATCTTCAACATCCTCTGAATCCTCTTTGCTCCTTGCTTTCACGGCCCGCGCTGCAGGTTGTTCCGCGCTCAATAGACAACGTCTAGAGCTAGTTATGAAATTAATCAGGCCCATACATTTACATGTATGTGTGTGTGTGTGTGCCATCGGCACCGTGCTTGCACTGGTAATTTTTCTCAAAAAAAAAGAGTGAGATAGACAGATATGGATATCGATAGCACCGGCAGCTGACAAATTGCCATTGCTGCCACGATGCCGATGCAGGCCAACATTCGGCGTGCAAACTCAAGTGTCACGTGCGTGTGTGCATGTGCATGTGTGCGATGCACGCCGACATCTCCGCGGCGACAGCGGCCAAACCAAGCGGAAGGGCTGGAATCTGGAGGAATTAGAGTCAAAGGATGAAGGGTGTCACAGCGTCAAGTTTCCTCTCAGCACCACCCCCCTCCATGTCATAAAGGCAATATTGCGCGGGCTTTTGTGCTCCAATCAATGCCGGTTGACTCAGGAATCTCGATGCTTACTCAACCACACGGCACCCTGTGCGCGTGCTGCATTCGAGAAGCCAAAAAGTAACCGACGGGGCGTAGGGCGTGGGGTGCATCAGCCTTACCCGTTATATGACGCACGGGTGCTATCTATGCCCATCTCGGCGGGGGGGGGGGAGCATACATGGCAGGGGAGAAGGGGGAGAAAAGAGGAGGGCCTCGGAGTCGAGTAAGTGGTTCGAGCAAGTCTAGTCTATCTGTAGCCATGGCTCAGAGCAGGAAATGCTCAACGACCACGACCACGACCACGAAGGCTGCATGACGGCAAAGACGGGCCCGCAAAAAAGCGGTTAACAATGGCGTAAAAAAACGTGTGTACGGGGCAGTGCTGACCTGCGCCTGGAGCCGCACACAAGCATCGTCAAGCCTTGCCCATCTGACGGACATGGCCGCACCGGGGCCGCGCAGCTAGCCCTCCAATCTGTACACTCGCTGAGCTGAATCATCGCACGCCAGCCGTCGAGGATGAGAAGAGCAAGTCACGCCCTTGGCCCCCAAACAGGAAAAAAAAAGAAAAGAGAACATGATCAGCAACACCGCTTCAACCCGTCTGGCACACAAACAGGGCGTGGGCGTGAGATTTGCCCGCGGCTTGCCCGCATGAAGGAGCTTTGCTGGCTGGCTTTTTTCCCATTTGGCCTTGCATCAAGGTGACCGATTGGCGAGCTCAAAGACTACATATTACTCATGGGAGCGGCAACTCTTCCGCTCTCGCTGCCTATCTAACACGGTTGAGCTCCGTCAGCAATCTTGCCCTGCTTTTAGTTTTTTTCGACCACTCGGGGCAGAAGAAAAGCATCCAACACTGTTTTCTTTCCTTCTTTCTAATCCGCCCTGCTTGCCTTCAAGCACACCATCACGGCAAGCTTCCTAAACGTCAAGTCTTGTTTTGTAAACAGGCTTTCGCCTCTGGTTCAGTGCCCACCCACTCATTCATCTAGCCAGCCAAGAGAGTGCCATGCCGTTGCCACGCGAGGCGTCGCCGAGAAAAGCCAATTACAGAGTCCGGTTCCGACACGGCGTGTTCCCAGATGCAGAAGGACAAGCCACACGAGCCGACATCAAAAAGTACGACTATTTCTTCTCCGCAGGCCAGAAATGGGTCGATACAGAGGGAAAGTGTAAGTCAAAGCCCCGTCATCATCCTGGCTCGTGGTTGTTTTTCTCTTGGTCCGTCTGTGATGAGTAACAAAGGACTAACCCCAGGCTGCAGTGGACTTTGTCGATGAGTCAAGACTGGTAGCCGAAGAATCCGAAAGTGCTGGACACGTAAGCGACAAGAAGGCAACGAGGCATTCGAATGCGAATCCTGCACAGCCAATCGGGCGAATCGTGGAATCGGAGATAATAGGGAGAAATTCGCAGGTGGGAGTGTGACGTCCACAGCTCATGAGCGGATTTTGGGCTAATCGGGCGCTCGTGCTTTAGGGGAACCAGAACCCTAGCCATACTCAGTGGCAACCTCCTTGGCACATCCGGCATCATACGCAATCCGGCCCAGGCTCGGTTTCCAGCTACTCGAGTCTCGATGAGCCTTTCCCGGCAGACTCGCAGTCGGACGGTCCCTGGTCGCATCCTTGCCCCTCACCGATTCCCATTCCCCCCATAGCGTGGCCTCTCTCTGATCCAATTGAGGCGCATCTGTTTCGTTTCTGGATCGAAAGAGCCGCGGAAAATCTTGATATTACAAGTCCTGAAGGCGTGTTTAGGGACTTGGTTCCACGGCTTGCTTCGGAGAACTCGATGCTTATGAACGCCATTTTCATGACGTCTGCACAGAACGTGGTGCGCTATGACCCGTACTTCCCTACTGGGCCGTACGCGTACCATGATAGGCTTTTGCAGGATCTTATCCCGTATTTGGCGGAGAAAGGAAGGATCGAGGATGAGGCGACGTTATTGGCTGCGATGCTGCTGAGAGCTTTTGAACAGTTCGATGGTATGTTGAGACCAGGGAAACAGTGAAAAGCTAAGCTAACGATCAATCAGCAGGTACGCGAGGCCAGTCCCACCTCTCTACCTACGAGCTGTTCCGTGGCCCCAAGGGCTGGCTGTTCGACATGTCTCGCCCGCTGGTGCAAGCATGCGTCATGATCGAGGTGCATACCGAGGTCTGCGAAGCGCTTCTGAACCGCCCGAGTTTGCGCATCGACTATGCAAACTACATTCTCCCAGGGCTCGACGAACCGGCAGACGAGGTTTCGTGGGGCAACCGCATCTTGTGGCTCAGCGCACGTGTTCTGCAATGGATGGAGACGGGCGTTCGGGCAGCGGCCGAGCGGCAGTACTTGAGCAATCTCATTGATGACTGGGAACGAAAGCGTCCCGCCACGTTCGATACCTTCTTCTATAGAGATTCGTATCCCACTTTTTTCCCCGAGCTGTGGTTCTCCAGTCCTTTGCATGGTGAGTCTGTGCTATGACCGGCCAGCGGAGTTTGTGGCTGACGAGTAGTTTAAAGCGGACGCGAACCAACACTTGCGGATATGTCGAATTGCACTCGCAGTCAGTCGTCTTGATAGCACGACCTCGGGCGCCCATGGAGATGTCATCGCGGTGTCGGTACACGACGAGGTGCTCCGAGGACTGAAGGAAATCGTGGGCATTGCTAGGTGCAACACGCACTGCATCCCAGCTCCACCGAAGGCAGCCTATGCTGTGCATAGATTTGCAGGCCTGTTGAGTGATGAGACGGCGCGTTTCAAGATGATGGAGTTTCTAGAGGAGACCAATGCCATGGGCATTTCAACCGTAACGTCGATAGAGCATCTCGTCGAGCAGTGGAACTGGACAAGGAACCCTTACCAATGGACAACGAATCAATTATCGTAGTCTGCAAGCTGTATCGTTTGCGTCATCTTTGCAGTCCAACCACATCTTGCAGAGGTAATCCGCTACCCTATTGCTGCTGCTGGCGAATAGCTCCCTTTCAAAAGTCGGCATCTCGTCCAGCGCTACGGCTTTGCAGCTCCAGGTTGGTACTGCGAACTACGGTTGCGTTTTTCTGTATACATTAGCGTCCGTACATGCTACGAAGGTGTTCGTTTTGGTAAAGAATACCATAGCCTTGGTGCCACCAGAACGCCCTCCCAAAAACTGAACTACTTTCGCAACACTATTCTTACTAGCTAGTGTTGAAACAGTAGATAGATCTAGTTTAATCAAAGACTCTTTATCTCTTAGCTAGGTGTATGCCTTTGCGGTGTGATCTCGTCTTTTAGACATGTGTTCTGTGAATGCTCAGGCTATAGTATTTTTTACCAAAACGAGCTCCTTCGTAAGCACGGAACGCTATATCTTCGGATGCCCATTTCAAAATACCGTCATAATGCCTATCACCTGAAGGCCACATATCAAGTTGGCATTACCAAGCACCTCGCAAACACTATCTGGCCATCGGAACTTCGTTCATCCGTAATTCATCCGTAGAAATCCGTGTTGGCCGCCGAGCAAAGTTTATCATAAACGATTTCTTGTGTTGCCAAAGACTTTCGCTCTTCGCAAGCCGTATAGTGTAAATTACTGCTACTTATTGTGTTAAAGGTACAGGGACGGTATCGCACTGTTGTCCTGTGTTGTGCACCCTGCTGTGTTGATCCACTGCGTCAGCATGTTGAAATCACTCAAACAAACCGATTCTCATAGAGTGTGAAGGACAGATGTCAGAGTTTCACCTCGTCAATGCCCCGGCTAAGAACAGACTGCCTACCGCCACTCCTACCATGGTGACGAGGATGATGCGGCCCTTGTTGGTCAATGCCAGATAGGACAAGACGCCGACAATAATCTCCCATCGTCGCGCAGCGTCCCGTCTGGCCTTCCATTGCGGGTTGATCTCGAAGGGCGGACGAGCTAAAATGTCGTTGACGCCCATTTTGATGGGCGTTTCTTCAACACGCACGGAGAGAGCGACCGGGCGGTGGTCCGATGTCGGTTGTATAGGTAGAGCGGTGTAGATTTGCGGTTGGAGCTCTGACGAAGACCCGGCCCGCAGAAAAAGGATCCGGTCACACCACGATGGGTATCGGTGCTTTGACCATTGCCATGAATCACCCTCACCCGACAAGGCGCGCTTGGCAGTGTTTGTATTTTTGCCATGCGAGATGGAGTACTTGTATGTAGGTGGGAATGTGATGGGCAGCTCTTGAAAGCCATGCAACGTGCGCTTTGCGTCCTTTTCTCTATTCAGTTGGTCTTGCTTGAGTATGTGTGAGAAATGCCTTGATGATGACTCTGGCTCGGTAGGTTGAGGATACGACTTGTGAGCGTCGCCATCTGGTGGGCTATCGCTAGTGCGGTAGTTCAGGTCGCCGTAAAAAAAGACGTGGTTGCCAGGAGTGAAGAGACCGTTGTGGTCAGCAGGGACGTGGTCAGAGGAAGAAGGTTGGAGGAGGGGCCGTTCTTCGCTCGAGCTGTATGCAGAATCGTCACCATTGACAAAGACCAGATTGCGCACCAGGTTCTCCCAGTCCTTGTTTCTTGCATCCACGTTTCTCTCCATTGGTGCGAGATGGGCGGCGGCAAAGGTCAGGTCAAGCGTGTCGTCGGCGCCGGGACACGACAGGCCGATGCGCATGGCGACGGCGCCTTTGTTGCCCATGTTGGAGAAGCCCACACCCGCACCGGCGGACTGTATCCACTGTATCCTCTCTACAATGGCGGGCTTTGCAAACAGCATGAGGGCCGTCATGCCCAGGCTGCGCGTAGCCACATGGTCGAGTGCAGCGGTGCCCGGGCTGTGGAGGTCGGCGGCAAGCTGGACCGTCGTGGTCACGCGGTCGAAATAGGGCTTCAGGTAGGCTCCACCGAGGAATGAGTAGGCGATAGGCGCAATTTCCTGCAGCGAGATGGCAACGACATCAGGCACGGGCGAGCCCTTGGGGAGAGCCTGGAAGAAGGTCGGCGCCAATGCCTGAGGGTCGACGAGGTTGCGCGCGACATTGAAGGTGACGAGGTACAGGTCCAACATGGCGGCGGATTCGGGTCACGATAGGTGCCACGATGTAGTGCTGAATACGCGTCTGTCAGCATGGGTACGAGGGGAACGGGCTTTTTTTGTTGAGGGGGATCAGCATGCAGGACAAGCATGGCGACGGGAAGGGGGGGGGCAGAATGTCGAGTACGAACACGGTGGATAGTCGAGGCACTGCTATATCGAGACGTCGTGGTGCTCGGCTGCATGGGGCGGCCCCGCTGCAATCGCTCTGGGCCGCTGGCACTGGGGTGTTTTGTTTTTGGGGGGGCTGCGTGGGGTTGGAGGCGGTCAGGATTTGCTGGTGCTGGTGCTGGAGCTCCCCCGGCTGGGGTTGGCTCTGGCAGTGCGGAGAAAGAGGGCGCGGGCGAGGGCAGATGCACTGCTATGCCTGTGCCTCTGCCTGGACAGTCGGAACCCGGCCGCAATGGCGTGCCGGAAAGATGGAGACGGCGGTGCAGATGGCGCGTGTTATTGAATGCGCGGCGGGCAGAGGGGCGAGCGGCGAGTGCGAGTGTGGGCATGAGTGAGGGCTTGGGTGATGTAGTCTCGCTAGTGCGAGAGCTCCATCCCTGCAGGTCCTGTCGTCAGAGGCGTTCTGCCAGCAGCCCGCGGTGGGGTAAGGCGGCCGCTGAGCTCGAGCTGTCCAAAGGCCCGAATGATTTCATGCCCTGCAGCTCCAGCGACCATCGTGAACTTTCCGCATACTTCCATTGCCTCTGCCCTGCCGTCTGCCCCTGTCCCTGCTTTGGGCTGCTCCATCATCTTGGGCTGCCTTCCATTGACTCGGTCCCAGCGCCGACCCCGGCATTGTTCTGGTTCATCTTTACCCACTACACACCGAGTCCTAGCATTGAGCCCTTCTTTGCTCTCCGAGGACCATCACCACAATTCATTGTTGCAGCCATGTTCAGGCCCCACGTCTTTCGCCAGGTTGCCCGTGCCGCCACAGCACAAGCTCCTCGCGCAGCCTTTCGACCGGCAACGCCAGCATTGGCCTCGATTCGACACTTCACATGCACTCCTAGTCGCTTTGACAAGGACACCAACAGCGATGACCCAGTGGACGCGGCGACCACGGCGGGCGAGCCCGGTGAGAGCGGCGACCACGAGGGCCAGTATGCGCGAACCCGCGACGACATTGTCGTAGAATACCCAGAAGAGAAGGACCTGCCGCCCTCGAATCCAGTCGTGGGCCGCGGAGGCGAGCACTCCAAGCGCACGCTGGCCTCCTTCTCCATGGAGGGCAAGGTGGCTGTTGTGACTGGCGGAGCCCGAGGGCTGGGCTTGGTTATGGCGCAGGCACTCGTGACATCGGGAGCCGATGTTGCCATTGTCGACATGAACAGAGACGAGGGCGAGCGCTCGGCAAAGGGGCTCGTTGACGTGTTCAAGAAGGAGAATCCGGGATCCAAGAGGTGCGTCACACCACTTCGCGACTGATTGGCTCGAGCTGACGCACAACACAGGACACCAAAAGTCACTGCGCATTTCTGCGATGTCTCGAGCCCGACATCAGTCAACCAGTCGCTTGCCGAGATCCTGAAGCAGCACGGCAAGGTCGACAACCTCGTCACGTCGGCTGGCTTCACCGAGAACTACGACGCCATCTCGTATCCTTATGACCGCATACAGAAACTCTGGGGCGTCAACGTCGACGGCACGTATCTATACGCCGTGGCTGTGGCGAAGCACCTGATGGAGAGGAAGGCCCCTGGCAGCATCGTCATGATTGGAAGCATGTCCGGTGCCATTGTCAATGTCCCGCAACCCCAGGCTCCATACAATGCTGCAAAGGCAGCAGTCCGGCATCTGGCATCCAGTCTGGCGGTTGAGTGGGCCGGCGCAGGCATCCGCGTCAACTGCATTTCTCCTGGCTACATGCTGACTGCACTGTAAGTACATATTTCGCTGGCGACCCGGGAGACGCTGACAAGATTGCAGGACCAAGAAGATTCTCGACGACAACCCAGACCTCCAGAAGCAGTGGACATCTCTGATCCCCGTGGGCAAGATGGGACGTCCGGAGGATCTGATGGGCGCCGTTACTTTCCTGTCGAGCGACGCCAGCTCCTACGTGACTGTAAGTAATGCCTAGATGGTGACGGTTAGCAAGCGGCTACTAACTCAATGGGACAGGGTGCGGATCTGCGAGTTGACGGCGCCTACACGTGCACGTAGACGGCCGATGCGTAGTTGGCAAGGCTTGTGTATTAGAGTCGACGCGCTCGTGTACACTGCTTTCCCCGGCCGGCTGGGGCTAAAGCAGATACCGGCGCTGATAGACAGATAGCAATTAATACGAGACAGCTCGACCGCCCTGTCCATGCAAGGCGCGCTAGTGATTGGTGCAGTGCTTCGTGAGCTGACTACTACATGCACATGTGTTTCCAGACGGGAGCATCCATCTGCATACGCCAGGGGGGGAGGGCAACCCTGGACAAGCGGCGCAGGCGGGCAAAGCGGCTTAGTCATGGGCACCCCACATTTCGGCTCAGCCTCGTGCGTGGCCGTGCGCTGTGGCAGGTGCAACAACCCATCCCCATCCAGCCCAGTCCAGTCCAAGCCCTGCATAATAAAGCTCCAGGCCGTCTGTAAGCCGACCACCAAGGGCCGCTCCTGTCGCGCAATGAAGCACAAACAGTCCTCTGAGCACCCGCGTATCTGACCTCCTTTCCCCTCGACCTGGGCCGGGCCGAAGCCATGTTCAACATCTCGAATCTGGTGCAGAAGGCCCAACAGTACATTGAACCTACGCTCAGCACCATCGCCTCTCCCACGTCGACGGACCGACGGCCCTCCAAGGCCACCCTCTTCCGCTACCAGTTTCGCCTTCCCGACTCCCAGAACCCGCTCCAGGAGATCACCGCCGAGCTCACGCTGCAACCCCACCATTCCACGAGGGGCACCGGCGACGTCACAGCCGACAAGGACCGCGGCCAGGGCAGCCACTATGTCGGCAAGCTACACCTCAGCGAGCAGTATCTCTGCTTCTCGACCCAGGGCTCCAGCTTCCTCACCACGGCGAGCCTGAGCTCCTCGAGCAGCTTCACGGGCCAGACCCATGGCGCGGGGCCGGCGGGCAATGGTTTCACGCTACCGCTGTGCGCCATACGGCGGGTAGAACGCCTGCACAGCCAGAGCTACATGTTCGCGCTGGCAATCACAACATGGAACGGCACACCCGACACGAAGCTGCAGGCGCCTGCTGGCCAAAAGCTCACCATCCAGCTGGCAGGCTCGCGGCAGGCATGCGAGCGCTTCTGCGATGGCCTCAAGAAGGGCTTGAGGGAGGGTGTCAAGGAGGTGGACAATCTGCGCAAGGTCGTGGCCCAGTGCTACTCGGAATATCTGCTTACCGAAGCCGACGAGAAGAAGCCGGGGCAAGACGGCAAGCCCGCCCGGGAGCATCCAGATACTGGGCTGGGCATGATCTTCAGGTACCCCGGCAACGCGAGGAAGCTCAGAGATGCGACAAAAATACGCTTATGGCGCGAATACCTGAAAGGCAAGTCATATCCAACGCTGGCCCAGTGCACTGCCTAACGCGCGACAGACAACGGCCGGAGCGCAACTCTGATCCGACAGCCTACCTTCCACAAACTGATCCGCGTCGGTCTGCCCAATCGATTACGAGGTGAAATGTGGGAGCTTACATCGGGAGCCTTCTTTTTGCGCCTGCACAATCCGAACCTCTACACCGAGACACTACAAAAGCACTCTGGACGCGAGTCGCTGGCCATAGACGAGATCGAGAAGGACCTTAACAGGAGTTTGCCGGAATACCCCGGCTTCCAGAGCGAAGAGGGTATCGGTAGGCTCCGGAGAGTGTTGACGGCGTACAGCTGGACAAACGAAGAGGTCGGCTACTGCCAGGCGATGAACATTGTAGTCGCAGCATTGTTGATGTATGTGTGCCCCTTGACGTGCAGCCCCTCGATTCTAACAAGCAAAGATACATGTCCGAGTCGCAGGCCTTTTTTCTTCTTTCTGTGCTGTGTGATCGCCTTGTTCCAGGCTACTACTCGCAAACCATGTACGGCACCCTACTGGACCAAAAGGTCTTCGAATCCCTTGTCGAGAAGACTATGCCCATACTATGGGACCATCTCGTCAAGTCCGACGTACAGCTGTCTGTTGTTTCTCTGCCGTGGTTCCTTTCCCTTTATATCAACTCTATGCCCCTGATTTTTGCTTTTCGTGTTCTAGATGTCTTCTTCCTTGAAGGCCCAAAGGTTCTTTTCCAAATTGGCCTGGCTATCCTCCGCATCAACGGAGAAGACTTGTTGGACGCCGCCGACGACGGCTCCTTCATCTCCGTCCTCAAGTCTTACTTCTCGCGCCTTGACGAGTCGGCACATCCAAAGTCGGATAACCCAAAACTACGTGCCGTCACCCGATTCCAGGAACTCATGGTAGTAGCATTCAAGGAGTTTGCGGGCATCACGCAAAACACCATCTCAGAGCAGCGCGCCAAGCACAAAGACGCCGTGTTGGAGAACATTGAGAATTTCGCCAAGCGCACTTCGATAAGAAATCTTGGTCCAGATAGCAAGAAGCTGAGCGTGAACGACTTGGGGTTCTTGTACGATAAGTTCTATGCCGTGCTGTACGAGCGACAACAAAGAGCCGAGATTATGCAGCAGGAAGCTGAGCGCAAAGCAAAAGCTAGCAGAATGAAGGCAACTGAAGTCGTCCAAGGTGTTTCTGGCAATGCTGAAAAGGGTCGCGTGGCCCTCGGGCCCAGTCCTACACAGATGGACTATGATGCGTTTAGGGAGTTTCTCGCTAGTGAGTTGTCCAAGATCTTGTAGTCTTATCTAGTTTCTTCGCTAACAACCTACTCAGGCATTTCCAAATGGGCCATCACGGACTCACCGCGCTCTCCACCAGAGACAAATAATCTATCTGCCCATTCGTACTTTGGCAACAGCATGAGAAAACGACCCCCCATGTCGCCATGGGGCTCGGGGCCTGAGCCAGCAGACCATGAATTCATGCGTCGCTTGTTTCGTCGTTGGGATGTTGATATGACAGACTCACTCTCATTGCAGAATGTCGTCAGCGGCTTTGCGGCCGTCAAAGGGACCAAAGACATCATGTCCAACATTGCATACTTCTTCGAGCTTTACGACGATGACGGTGACGGAAAGGTGGATCGCGAGGGCATTCTGAGAATCTCGGAAGCTCTCTTGTTCTTATCACGCCGAGGTGTCTACGACGCCAGTCCTGCTGCTTCATCGTTAGATGTAAGTACTCCGGCCAACTCAGAGCGTAGCAGCCGCGATGAGCAGTTCCTGAGCAGCGTGTCTGCCTTTATCCGCAACTGCTTCGAATACGCCGACCCCGATCACCCCTCGAACAATGCGGGCCGAGACGTAGAGGAAGTCAAGGAAGAGATGGACAACTTTGCCATTGGTGACGATGAAGATGATCTGATCGACTTTGGTTCCGAGCCAGGCACACCCAAAGTTAAATCTGACAAGGCCGAACAGTCAGATCAAAATCCATTGTCACCAACGCCTTCGAATCTTACCACCGAGTCGGAGCTTGCCGGTCGTAATGAGAAGGCAAAGTCGGCAAACTTGGCGCTAGACCCCAACAAGCCCCTTCACATTACCCTTCCCACTTTCCGCATGGTCATTCTTGCGGATGAAGCTTTACTAAATTTCTTTGAAGTTGGCTTCTCGTCATCGTTCCGCCTCGCCGACGAAACCCTTCCTTCAGCTTCTAGCATCAATAACCTCACAACCTTTGCTAATGCTGGAAGGCATGGTAGCACTTCAGGTGGTTTGGGTGGTGTTGTTGGTGGTGCTGGCGTAGGTGTGGTGCCACCTGGTAAAGGACTCCGAGGCATGCTCGACAACATTGTCAATGATGGAATGCGTGTTGCGTCCGAAGTCAGGAGGAGATATGACGAAGCACAAAAGGAGCTGGACAAGGAAGCACGACATGGGAAAGAAGACGAAGAAGAGGAAGAAGATGCGGACGCAAAGGATCTTGATCTGCTCGATGGTGCGGAGACAGCGGATGTGGGTGCATCAAAGGGCGAGGCTCAGCCAGACCTACTATCGCCAACCACTGCAGAAGACGGCATGAAGACGACGAGGAATCGCTCTGCGAGCGATGCTAGTAGGAAGGTGGTTGAGTTTGAGCGGTAGCAGTTGGATGATGAGCAGCGTCATGGTAGCATTTCAACGGTGTCATTGGAGTTTGGGAGCACCTTGGGGACGAGCTATCTAGAGTAAATTCGATCTTTGCCTGTCTGCTTGCCGTTCTACCAGCCAGTCATTTTACCGCACGTCTCAATATCATATTGGTATTGCGGCATTTTCTCGATGCTGTATTGACGATGGTGCAGCGAAGTCGAGTTTCATGCATCGATAGTCCGTCTACCGTGCGTGTAGTATCCTGGTTCACGGTCGTCCAATCCCGACCCCCGACGTTAGCCGCATAGCGCCTGTAAGCTACCCCGCATGCACGAAGTGTGTGGGCCGCGGCTCAATTCCGAACAACACACACTAAGCATCCGCACCTCCACACACTGACGAATGCAACATGTCTTTTCTCTATTGTTTCTCGTGTCTAATGTTTGTGTCAATTGAAGATGCTCCGGATGCTTGCTGTTCGCGGTGCACGATGCCCTAGGCCTATTCGAATTGCGCGAAGAGGCCTATTGACGCAAGCATACAGCATTGGGCCTACCGAGGCATGCCATTGGGACCCCTAGCTTACGTCTCTGCTTACTGACAGCTGTATAGCCCCAATTGCTCGAGCAGACTGTTCCCCAACACTTTGCGGGTGTTGTGAATCAGTTTGGTGACCGTGATGCGTGAGTGACGAGTGTACCCGACTGGTATTGACGACTTCTTTGGCTAAACCTCAGGTAGGGTGATTTCGCACCATCAGCGCATACGATTGACGTATGATGCTCTGGATCGTGACTCGAACAGGCTTGCAAGAGGGCTGCAGAAGCTGGGTGTGAAGAAGAATGACAGGGTTGCTGTGAGCCTGGGCAATAATGCTGAGTTTGCTACTGTATGTTTCGTGGACGCTTGCGAGATGAGATGACTGACGACTTTCAAGCTTACATATGCACTTTTTAAGTTGGGTGCAATATTGGTACACGGAATCCGAGTCTCCAAAGATGGATTGGAAGCTAATTGACCCCCAGGTACCGCTCAATCCCTCCTTCAACGCGCCACAGGTTTTAAACGCCATCAATCACCTAGACACCGCTCATCTTATAATCGGGGCCGAGACAAACCTTCCCCGCAAAGATCCACGTCCCAACATTTCATTACTCACTCACTTGATACCCAATCTCGCTAGCTCGAAACTCGAATCCGAACTCGTTCCGTCGCTGAAGAATGTCATCGTGGTGGACAATGCCCAGGGAAGGATAAATCTGGATGAGTACAAGAGCTTGGGAAGATATCAAAATGTGCTAGAAGATGGTGGCCAGGGCATAGCACTGCCTGATCAAGGGCTGGATCCTCATGACATTGTGAATATCCAATTTACGTCGGGTACGACGAGCATGCCAAAAGCTGCGTGTTTGAGCCATAGGAGCATTCTCAACAATGGCAATAGCATTGGCGACAGGATGCTACTCACCGAGAAAGATGTCATCTGCTGTCCACCTCCGCTATTTCAGTGAGTTGTTATGTGTATTTGGGACACTTCCATCTCTAACCATCTTCAGCTGCTTTGGATGTATTCTTGGATACATGGCTTCCGCCACGCACGGCAGCGCTATTGTCTTTCCAACCGAGGCATTCAATCCCGTTGTCACTCTAGAAGCCGTCCGTGAACACAAGTGCACGGCTCTCTACGGTGTTCCTACCATGTTCGTGGCGGAGCTCGAACTCTTAGCCAGCGGCGCCGTACCCCACGAAGGCTTTCAGCACCTGCGCACAGGCATTGCAGCTGGATCTTCCATTCCTGCCGAGCTCATGCGCAAACTCCACAAGAATTTGAATCTGACGGAGCTGACCATTTGCTATGGAATGACGGAAACAAGCCCTGTTTCCGCCATGACAACTACCGACGATCCTATTGAAAAGCGCATCAACACTGTAGGGCGCCTCCTACCACACGTCAGCGCCAAGATCGTCCACCCTGCGGATTGGTCAAAGACCCTTGACGTAGGCCAACGTGGTGAATTAGCTGTCTCGGGCTACCTCCTCATGAAAAGTTATTGGGGCGACACAGCACGCACTCAAGAGGTCCTCCAGCCGGATGAGAATGGAGTCATGTGGATGCACACTGGCGATGAAGCGTCCATGGATGAAGAGGGCTACGTCAAAATCACTGGAAGGATCAAGGATCTCATCATCAAGGGTGGAGAGAACATCCACCCCTTGGAGGTTGAAAACTGTCTTTTTGCACATCCAGCGATTAGTGAAGTTAGTGTGGTCGGGCTACCGGATGAGCGATATGGGGAAGTCGTTGCTGCATTCATTGTGCCGCATGCTGGCGACGACGGAAAGGTTACAGTAGAAGAAGTAAAGACATGGGTCAGGCAGAAACTAAGCCACCATCTGGGTAAGTCTAGGCATCCGAGTCACATATGCGATGAAGAGGAAACTGACTGTCGGAACAACTAGTACCAAAATACATCTTCTGGGTAGACACCTACCCAAAAACAGCGAGCGGCAAAATTCAAAAGTTCAAGCTCAAGGAACTAGGAATCGCATTACTTCAAGAAGGCAAGGGGTTGGATTAAGCTCAGAGTCGACTTTCTCAATGAGGAATAACATTCACCCCTTTCTTTCTGACATAATACATGGTGATTAGTATTTGCGCCGAAAGCCCACTAATCACATATCGTCATCCGTCGCTGATCGCAAAGTAATCACAGTTGGTAAACTGCCGAAGCTGCTGTCAGCACGCCTACTTGAGTATTACTTACTGTAGTTAGACACGACTTAGTCACAGCGACCAGTGCAAGAAAAATATAATCTTAACCGGCTGACATATCGGTACCACAACGGCTGATCGTCAGATTTCCCCATGGCAATGGCCGTCTTCTGTTCCGTTCGGCACCCCACTGCTCCAAGTACCGACAGCGAAATGCTTCCTTGGACCTTTCGGGCATCCCACTGCCGCTAACGGGATCATGGTGCGCAGGGTCTACCGATGTTTACTTTCCTACATATTGCAAAGTGGATTCATTTGCCCCTGTGCATGCAAGCGAGAGTGCTAGGGCGCAGATTGCGTATCCTCGGGCGTAACTGTCTGATTTGTGTTCGCGTGGGATTGTGCATGCTAGCGAGCGGATGGAATGCATATGCATGGTGGGTGGACTGTGTGACTTGCTTTGTTTGCCATACATGGGGTAGTCATGGCAGTTTTGCCCAACAGAAATTCATGAGGCGGGAAATTCGGAGGGTATCGTTTCCTTTCCGATTTTCTTTTGCCCACAAGATACTTGAACTGAGTGTGGGGAGAATAGGTTCGTCGTTATTGTTCTTGTTGCCTTCCTCGGAACTGCGAAGACTGAATAGGTAGGTAAGTACTTAATTGCTTTTCTGGGCCTGCAGGCTTGTATGCAATACCGTTCAACATATACGTTACTTACCGTGACTGACGCACTTACCGCCCGCAACCAAGCACAATCAACCGGTGCTTGCTGTCGTCCCCTGAAAAGATCCTCGGGGTTGTTAGACGAGGGGGGTAGTCATCACGAAGACTGTTCTTTGCTGCGATCCAGTGCCACATCATTGCTGCATCAGCAATCTTGTCACGACCACGTATCGCGACCACAAGCTGCTATCAAGCAGCTAGAAAGAAAAGAAACATGGTGAAGCCAACAAACGCGCGCGTGCCTACGCCATCGAACCCCTCGTCTCTGGAACCACGCTACGAGATCCGCAAACTGAAACCCGTGCATCTACCCTGGGCCACAGCCATTCTAGCCTACAGCCATGGCTTCCAGTCTCCCGTCTGGCAAAAGATCTGGCCCGACCGACTGCTCGGCCGCTGGGTCGTTGAAGAGTCGCCTAACCTCGAGTATCTCGTACGCCATCAAATCGATTCCGGCCTCTCCTACGGCGTCTTCGACACGGAATACGAATTCAAAACCCCGCACGGCAAGGCATCTGGCGGCGCGCTGCTCTGGGACGCCACAGAGCCCAGCGTGGAAAAGAGCCAGGGCAGAGCCGCAGAAGCACAGCGTTTATTGCCTCAGATGGACTTCCCTCTCATCAGTATCGTGCTGAGCTACGACGGCTTCAAGCCGCTTGACCCGGACAAAATGAAGCCCTTACTCGCAGCCTGGCCAGAGTTCCCCGTGCTATACGGCGCCCTGGAGAAGCGCGATCCGCGCGATCCTGCCTCGTGGAAACCCACGGCTCCCGGCCAGGTCCTCATGCGCAATGCCACGTCGACGCGGCGCGACTATGAAGGCCGCGGCATCATGACTGCGACGGCGCGGTGGCTGCAGCGCGAGGCGGCTGCCATGGGCTTCAGAGGCATACAGATCGAGGCCATGGCGAATTCTGTGACGCATGTTTGGTCAGAGGGCGTGCAGAACCCGTTTCGAGGTTTTGTTGTCAGCGAGTTTGAGTGCGAGACCCTCGAGGATGAACAGGGGAAGAAGCCGTTTGGTGCGGCGAGCCAGCGCGTTACGAAGTGTTGGGTGGATTTGAAGGCGGAGGAGAGTCCGTGAGAGGAATATCATGATGATTATGAGTGGTGGTAGATTGCGGTTTGAGATATTCGGTTTTTGTGGTGAGCGTTGGTTGTATGTTTGACATGTGATTGTATCTATGTGGTGAATATCTGATTTAGACTGTTCTTGGTTAAGAAACCGGTACCACAGTAGACTGTAGTTTGAACAGCTGTTGCAGTAGTGATAGTTGGGGTAGTAAGCAGCGGTAGTAAGGTTTTGGTAGTGGTAATATGTAAGTAGGCCTGAAGCGTACTAGCGCGTGGTCATGACATGGTATTCCCACACTAAGGGCCCTCCTTGTAGAAGAGTTTAATTCAACTAATAATCACTGTCACCTACTTGAATATTTGAGCACGGTATACACTACCACACCCAATTCCGCTGTGATCTACAGCTAAAGCTGCAGTAACCCTGTATCCTTTTCTACACCTCTAACGTGAGAGTGTTTTAGCCAAGCAAGCTGTAAGACCCGCCTACATCCGGGTTGCTTACGCCACAAGGAATATGTTAGCATTGAGTATTGATTAATGTCATTTCTATTCATATAATGCATGTTGCTTATCTGCGGACTTATACGTAAGAGCCTATGGGCCCTGCCTTGGTCTCGCCACCACGATATCCATATCCACAAATCGCTGCTAAGCCTCACTAGCGATTGCTCTTGTGAATACTAGTACCGTTTGATCTAAATCCATCCCCTGGTCCTTATAGCGTAGCTCTTTCGCACTAATTTCCCCGCAATATATATCTAAACTCCGTATGAATTTTCAAAGTAGTCGTGAGTAAAAGAAGCGTAGAGACAATAAGACTGTCAACATCCGCTAGTCTATTCTATGGTAGTATCTCGGTTGTATTATATACACCCTGTCAGCAAGACCTTTTGAACCATACCACCTCTGTACACGGGTGTGTCTATAAAGTTACATGTTGAATCAAGTTAAAACGGGATGCAGCTTACTGAGATCACTAATCATCAGATCAGCCATTTAAATTCTTGTCTTGTCTCTTTCTTCAACGAATTACTAGCATTATCCTAGAATCTTGCAAAATGAAGGTCTTCACCATTATCATACTTTGCTTGGCTGCAAACGCCATGGCAGCTTGCCGGCGCTTCAAGTCATGCACCTCAGGGGCATGTGTTCACCATTATAGTTTTTTTTGACATACATAACACTAACTACACCATAGCGTTGTGCCCAGGGTGCCGAAGAAGTTTGTCAAGTTCTCAACAGTTCTCGCGGTAGAGACATATGTTCTTTCGGCAACAACGGCTATTGCAAAAGAGGCAGCTGCGTGAGTAGCTATTTTTCTCACTTCATGTTTGGGTGACAACTAGTCTGATTTACATGTAGTTCGAATGCGCACCGAACAGCAATGGCAAAGTACTCTGCAAATATTGCGAAGTCCGTTGCTGCAAAGATTGATTTGGTTCGATATAATATCGAGAGGAGTTTGGAAATATGTTTTCTGTTGCTTAAAGAGACAACTCGTTCAACTCGCTTACGTTGCTGTTTCAAAGATTCAGTGTGTGAGGACAAGGATATCAGTTTCTCCAAAAATAAGCTCAAGGGGATTTTCTCCAATACCTCTATTTGCTGAATTCACTTCTTGTTTTCATTCTCACATAACGATACTGCATGGGTATTTATTCGACTGGGCCGGAAGATGCGGAAAGGCACCAAAATAGTGACGTTGTGATTACCCTTGTAAGCACTAATCTATCCCATGTGGTAGGCTGGCTTGCGTAAATAGCTCACGCGTATAACTCTACAGGAAGTCAATTGGTGCAGTTTCACGCTCTATGGGTCGGGTTAATTTCTAAACTCAATCACGTTGAGGGTCTCTCATAGTATGTTTTGCTTACCATACTGTTCAAGTGTGCAATGCTTCGATCGCCGCTGTTTTCTGAACAACAAAACTTGCTTATATCTAGCATCTACCACTCTTCGTACGGACTATCAATCCTAGAATCAGAGAAAATAACAATGTTGTGTTTTATTTGAGTCCGAAGTCTTTATTCGAAAACATGACAAGTAGTGTGTACCTTACAGTTCTGAGTAGTTTGATAGGCAGCAGAATCACCATTTATAGTGCTTGTGATCTCATCTCGCTTATATGACGCAATTCTTACATGCAGGGGGTTTGTTAGATACTATCATATCCCGGGAGTTGCCGTCACAACGGTCCGATGGAATCAGACTAACCGGCTGCATGGATGCTGACTCTTCCTGTTAGCTACAACGACCACTTCATGGCACTCAAGTTTTTCAGAACTGGGATAACATTCTATGTAACATCTAACAGAGCCTTTTCCTGGATATCCATCACCTTTTCCTATGCAAAATAGACATTCAAAACATCAAAACACGCTAAAACCAAACACTACACCACACTACAGCCTGGCCTCGACCATCGGCGGCACCGTCCCTTGCGACTGGCTCTGCTCCTTCTTCTTCTCCGCCAACGCCTCCTCAAAGACGTGCATAAATCTCCACACATCACCGAAAGTGTTGTACAAAGGCACTGGCGCCACGCGAATGATACCCGGTTTCCTCTTGTCGCAAATAATGCCGTTTTCCACCAGCTTTTCACTTGCCTCGTCAAAGATATCTTCAGGCAGCAAAACGCTCAGCTGTGCGCCGCGGGCAAGCGGATCCGTAGGTGTGATGACTTGGAAGGGGAAGGCGCCGTCCCTGATGTTTCGTGCGGCGATTTGAGAAAGCAGGTGTTCGGCGTAGGCGGTCAGGAGGAGAGACCTTGAGCGCAGGTTGGCCATGGAAGTCTTTTCATAGACTTTTAGTGCGCCGGATAAACAGGTGAGGTCGACCATTGAGGGGTTGGAGCATTGGAAGCCCTGCGCACCAGGTGTAGGGACAAACTTGTTGTCCATTTGGAAACGGGATGACTTGTCGTGGCCGTACCAGCCCTTCAGGCCTGTGTAGTGGTCGTTGTTGCCGTGCTTCTCGTGGATAAAGACACCGGCGATGGCACCGGCTCCAGCATTCATGTACTTGTATGTGCACCAGCATGCAAAGTCGACGTCCCAGTCGTGCAGCTTGAGTTCAACATTGCCGGCGGCGTGTGCGAGGTCCCAGCCGATGGTGATGTTGTGTTTCCGTGCATGAGCAGTAATGGTAGGGATGTCGAGAAGCTGGCCGCTGTAGTACTGGATGCCAGGTAGCAGTATGAGAGCAAGCTCGTCGACGTTTTCGTCAATGAGTTTCAAGATGTTCTTCGTTGTCATGATGTAGCCGTCGTCTGGCTCTACCAGCAACATCGACTTTTTGGGGTCAAGTCCATGCCATTCGATTTGCGACTCAATCGCATACCAGTCGCTGGGGAATGGCCGCCACTCGCACATGATCTTGTGCTTCTTCTCTGTTGGCTTGTAGAAGGTCGCCATCATCAAATGCAGATTGATAGTCAACGTGTTCATCGCGACGATTTCCGAAGGCGATGCACCAACAATACCGGCCATCATTCTTGAACATTCAGCCGACATGTCTTGGTAGGGTTTAAGTGGCGAGTCTTCCAGGACGGTGAAATGTCCACCGACGGCTATGGATCCCCATGTCTTGAGGTATGCGTTCAAGTGTTCGCCGACAGCTTTGGGCTGGAGGCCCAGAGAGTTACCGCAGAAATAAATGGCCTCCTCATCTGCACTTGTAGCTGGGCTTGCGGTTTGTGCATCGTCTTTCAGGGATTTGCGCTTGAGCTGCGCTTTGCTGGGGACAATGAATTCGGGGCGGAGCGTGTGCGGTAATTGGTTGCTTTCGTCGAGGGAGCGTGCAAAGTCGAATGACTCGGCATGTGCAGGCCACTGCGGCTTTTGTCCTTGGCGGAGTTGTTCGATGGCACTGGCGGTGTCCATTTTGATCGTTTGAATTAGCGGTGCGGGATCGGTAGTATCGATGATGTCGAGGGTTGTTTGATTAAATTTTTCTCAAAGATGTTGCGGTTTAAATACTCATGTACCGCGGCTTGCAAATTACGTCTACAGGCAACTCCCGAGAGTACATCCGACGAATATGCGCTAAACCTCCACCTTCTTGTTCGGGACATCCGACGGACTTCCGCCACCCATCCGATCCGACGGAGCTCGCTTCTTCGCTTTCGTGGTACGTATCTGCATACCTCAGGCATGTGGGTCGTTGTGGTTTTTGATGATAAATGGCGTCTGCGCCACTATTTAACATAGCCAATAACTCCAATATCTGGGGAAGCTTAGCTGTCACACATCTGTCACAATGAGTCCTCACAAAATCTCCGTACTCCCATCTTGTTCTGCACTGCCCGAGTATGGCATCTCAAAGAACGGCTTCTTGCCGGCCGAGCCACCGCTATCTCGATTACTACATCCCTACTACCAGCCATGGGAGCAGATTATAGAGAGGCTTCCTGTCCTTATCGAAACGCAGCAGATACGGCAATGGGTCGACGAGCTACCTGTCCTCACATCAGTCCATCTAAGGGGCGAGGCAGAATGGCAAAGAGCTCACTCCATACTAGCTGTGATTGCCCAAGGATATATTTGGACAGGGCCTGAGCCATCAGAGGTGGGCGAGACACCCTACTGTGTTGAATGATCATGGGTACTGACCACAGAAATAGCGGCTACCTCCTGCAGTTACTGTTCCTTTCCTCCAGACTGCCGAGCATCTCGAGGTGCATCCTGTCGCCACTTATGCTGCACTGAATCTCTGGAACTGGACGCCAATCACCGATGACGCCGACTTGACTCAGCCGGAGAACATGGTCGCTCTTCACACGGCTACTGGAAGCGACGACGAATCATGGTTCTTTATAATCTCAAACGCCATGGAGGCTAGGGCTGGTCCACTGATCGAGACCATGCTGGGCGCAATCGGGGCAGTCGAGGAAAACGACACCGAAACCGTTATAAATGCTCTTCGATATTTTGAGAGAAGTTTGGAGAGCATTGGCAGACTTCTGGAACGCATGGATGAACGGTGCAATCCTCAAATGTTCTATCACACCATCCGACCTTTCCTAGCTGGCAGCATGAACATGGCAGCTGCTGGTCTGCCCAACGGTGTATTCTATGACGAAGGCGATGGCAAGGGCACATGGAGCGCATACCGAGGCGGCTCAAACGGACAGTCTTCTCTGCTCCAATTCTTCGATGCAGTGCTTTCCGTGGATCATTCCAGAAGTGGTGGCTTCCATACAGAAATGCGTGGATACATGCCGGGTCCCCACGCCAGGTTCTTGGATGACGTTGAGGCTATCGCAAATATCCGCAGCTATGTGAACAGCAACCAAGAAGAGACTGAACTTCTTTCTGCGTTCAATGCAGCGGTCGCAGCACTCAGTGGCTTCCGTGACAAGCACATTGCTCTTGTTACGAGATACATCATCATACCGAGCCGTATGAAGAAGCCAGAGAATCAGGTTAAGAGACGGGACATCGCTTCTGCTTCCACAAAGATGGTTGCAGAGAAGCCAAGGACACAAGACCTGGTTGGGACGGGAGGCACCACGCTGATTCCGTTTTTACGAACATCACGAGACGAGACCAGCGAAACAAAAGTTGTGCATTGAAGCTTTCAATTCAGACATTAACATATAATCAAATCCTTCGGATCTACGGAAAGAAGCCGCTAACCATTTGTTGGTCATGGATAGGGAAAAGCGGTATATCAGCTACAGATGCACCATCAAGATTGTGGGTGCCCGGCTGAAGGAAGCCTTGGAGACCTTGGTCATTCTCAATGGGCCATGGCAATGCGAAAAAGTCAGCATCGTAGATAGTCCAGTCATTCGCCGCGTGTGCGGGGAGATTTCGCTGAGCGACTTCTGTAGAGGTCAGTAACGCAGGGTCGGGTCGTAGCGGGACTCCATCAACTGTATGAAGGCGAGAACTTTGTTCAGAGGCTAGCAAACCAAACAATTCAGAGGAGGCTTGCTTCCGTTTTCTGCGCAAATGCAGTTCTCTCTTTTTCGCATGTGCAGTCGTGATTTTGAGCAGAGACTGAGCGGCATGGGAATATTGGCGGGCATGGGCATCGACCTCGCCAAAATAGTTCATGCAAACGATGGCATCTTTACAGCTGCCCTCCAAAATGAGACCAGAGTCTCCGAGGATGCCAACGGCTAGAACCAGTGTGGCAGTGAAGAGCCAAGATCTAACAATGGTCAGTGGGTATTTGACCTCAAACTGATCGTAACTTACACTATCAGTGGCATTCTACGAGGCAACTGACCTGCTTCGATCAGTACTTGTAGTGTATCGACCAAAACTGAAGCAGCATCGATGGCGGCATCCGCGTATTTGCGCTTCTCCTGAAGATCGACTTGCGTGCCCCCGCTTTTGAGTGAAGCGCCCATATATTCGTAAAGCTCATATATGAGGAATGGCCGTGTAAGTAGCATGATCCCGTAGTAGTAAGAGCATAGCGTCGAGCAGGCGCCAACTACTGCTTCACGAGAAGGTCGTCTAGTTGTGACATCAGATAGTCTGCCGAGCCATTTGGATGCCCAATTTTTCAATTGCCTTGAGACATAATCGGCAATGCGCAGAGATATGCGCTTGCGAGAGTACACATCCACCACGACACGTTCAATAATCATGAAGATTTGCACGCTCGCGTCGAGTATGTTGACGCCAGAGTCTCCGTGTATATCCTCGGGAACATTGTATTTTACAGTACAGTCAACATCAGACGTAGAGGGGGGCCGACCCAAAGCATTGCTGTATGATTAGATTAGCGTACCATTCTAGAAGAAAATTCGTATATTTTTGAAAGCATGAAACGTAAACCAAGGAGAGATTTTGAATACCTAGAAAATGTCAGTTGGTATCTTATAAACTTATAGAACAAATGTACGAAGACATATATCACCGATACACACCTTATGAGTTGATCAACAACGCGCAGACTTTTCCAAATGCGATCCCGTACTAATTTGATATCCTCGCCGAAAGAAGCATTAACTTCAGTTCTATGAAGTCCAATCGCATAGGAAGCACGCGCAGCCAAAGCTGACGGTTGTTAGCAGGTCGTTCTGCATAGGTTTCCACACAGAGTCGCTCACAGAAGTACAGATACGCCCCGTTTGGCTGCGAAGCACGGAGCATAAAGATTGCTACAAGTGTGAAACCTTGTACGGTAGAGACATTCATGCTGCTACACATAAACTTCAATAGTGTATTGAGTGCATGCTTAAACCACGCTTCTGCTTTGTCCTCGAACTTGTCTTGTGCACCAATGGCTAGGACCAAGTGAAAAACAGCAGCAGCAACATCGTCAGCGCTAGATGCCTGATCATTCGCCCAATGTTTCAGCTCTGGAACCAGGTCTTCTCGTTGGAAAAGCTGCACGAGACCACTGCTAGCGGCGATGTACTCTTCGACTAGCATTTCCACTTGATTTGGATCAATAGGAGGGCACCGTTGTTGGTCCGTCGATGCAGGACGCGTAATCTCAATGATAGGGTCTCTTGCGGCCTGGACGGAAACCCCGGAATCGACTTCGGATGTGATAAGGTGTTTGACCGTTTGCAGAAACGACAGTGGGGCACAATCGCCGATGAAGATGAGCTTGCCTTGAGCATCACGGAGAATGCGCCCCTCTAATGGCACAGCCGTGTCACCCTGTTGGTCATCTCTACTATGCGTAGGCGAGATTGAACGGTCGGTCCCATCCCCATCATGTTGGTAACGTGGTCCTTGAGTATCTTCCAGGATATTGCCCTCTCGATTGTCTGGTGTATGGCCGGCTGAGCGAACACTGTGAAATGAAGGTCCTTCAGTACGAATACGTATAGTTGGGGTATTTCCAATAGAGGCGGCCTGAGTGCGTGCATTCGAGCCTGTGAATGCACACGTAGCTGCGCGATCCTTTCGCACACAGTATGCGCATGGTAATTCGCCGTCGCATTTCACTTTTCTCCTTTTGCATAAATCGCATGCTACTGCGACGCGCTGAACACGGCGCCGTTTTTCGTGAGGGGATGCCACCTGATCTGATAGTGCGGACATGGTAAGTTGTTGGCAGGTGAGCCACGCTCGTGAGTAGTTGGTCACGGAATCTGGTTGTCGGAGGATGGTTGACGGAAGATCCGTTGTTGTTGGAACAGACATCCGACGCGTGCGGCTCACAAGCCGTTTCGGCATTCGGCTGTCGGCGGTGGGCTTGGCACGTGTTCAGCCGATGCGATGCGTCATTATGCAGGGTTCCCCATACATTGACCCAGGACGGATTAGGGTAGTGCACCCTTCACCGGATCGGTTACGAGTTAATTGTTACTCCATAATTACCCACTCATCACCAAAAACAAGCTGGGCCGCGCTACTTGCTGGCCTCCACGTGTCTTGGGAGAACAGCAGTGACATTCTGATGCTTGGAAGATGGAACCCTCTTTGCTATGATACCTGATTCACGGTGCTATGTGAATTTTATGCTGACATCGGGTTTTCTGTAGTCATGAAATTACAGCACAAAGCTACATGACAACACGTCAGTGACACGAGCTGCTCTTCACATTCAGTTCATTACAACTTGATATATTGTTAACATAAAGGATATATAAATACCAGCATAAAATCATTTTATACTGAAATACATATCTTGCCGCTTACATACTATCTTCTAAGAAATTACAGCAGAACTCCTCCTTAGCCAAATCAACTTAACAATTATGTCTTCAACTAATAGCCTAGCCACCATCCCCTTTCCAAATCTCCCTTTCGAAATGCGGGAAATCATATACAGCTTTGCCCTTCACCCAGAACATTCGTTCTCCGACCCTCAGCCCCTGGCCTTTGCAACCAGCGATACCCGAGCCAGTGACAATCCACTCTACCTGCAGTGGCTCAACCCCCTCTGTCGCGTGAACGAAGCCACACGCGTCGACGCGTCACTCTACCTAATCCAAGTAACCACGTTCTACATCCTCTACCCAGAGCAAGTCGTGAAATTCGAAATGTTTCTAAGGAGCCTGGGCGGAAACCGAGGTTTCACAGCAATCTGCCGTCTGGACTTTCAGCTCTTTGGACGCCACCAGCCAAGCGCTGGACTAGGTAACACGTTTATTGAGCTAACAAAACAGTGCCCGAAACTAACGCAGGTGCGAATCAAATTCGAGGTCCGGAATATGGTGGTTGATCCGTGTAACTGGAAAGAAGACTCTATCATGTTGCCGAAGAGTCTGCGGACGTTCGACTCAACTCGGCTGCGAGATCTTGATGAAGTTATCTCTTCATATCGTATGGCGGGGTTTTTTGAGCTGCAGAGCTTGAACAAGCTCATTGTCGAAGTCTGGCCCAGGGTTCGCGTCAGCGATCGTCACTGTATGCAAGATGTGCTGGTGGACTGCACGCCTCTAATGGAGAAGCTGGTGGAGTGGTTGCAGGAAGGTTTTAGAACCAGGGGAAAGAATGTAGATGTCAGTCTAGTTGAGGCGAGTAGCTCGGGTTTGAGGTGGACTAGACGGGACTGATGGATGGTGGAGTAGGTGGAGTCAGAGTAGCCAGAGTAGTCAGAGTAGTCAGAGTAGTCAGAGTAGCCAGAGTAGCCAGAGTAGCCAGAGTAGCCAGAGTAGTGAGAGCAGAACATACCCCTTTGTCAAATTCTTATCATTGTAACAAGTGTATGATTAGCCTTCTTATTTAGCCCCTAATGCTTGAAGCAAATCGTCGCCACTGTTGAGAAACGTCCCTTTTTCAAATCATAACGTTCATCCATTCGTAACTGAACAGCCGCCATAACGTGGAAAAATCGATACTTCAACTTGAAAGCACGAAGCAGTCAGCATACCAATTGAAATACTACAATTATAGTAGACTTACATACTGTGGCTACTTCTAAACCCATAACACACGGTCTATGTGAGAAAAACCTTTCCATCGATAACTTCACGCAAAATTTAGAAAGACTCGTCTTTTTGACAAAATAAAGCGATATGCCCTCTAGAGCCATCACGGCACATTGAGTACAACCACAACCTATCAAGCGCCTATACCTAGTCCTCGGACTTGAACAGTATAGCTCAAGAGAAATATTCAGCCGCAAGGTTATGAGTAGCAAGCAATTCATTCGAGATCGCTACCCCTGTCAGTACCGCATCAGCAAGCGGCCCCATTAGTACAATCACCCATGTTGCCGAAATAACTCCAAGACTCTTCAATACACCGTAATATTGATCAGATAATATCTTCATGTAAGTTTTGACTGCATTTGTCTGTGCAGAGTGCTGTATCTCTCCAATTTGTCTAAGTCGAATTTTCTTGCACTGTACCTTATCTAGAGATAATGCTTAGAAATTGCCTGGAAACTACATGCTCTGATCTTTTCTACAGTACAGTTACCGCCCATTGGTGAACGTTTAATAGCCAATAGTTCATTATAGCCGGTGCGGGGTAGGGCTGATACGGATATGTAAGTAGGCCAACATTCCCACCCACAGCAATGCGAGCAGATGGCACAACCTCGACAGCTTTGAGATTCTGTAGGATATCCACCAAGATTTGTAGGCAGCAGCCCACTCTTTCTTTTTGTTTTTTCTCATTCTGAAAATTTCAAAATTCAATATCAATAACTTCGCCATTCTATAGTCCGTTGATTCGCTACCACCACATACTAACACCGACCCTCAAGTCTTACCCAAATCACTTGTCAGCCAGTTTTCTATTTAAACAGATACATCGTGTAGACTGTTAGCAACAAAACACTCTATTCTCAGCGTGGGTGTGTATATCCTATCAGTCAAATATGATTCCTAGGCTGTATGAAACTATCGCTCTACCGATGTCGCTGACTGGAGTTTCTTCTAGTTGTAATCGAGAACCATTTACTCCCCATTTCGCTCGCACGCAGCCACGAGTTGATAGCTGTGTTTGTAAGAACAGTGAATATGGCTCCAGCAGCTCAAACACTGTTTATGTCTGAAGAGGGGCTTGAGCGATTAAAAGAAGCTGAACCATACAGACAGAAGGCATACCAAGATGGGAAGAATGGTATGTCGATCGGTCATGGTGTGAACAATAAACATCACCCTGAGATATTTGGACGACACGGCACATCGGTTACGAGGGAACAAGCACACCAGCAGTTAGTGGACGTGAATCGCCAACATGCTCGAGATCTTAGGAAGAGACTCGGCCCCGAAACATGGGATGGCTTGAAACAAGGACAGAGAGACGGCCTTCTCAAAGCGGCATATAACGCTGGACCGAGAACAGTTGCTGAGGCTACTAGGGAACACCTACAGAAAAAGGACTGGAATGGGGTTGCGGAAAAGCTAGGGAACATGGCGCCTTTTGGGTTCATTGGGGCTCAAAAGGTCGATTTGAGTTCACGTCGTAAGACGGACGCCGATTATTTTCTGGAGAACAGCCCTACAGAGGACTCAACGCATCAGGATTCCGCAAGTGCTAACCTCAGTGGTGCTGCTATTGCCGGTGCTGCTGTTGGCACAGTTGTTGGTGTACCTGTATCGGTTACCACTGGTGGCGTTACATTTTCACTTGTTTCAGGGGCGTCCCTGTCAACAGGCGTGGTGAATGTTGGCATCGCCGTATCTTTTTCCAATCCCATCACAGCAATTTGCTGTGTCGGGAGATTTATGGTCTTTGGCACAGTAGCTGGATGCGCTCTTGCTTCTATTTGAAAGAAGGACGAGTAGGGGAAGGAACGGTCATAGTAACTCATGTTAGAAATGGATATGGACACGTGATCACCAATAACATCCGATTAGGCGTAGCGCGCTGCTGTTAACTATCTGGCTTTACTACGTATAGCAAGATTATGCCTTATGGCGCTCTAAGCTAGCTAGGAAATCTTACTTTATATGGAGAAACTCTTAATTTTTTTTCTCCTAAAAAGGTGCTCTACCTACAAAGCACTTACTATAGTGGCGAACATATAGTTAAACTTCTGTTCTATACCTCTAAAAGCTTTAGATAAGTCAAAGATTGTGATTGAGCAGGGGGGAATAGTGAAGGCGCGATTTATTACTGGAAACGAAAGCTCTTTGGGGTAAGGCGCAACATTGGTAATTAGTATGACGAATTCACTGGTGTATATTAAACTAACTGGTTTAGGTGTGAATGATATGCCTATCGATTGAAAAATATTCTGCTATATTTGAGATACTTGAGAAGAAAATGTTGTTTTGCTACAGCGGTTGTTCTGTTACGCGTGGATGAATGTTGGTTTAGTTAATGAAATAGTGGGTTTATGATAAATTAGCATTATTAGCATATTTGGAGTCTAATTATGAGGCTTCTCTTCTAATTTATGACTTGAAATCTATAACAAGTACTCTACTGCTCTATAGCTAATGAGATTCCCGTTCTAATGTCTCTAGATTCTATGCTGCAGAAGCTACAAGTTTGGTAGATTATAAACCCTCTATGCTCCTCTTCTGGACCTACGTGTAGAATGCAGCAACTCGTTGTGTAATTCTTCTAAATTCACAATGTATGGTATGCCTGCTCATTATGTACAAGCTGCTGGGTATCGTAACTCACTGCTATCTTCTATTGTGTATGTACTGTGCCGCATTATGAAACTCAGCTGGCCTACGTTAAAATCTCTCACAAAAATTGCAGAATACATTTTCTTAGTCAGACATCTCCAGCTTCTTGACTTGGAATCCCTATATCACTTTAATTATTCCTCGAAATTTACATATCACAGTCATGGGTGAGTTCATCAAATACCAGACATTGCCAGGGTTTGTACATCACTTTCCTGATGGTTCTACTACTGATTTGCCAAAAGATACCTACGCAGATACCATGGCCTTTGTTCAAGATCGGGTTCAAAAGCACCCTATCGAACACGAAGTCGTCGACAATAGTATTCTCACTGCCTTCCAGGAGGCCAAATCTGCGGTAGAGGGTCATGTGTCATACACAAACAAGGTAGTTTCATATCACCGATCGTTCCCGAAATTCTGCGAACTACCCGCAGAGATTCGAGAGATGGTGATGCATGAGTATCTTCTTTCGGAGCGCGACGCTGGTCGCTTGCGTCAGAATCGTCACCGTTGCAGTGTGTACAGCGATTCTTGCACGTGGAACTATCCAGAGGCATTCGTCGCCTGTGAAGCCATCCCCAAGCCTGAAATTGGCCGATTCTCGGAGGGCTGGCTCCCGAACCTTGGTGAGCCGCCAGATGAATGAAGAGGTCCTCAACCTCATGCTTCAACGTACTGAGCGCTTCATCTTGCCGCGTAATTTTGGGGATTCCGATGCCAATAACGCGACGTGGTTCCACAAGTTTCTTGCAATTGTACCTGGCGCTAGAGGTCTGAATGCGGTGAAATACCTCGACTTCCCAGACATGTATTTGCTCAAATGCGTTCCTAGAGCACGCGCTCTTAACAACCCGAGCATTGATTTGGCAGTCGCTTGCACCAATCTACGCAAACTCGAGATGGGCTTCAGTGCCGAGAAGCTGACTGTGTTAGGTACTGTGAGGAATAACACCCGTCGTGCACGTCTTACAGCAATCATTGCCGAATATAAGCTGGACAGGGTATTGGAATGTGCTAACTTGGAAGCAGTGTACATGTACAAACTACCATCCGGTGATGGTATATTGGAGTATCCAGAAGTTCTGCAAGACCTAGGTAAGTGGACGATGAAGCGCTTTCTCGTCCAGCGCTACCCAGAAAAGGGGATCCAGGTAGAGCTAGCATCCGGGTGCAGTATCTGGAAGAAGCCGAATTGTGGGTTGATGATTACCCTAGACGCTGACGACATGAAGCAAGTCGAGAAGCGCATTGAATTAAGGAAGGCATGTGCTAGTGTGTCCGCCCTGGATAGATCGTCGCTGATCATCTAGACAGGATCATCAGATATATTAAAAGCAATCTATATGTTGAAATCGGGTGTTGAAGCCATATGTTTCGGATGTATGTTACCAAGTTCATGCTATTAGCCACGAGTCGGGGAATTGCTGGATTCTATTCCTGCAGCCCATAGACTTGATTCAGACTCGTATTGAAGCCGGCATCAATGTTTCGATGTATAAAAAGCAACATCTGTTGGCAGCCCTAGCCCAGAACACGTGACATGACGTGATGCTGCATAAAAATGTGTCGCAGTCGCGTCGCGGTGGTTTAAGCTCCGGGGGCCTTTGTCCAATCAGCGGGCGCGTGATACCGCTGACAACGACGTCAACAGCATCACCCCTGCAAATCCGGGGTAGCTCTAGAGGCTGCCATAGCAGCTGCATGACCGACCAAGACTTGGCTGATGGAACCTTATACGCCCCCCCTCTCTGGCACTCCACTCCACTCACCTCTCTTTCTCTTTCCCGAACCAGCCTGAACCGCTGAAACTATCCACTCGAAGAAGAAGAAGCCTCAGCATAGCTCTGTCTTTCAATATGTCGTGCCCAGTAATCGGAACCACAAACGATGTCCTCCCACCAAACCACCCCTCGGTCGACCTCTCCAAGGACGGCCAAACCGTATGTACCCTCACAAAATCTGCTCTAGAGAAATCGCCCACATGCTAACACCAACATGCAGTGCCCCGTTGTAGGCGCAAAGACCGACCACCACCACAACTTGCACGCGCACCCACCTGTCCCTACCAACGAGCGCACCGCAACCGAGTGTCCTGCGCTCAAAAACACCGTCAAGGAACCTCGCGCCCAGGAGATGGACGACGGCCTTTGTCCTGTTGTTGGCACTGCGACAACCGTGCTGCCACCAGACCACCCGGATATGCTGAAGGCGAGCGAGGGCGACGTGTGCCCTGTTACCAAGGCTACAGTTGGCCACCACAAGGACAAAGTAGCTACGCACCCAAATCTGCACGGTGCGGCTGACGGTGCCGTGTGTCCTGGTAGGTTTTCACGCTCGAGTCCAGAAACACGTTTTTAGCCATCTAAACTAACTCTGGTGTTTAGTTACGGGGCAGAAGCAGCTTGCGTAGATACCTGGCTGAGACTTGCACATCTTTTTTTTTTCCATTTCCAACATGGTCGTTTGAATACAAGATATGAAACAGATATTGTTGTACAAATTATGATTTTGTTTCCGCTTGTGTTTTCGTGCACGTTTTGCACAAGTTGGGTGTATCTGCAATAAGCTTGATTGTGTCTCACCGCCCTGACTGTTGTACTGTCACATGTATTGATGTACCATTTAGGACCCACTCGAGCAACGTTTAGCACACATGAAAACTGACTAAAAAAATTACAGATGAACTCATCTGCTTCACTGGACGTTCATCGACTCTCCAGCTACACACGCGGTTTACATAATCAAGTTCACCTCAACCGCTGCATGCACCACCAGCTTCACTAAGACTTCTCCAATAACCACTTGACCCCCACGAGCGTATCCTGGACGAACTTTGTGCTCTTTTCCAATTCGGGCCAATTTGTCCAAAACATATGCCCGTACCCAGAATAAAGTTCAAACCGCGTAAGCACCCCGCTTTTCCTCAACTTCCAATCATACAGGACTGCCTCGTCCCTGAGGGGATCGAGGCCCACAACCTGGAAGAACGCATTTGCAACGCCCTTGTGGCCGTCGGGATGGTTGAACGGGTCCCAGAGTGGGGATTTGGGATCGGGCCCGTAGACGGCTTCAAGCATGCCTGGCTTGAGCTCTTTGATGATAGGGTCGTTGGAGTTGCCCCTGCGCGACTGATATAGATGGGCAAGGTGCGGAGGCACGTTTTCTTCGGGCATGATGACGGGAACGGAGAGATACTGGCCTGTTATGGGTGGCTCGAGGCCGCGATCACGCGACATTACGGCCAGCACGGCTGCTATACCGCCTCCTGCTGATGAGCCGCCGACGATGAGTCCACGCGATGGCGTCGCACCGAGCATATCACTGTTCTTGATGCTCCACACCAGAGCGTCCCAGCAGTCGTTTATGCCAACGGGGAATCTGTGCTCAGGAGCGAGTCTAATACTGTTAGCCCACGTGATGATATTGAAAGAACCCGTAAAATGCATCTAGCAACATACCTATACTCGACATTCACACAAACTGCACTGAGGTCTCTGGCAAACATCCTGCAGTTCTGATCTTCGTCGGTCAAATCACCCACACACCACCCGCCTTCGTGGTACATCATAATCAGCGGGCTGCCTCCCTCGGGCGCCCCGGAAACCGGCTGGTACACTTTGACTCGAATCGTCGCGCCATCCTGCGTCGGCACCTCGTGCATCGTCTCCTTGACATGCTCGGGAATTGGTCCCGGAATGGGATACAAGTGGCGGAGGCGCTCGAGATGAGCAGCGCGGGTCGCGCGAGCTTCGTGGATATCGGAGCCTTTTATTTCAAAAGGGCGGCTTTCGAATGCCTTTGAAAAAAAAAATGAAAAAAAAATCAATTTGGCGTTCTTAGTATGTTTGGTTGCGTGGAGGTTTGAGGGAAACGGAAATGAGCAGAAAAAGGATGGTGAAATGGATGCATGGATGCGTGGATTCAGAATGGAAACATGTTATTCACGGCTAGACGCAATGAAAACCACCACTACTAATAGTAGTAGTCGTATAGGAGGAGCATGATCCATACCTTTCTGTACTCTGGAGCGACTTCGCCTGATTTGAGGACTTCGTCGCGGGTGAGATGGGCCATGGTCACAGATAGTGGCAATGATGATGATGATAATGTGTTGTTGAACAAAGAAGATTACGAGGAATTAGAAACGGATAGTTGGTGACCATTGTACCCCTCATTTAACACAAGTATTAGCCAAGCTGGGGATTATGTCATCCCAAGGTTGTGTCACACGATTGTTGTTAGGCGGCATTCATTGCAATGCTGCATTGGGGTATCGCGGAGAAAACTCAGAGTTAGAGTGCTAGTATTGTAGTATTACGAGTAGCCTAGGTGCTTAGCTTGCGTCTTTTGCGCTACTAGGTATAGCGCTAGTTTGCCTTGTTCTCGATCGCAACCGTTCGACCAAGTTCAATGCAGATCCTTTTTAGCTCTGATTACTTGTTAGGAATAGAGTGGTAGGTGTGGAGTGCCCAAGACAAAAAAGACCAATCTCTAACCTCTCCCGCTAGAGACTGACATACTGCAACATGGAGGAACGAGAAAAATGTGCAACTAAAAGACTGACAAGACAGTCGCGTCAAGGGTATCAGGCACCAAGCGTCAACGTGAAAGATTGTATTGTAGACCGAATTACACAGTGGGTATAGAGCCATGCTGATGACGATCGTGGACCATAGAAAAAGCCTCTGTCACTGTTGACGATGCTGCCCAAGACGCCAGTGAAACAGAACTACATGAGGAAGATCAAGCGTGCATGGCAAATGCAATCAGGCACGGGAGCACGGGTCCTTGGCCACAGGCTCATGAGCTTCGTGGGCTGTTGGAGGGGGCCTTGTTTACAAGACTTGAGAAGAAGGACCGGAGCTTCTCGTTGTCATTGATGTTGGCGTCCTGTGTTTTGGGTGGTGGTGTTTCGGGGTCATCCGATCGGTTGGCCTGGCGGTCCTGGAAGATGTCAGTATTGATTTAGAGGTTATATCGCAAGATCCAGGCAGCCTCACCTGCAGTCGCTTGACCATCTCATCAGCGTTGACTTGAATACCACCCATGTTGAACTGAACAGGACCAATATGTTCCTCAACCACTCCTGATGCATCGTCGGTCCATGCCCGAGACGCGGGCTCTTGGTCTTTGCGTGCAGCTTTGAGGGCAGCCTCGTTCTCATCTTCTCGGCGGAGATTCTCCAGCACATTGACCTGCTCAGCAAGGAATGCCTGTGGGTCTTTGCTCGAGACCTCGAGGCCATTGGTTTGTTTTGATAGGCTCGATAGAGCGTAGTCGGACTCTGGGTTGCGGATCGTCTCCTCGTAGATTGAAGTCGCGGTGGGGCCTTGGTTCTCTTCTTCGACGACTGGCGCTGGCGTGGGCTCGCCTTCTGTCTGCTCTTCTCCTTCGGCAGGTGCCGGTGCTTGGCCATTGGTTGGGCGCATGTGCTGGGGAATATCAATGTCGACGCTCCATTTTTCGCTGATGCCCTCAACATCGAACCCCTCGCGTAAGATGCGGATCTTTGCCCACGAGTCCCAATTGGGAGGGACCAGCACTCGATCTCGGTCTGTCACGTTGTGCCTCAGCTGCTCCTGCTTCAGCAGCGACTTGATTCCCAGAGTCGAGTGGATCAGTGTTTGTAATGAGCCCGGCGCGGTGGGCATCGTGTAGACCAGGCTCGATCCGTGCTTGAGGAGGATAGTCCGCATGTACTGGAGGATAAAGTCAAACTCCTCCTCTTTCCACCCCCGCTCTTTTTCAAGCGTCTCGATCTTGTCGGCGTTCTGGCACACAACGCACAGCGGGATCCCGAGCGGCTCGTCCCACTCGCCGGGGCCGAGCGGAACCTTGACATTCTCCAGGCTGCTTCCCTCGGCGGCCAGGGTGCGGCCTTTGTCCTGGAGCGTCTGGATGTTCTCTTCCAGGACGACCTTGGAGGCGTCGTCGAGCGAGACAATCAGCGATCGCAGGACGCGTATCCAGTCGCGGAGCTGCCGTATCCATAGCCACGGGTGGTTCCAGTCGAGCAGTATGACAATCAGCATGTGGGGGAGTGTGCGAGGGTTCAGGTAGGGGCGGATGAGGGGCGTGAAGGAGGGCGAGGGGTTCGCCAGCAGATAGAGCGACAGGCGGGCGAGCGTGTCTGGGGGGTGGTGTTAGCAAGGGCACAGTGGCGGCGCACATCAGCAGCACGCACCCTCGTGATCCGTGTCGAGGACGTCCTGGTACGTGTAGCCCAGGGCGAACTGGTTGGCAATGGGCGGGCGGCGGCCGCGGTCGGGCGGGCGGCGGTTGTTTGCAGAGTCTGTCGAGACGGATTCGAGAAAGTCGCGCTGCGTCTCTGGAGTTCCGCCTGGCGCCTGTGCATCAGCATGGTCCCCTATACGTATACCGCCTGCTTTGGGGGCTCACCCAGCACGAGCAGGCTCTTCTCGGGCAGCCGCTTGCCGCTCGAGATGTTGTCGAGCATGGGCTTCCATATCTGCTCGCGGTCGGCGTCTCCCCTGCTGCCCGGGCGGTCATGGCTGCCGGCGGTGCGCGTGGGGAAGTTGGCGGTGCGGCGCGCGCTGGCCATTGCGGAGAGGCAGCCGGCTTTGTGGTGGCGTGCGACAGCGGTGCGGGGCCTTGGCGGCGATGGGCCGGGCAGGCAATGTGTGGCAGAAGCAGGAATGTCGAGGGGGGAGGTTCGGAATGCGGAATGCGGCGCCTGTCGTCTGGCTCTGGCGGGGTTGTGGTGTCGTTGTTTGCACACGCACAGGCGGCCATGTGTTCGTGGGTACCTTTTCTGCAGGGATGCTGCTCCTGGCCAAGCCCCGAGCTTGTGCCTGTGCCTGTGCCTGCAAAAGTTCCGCCCTGCGCCCGCCCAGCTATGCTTCTTCCTCTTCCTCTTCTTCTGGACGCGCCCCCAGCATGAACTCGATCCGCGCCATCCAGGAGCTGAACAAGCGCGAGCTCGAGGCCGCCATCACCCCAGAGGGCTCGTGGCACACCGACTACCGCGACACGGCCTTTGTCTACATTGGCGGCCTGCCCTTTGAGCTGTCCGAGGGTGACATCATCACCATATTCTCCCAGTATGGCGAGCCCGTGTGGATCAAGCTCGCCCGCGACAAGGAAACAGGCAAGTCGCGCGGCTTTGCGTGGATCAAGTACGAGGACCAGCGGAGCTGCGACCTGGCCGTCGACAACCTGGGCGGCGCCAACATCATGGACCGCACCATCAGAGTCGACCACGCGCGGTACAAGCCCAAGGACGACGAGGACATGAGGGACAATACCATGGGCGAGCTCGACCTCGACCCGGCCAACGAGTCGGACGGCGGCAGGCGCAAGCGACGAAAGACAGAGAGCGAGTCCGACTCCGACGAAGACCGCCCATTGCTGCCCGAGGAGATTGAACTGGCCCGCCTCATGGACAAGCTGGATGAAGACGATCCCATGCGCGACTCGATGATCAAGCGGCAGCAGGAAAAGGCGGACGAGGCAGTCAAGAAGTTCAAGAAGCAGAAGCGCAAGGAGAAAGAGAGGGCACGGCGAAAGGACAGACATGGTCGGAGAGACAGGTCAAAAGACCGTGATAGGGAGAGGAGGCGTATCAAGGAAGACGGAGAGGACGACGACCGCGACAGGCGGTCGCGGCGGAGGGAACATCGAAGCAAGAGTCGGGACAGGGGCCGAGACGACTCTGAAGACAGACATCGCAAACGCCGGGCAGAACGCGCCCGAGACCGGAGTGAAGATTCCAGAGACCGACACGATAGACACAGAAAGCGCGAGAGACGACGCTCGGCGTCTGGCGAGAGAGAGAGAGACACTCGCGTGTAAAGGGTTCACGATCGCCTCTGCCATATCGAGCTCGTTCTCCTTGATGTTCGGTCCAAGTTCTTGCAACACTTGATACATGAATATTTCGTCCTCAACCACATTTCCATTCGGGTCTGGTCTTGAAGTCCTCGATACTTCCACTGTCTTCCATGGCTATCAGCGGCATATACTCAATTCTTCTTGCCGCCATGTATAGCTACTCATGTGGCACCTCAATGGCATATGCACCTGCAACACTGATGAAGGAGACCAAGCTTCTCCGCCAGTGTATGCGTGCGAGTTGGAGAGAATACCCGGGGATAAAGAGAAGAAAGCAGGGATCGCGTTATGCAAAGAGGAGGAGACATGTATGAACAGCATGGAAATTTAAGAGGAAAGGCGACATAGCGAGATCAACTGTATTGCAGTGCCCTTGATGGCAATATCAGCGAATGTAGGCAGGACAAGGCGAGCCTAGCCGAGCTGCAAATAAACAATAATCTACTTTGAACAACCACTTGGTCTCTCAGCATTCGCATGATAGGATAATGAAGTACGAATCTTGGATTCACAAACCGCCATTATTGTTCCTGCGCCTAAAACACCCTGCACCGCAAATGCCTCGAAGCATTCAGCCTGAGAAATCCAATTGCGTTCATACACCACGAATCACCTATTCCTCATCTTCGTCATCCTCTTCGCCTCCTTCTTCCCCACCCTGCTCCTTACTCTTCTCCTCCACGTCCCCCTTCGCACCAGCATCGCCCTCGTAGTCCGGCCTTACAACCCGGATATCCTTCTTCGCCAGCGCCGCCTCGATAAGCGGAGCAGCAGCAAGCAGAGCATTGTATTGCTCGACCGTAAGCGAGATACCCTGTATGAATTCCATAATCAACCACCTACTTCACAGCCGTAATACACGAGGGAGCACACAAATCTTACCTTTTTCCCCGGCTTCGTCTCGCTGCCATCGGTAAAGTAGTACTCGCGGATACTCACAAGCGTGTTCTTGTTGAACTCGCTGACCGTCACGCGTCGCTTACCGCTGCTGTTCAACTGTTTCCCCGTTACAACATCTATTAGCATTTCTCTCTCTCTCTCTCTCTCTCTCTCTGTTTGTACTAGGACGTGGGAAGTGGAAGGAAAAGCGGAATACAAACATACGCTCACATACACATCCCCATTCTCATCTGTCTTGAGCTCCGGAACCACAGGCACCGCATCATCGTCGTTGTCGGCATCCTCGCCTTTGGCCTTTTTGGTCACGCGCGCCGCGCTGTCGTCGTCGCCATCAGGCGACGTGCGTTTCTTGGCGAAACTTTTTTTGCTAAAAGTACTGCTGCCGCCGCGCGCGCCGCCTCGCTTGAAGCCTGGTGCCATTGCTGTACGATAGAGGGAAAGTGGGGGTTGTGGATTTGGGCGCGGGGGTGTGAAAAGGCGCTTGTTTGATGCGAGGCCCGATGACGCAGGGCTGGCCTTGTCGCGCTAAGGAAAACGCGCTAGAGACGCGATCACATGATCGGACCTGCAGAGCGTTGCGAGCTCAGCTGCACACGTGTTTGGGAGTAACGATTTCACTGAACAATGGACGGTGGAGATGAAGCGAGTGTGGTGTTTCTATATGTGTATTTTGTTTTTTTTTTGTTTGAAGTGTTCGCGATTTTTACATTGCGTGTGCGACTTCGTCTCCCTTGACTGAGCTGTGGGCTACGCTCCACGGCCTCACGGGTCGGGCTACCTGTGCTGGTTCGGGCTTCTGCAGATTCAACGACACAGTGCTGCCATAGTCGGATCCGAAAGACATTCTGGCCTTTTGGCTCTCAATCGAGTCAACCCGTTGTACTCCCACGTCCTTGCCCACCGACTCTCTCTCCTGCGCACGGGTCCATGCTGCCGCGTCCGCCTTGTCCAGAGTCAAACCTACTTCCGGGTCATACACGCTTGCGCCATGGTAGTCGTCCGAGTATCCATGGTTCATGCCCAGTCCAGATGCCGTGGGTTCGAAAGAGCAGCTTCGGTTGCTGTCTTGAGCATGGCTGCGCGCCTTGACGATTCCCATGATGAAGGTGATCAGATACATCAACGACGCGGTAGCAGCCGCGATAACGTAGCCCAGGCTGTATTTCACCAGCATGACGAACCGCCCGAGTTCCGGAGAGTCACCCGTGTTAAGAGCTACCTTGGTGAACGAGTTCAACCTCACAGCAAACCAGAGCGAGAGACCGAATGCCGCTCCCATACCGCACATGCACAGGAATTCCAGGGGAATGAGAACCGCAGAGGGCACACGCATACGAAGCAGAATCGTGGCCATGACCAGGATAATACCCAGGAAAGAAGCAGAGGCAGTCTGTATTCTGTCAGTAGGGTCACACAACAAAAAAGATAAACTCGACTTACCGAGCCAATAGCGGCTAGGATCTTGACATTCCCACCGAGAATCGCCTTGAAAAAGTCTCTCCAGAGTGCCATGGCTTCGGGCTGCGACTGAATAGCCGCGAAGATGGTGCTCTGACGCTGTCGGGCATCTACAATAATGAGCCTGGCTATATCGTCTTGTCAGAAAACCAAGCCTGTGTCTGGAAACCCATCTCTATGCTTACACCAGACACCCAGTCCAGTTAATCCTAGTGCGATCAAAGGGGCCAGGACCCTAAGAACCAGAAGTATCGTTTTACCGGAGCCCATTATTGTATTAGGAGAGGTGGGTTTGACTGAAAGGAAAAGGAGAGTGTACAGAGAGGGTGCCCAGTCCAGCTGGCAGCGGCTTCCAGAGCGCTAGGCGAGAGAACGGGAGGTATAGCGAGTGAGTGGTAAAGAACGGGTAGAAAGAAAAACGGTCCAGGGCTGACAGCGAGGGCGAAATGATTATAGAGATAAAAATTTCATGATGCAGTCGCTCTCGGACCCTTCTGAGCCGAATGACGGGTCGAGCTGCCTTGCGCAGCGCCGGCGGGGTTGAAACATCGCTCGTGGCTGGATGTACCTGAGGCTGCAGATGGCCCTGATCCATGGCGGCCGTTATCCGTGCACCAAGCTTTTTCCGTGGGTTCCTCTGGTAACTGGTGGGCCTATAAGAAAGTAGCGCGGTGAGTTTGGCCGAAGCATTGATGGTCGCTTTTCTTGTTCTTGACCTGGTGGTTCTTGGCCTCATCAGTCGAACAGCAGCCACAGCACGACGCGCGATCAGTGCATCCAGCATTTCCCAACCGGACAGGACGGTCCGCTGCTTGACAGACGCCATGGCAGCCGTGTTATGCAGTCGTGATCTTGACGTTGAAGAAGCAGGGAGTAGCTGGGGAACTCGCTTCTCCACATGATCGCCCCTGAGACAAACCTGAGGCAGCAAGATTCGTCGCGTTACAGGGCTGAAACACGCACACGCGTGACTCTGGACAGCTGTCGGTGTATGTCGTCCATATTTGTCGCATTGCAGTGTTGATGCTGCAAAATTGACATGCGCGTGGGACTACAATGCCATGACATGACGTAGGCCTACTGCGTGCTAAGCCTAGTTTATGCTATATGCATGCTGCGGCACAGTAAGCCAAGGTAGCGAAGAAAGTGCAGTATATTAAAGATGCAAGCACTCGTAATGGCCTAGGTGTCGAGTACACTGCATCGGACATGGAGCTGATATCGAAGGAGGAATGTCGGATTGCTGCCACCGTCTCAGCCGTTCAGACAAGTGTCACCGCCGTGGCAGCCGAGCGATCTAGATGTAACCCGTCATCGTTAGCGCGCAGTTCAGCAGGAATCATGAGCCATCATGGACCCTTTCTCACCACCATGTATTGGACATGTATGTATTCGTGGAACGACAAGGACCAGGGGCCAAGGCTGGGGGGGCTGGGTTGATGCCGAAGACCATGTGGTCCGAATGGAGCTAGTCTCGGCAGCCCTTCTCTCCGCCTCTCTCCCCAAACACGTCCCATGAATCCAGCTCGCATCTCATGGCCGATAGTTATCAGGCGTTGGTGCCGCCCGCCTGGCAAAGGGGTGTCGCAGCGAGTGGCATCACAGGTTCCAGCTTCTGAAATATCTCGTTCGCCAACCAGTTCACCATGCGCACCTCCATGACGGATCCCGGACTCCCGCCGCCATCGTCTTCTGTCAGTGATCAGAGAGGCTCTGCACGCCGTGTCATGCCAAAGGGCCTATGAGAGCCTGGGCAAGACGCTAGAGTGCGTCAGTTGTTCTCTAGGCATCTCCAACCAAGAGCCCCTGCAGTCGACACGTCTCGGATTGCGCTATGAACGTCTTTCCATCGGGCCTACACTGGCTGACGCCATTCTTCGTCAACAACATGCGACCAAGAGTGGAACTCGTTGCGCCAAATGGACAACACTCGACGAGCCCGTTTTGCTGACGCCAAAAATGGATTACTATTTCATGCCTTGCGAGTACCGATAACCCGAGTTTTAGGATTTAGCGGGTAAGCAGGACATGCAGGCGGCCTATCACCCTAGTCTCTGTTGAGATGGCCTAAAACGCCCAGCCAGCCACCACCCCAGCTCAAGGGCACGATAGCAACCAAACATCAGGTAGATTGGTGGGATAATGCAGTCGACGCGTTGAAACACGGTATACTAAACACGATGGCATAGATGGAGCTAGGAACAAAAGACGAACCACGTCTTTGAACCCAATTAATCCAAAACACCTAATGCCTAACTTCTCGCCGAACCACAAGGACAAAGAATATCGTCTAGCGATTTATATCATCCACTCTAGGCGTCTGACAGGTGGGATCAGAGTGGCTGACTTTTAGAACTAGATGTCATTCATACCGCCGCCTCACAAACCATCCATAGGCGCCAACCAGTGTGAGATAAGTGCAGTACACCATCCTTCTGGACCGCTGGCATCAGCAGGTACATTTGAAATGTTGTTCTTCTCCGCGTTCCCCCGTCTTTTCTCCCACGCTTCATGGACCATTTCACTTGCTCGAACACGGCGCACACCGAAGCCACCATGCGCACTTCCGTCTTGGGATTATCGGGCTATGCCAGCGTGCTGTGGAACTGGTTCAAGTCAAGTCCTCCAATCCAAGACACGGCAAATTCCAGTCCTTCAGACACGTCGAGCTTCAGTCGTCTCCCTGCCGAAGTCGTTCTTAACGTCTGCGAACACCTTTCCGCCCACGATCTTTGGAACAATGCACGCCCTGCATCCCGGCAATTAGCTGCCTGCGCCAAGGAGGTCCTTCCGCGAAAGGTTTTCCAGGGAAATAGTAGTCATGTTTCCTGGTGTTGTTTTTGGTGCAGTTTAGGGGAGCAAAACCTAATTACTGCATGCAAGCCTATTACATCACTATTCGCCAACGAGAAGAGCTTACATTTTCCCGTTTTAAGCGACTATGCGTTGATCGCGACGTTAGTCTTTGGGGATCTATGCAACTTGACTGCGGGTCGCGAGCCACACATTCGGATTCGGCTGGGTGAGGATGAAGGAGACGGCGTCACAGTCGGGACTGAGGAGCTTCAGCGACAACTTCGGTGGCGAGGACCATATTCTGTTCAAGACTTGCAGTCGCATCAACGCGAATTTCTGGTGTGGTACTACGCAAAGCGAAGAAAGGAGAGGGCGAGAGGACGCATCATGGCGACCCTTGCGTTCACTGCGCATACCCTCCGTTTCCTTGCAATGACCGCCGCACTCCTAATCAGCGGCATGGCCTTTGCGCTCATCTTCTGCGTCACCTTGTATACCTGCAGAATATTCAGGAACTTCTATAGACGCATAAACAATCTAGTGCGGTTTTGCGTGGGAAAAGAACCGCTTTACGACTAGAAGAGGAAGAAGAAGAAAGAATAATATCAGGCACAGCGACCCCATTGGGACCACCATGCGCGCCCGACTTTGCCGCCTTTCCGGAATCACTTCTTTTGGCTGGGCAACGGATCTTCCCGACTAGCAAAAAACAAAAAAAGAGATATGGAAGGCGTGGGTTAATTCCCCGACAGTAATGGGAGTCAGTCAGTGGAGAGACCAATGCTCCCTTTGAGTTTCCGCCAGCGCAACGCGGGCCCCCTCAACAAAGTGGCGAAGCCCTCCTAGTGAGAGCAGAGAGAGAGCATTGCTCTTTCATACCACCGCTAACAGCAAATCGATCATCCAAGCTTAGGCAGGACACACACACAAAGACTGGTTCGGAATCCGCTGATTTGCTTCATGTTTCACGTGCAGAACCAGACGGTTTGCGAGCGCTGCATGGCTGCGAAAAGAAGGGTCTACTTACAAGTAGATATCTATTGAAACATGGTACTGTTTCACTTTCCCTATCAGTCCAGATAGTGAATATTGGTTGTAGACAAATTTGGTTCCGTACAAGTAGGGGCGCACACATCACCATCGGCCCCTCTCCACACTGTCCATGTGCCTGAAGAAGGGAGCCTCGCGCTGCTACGCGACCATAGCACCCGCTTCATTTGTAGACTGTTGTTTGTTTGCGCACTGTGAATCTGGCAACACAGACGACAAGATTGCTTTCCTTTCATTTCCTTTTCTCATCTCGTTCGCTGCACAACCCATATCCACCCCCCTTCGACCCGCTATTTGTAGCAACGCGTCGCTTCCCATTGTGCAAGAAATCTACACAAAGCATTTATCCCAAAAGCCACTTTCGTTATGACTGGTCTAAGTAGCCCCAAGCGAGAGTCTCGCATCCGGCACTGGGCCAAGAGGCTGGGGAGCTGTTTGACCAAATGCCAGCCGCAACACGAAGGGAAGCCTTCGTACCTGGACACAGATGATGAAAGTATTACGTCGCCTTTTGATATGCTCAACACGGAACGAGTGCCACGACGTGTGCAGTCTATGAGGAGAACAAAATCGGCATCGGACAAGACTGCGAGCGCGAGATCGAGAAGGCCCGCTACTAGCGCAACCTATGCTTTACCGTCACCGGGAAGGCTGCAAAGGGCCGATCATCAACAATACATTCACGCCGAACAAACGATCCGGCTCGTCGATGCCAGTATCAGTTCTTCAGCTGGAGGCCGTCACGCATCATACGCCACAAATTTTTCGAGAAGGTCAACAGGGTACGCCCCCTATGGATCAGAAAGGGTGTCCTCGGCCTATGATGAAATGGGACTTCACCGGACCAAAACCCGAAGCAAACAAGACGATGAAGCGCCGCTGCCAAACCCTCGCTCAGTACTCTCGTGGCTAGACTCGTTCCAAGCTCAACAGTTCGTCAATGGAGAACCGACTCGCCCGCCCACATCAAGAAGGGACTCTGCAGCAGACCTCACCATCCGCCCACTCCAGATCCGGCCCCGCCAGACAGATACAGTGTACGGCCGCACCCCCTCAGGCCAAACCTCTGTGTCGACACAATCCAGAAAGACTGGTAGCGCGCAGATCTGCTACCCGCCGTCAATCCACTCCCAAGTTGCGCTGAACGCCATGCTGTGCGAGGGCGTCAAAGGCTGGGACCAAGACTGGGACAAGCCGCTGCAGCACCGCATCGGCGACTCCAAGTGCCTGTGGAAATCAGCGTCGCAACGGCTCCTGGTACGCAACAAAGACAGCATCCGACGGCTAAACGAAGAAGCCGAAAGAGACGAGCAGCAAGACCGGATTCTCGAGCGCATGGAGGCAGACACCAGACTCGGGCCGCGCCACATCAGAAGCATCGACAGCATCGAGGAGCTCGCCGAGGAAGACAGACAGGCCGACGAGGAATGGAGTGGTACGTGGAAAGCATTTGACAGAGTCTTTGCCACATGGGACGAGGGCAGGCAGTACTAATGAACTTTTGGGCATACACAGGCATCGTGCTGCAGCTTGCGGCCAAGGCACAGAGACCAGATATCCAGCGTGTCCACTCTGTGTCGTACGATCATCGTCCCCATCATCATCATCATCAGCATCAGCATCAGCATCATCACTACCACCGTTACTATCAACGCCAGCCGAATCAGCTCGTGATGATGAGAGCAGCTCATAACTGATTTCCAGCTGGGCCTTCATGCATGGAGCTAGTAAGATGGCATATCTCTGCGTGCCTGTGCATCTTTTTTCTTTCTTTCTTGCTTTCTTTCTTGCAGGGCCGCGAGCACCTACTATATTTATTTATTTTCTCTTTCTTCTTTACTCTTGCTGTTTTACTGGCTAAGCCAGCGGCGGCTGGTAACGCTGCATAGGCATGAGATCATGTGTAAAGATAATGTTAATCATGAGCTGGCAAAATGCTTGGACCACAGACAGTAATAGCAATAGCGCGCCAGATTTGCATCTGGCCATCTTTTAATGCGATCACACGGTCATTGGGCCGCTTGAACAAAAACTTGCATGTTTTTCTTTTTGCTTTTTTCTTTGGGACAATGGATCTACGATCCCTATGCAAGATCTGGAGGAAGGGAGGGGAGGGCTCGCTCGACATGGAACAAGTACAGCTACACCTACATCCCCGCACTGCAAGCACATAGCTGAATGAGGGTTTCCATCCTTGATTCCGCGAATGGCATGCTCCAGAACATGGGCATGTCTGCGTGACCATGATTGCTTTTTGGGAATCCGTGTTTACGCTAGCCCGAGAGAAGAGCAAATCTGTCAGGACAAGCCACTTCTTGCTTCTTCGAGGACCCATGTATCCCAGCACCCCCGCCTTGATCCCGTGGATGTGAGCAGATAGAGATATTCGCCACGTCACTCTGAGGGGGCGCTGATCCTGAAAGCACTTAGCAGAATCTGGGACAGCACAGCAGCCACGTGATGGATATAGTGAAGAAACTTTGGTAGACTCCAAGAGTAAGCAGCAACCCTGCGTATATACCCACACCTTTGAGGTCATACTTGTGCAGTAGTACTGCTTTTGGGGGATCCTAAATATCGCAGGAGTCTCATGTGAGCGTGTGCGTCCGTCCGTCCGCCAAAAACCCACCCAAATCCGAAAATCGCCAACACAGCCATGCCTTCCACTTCGTTCTTGGGCAAGTTCGACTTTGAGAGATCGTGCGCCGAACTGCCCAGTGTCTTTTGCAATAGCTGCGGGCGCATCCTGTCCGAGACAGGTGGTTCCAAACATGTTTGCAAGACAACACCCAAGCAGATCCACGGGTATCCAATGTGTTACCTGCCTCATACCATAATCACATCCGACCTTGGGTCTCCAAAAGCCAACTTCCAACTCCAATTCAATCGGTTTCTGTCAGAGGACTCGGAACTCGCTGTGTTCTCGCTCGGACAGGAGGCTCCCGTGTCGGAAAAATGGCAGGAAGAGCAACGCGCTGGATACTTCTCCCGAATCTTTTCCAACCCATCCTCTCAGTGCAATGCCATGGCCAGTGTGGGGTCATATTGGCCATTTGGACTCTCGAATCGGGTGATTCGGTACTGGAATGTTGATGACGGAGTCATCCTGGTCGACTGGGGCAAGATGTACACCGACTATTTCACGCAGGCCAAAAGCTGCAAGAACAAGAGAAGGATTGAGCGCATCGTTCGACGTTTTCGAGAGTTGGAAGCAGAAAGATTGCGGCAGGACACTCAGGGACGCTGGGTGCTGTATGGCGACAGGGACATTTTCCCGGCAACTCATGCAGAGATCGCCATGGCTTGCAGGTACGAGGGGCCCAGGAGCGACTTTGAACATCGCTTCGACCCAAAGAAGGAGCGCATGAGCCCCCACGAATTGGCCTTGCGGGTGGGAGACTCGATATGCTCTGCGGGTGAAGCCATCAGGGGACGTGACGGAAAAGCCAAGGTGTACGAAGAAGAAGCCGAGAAGACAGAGTATCCGAAAGGATATGCGTCAATGTGGAACAGATCGAGCTACCTCAAGTTGTCGTAGTTGTATACCCAATATTAGCTGTATTATGTATTAATAAAAGTTGTATCTTGAATGAGACACGGTGCGAAGTTGCACATGCCGCCGCCTATGACGCGTGACGCGTACGTAGAACGCCCCCCCTTCGCTTTTTAGCGACAAAAAAGTCCAAACCCGCTAATTGCCCCGCCAAAACATTTCACCAACACTTTCTACCCTGTATATACCGAAACCACCCAAAAAAAATGTCTGGCTGTGTAGTTTGCAACAACCCGCTTGAGGTGGAAGTCGAGCGCGACGAGGAGGAAGAATACGAAGGCGGCGCATCGTCATCAGGCAAAGCGCCTGCAGCAGCACCAGAAACATATCCAGATGACGTGCAGTTGGTTTGCGGGTGCCATTTCCACTGGTACGTAAAAAGCCATTCTCACATTTCAAGCGACGGCTAACAGCAGAACCCCAGGGACTGCCTACTCTCCGCCTACGAAATAACTTCATGTCCCAACTGCTCCAAAGAAATATCCACCACCGAAGGCGACACGCAAAAGGTGCTCTGCAGGCTCAACAATGAAGGCGGACTCCAGGAGAACCTCGACATCCTGCCCCTCCTGATCGAGGAATCCTACCTAAAAGCCTACCCGGAAGATCGCAAGGCGCGCGCATTTCTCGAGTTCTGTCGCGCGGGCGACTACAAAGCCATTATCGAGCTGCTGCTGGACGACAGCTCGGACGACGACGAAGACGACGAGGGTGATGTAGAAATGAGCACTACAGATGAACCTGGCAAGGAAACGGGTATCGATAGAGTGTTGAGGTACCAGGACCCCATTGGCGATATGCAGTCAGGTCTCCACGCGGCAGTCCATGCGCAAAGCAGAGAAGTGGCTTGGTTGTTGCTGCTGCTGGCTAGCAACTATCCTCTCCTGGAATTTCCGCCCGAGGTGTTCCAGGAAGCCGAGGCGATGGGCATCATGCGAGGCTTGACGGAGGACAAGGTCGACATCAGGAGCCTCAAAGATGTACATGGCCGGACTGCCGAAGACATTGCGAAGGAGGTCGATGGAGTGTGGCATGGATGGGTTGGAAACAACAGGCTGGCCATATGATTCATGGCGCATAAAGTCATGCCAGACCAACCACCGCGATCCCCACGGCCATGCTAAAGAATGGACTGAATGAGTTGAATGAGTATACTAGGATTTGGAGGCGAGAGATTATGTATCTATATACGGCTGTGGATTGCATGCATGACATGCAGGTACTCATGAGCGAGGCAAATGCCGATTTCGGTGTCTACCGTTCGGCCATGTTCCATGTCTTTGAACCAGCATCACCTGCTAGACGCGCATCATAAGAAGCCACCACCACATGCGAATACATGTACTTGTAGTCACATAATGTCATGTAGAAAGTGCAAAGTGAATATTCTTCTTGCTGTATCTCGAATTTCTACTATCAACACATAATACCGGCAAAAAAAATCGCAACACCCAGACACATACAGCTAGTACATGGACTCCAATTTGCAAAAAGAATGGTTCGAAGAATCCCAGGCAAGCCCAGGCACGATGTCCCCTTCGTGGATCGAACACGATACCTCCAGATTTAGTGACCAAATTGACTTCAGTCTGGCGCTCTCCCAATTGAGCTAAGGAGACGGTTGTGCTGATTGATGAACTTTTCTCAAAGTTAGAACATTATAACACCTAATTCCAACTCGAACAAGCTTCCATCTGATCCTAGGTGAGACTATTCTTGCCTGTAATATTGATGCTTGAGAAAAATATTCATTGTATTGTGGGGTAGAAGCGGGGTCTAGGCAGTACACTAGAAATTGCCGAGTGGGGCGAAACACGGGTGGTATTACAAGTGCGAGTGCCCATAGTAGAATGAGGATTTCGTTCTCTCGTATAGTTACTAGTGGAGGATAACTGGCTAGACTTGTCAATGTCACCGTCTGACAACTGAGTCACTGTTATACCAGGCACGCTATCTCCCCATCCTTGCTTTTGTTCCGTGTTCTCCGGAGATTCTGTGTATCCATGTTAGAGGATTGGGTCGAATAGAAAAGCACTATAGTATTGACTATCGCTATGATCGACGTGGTAACCCTTGTGTATTCCAAGTAGTGTGTGTAAGCGTCAAGTATCACCACCTCCTCAAAAGAAATCGAGCAGTCTCTAACTGTATTCGGGCTAGTACTGTTCGATTTCTTTTGATGAGGGGGTGGTATTGCTCTTTCGCATCTCTATTCATCATCTAGCGCCTGGTGCTGTTCAATCTAGACTTGGCATTTTCAAATGAGAGAAACCTGGTCACCATATACAAGTACCACGTCAGAACCACACGAACAAGATAATCAAAATATAACGTTGTTCAATACCACTCCCTACGCCTGTATGCCAAGTCTTTCAAGTCACTATAGATGCTCGTCCCCTCTTCAACTCCACACTCCTCGCTTATGGTATCTCATGCATTTTTAAATGGCACAATTTGCTGGATCGTTCTCTTTTACTCGTGAGTCCGTTCGGTCGGCCGGAAGGCAGCCCGCTTATTTCACAACACCCTCGTCAGCGTTGAAGCAGTCGCCAAAGTCTTTGCTGTGTTTGTTGGAAGCGTGGTCCGTCAGCATCTTGCGGCTAGTGGTGCCCTGGAAGGTCTGGAAGCACGTCTTGCACTTGATGGTTTGGGCAGCGGCGTTCTAGCAGCGCATTAGCAACAGGGCTTGCAACCGTGTGTGGTGACAGTGACGTCGCCAGAGTCGCGCAGGGAACACATACGGCCTTCAGTTGGCTCTTTGCTTCTTTGGGGCCCGAGTCGCCCTTTCGGTCGCGCTTCTGCTGTGCCCTGGCATAGAATTAGTGACCGCCCCTCTGACCACGTCCCGTAAAGGCAGCCGCGTACTTGGCTCCGTTACCCATGTTGAAGTGTGCTGATGATCGTCAGTCGGTCGCTGGCTGTGTGAGTGCAGACGTGAGTTTCGAGCGTGACCAAAAGTGGGAGATTGATGTTGGATGGCCTGACTTGTCACTGCGAGATTATTTTGCGGCGGCGGGGAAGATCCAGGCCGCCAGCACGGGAAAGAGCGGTGATCGCTCCTCCGGCGCTAGTATGCATTTGGCTAGCTCTCCACGTTATCATGTGAAGTCAAGTCCAACTTTACCTGCGCGCGTAACGTTGCCTCCTTGACCAACAACAGCCGCCTCTGATGTGTCATCGCGAATGGCTCTTGCAACGTCATCCTACCGTCGAGGGATGCCGGAAATGGTGGCGTGCAGCGGTGACTATCCATTGTCGCAGGTTTGAGGCAGTCACAGCCATGTTACGTCTGATACGGCCAAATCAATTCGGTCTGTCACCAGTGTTGAGCCACAACCATGAATATATTTCATGACCCATGCAGGTATTGCATCCCAGTTGAATGTGTCGTTGTCACAATTCCTTTGCTTTTGTCAATGGTGTACCACAAACTACTGTTTGTATCACCTGCCAAATGCTCGATACCTCTTCCCGTCCATCAATTTCTCATATTTCCCCTACCTCCTGTCCTCACATTATTTCTCTACATAATCTCAGCACCGTTATCGCCATTCTTTCTACGAAGCCATGTTTCACATCAGTCGAAAAACACGTCTCCGAGCCGTCATCGCGATATCCTTCTGTTTCTTTGCAGCCGAGATCTCAGTGGGCTTCTACACTGGCTCCTTAGCCCTTGTCGCCGATGCCTTCCACTATGTAAGTCTATCTAGACTCTCATAAGATGCTGCAAGGCGGGAAAGGTCATATTCGGCATCCACGTATCCAGTGCTGAACTTACCGTAGCTCAACGATCTCATCGGCTTCATCGTAGCCCTAGTGGCGGTTCAAGTGACCGAACGCAAGACGTCACCCGCGGACCTCTCATTTGGCTGGGCGCGTGCCCAGCTGCTTGGTGCCTTCTTCAACGGAGCCTTTTTACTCGCCCTAGGCCTCAGCATTGCCCTACAGTCCATCGAGCGCTTCATCTCAATTAAGCCTGTCGAGAACCCAAAGCTGGTTTTGATCGTAGGATGCATTGGACTATTCCTCAACATTATCAGCGCCTTGTTCCTACATGAACACGACCACGACCATGGCCACAGCCACAGTGGCCACAGCACTAGCGATGAGGAAGCATTATCTACTCTTGCGCACGCAAATCATATACATGTGAACACAGCGCCCAAGAAACACGGCATGGATCTCGGTATTCTCGGCGTTCTTATACACGTCATTGGCGACGCGCTCAACAACATCGGCGTCATCATCTCAGCTATCATCGTCTGGTTTGTAAAGTCGCCCAGCCGCTTCTACGCAGACCCCGCCGTCAGCATGTGGATCGCCATCATGATCTTCCTTTCGGCGATCCCGCTCACCAAGCGCGCCGGCAAGATCCTCTTGCAATCCGCTCCATTGGGTGTCAGTATCGACGACATCAAGCACGATCTACAGGCCATACCGGGAGTGTTGGGTGTGCACGAACTGCATGTATGGCGTCTAGATCAGAAGAAAGCAGTTGCATCAGCACACATCAAAGTCGGCGATCCCAATATCACGAGCTTCATGGAGAAGGCCAAGATTATCTCGGAATGCCTACACGCATATGGCATACATTCGTCGACACTCCAACCCGAGCTTAGCTCGTCCGCAGGAAGATTCGGAGGCACTGGAGATGTGCTTGAAGAGGTCGCTACGACTGCTACAAGTATTGTGCGATCAAGCATGGAGAAATGCGGCGTTCCATGCGGTTTATTATGCGAGGAGTTGAAATGCTGCACGTAGTTGCAGTACTGTGGGTGCAACAGAACAGTATTGTCGTGGGAATGAGCTGGTCAAGCAGCAATTGATGTATTTCCAAGCTTTCAGATGATCGGAGAATAAACTTCGGGGCCAAACTCGGCTGTACCCTGCATAATCGAGGTACTTAGTGGTAGTACTAAATGAGGGGCTCCGCAACCTCCACGCTATCCGCACTACTGCAGTGACGCTGGCATCTACAAGTCACTTCTAACCTTACCTTGTATTCTACACACTCCTGTTTCGGGATTTTACATACATACTAAATCCCGTAAAGATCAAGCACTCCACTCACATCCTGTGCGCTGACCACTCGTTGGTATTCGCATCTCACTTCACCATGGCCAACCCCGCAATCCACAAGTACGGAACTGACGACGGCTGGCACGGCGTGATCCAAGAGGGCGGCGAGTTTCCCCCGGAAAAAGATAGATACCATCTGTATATCGGTAAGTAGGCTCAGTCCAAGAAAAAAATCCCCCCCCCCCTTACACTACCCGTCTTCCACCATGTGTGAACCACAAATACACAACTCCACTCAGCCTTACAACTGCCCCCCACATAACCCCCCTTCTAACAAACCCTCATTTCCCCCCACAAAACAGGCCTCTTCTGCCCCTTTGCCCACCGCCCGATGCTGATCCGCAACCTGCTCAACCTGCAACCGTACCTCCCCATCTCCATCGTGCGGCCCTACCCCAAAGGCGAACCCGGCTGGCGCTTCGACGCCAGCTATCCGGGCAGCACGCCCGACCACCTCTTCAACAGCCGCTTCATGCACCAAATCTACTTCCGAGACGACCCGGCCTACAAGGGCGTATACAGCGTGCCGCTGCTGTGGGACAAAAAAACCAATCGCATCGTGTGCAACGAAAGCGCTGAAATGGCGCGCTGGCTCCCCTCTGCATTTTCCCCGCTCGCCAGCACCACAGACGACAGCATCAAAATCCTGGATTTCTATCCCGAAAAGCTCAGATCCAAAATAAACTCCATCCTCCCGTGGCTCACACAGCGCCTCTGCCTGGGCGTCTACAAAGCCGGGTTCGCGCGCACGCAGGCGTCGTACGAGGAGCACGTGATCCCGCTATTCGCGGCGCTCAACGCCCTCGAAGCACTAGTGCATGCAAACGGGGGTCCGTATATCCTGGGCGCGCAAATCACCGAGCTGGATGTCCTGGCGTATCCGACCATAGTGCGCTTCGATACCGTGTATGCGCAGCATTTCAAGACGAATCTCGGGTCCATCAGACATGAGTACCCCGTGCTGAATAATTGGCTAAAGGGCTTGTATTGGAATGTGCAGGGCGTGAGCGAGTGTACGGATTTCACGCATATCAAGGAGAATGTAGGTTGTGGTCTTGTTGGTGTTTTTGTTGCGTTTGACTAACGCAATACGTTGTTTGCAGTACACCAAGAGTCATGGCGATATTAATCCCCTCGCCATAACGCCTCTGGGACCGTACCCAGATGTGGAAGAGGGATATGAAGCCGACTGGAGCAAACTAAAACCAGGCAAAGTGGCGCATCCATTGGTACTCGAGATGCAGAGTAAGCTGTAACATTTCCACGCATGCAACAAGTTTGGCGTGCTCAACAGCAAATATCAAGCCAAAGATGAGGCAACACAGAAGAAACAAATGACGGCAATGGTAACATCCAATAAATCATTCGGCTCTAATTTTACGGGCCATCTCAAACCCCTGAATCCCATAATATACATACCGCGCATCGCCGACGGGGTATTTTGGCTTATACATAGCGCTTCCGTGACTAATCCTCCCTGCAACTCTGACAATCAAAACCGTCTACTGCGTCTTCTTGGTGCTCTTTTCAGTGGGCGCACTGTACAACCAAACAGCTACAAACGCGAGCCACCCGAGAACAGTGACCCAGATACCGCCAATCCACACCCACGCACCGCTAATCTCAAAACTCCTAGGGTACTCGTCGTGCGCAAAGTGCCTGACAGTGACCTGCCTCTTCTCGTCGATGTTGGTGAGGAATGGGCGGCGGTAGTTGACGCGGAAGTTGAAGATACCATGCTGGTCGGGTGTCTTGAACGAGGTACCAAAGATGGTAGCGTCGTCCGTCTTGGCCATGGGTGAGAGGTTGAGACGGTGGAAAGGTGACAGCATGCTGAACTCAAGCTGGACATTGTCCTTGGCAGGAGGCTCGAAAGGAATGAAGTGGTCGTTTTCATATTCGGAGATTTCGACTTGGAAGTGCTATAGTCAAGTTAGCATCCTGTGCAATAAACAAAGATCCATGTCACTTACAACATCGCTCTTGACACGGTAGATGGTGGGGTTGTTCTCTGGGACGGCAGCACTGGTGTTCAGCTTCTTGCTCTCACCCTCATCCTGGTAATGGATAAGCTTGCCAACCTTGAGCACACCAACCTCCTTGAAAGCCCAGGCCGAGAGCTTCTGAGCGAATTCACGGTTTGCGGTAGTGACGGTCTTGTCACCCAGCTTCGCCTTCTCGGCGAACCATTTGTTCTGGAGCATCTCAGCAGAACCAACAACGACCATGCGCGCCGTGTTGTGTGCCTGCAGAGCAGAGACCACGTTCAGCTGCTCACCAACACCAAAGGGGTCTTCGGAACCTTCGGCTTCATCCTTGGGGTTGTAGCTGTAGGCGGTGCTGGGTGCGCGAAGGATGGGCGAGATGAGAGGCGACTCGTTTCCAAGAACCTGGCCGACAGCGCGCGGGACCGCAATGTATCCATCACCAGCGAAGTAGTTCTTGACATCGGGCCTCAGAGCCTTGGGGAAGGGGAGGAGGAGTACATCATGCGCCTCCTCCGCCGACAGCGAATCGTAGTTGAAGTGATCAACGACCAATGCGCCCTTGTCCGTGGGCACATTGATCTCGACTTCGAGTAGCGTCGCCTGAACGGCCGTGGCTATCGGGTATTCGCTCGAGAGGGCAACAAGGATATTTCCATCCTTCTTCATGAAGTCAAGGAGGTTGTTCGCTGTGAGGGCAGGGCCAAGGCCTTTCGACTTGCCCGGGAGAAGGAGAACATGGTCGTATGCTCGTTCGCCGTGCTTGAATAACCCGAGCTTGCTCTCCTTGGGCGATTCGACAGTCGTGCTAAATCCTCGGGCTGCAGGTCCTCGTCAGCTTTGTCAGATGCCACAGTGTCATTCAATTGCGGGTTGTTGCTGCAATAAGGCCAAGTTGCAAGCTCAACAACTTTACCTATTCATTACCAGCGCGCGTGTCATTGGGGTCTTGTGCATTCCCGGTCTGCCACTATTTCTTGCCAAGCTGCAATGGACGGATTGAAGCAACTTACACGTCAAGTCCTCCAAGAACACACTGTACTTCTCCCGCTCCGTCTGCTCTTCCAGCACAACCAGCAATCGGCTGCCAGTAAGACTCTTGGCCTGCACCGCCACCGACCAAATAAAGGCGATGGTGAAAGAAAGTAACCACCTCATGTTGTGGTTGTTGCAAGTTGAAACCTGTCGGATTGGGCGGCCGCGTGGAGAGGAGTGATGGGGAGATACGTATGCATTTGCCAAGACTCGTCGGCCCCGGAAAATCGCTGCACGCCGATTGGAGCGAGCGGAGTTGGGGTGTGCTGAGCTGCCGCCAGCCCAGCCAACCTCACGACATTAGTGTTGCACGGCCTGTGGACTTGCGATTGCGACGTCAGACCGAGGCATTGGGCCTTTGAAATATCGCGGCTTCATTTCTCTCTCCCGCTGTACAAGACTAGCATCCGTACGCGCGCATCCTCGATCCCACACCAAACCCCCGCGCTCACATCCAAGCAGCATCACAGCCAACATGTCCGGCGTGCCCCCCTCCCCGTTCTTCTTCCGCCAGCCGCTGCGCTACCTCAAGTGGGCCTCTTACAACAAGCCGGCATACTTTTACTCAATTATCATCGGCTGCGCAGGCCCCATAATGGTGTTTACCGTGCCGCCGATTCGGAGATACATGGGCGCGGAGCCCATCCCGAGGATCCCCTTGACATACCCAGGTACGTGAGAGGAGGGAGGGGAAATTGTCAATTCAAATTTCTTTCCGGATTGGGTTATTTTGAGGGAGAAGGGAAATGCTGACTTGTTGCAGTACCAAATGGCCCACGACCAAGGCCAACGGGATTCGATGACGAGTAGGCATGAGGGGAAGAGGCGAGAATGAGAAACTCAGATGATTCCATCAGAACAAGCGCGTGACCGGTTGGGGGAGGGATGCACGAGCAAGTGCATGCCGTAGGCATTCGAGACTCTAGATATGCGACAGCATACTGTACAAAGCACATTTTCTTTCCGTCAACATGTCTTCTGAAAACACGCCTGGGCTCAAGACATGCCTTTCCACAACTACAAATGATCAACTATCCGTTCAAAGATGATGTATAGTTGGGCCTACTGCGCACTCTACCTGGCTGTCGGGGTGATTCAAGGTTGTTTTGGCATACCCAGACTTTTCCCATAACGCACATATTCCGCCTTGATGGTTTAGCTAACATCAAAATGTAGCCAGCAGCGAATTAGCTCCTCCTCGCCCACCTTTTCGTACCAATTTCCAACTCATCCACCATGTGCAATGTATTGTCTTCCTCACCAAACGTATCTCTCCATATCCTTTCGCGACCAAGTAAGCCACCGTCTATTTTGCCACACGGGCCCGGAGATCGGCCAGCATCATATCACTTCCTATGCGATGACTCTCATCAGCGCTCGACTTCCTAGAAAACCAGGTTCTGTTACCCGACTGTGCGTTTCCCGGCTCTGTGGCAGCTTTGAAGCAGAATCCCGGATGACAGATGTTCAAGAGGAGAACCGAAGCAGCAACGACGGCGCCCTCGAGTCCAACAAAGTATTTTTGAGTAGTAGCCAGCTTGCCTGTCCAGCCGTCACTCAGCTCGGCCACACGAAAGACGCATCGTGCAAAGATGCAGAGGGTCGACAGCGACAAGGCGACGAGGAAGGCTTTGAAGCGTGGCGATGGGTTGAGACTTGGCTGGTGGTGATAAGGGGTGACAGTCTGTATAAGGACTACACGGTTCCGATACGTCCGCCAGGCAAAGTCAACAGCCAGTAAGATGAAGGCGAGCATTGTTGCAACTTGGAAGCCGAGACCGGCAATCATAATGTTAGTGCCGGTTGCTGTGTCTTCATTGTTGTGCAGAGCCACACTCGTCATGCCACCTCCAACGGCCTGGAGTATGAGGGAGATGACGTCGCATGGAATAAAGATTTTCGGATACGACATGGGCTTGATGCGTGAGTTTCGGGAATCAATGGTGACGACAATAACGGAGAGACACAAGTAGATTCCTGCGGCGAGAAAGGCCGGGCCGATGGTCAGGCAGACGATTTGGACGAGAAAGGGACCCTGCTTGCTGTGAGTATCTTGTCATGAGCTTCTACTAGAGTATTGTTTTATCGCTACTGCGTACCTCTTCAAATGCATCTTGATGGGCTAGTATACGTCCAACATAGCCGATGATCTCAACCATGCAGCCCAGGGCCATGGCAATAGTGAATGCAAGCCATTTCTTGCCAGCAGTGCTTTGGATGACGAAAGCGATCAAGGATAGGCTGAAGATGGCGGTGAAGGTGGCGTTGATAGCCAGGGATGGGCGGTACTTCCAGTAAGCATATTTGATGGGGCAGTTCTCGGAAGGTTGATAGCAGGGGGTGCCGTCGAATCCTATGATCATGGTGGGCGATTTGGCTAGGCTGTTGTCGTAGAGATGGAGATTTCGGAGTCAAGTAGTGCGCAGAAGAGGTTGTTCGCTTTGTGTGCTGAGTAATGGTAAACCACGAAAGTTGTTAGTGTTACTAAAAGCGACGGTGAGCGAACCGTGGATGGTAGTCCCTGTTGAAGCGGGGATGGATAGTGTAAGAGAGGAGTTAGGGTGGGGTCCTGGCTGTGAGGGACCATGCAGGCGTGACAGAGCAAAAATTCGAGGGGTGTTCTGAAATAGGAAGGCACACCAGGTGAATGTGAAGGGCAGCGTGTGAGATCAAGGCATCACAGTGAAAACACCGACATTGGCAAAGTGGCTTTCGCTATCAAGACGTGATTCTCAGGCGGTCACGCGAGATATGGTGCTTTGGTACGGTCTGAGGGGGGTGGTATTCCATGGTACAGATGAGAAATGAGATGGGCTCATTTGTTGGTGCATGCATATTTGGTCATGGGTAACACAGCTATGAGAGCATATCCACATGGACGTCTACAAGAATCAAATCGAGAGGCCACGGCGAGATGCTTGTGCGCTGAATGTTGAGGTACTGTTTTTGGCGATTCATGGGGCTCGAGAGAGAGGGTGTTGTTGCATGGGGCCTGCATCTCTACAAACGCGTCAGCACGTGACAAGTCTGCTGGTGCATGCCTTGGTGGACGGATTGGTGGTGCATATATCAGCAACTTGGCGTGAAAGATGCGATATGCTGCTGGGCAGAAGCAGTTGAAGTCGTGGCAGACTGCTCGTCAAGGCGGCCATGAGGTTGGGCTAGAGCGCGAGTATGACGTAGGCGGGAGCGTCGGCAATCGATAATAGGTCATGGCTATACGAAGGGCTTACCCGCATGCAGGACGCCCGCGCAGAAGCACCCAGCGCTACTCATGGGCACGCGTCTCGGCTGCGGGCCATGGACATAGCGTGTATCGAGCGTCGCCGCAGGTGCAGACAAGAGACGGCGATGCTTTTTTTGCATGTACCTGCGGGGTCGCCAGCCGCCCGCCATGCAGGTACAAGCGGGAGGCTGGACGCGGTCAAGGCCATGCATCCTCAGGCACATGGCGCCCGCCGACGACGGGCGCTGCCCCTGGACGGGCGCACCAGGCCTGCCGTGGAGACTGATTCGACTGCGCGTGGAAAGCGGCGGGGAGGCTGGAAGGGCCAAGGAGCAGACAGCACGCATGTATGTAAGAGGCCAGTCAGCTTTCCAAGGGGCGCTGATGCACACATGCAGCATAGTAGCGAGCAGCCGGCCGAACATGGCTCGCGCACTCGAGGCCATTCAGGGCGCAACCTGGGGGATGTCGCCGGCCCCAGCACTGGCACCGGCTATGTGCTTACACACGTATGGCCTCCATGGCCTGCATGAGGCGCGCGCAGTGTCAGTGCAGGCGGAGCGCTCGGGAAGTTTCGCGACCAGACTGGGCGCTTGATTGGCATGCCGACGAGACGAGGCGACCGAGGCGGCGGTGGAGGCGTCGTCGAGAGCGAGAGAGCAGAGGTTTGTGGACAGAAGAGAGGACGAGAGAGAGTGAGAGAGAGAGAAGGAGGGAGAAAGAGAAGGGCATGGCTGGCGGCCATTTGCTGGAGCAGCCCAGCAGCCCAGCAGCCCAGCAGCCCATTACCAATCCCCGGCCGACCCCAACCCTTCCTCCTTAGCGCCACCCAGCACGGCCACTGCGCGATGCTACTATGTATGCACGCCGACGTCGACCTCGCTGCCGTCGTTGTCTTCGTCGTCGTCGGCCGTCGCTGTATGCGCCGCGTCCGGTCTCTCTCTCCAACGGCTCGCACGCTAGCAGCGTCCCTGCTTTGGCGAGTTGCCAGGCCACACGGAGCCCAAACGACGTGGATTGGCTTGGCTTGGCGCGGGCGAACCCCCATCCCACCTCTCCGGCATTGACGCATCCATCACCGCTGTCACTCGTTTCGACCACCAAGCTCCTTGCTGCGCCGCCCATCTACCCACTTGGATTGCGACTTTTTGGCCACATCCTTGCCCTCGGTGAGCCCCCCGCCTGTCAGCCGCCCGACCGCGCAAACAATAGAGGGGTCCTCTGCTAACCCGCCGCCAGTACCCTCCCTCACACAAACCCCGTCCAAAAAGGTGCGTACACAGCTTCCGACTCCCCGCCGCCCCAGAGCCCCTCGAGCCCCCGAGAACACACGTCGCCGCCGCCCATGCCTGCAGGCCCCGTGCGAGCAGCCCAGAGCCGAGTGCTAACGTGGCCATGCATCGCAGGCACGCCACACGACTGCGGTAGACAAGACTGCACTCCTGCGCGGGAAGGCACAGCTTTCACCACCCGCTCTTGGGGATTGCACCTCGCCGGAAGCATCGCCAGCATGGCAGCGGCGACTGCGGGTAAGTGCTGGAAGTGGTCGTGGGCTCCCACCCACCGTGCTCTCTCCGCCCATTTCCTTTTGGCACCACACACTATCGGAACCCGTATTCTTTTGTCTAAGCATACTCGTGGCTCTTCCTCCCTCGACTCCCCCCTCTCTCTTTATATATCTGACACGGCTTCTTCCCCTCGCAGGCTACGAGTGGAACCGCTCTTCGCCGCTGCGATCGTCGCCCGACACATCGTCTTCCATGTATCCCGACCGGCCCATTCGCCCTCTACCGAGTCGCTCTCTACGCGCCCGCCTGTCTCCCGAGCAGGCGGAGACGATTGTCTACCCGCAAAACCCGCCGCCCACGGGCCCGCTCTTCAACTTTCCCTACATGGCGGATGAGCGGGTGCGCCCTCACAGAACAGGCACCAATGACCACCATGCCTGCCACTGTGGCCACACGCATTCCGAGGTAGAGAGCGAGGAGGAAGAGGACGACCGAAATGGCCCGCTGCCTGCGTCGCCGAGCTTTCAGTACAGCAGGCACCCGTCTGGGAAGCCTGCAGCCGGCGCTACGGGTGCCTATCGCAAGCCAGGTTCGCCGTCGTCTTCGGTGGACGGCTATGAGTCGTTTGAGAACACCAACAACAAGAAGAAGCGCAAGATCCCCAACATGGGCAGCAACGGTTCCCATCACGCGACTCTTTCGGCGGACCTGGCCAGCATGGGCGTGGCACACGCCCAAGAGGCAGGCACAACGGACGATGTTGAAGGCGATGGTGTTGCGCGCTACTACGGCTCGGCGCCGTCTACACCCCAGCATAATACAAATTCAGGAACTGGCATCTCGGGCGCAGGCAGAGGACGCTTCGGTCGCTCTGGCTCGGGACGATCAGAGAGGCGCGCGCTAGCCACCTCTTCGACGCTCGCCAACGCCAAAGCGAACAGTAAACGTACGGTGTCACCTCGGGAAATCATTCGTCTTTACTACTTTGTAGAAAAAAAAAGTCCGTGCGCTGACCAATTTGTTTTCTAGGTCCCCCGGAGCAAAGCGGCATCATCTCTACTGCCATCGCAAACGCTGCAGCCACCCCGCCGCCCCACGGCAACGAGAACGTGAGCCTCTTGCAGCAGGAGGCTGCCAAGAACAGTGCAAATAAGACGCAGTTTACTTTTACTTGCGGCTCTGACTCGGCGAATAAAATGGTCTGGCCCGGCCAGGAAAACGGCCAGTATCCCCATCCCCCGGGTGCATACCCCAACACGGCCGTCAACCAACCCCACTCGCAAGCCGTTCGCGCCCGCCCACCTGTCCGCTCTGATGCTCCAATGGTGTCTACGCAGGGCACGCAGACCAGCCCCAATATGAATGAGGCCGGTACATACCCTCCCCCGCCCCTTCCCAATGGCACTGCACGGCGACCGACGGTACCCCCGCCACCACAGCAAGCTCCGCCGCCGCGAAAACCCCGCCGTAGCGCCTCGAAGCTTTACGAGTACGCCGCACGCAAGCGCCGCATTCAGCAAGAATACGCAAACTTTCACAACCCACCCACGCAGCCATGGATATGCGAGTTCTGCGAGTACGAGGATATTTTTGGTCACCCCCCAATGGCTCTTATCCGCCAGTACGAGATCAAGGACAGGAAGGAGCGCAAGCGTCTGGCGGAGAAGCGTCGTCTGTTAGAGAAGGCTAGGATGAAGGGACGCAAGGGCAAGAAGGCGAGCAAAAAGGCACAGAACAATGCAAACAACGCTCAGCACAACCAGAACCCTCCACCAGGTGGATATGACCGACGCGACGACGAGGGCTCCTTGGACCCGCAGGACGAGTACTATGACGATGACTACGACGAACCCATCTCGACGTGTCCACACGGTTGCCAACACCACCCGCATCCTACTCATCCACCCCCGCAAAAGGTTCCGGGCTTGCCTCCTGGAGACCCCCGCGTGGGAGGGCCGCCTGTGACGAATGGCGCCTAACAAGTGGACGAGGCGGGGTGGGCCGTCTGTGTTCTTGCATTATGTCTTGTTTTCCTGTCTTTTCGCGTCGCCTTTATGCTTGGGGTTATTGCAGCAGTGGGTCGGATATCGAGGTGTGGCTTAAAAAGAATCTTCGAGGTGAAGGGTGGTTGAGCACATGGGATATCATCTTCTCTTTGGAACCCCACAACTGGATAGCGCCAACGACACCACTCGGATGACCCCAGCATGAGGCGCACCTTTTTCCCCTCTTGTTTGTTTTCTAGCGTTCTAGCATTGTTTCCAGCATTTCCCCGGAGCCCCTGCACATTCGGTCGTTTCCGACTCTGCATCACAAACGATTACGACATTACCCCCCAAACTCCCTCCCGAATCCATATACCGCATATCGCATACTACAAAACACTTTCCAACAACGAGATACAACCCCACTCTAAAACAAAAGAAAAAAAATTCTCTCTCTCAAACCCCTCCTGAGACGGGAACTGCACAAGCGCTTGCAGACTTTCCCACAAGCATGGTGGACAGATGATGGAAACAAGGTGGAAACAAGGTGGATGGCAGGCGGCCTGGGAAAAACTTGGTTCTGCTCCACTTCCACTTTGTTTGCACCCCCCCCCCTTTTTTTTTACCAGGACTCGCTCGCTATATTGGACAACAAGACGAAGCTGGAGTCATATGATACTATCGTTATTGGTATTACATGTACATGGCCAAAGAGAACGGAACGGCTGGGTTGTTTAGGTGGAAAAAATCCCCGTGTATCTAACGTCCAACAAACCAAATTAAAAGCCCTAGTCCCAAAACCCATTGCGATTTACTTTTATTGTTGTTTTTTTTTGCTATTTTGAGGGGGACCCTGGCAACGAAGGCTTCCTTGTTGATATGCATGCAAGCCAGGCCTAGTCTAGTACCCTGATGTCTGTGGTCTAGAATGAGAAAAAAAAAAACAAGAGTGAGTAAGAGTGAGTAAGAGAGAGAGAGAGAGAGAGAGAGAGACAGAGAGAGAGAGAGAGAGTGAAGCAAAACCCCGGAATCGAATTCATCACATCACATCTCATATCATATCATTTGTACATGCCATGACAACCTGCAGCCAAAACAAAGACAGCAAGAAACTACTTTTCTACATTCGCTCGACGGGACTCAGGCCCAAGACACGCATACCATTGTACAGCACCTGCCTAGCCGCGACGTAGAGCGCCAGCCTGGCAACGAGGACGTTTCTCTCGGAGCCCACAACCTGCAAGTGGTCGTAGCTACTGCTGAGTGCATGAGCCATTTTGAACAGGTAGGTAAGCACCGTCGTGGGCTCCTGTGTCTTGAGCGTGTTGAGGAAGGTATCGGGCCAGCTGGCGAGTTGGCGCACGAGCTCGACGGCCTTGTCTTCCTGGAGGAGACTGACGTCGGCCGCAGTGGCGAGATCGAGGTCGGCGAGCGACGCGTCCGATTCGACGGCTTTGCGGTAGATGGAGCAGAGGCGCGCGTGCGCGTATTGCAGGTACGGGCCTGTGTCGCCTTCAAACGACGTCATGCGGTCCATGTCAAAGGTGTAGTTGTTGATGCGCTTGCCCTTCATGTCTTGCACCATGACGGCCGAGATGCCGAGTGTGTCGGCGGTTTGCTCGGGGTCCTTGACCTGGGCGTATTTGTTCTCGTTGGTCTTCATTACCTCGTGCATCTTTTCGCCCACGTCCCGGAGGATGTCGTCGAGGAATTTGGCAGTGCCCTTTCGTGTAGACATGCCTAGAGCGAGCGTGTTAGTTTAGGTTGAGCGGCGTGATAGAAACAATGACTAACCCAAGACCATGCCAAAGTTGATGTGCTGACACCTGTCTGAGAGATCTTTCCTTCCCATGAGCTCTTCAATCTTGAACAGCTGGGCCAGATGGAGATCCTGTTGCGAGGCAACAACATAGATCATTTTGCTGCGGCAAAGTTAGCATCCGGTTTTCTTCCCTGTAAAGAGGTCATGCCACGTACTCAAAGTGGTACTTCTCGTCACGCTCAATGGCAGCACCGATGTCTCGTGTCAGGTACAGCGAAGTACCGTCCTTCTTCTTGACAACAGCCTTACCCAATTTCTTCGAGTGCGGTGTGAGATCGACAATGACTGCTCCCTCCGAGTCCTCGCAGACCTTCTTTTCCCACATGGTCTTGGCAGCAAGTTCCATGCTCTCGTCCTTGACTTGCGACTCTCCGCTGTAGTCGTCGTAGTGAATGTTGAGTCGCGCATAGGTCTGCTTGTACTTTTCAATGGAAAGGTCCTGTGCCAGTCAGTACATGGTATGTCACCAATTGCAGCAAATATACTTGCCCTGAATCGCTTCCAGATACCGAGAGCCTTGGGCTCACCATCTACCATGCCCTTGAAGTACCTCCTAGCCTGCTCATCAATGCCGTCAGACTCAATCTGCTTGATCTTGTTCTCCTGCTCCGATGCGTCCTTGCCCTCCTCTTTGAGCTTCGCGACCTCGGCCTTGAGAGCCTTGACCTGCTCAGCCTCTTCGTGCTGTACGTTGCTGACCTTGACGTAGATGTCGTACAGGTGACCAATAGGGTTCTTGACGAGCTCTTCTTCGCTGCCGTAGAGATCGAAACCAATAGCCAGCACACCGTATTGCTTTCCCCAGTCTCCGAGGTAGTTCATACGAATGACGTCCCATCCCGCACCTTCGTATAGATTCGCAAGGAAACCGCCAATAATCGTGCTTCGCAAGTGACCGGCGTGGAAGGGCTTAGCAATGTTGGGCGAACTGAACTCGACAATCATCTTCTTGGGGCCAGACGAAGGGTCTGAGGCGTCTTTGAGGCCAAGGTTCTTGTTAAAGCCATAGCTTTCCTTGGACTTGAGAATCATGGGAAGAACAAGCGAGGTGAGGGTTTCCGGCTTGAAAAAGAAGCCAATTGAAGTGTTTGTAACAATGGGCTTCTTGACCAGCGGCGACTCTGGGAAAGCATCTGCCAGCTCCTGTGCGAATGCCTTCATGTCCTTCTTCTTCTGGCGAAGCGCAGGCACGGCCAGCTGTAAATCGCCGTGTTCGGGCTTTGCGGTCCATGCCAGTGTGGGGTATATTATGTGCTTGTCTACGCCAGAGACGGAAGAGAGCAACTCTGTGATGTGGCTCCTGTAGATGTCGAAGGGGTTCAGGTTGGGGTATGTGTTGGGTTCCTGCGGGACCTTGTCGAGGCCGAGTTTCGACAGTGTGCTTGTGAGGTCCTCCATGGTGATTGCTGGGCGCGCCGACGCGTCAAGGGTGCGGAAGGGTTTAAAGGGTGCGGAGTCGATCTGGGAAAAGTATCGAAGCGACTGAAGAGTTGCCGTGGCCCCCGTACTCTTGCCCTCGTGTGCAATAGGCCTCGTGTATAAGGATGCGCCTAGTTGTGTGCGCAATCGCGATTGGGAGGAGAAAGTGCGCAGGTGGGAAACGCGCGGGGTGGTGAGCGTAGGGCGGGAGAGTGACCGAGTAGCGGCACCAGAAGTCAGTTTCTGAGCCAAAAGAGAGGAACAAGTTGCCAGCGGCCTGGGCAAATGAGCGGTAGAAAAATTGAAAAGTCTGGCGCGACAAATATTCGCAAGGCTTTGCTGCATTCCAAATGTGGGGTAGCTACGATGCGTCAATGGTTCGGGAGGGTTGCAGTCAGAACGCGCTAGTACTAAAATTTTGGAGGGGCAACGGCTGTCCGGTGCCCGCCCCCCTCCACCATGTTTCCAAGATTGTCATTCGCATGCACACAGTTGTAGATCATTATGATTAAGTCAGTGTTACCAGACATGTAGCGGCCCAGATATCTACATACTAGATTCGATTCCCTGCATACAAGGTCCCACGGCATGGCCATGAGGCCCTCACCAGCACGCCTCGCACAATTGGGCGCCTGTCCCTCCAGATTTTGACATGCGCATAACGTACAGGATCATTATATGCTCCAGGCATCAGCCACTGCATGTCGCCGCCAGTCGTGAGACACAGCATGCGAGCGGGCTTCCAGATCGCATACCGGCCAAGTCAGGTGCAGTGGCGGACGCAGTGTAACGACTTTAGGTTGCATCTGACATGCTTGCTTGTGCCATGTATATCGCACTGCGCTCCTTTCCACTTCAAGATGCATCGACATCTCCGACGAAGCCGAGTCGTTCCCTGTCTTCTTCGCAGAGTCGCGCATATTCCAGTAGCAGTCGTAGAGTGTAGATGCGCATATCCTCTTTGCGCAGCGCTCGGTTCGCCCATTCCTGGCCGCTTGACCCAATATTCTTTGCTTTCTTATCGTGGGCGCCGTACCCTGTCCTATGACCGTCTCCACCTCCAGTCCCCAGGAAATAATCCAATATGCCATACAAATCGACAAACGAGTTGTCCATGGGTACAAAATGCAGCCATGGTATAAGCCGATCGTCATGCCATTCAGAGTATACGGTGGCCTTGATCGGCACTGACGTCGAGCGAAGAAACGCCAGGTAGCGCCCTGAATAAGAGTTGCCGTCTATATCAGGAAGCATCTTGTAGTTGAACTGTTCCTTCATTGGAATTCGGTCCACAATCTTGAAGTAGGGATCAGTATATGGGCAAGTAGGCCGACCGGTCGACGGCCAGCATAGTAGTTCAGTAAATCCAACATTGACAATCTGTTTGAGCCATACTCCAAGACTCATATGTTGAAGTGCAGCGAGCCGATATGTTGTGTACGATTGCGGCATGAATGTCTGAGCTTTCAAGTCGACGTGAGGATTTGTTTCGATATTCTCTGCATACGTCCCATTCAACATTGAGACAAAGCGGTGTCGATGGAACCTCGTCCAATTCTCCTTCTTGTTCCGGCCTCCACTGGCAACGCCTCGCCAGACCACTCCTGCCGCTTTCTTCGACCAGCCGTTGTCCGTGTTCGTGTCCGAGTATTCTCCTCTGTTGAAACGCTCTGACAAGTACGCTGCGGGCGGTATCAAGATATCAGAGTTTAGTTGCAACTTTGATTCGCTGAAAATGGGCACCAGAGCGCGAGTAGGAAATATCGAAATGGGTTCTATAAAGGTTCCATGTAACTCTTGCAGATGTCCTTGTTGACACGGATCTCTCGCATAAGTCCAATTCTGCACATATCCCTCATATGAATGCTCTGGATGACCTGTAATCCCTGGTGGGGGTCCAATAAAGTTTGAGGCGGGAGCTTGAGACCGTCCGGGCGAATGCGGGGCACATGCTACTCGTGCTGTGTTCCAGTAAGAATCACCTCCTCCTATCCAGTCCACCTTGGGCGGCTCTTGAGATACCTCCATCCAGGAACTGCGACCTTGGTAACTCGAGGTGATTTCGCTATTAGGAAGGAGGTTTCTTGTCTCAAGCTCACTCTCAAGGTATTTGCGCGTGTCTTCCCAAGGTACGATAACGCGGCTCTCATCCATGATATTGAGGGCCATGTCGAGATCTGGTAGCAAACCCTCTATGCTCTTTACCAAACCCAACCATGCATCCATGCGGTCCTTTGCTGTTCCCTGGTCACGTTTCTGGGTCATGCTAGCTGTTCGGTTTCTGACGGAGATGCGATCCTCATGGTGGCTGGCAAAATCGCGCATGCTTCTCGCAGATACGCCCCAAAAAGGGTCCAGATCACGGTAAATTTGATCAAACATGCCCTCCACGATCATGGCGTCGTGCTTCTGTGCAAAATCAAACCATGCGTCAAAGCCTGGCGGTGGGTGACGACCACGCCTTTTGCGGTAGGCTTCCGCTGCCGACTTGAGGTTTGTTGCCCTCTTGGATATGAGTTCATCAAACTCTTCATTTGCGTCTGCTATCAGCTTATCAATGGGGTGAGCGCCGAGCGCGTCTGGCCTCGGGGCATGCAGAGCAGAATGGGATGCGACGTGTGGCGGAGTGTGGACGTGCCAGAGCAGCAACAGGCTGATATTGAGAAGCAGTATTCCTAATCCAGTGAGAAAGAGAGTCAGGCCAGGCAAGCCAATTTGCCGAGTATGTCGTCGAAACATATCGTGTGAGGGGCTTCGGTCCGGTGGCTGAGATGGGGGGGGGTGCAGTTGTGTCAGTCTCAGGAACTCCTGCGAGCGTACATCGGCCACGCAACCGAGGCGGAGGTCTCTGCGACGATGGTGAAGAGTGAGAGGAGTGAGGACAGAGTTTCCCAGCAATGACGTATTTGCGGGCGCCTGTGTCACATTCACACTGGCACTGGCAAACACATTGTTGGGGAAGGTGCGTGACCCTGTCGCGCCTGACGCTAACTACATATTGCTTTGGGATTTGATTGACAGCGTTGGAGGATCACACTGCATGGGTTTGCGGCAGAAGGTTGACAGCCAACTACGGATGTCCATGCTGACTTCTGTTTTTGAACTTCATGACGCGTCGTATGCCGTGGGCGCATAGCCAAGAAGACGATTACGGAGCAGCGTGAATCGGGAGGCTAGCACGTGACCTGGAGCACAATGGTTTGCATTGAAAGATTGAGCAGGGCGGGAGACAAGTTCCTTCATGTATTGCTGGCCATGTGCAGCCGTAGGGCTTTGTGGCAGTCTGGCGTCCTGGTACGTGCAAGATTGCGCTACCCATCCGCAGTCTCGGGCCGCCCAGTCGTGCAGCGCCATCTATCGCCCAATGTAATACCCAAAAGCCTTTATACGCCTCTCAATAAACACTCTCATCCACCGTTACCGGAAGCACGCCTCGCTGCAGCTGAACCAAGTCTGTGGTCGGTCCTATTTCAAAGTACCGTAAGCACTTCCAGGCCGCGTAATGCGCCGTCAAGTTGCTCTCAATCCCTGAGCATGCAAACCTTGTACATGACGAGCATTGTGAGGAAAACTCAGCACAATTGCAGCAAGGACTTGAACTTACGTGGCCAACGGTTGTCTGTATCATGAGACTGCAAAAGAACACACGTGACATGGGGAGGGTTCGGTATTCATGCGACGCATTGGAGGCTCTTCTCCACTGGCGCAACATGGATATTTCACAGAACCATAGAGCAGCACACTTGCTCCCTGATCCCAGGAACTTGGCGCGATCGGATGGTCGGTTCGGGCGATAGTTTGGGGCTTTGTGTTTTTAGAGTAATGTAAGTAGGGAGGCAAGGCCGTTGATGCGCTTGGCGGCGGCCTGATATTGCGGCTCATCGCTTTACTACGTTACTCCACTTGGACCCGGTAAATGGGTAAGCAAGTATGCCTCTGAACGAGCCATGTGGTCGCATTTGCCAAGCATTCCATTGTTGCATGCACCATGCCTGAAATCTTTTCCAGGGACAGTCTTTCCCTTCTTGCGATTGCGCATGGCGAGAACCCGCGGCTAAATTCATCACAAGCACAGCTGAGCATTGATGGATCAGCTTTGCCGGCCCAGAAACATGAGCATTGCCCCAACACCCTGGTCAGGTTGCAGGGTCCGGATTGTATTTGAAAGAGCAGAGCCTTGTACGACGTGGTGCAATCGATTGATTTCTGCACTTCACCACGTTCCAAGACACCTTCGCATGGCGAGACCGTGCTTTTGTCTAGAATGGCACCAGATCGCCCCAATGCCATGGTTGAACAGATGGCTGCACGCTCAGGCAGATCTGACATGGGTGAATCCGAGCATCCTTGCGTCCATCTCGGTCGAACGTCCTGGCTTTGATGACTCGGGGAAATTGCTGTTTGTGAACCACCCAGCAGGCCATACCATTGGCCTGACAGCTTGGGTCCAGGCAGAGGCTGCATCCTTCGTTGACTTCAACCTCCACTTCGACAAAGGACGTTAGTAGAAATTTGCTCCAGAAGACATCGCCCATGCAAAAACAGGGGTTGTCAAGGCCGAGGCTATGCGAGGATAGATTGCACTGCACTTTCGAAATGGACGTGTTTGCAGAAGCCAGAAGGCTCAGTTGGAAGGTTTCGGCTGTTGCGTTCCGCTTGCGCAAAAGCATCACCGCCTTTTCTGCGTGAAACGAGGCGATGTAGCATTTCGACAAAGGAAATGAGTGTAGTGCAAGACCGGGCTATCCTTGTTGAATTTTCCTAGTCTCGAGCGGATAGTCATGTTCAGCATACTAGATTCAGAAATCCAGAGGCGCATGGGCTTCAGAAAGACGTGGAGCTGGAGAGCGGACTGACCACAGGTTGCGTCAAGGTTGCACAAAGCAGGCGAGACGCTGAGTGATCAGGAGATAGAGAGAGAGGCCATCATCATCGTTTCGGAAGCAGACATGGACTCATGACGAACTTTGCCCAATGTCAAGTACATGTTAAACCAGTGCACGTGATAGGGTGCGGAACGGCCTGACGGGGTGGCTGCAGTATCTGACGTAAAGAGGGTCCCACAAACGCTGTTTTGGATGAATACAGACTCGAGTCAGTGCCTGAATCAGTATGTCATATAGAAGCCATATGCAGCGGCCAGATAGCGTAGTCATGGCCTGTGTAAGATTGCAAAGGAAGTGCGAGACTGCGAGCCAGATGGCGGCATTCAGGAGATGAAGCGCCGAAGCAGGAAAAGGCGGATTCCCGTGGTTGGTGGCAGCTATGGCGAGGCGTTAGTGGGTCGTACTGTTGATGCAAACACTTTTGCCTTTGGTGTGACGGTGGCGATGCCGTCAGGAGGTAGGTGGGCGCGTAGTACAGACACCGAAGTGTATTCCAGGGCAGCGGGCTGGTAATTGAACGGTCTCGCAGGCCACGCAGCGGTTCCGTGAGATTGGGCCTGCGGTAGTGATGCAGATGAGCAATCGGAGATGGGGGCCGCACAACGCTGGAAGGCTAGCAGGAGTAGTGAAAGTTCAAAGTTGAGATGGTCACACTGGCCAGCTGACATGTCGACGGTGGCGGCACTAGACAGGCGCTCAGCAGGAACAGGGGGGGGATGAGGCCGAGCAGGCTGGTGGTGGTGAAGAAGAGCTGCAGGCCACTGGAAGAGGCAATGGGGTCGTGGAGTCGCTGTTACGTGTGTGTGTGAGCAGTGTGCTATAAGACGGCTGGCTCTATTCACTGTTTCCAGCACCGCCAGTCTCCTTCACCAGCTGAGACACGGACCCTCTGTCTTCGTCATCTTCCTTCTCCTCCCTGGCCGCGAGCGGGTCACGGCATCGCGGGGCTCCGGCTTGGGCTTGCTTGGGCTGGCTGGCTGGTGTGTCTGCGTGTGGGTGTTGAAGAGCGGGCGGCATCAAAAAGACCGCCAGGAACAGGTACGTCGGAGAGCGGTGGTGCCTTGCGGGGATGGCGGAGGGCCGCGGTCCCTGTGATGGTAGAGGGCGTGCCGTCGGCCGAGGCGTCGTCGTGGTCGCCAGTAGTGCAGTTCATGCGGCTGATGTATGCAAGCAGCATAAGTAACGGTGGTCGATTCGGGCTAGTATCGCGACTGTGGCCAGGCGTCAAGGCATCAAGGCATCAAGAGGCGATCCCTGCGGAGATAAAAAGCACGGCGGCATTGTTGTTGCTGTGACACGCCCGAGGCAAACCCGGGGGCGGCGGGGGAGGTCAGGCCCCAAGGAACAAACGGCCCTGCACGCGCGCGCCTTCCCGGGCGATACGGCGGAAGCAGGTGCGACGAGCCAGAAGGTGAGCAGTTTATTTCGCTTCGCTGCCCCGTTCCTGCCGCCCATCCCTGCGCCCACATGGCCCGCCGGGTTGCGTGCCTGTGACGCCTCCCCTGGCCCAATCTACCTGCAACACTCTCTGCTGCATTTGCCCACCCACCCATCGCCCCCCATCGCCTCCATCACTTCCATCACCCCCAGCACTCCCATCCCCCCCTCCATCCCCCCCCATCACACTCCCACGCCCGCCCCCGACACCGAACCAACCCACCCGTGGGGCGCCGGCCAGGGGGGCCCCGCCCACGCCCACGCCCTGCCCGCCCGCGCCCGCGCCTATATCCATCGACATATTGCTCGTCGCTCGTCTTCTGCTCTACACCACCTGGCCACGAGATTAAAGGGCTCGTCAACTGGGCTCCGTCGTGCCTCATGAACCATCGTCCCCATCGTGGAGGGGCGCCCACACGCCCACCACGGCGCACGCTTTTGATGACCTGCCTGACTCGCGCCGGGCCCTCATTTCCTATATCTTCGCTATCCAGCTTTATCTGATGGCGGCTCCATGGCGTCACTGGACAGTGGACTTGCTCGCCAGTCATTTCCTGCCTTCATTTCGGTGCCATTGTACTTTTTCCTTGGCCCCCTTGTCCACTCCCAAACTGCAAACACTCCCCTCCTGCCATTGCACCGCAGCTGAGACTTGCCTGACTCGATTCATTCCATGAAACCCTACTAAACAAGAACAGCCTCAACCTCCATCAGATGCGAAGGGGCTCACGACGCGGACGAGGTAGAGACCAGCATCCGAACCGCGGCGCCCCATCCAGGAGAACCACGTCCCACTCGCCTTCACCATCGCAACATCGCGCTGCGCCCCGCCAACCCACGGCTCACACCATCATCCGTAGCCACGCGTCACTCCGACGATCTGCGCGAATCGCCCAGCTTCTCAACGGCCAATCTGACCATCAAGCAGCCGGCGCCACATCCTCCATGGCTGACGTTGCAAGACCCAGGACGCTAGAAAGCAGGTCCATTCGCTCAAGACACCACCCAGGAAGCCCCCGTACCTCAGGTCAGTCCAGATCAGGTCGACCTTCCCTGTCGCCCGACGAGATCCGATACGCCATGGACATTGTGGTACAGCCACCGCGCACTGCCCAGGTCGGACAAACCATTTCTGGCTCCATCATTGTGCGATTACGAACCACCAATGCCGACACCGATGACGCGGTTGCAGACTCGACCAATCTGGTTGCAGTTGCTGCTCTGGTCCCTGGCACAAACTCGTCCGATGCGCAGGATCCAAATACTCTCAACTCGATGCTCGGAGGCCGAGTCTTTGACTCCATTCATCCCTTTAGCGACGATGAAGCAGACGGTTCTATTGCCTCCATGGATATGAGCGATCCAAACGGCGTGGGCTACATGCGCTTCCCCGAGCTCGTCATCCGTCAAGTAGGAACCTATCGCATTCGCATTACTCTCATCCGCATTCGCAACTCTGCTTCGGATCCGCCAGTCACATCTGCGGGTAATGGTTTGGCCGTACATGTCGTCGACAGCAACCCTATCATTGTCAATGGCGGAGGACAAGTCACAAGCATGGCTGCACGCAACGGTAAGTACATGGTGGCCACCTATTGATTTTCTTCGGCCTCCTGATGTTCGCTCTTTGCAAATCACAGGGGACGACCATATTGATGATGGCGGATGGCTTGAAGTCCTGCGTTCTATCCATGATCGGCGCCGCTCACGGTAATGGCACTTTTTTCGGTCTTTTGTTGGTGTGGTATTCTTCCTCATGGCATGTTTCATTCAAATCCGCATTTTATCTCAAAGGCATCAAACGCTTTTTTTTCAATTTGGTTGCATTTGCAAACGCCACATCCTCGTACTACAGGGTCTGTTTGTACAGAGGTTGGGACTTGGTCGTACATCAGCTGCATGGATTCGCATATTCAGACCGAGACTTGTACTCTTATAGCTTGGCATACCATTCTCCAATTTTCTGTTACTAGGTAGTCGGTGGGTAAGGTAGACACATCTATACGTTTTCATGCTCCACAACTCCAAGTCCGACTTTCAATTTGGTAGTAATGCATTGCAAGAGAAAGAGTTGAACAGACGTATCAGCAGTTATTTTTTTAAGAAAGAAGCATGAATTCATAGCGAGATGAAAATCGAGAAATCGACTATTTACACCAGATCGTCGCCATGACCAACGTACTCACCCTGCCCTCGCTACCCCTGTCTCCTCCATATCCATGCTATTCACCACACTCCACCATGGCCAAGTCCTCTAGTGCGCAAAGGTAGCCCCAGTGCTCGGGTTCCCAATTCCAATCGTGTTACCGCCGCCTCCGCCGCTGCCACTTCCCGAATCACACTTCCTCCACGCAACATGCAGCTGCTGGGTAAACGCGACGGTGGCATCATCATTGCTCATCTCGCCGGCCTGGTCCGACTTCTTATTCGTAAGCGCAATCCTGTTGTTGATATTCAAGATGCCGTTCTGTCCACACGGGCTCCAGATAGTCGCCGTCGTCTCCACGGTATCTTGCTTCGTGTACACCTGGCCGGCGGCTAGGGCTCCCCCGCCTACCGCCTGCATCCGCGTCGTTTGCGTCTTGCCCGCGTCCTGGCTGAAGTAGTACGTCGTGATGAAGCTGCCTGTTACGCCTTCGTCCAGCCGCGCCCACCCGTGGTACGTTGCGTCTACCACGGCGTACTGGAAGCCACCCGGGTACTTGAGGTTGAGGTGCAGCTGGCAGTTTTTGGAGCGGTCGGCGGGAGTCGTGCCGGGCCCGATGTAGGTTTGGAATTTGTCGAAGCCGTAGGTTACCACCTTTGGGGAGTTAGTGGTAATCTTTTCACTCTTTCCACTCTTTCACTCTTCTCGTTCGGGGGGTTTGAGGAGTTAGGTGATGTTTAAATGCAGTGTTAGGGATATATCAGAGACTTACAGTCTTGTCCGTCGAGGTACTAGTCGACACGGAGCCCTGGGGACATCCGTTTCCAGAGTACGTCGTGTCTACAATGGTGATTTCCTCCGGGCTAGGAACATCGCCAGAGCGGGGGACTGGGTTCGCCGCAGCGAGCACGGGGAGGAGAAAAGCGGCGAGCTTTGGGTGCATTTTTGCCAACTATCAAGAACAAATGTATTTTTTATTTCAAGTTTCGGTGCGGAATTGAGTGTTGGACAGTGAAAAGGGCTGATCGATCTGCAGTGATGGATGCCGATTGAAAGAGAAACTTGCATTGTCTTTATATACCTTTTCACATATGTACAACTTCCTGCAGCAGCAATATGGTGCCGCAGCTGAACACTGCCCTTTCTTCCCCCTCGCATCTTCTCAAGTACCCTTGCTACGCAGTTCCGTATCCAGATGACCACAACCCGCCACTGTGATTGACGGAGAGCCTCGCGTGCCCTCTGAACAGCTCCAGGCGGTGGGGTTGTTTTCCAATTTTAGATGCACCTCATGTACTGTAGGTATTAATTAAGAACCACGATGCCCTTGGTGCTTCGACGGGGGTTCTGCAACATAGCCGTTAGATTGAGGGGGCGGGGACCTGAGGCTGCGTGGAAAGAAAAAAAAGTGTGGGCTAGACCTGCGTGTCGGATACAAGGGTGATGACTACGAGCAATTGAACAGCTGGGGAAGGTATACATTATCCGGAGACATGACTGGCATGATAGTATGGGTTCGATGGTAGTTACTGAACGTCTGGTGGTGACGTATGCATGGGGTGACAACGTAAGGAACATGGGAGCAGAAGACATTATAGTGAGGATACGAAAGGCTTCCATGGCAGGTAGATTGCTGTGCTTGGGTACAACGAGGCTCTGGACCTGCATTGGCAATGCTGTGCCGCGTTTAGATGCGCTTACAATAGCCGTCGGTCGTATCCCGGCAATATAACGGTTGTCGGGGGATGAAGGGCGCGGGTCAGGTGATGCACGCATACAGCTAGGTTACCACTGTAGATACACTGGAAGCAAATGCGCCCCCAGAATAGGACACCGTAGCCCAGCCGGTTACAGCCAGGGCAAACCCCACATCCCCCCCAAAGATCCCCGACATGCGGGACTGGTGTTGTGCTTACAGAACACGGTCTCGACTAGTGTGCTGTAATATATCCCGCAATATGGACCCTCGGTAAGCGGGTCGCTTAATTGGGTAATATGCGATCTGCCAGACGCTCGCTCCTGGTCGTCCGATTCAATCTGCGAGGTTTAACCGGGGTCCCCTCCATCTTCATCAACGGCCATGCTTGTTCTTGTTTGGCCTTGGCAAGTCGCCAGACGGCATCCGACATGGGGATATGTGTGGTGGAGCAGAACTCCGCTCAGCAGGTCGTCGTTCCAATTTCCTCGCATATGAATGTACATTAATCGAACCATTGTTTGGTCCTTGTTCGCCTCAGCCAGAGAGAGATTCCCGCCTGTCTGCTCGCCTCCGGGTAATTCGGTATACCAAGTTTAGACCTTCGTGCTGCTGCCACGCTGTATAACCGGGCGACTGGGTGTCAAGCATAACGTAACAGCTTGCTCACCGACGGCATCTAGCGCTGCTGAACCAGCACTGTTGTCGCTCCTGCTAGGAATGTCAGAATCGACATGTCAGAGGCAGCTTCGGGACGTTTGATGGAATATTGATTGCAATCAAACCAAGATGTGTTGGACCAGGGGCTCAGGACCCGATGATATCCGGGTTTTTGACCAAACAGTTCAGACACATCTAAATCAACGCTGCTCAAGAGCTCTGGCGTTGCTTCGATTTAGGAGTTGGAAAGGGGATTGAAGAAGATGCAAAAGTATCTTTCAGGAGTAGACGAGTCGACAAGTTGCTGTACTTTCCCTTTCCCTCTCTATATGCTGTCCGATCACTGACAGGGATACGTAGTGTCATAATCACAAGCTGGAAGATTTTCATGGGTACTTTGGGACACTATCAAAAGCATGTCATTCAATAGAGTTCAGATGAAGATCCTTTTGGCGAAAATGTCCTTGGAAGGACATGTTCAGATGCACATCGATCGAAAGACTCAGGCGTCTGCCAAGTGTCAGTCATGTCACAAGGCACACTACATCAACACCATAGTCCTCGACACAGCTGTGGTGGCTAAAGTCCAGACTCTACAGGGCTCAGTTTGTCGGCTTGTTGCTATGTCATAGGAAGCCTGACGAGAAGTCGCGTACAGATGAGTTGAGCGGCGTGCGCCGACAGGAGCTACACGTGTACAAGTGTTGTAGCGTACCCCTTTGCTAGGCAGCCCATGGCAACCCTTTCAAAGGCCCAGGCACACTGTTTAGCGCAAAGTGTCGTGGCGCAGTGCATAGTGGCGCAATGGGGATGTAATTCGGCATGCAAATGCGCAAAGGTAATACGTCAAAATTCCGCGCAAATTTGGATTAGGTTTGATAACTCCCATTATGGTTCTGGCGGCCAAAGGGTAGGTGGATCTTATTCCACCTTTGGGAAACGCGGTCGTCGCTTAGGCGGATCTCGGCCATGGGTGCGAGATGCGCTCGCCTGTTGGTGATGCCACAAAAACGCTCTCGGGACTCATGCTCCTATACCTATGCCTATTCTGTTTTCGTACGTCTGCTTCCGACTCGGACTCGAGACATTGCTCCAGTGTTGACTCGGATTTGCATAAATCAACATAAAAGTCGTCAAGACGGGGCGTGAGGTGAGATGAACAGATGTATGCGACGGTCTGGCTGACGTTAAGCCACAAGCCACACTGCATGTCGATGACGTGGTGGTTTCACTGGAAACGGGTCCTGGACAGACTGATGGCCGTTGGAAGACATGGATGACAGAAATGGAAAGGGAATGTTGGCATTGGCACCGCGGAGGCGGCCTGATTAAGGGGGGGTTGAGAGGATGCCAGACGGTGCAAGCGACAACTTGGCGAGATCGACCGAGCCGTTAGCGTCCGACTTAGCACAACCAAGGCGACCCACTCCACTCCAGCATTCCTCGCCACCCCTTGGCATCACTACCACCACCACCACATCCCACGAGGCTGCCACTACCACCGCCCGTCGGCGCCCTCGCCGAGGCACCGCGATGCATTCTCGAAATCCATCTGGCGAGCTCCACTGCGGTGGATTCGTGTCGCTGCGGATCAGTGGAGCTGCACACGCCAGTACCCGAATCCGAGCCGACAGCAAATCCGAGCCGGGCACTACCAGGCAAAGCGCGACAGGCCTTGCCTCAAAAGGAGAAGCATGCTACGCGCGTAGCCTTGCATAGATTTTGCAACGCCCGCTGGAAATGTCTACGTGACTATGATTCCAGAATTAGCCACACCACCCCCACGCACATGGCTCCGTGTTTGCATCGCCACAGCTGGAGAAACATAGCAGTGTTTACAATGGAGCCGCCCATGGTCTGCAAGAGACTCAGCATCCATGTGCAAACGGGCATCGATATCACAGGCCGTGAAACTTAGTTGCCAGCCCGCTATCCAATGGCAAACAGACCAAGCTAACCGTCTTTCCTGAAAACGGCGTGACCACACGCCTCTTTTCGTATAGCACCGTATATGGAAGGCCATATTGGAAAATGCACATATCGCAAGGAGCATGCACCCGGCCCCGACCAGCCTAACAGACTCGTTGCTCCTCAAACGTTAGTGCGAACCCTGTGCCCCTGGTGGGCCGGCATGTATTCTTGTAGTAAGTACCTATCTGCACCCCTGGAGAAAAGTATTGATCTAGGTACCAGCGGGTCGATAGGCTAGCCGAGATGGTTGGTAGACTCGAGAGCGCCAGCCGCCGACCATCAAAAATAGCTAACTTTTCGCTTGCTGACTCGACTGTCGGCCGTGACGCGACAGCCTCAGGAGAAATACCGCGCAAACTGTCGAGTGGAGCAAGAGTTCGGGGCCAGTTCGCCTACAAGTGCAGCATCGGGTATCGGACGGTGGCTTTGGCGAGTACCTCAAGGCGCGCCTTGCCTACACTCCTTGCACAAGACCCCAGCAGTTCATTGTCCTGCCGTTATCGGGAACCACCAATTATTTCCGGTCAATACTGTTGCACAATGGGCTTTGCGACAAGGTCCAAATCTCGATTCGGCAATAGTCTGCCTGTGCCTGCATATCGTCCGCTTGTGCCGGCGACTACAGGTATGACAATTTGCCCGGAGCTAGTGCGAAGTTTCGTAGGCTAGTGTTTCCAGGTACGGTCGCCTAACCAGCCATGCGAGCGACCGAATGTGCCGGCCATGTTTTTGGCGCCGTTCATGGCATCCATCCAGATCAGTAGTCCAAAGCCGAGGCGGCAAGATTGAGCAAGACTTGTTGTATATAAGGGTATCCGGCACACGTCGTATGCTTCCATCATAAGCACTGGTCTTCACCACTCTACAATCGCTTCTCCATCTTCTCTCGCTCAATTGTTATTCTATACAATCACTCAATATGCGTTCCCATCTCATTCTCGCTGCCGCGTCTCTTGCGGTGGCCTCTCCTGCACCGCAGGCTTTCGATGTTAATCTGTTCAACAACATCCCCAACAACGCCCCTCAGGGCCCTCCAGCAGGTGTTGTCTCCAACAAAGCATATGACGATACCAAGGCTGTAGTTGATGCGGCTGCCAAGGCTTCTGGTCCTGCGACTGCGCAGCTTGCGAAGAAGAGCGCCATGCCAGACCTTGAGCGCCGTTGGGGCAGCAGCTGGAACAACTGGAATTGGTTCTGGCAGCCTCAGCCATCCAAGCCGAATACTCCTTCTCCCGCTCCATCAAGCAAGCCTCCTACTTCTTATCCTACTGCTCCACCATCTGGCCCGGCCCCATCTGGCCCGGCCCCTACCCAGCCTCCTGTTCCTGGCAGTGCTTTGCCTCCTGCCAACGAGCCGTCGACCAACATGGCCCCATCTTCCTGCACTCCAGTTAGCTGGACTAACACTTTCGCTTTCACCGCTGCCCCGGGTTGTGCTACCGATATTGAGGTTGGTACCTACTGTGGATTTATCAACCCTGAAGACCCGTGCGCTGCTCAGCCCAACGCCTACGGACCTCATGTCACTCCCGACACTGCTGATGCCTTCCAAAACGACGCTGCTCTGCACGAGCTTGCTATTTCTGCCAAGACTCCTTCCGGCTACACCAAGGCTTTCACTGACCTGAGCGCCTCGGTCTCTGGTAGCGGATACCTGGGGTACTACGAACTCACTGCCTACGACCCTGCTACTTGCGCCGCCAAGTGCGAATCGACCAAGTCCTGCACTGGCTTCAACGTCTTCATTGAGCGTGATCCTCAGTTCAACCCCCGCCAGTGCTCTTGCACCTCGCCTCCCTCCGTCACCCGCTTCAAGTGCTCTCTCTGGGGCCAGGACGTCACCACACAATCTGCTACCAACACCGGTCAGGACCAGGATGGATTCCAGGTCATCATCATTGGCTCCAACGGTTACAACAAGCAGACCTACACTCCTCCTAACCCTCCTTCTTGCAGCAGGCCCCAGTCTTGCGGCACTGGCCTCATCAACCAGCAGCCCTACTGCATGGGTCAGACCACCATCCCCGGTCCTTTCAACCCTTCGCTCTGCGCTGCCTACGCCCAGAAGCAGAACCAGGTCAACAGACAGACTGGCCTCATGGGCACGTTCCTGTCCATGTTCGGCATGAACAAGGGAGGATGTGTCCAGTTCCAGGCCGCCTACCTCGAGAAGGGTGGTGTTGGCTTCGGTACTCATTGCCGTCTCTTCACTAAGAAGTTTGCTCCTTCCAACGTCAACCTCGACATCAAGGTCTCGACCAACTCCCAGTGGGGCTGCCAGAAGTCCTACCTCTGGGACGTCGATGTCAACGCCGACTTCACCTGGGGCCGGTAAATCATCGCCAGAAAAAGAAGAATCAGAAATTCTGGCTGCTCCCTCACTCTCTCACACTCTCTCTCGCTATCTCTCCTCTCGTACGCAAGAATCAAACGACTAATGTCTTACAACTCCATGGCGGCGGGACCCGAGAAGCCTCTCTCCCCGCGCGCGCGGACCCGCGATCGATCGATCGGAAAATGGTGGATGTTAATGAGTATAAAGTAATTTTATTTCCCGTTGTACATAAGCATATTGGGCTTAATTTTGGGTGCTGTCAAGCGACCCCACCCCCCCCCCCCCCTCGCGTATATAGTCACTCCTTACAAATCGTCTTGTGTTTTTATACCTGTAGCTGTAGCTGTAGTGGTAATGTTAAAGTGTATTGGCAATTCCTTTGGACTGAAACAGAAAAAAACTGCTGCTGTTTTGGTGGTGATGACTCTAAATACGCAATCTTGCTAAGTGTGTGACTCTGGGCAAAAATTATAGTCCATGGACTAACCTCCCCTTGGCAGTTTGTCACAGATACATGCATCATGCATAGCTAATACACTATGCACAACCCAATCTCTTCGATGATATCATTGAAACAACAGGAAAGCTAATAGACGCTGCTCCCATGTATCATCGAACAAACATACACAAGCGAACCGGAAACAGGCAGCAACAAGCCTCGGAGCCTTCTGCTCAGAACATGCACATGAACATGAACATGCCCCCCCCCCATCCATACTGTCGGGAACGCGCGCCCCACAGCGCGCATCATCGGATCGCACGGGCCGAAGGAGACAGAACAGAGACATTCACCCCCACTTTAGCATACATACAGTTCACTGCTTGCGGGAAAAGAAAAGGAAAATAGATGCCAAGCAAAGCGTCATAATGCGATACAATTTTTTTTTCACCTGTTCTTTTTGTTTTCTTGGTTTAGGGAGGGAGGGAGGGGGGCGCGATCTTGGGCGACGCCCGAGTGCATGTCGTGCGTCGAGGCGGGAAGTGGTATGACGAGCACGAGTGAGGGGAGGGAATGAGGGGCTTCGGGACGCTGAAGCCAAAGCTGGGGTTTAAAGGACGTGGGGTAGCGTCACGTCGCAGGGAGGGATCAAGTGCGGGGAAGGTGAGGTGTGCCGCGTGGTTTTTTGATTCGGCAGAAGGAAGCAGATGATACCAAGGCACGCGCGGGGAACGGCGGGCCCCAAAGGTACCCCCTCTTATGTACCACGAGACGAATTGCTCTGGCAAACCGTTGCCTCCCCTCCAGTGCTCACCCACACGCGCTCTGGGGCTTCGTTCAGCTGCCAGCCGTATCATTCTCTTCGGAACCAATCGTCAGCAGATGCGGGTACCGGCCTTCTTGTCTCTTTGCTCGTCGCCTTCCTCCGAGACAGCATGAGCTCCTCTGCAAACTGTCTCGCCGGCTGTAGGGCGGCCTTTCGTCCGCCGCGGGGCACTGGCTTCCTGGCTGCCTTGAAGCCAGCAGTTGCAAACACCTCGTCCGTGTTTCGACGTGAAGACCGCTCCAAGCACACCAAGATCCAAGCTGGGGCTGCTGGCGTACGGAGCCTTAGCCGTCCGCTCCCGCTGTCCCTGCAGAAGCATGTCTCGCAGGTCACTGCTGTTGCTCATTATGCATCCCATGCATCGGAGCCGCACGATGAGGAGCTGCCTAGCTCACCGCCTTTCACAGCAGGCCCCTATGCCAATCTGACAATTGGTGTGCCCAAAGAAAGCTTCCCTGGTGAGAGGCGCGTCGCCATTACCCCACAGAATGTAAAGTTGCTCCTCAAGAAGGGCTTTTCCCGCGTCTTGATCGAGCAGGGTGCTGGTGAAAGCGCCCAGTTCCTAGATGAGGCTTACGAGCTGGCTGGGGCCCACACTGTGGACCGCTGAAGCATCTTCTCGCAAAGCGATATCCTCCTCAAGGTTCGGGCGCTCAGCATCGAGGGTAGCGACAGCGAGGTTGATGCTATCCGAGAGGGGGCCACCGTCATCTCCATGCTCTACCCCATGCAAAACAAGCCGACTGTTGAACGTCTCGCCTCTCGAAAAGCCACTACATTCGCCATGGACATGGTTCCCCGTATTTCTCGAGCCCAGGTCTTTGATGCTTTGAGTTCCATGGCAAACATTGCTGGCTACAAGGCCGTCTTGGAAGCCTCGAACCATTTTGGACGCTTTCTCACTGGTCAAGTCACTGCTGCTGGAAAGATTCCCCCTTGCAAGGTCCTTGTTATCGGCGCTGGTGTTGCGGGTTTGAGTGCTATTGCTACTGTAAGTGTGCCGTTTTCTTCATGTGCCAAGAGTCAGACTGTGAATACTGAGCGGAGAAAGACCCCTAACATGAGAACAGGCTCGCCGCATGGGCGCCATCGTCCGTGGTTTCGATACTCGCTCTGCTGCACGTGAACAAGTCCAATCTCTTGGTGCCGAATTCATTGAAGTCGACGTCAAAGAAGACGGTTCTGGTGCTGGCGGTTATGCCAAAGTCATGTCTAAGGAATTCATCGAAGCGGAAATGAAACTCTTCTACGAACAGTGTCGCGAAGTCGATATTGTCATCACCACAGCGCTGATTCCAGGAAAGCCGGCCCCTAAACTCATCACAAAGGCAATGCTTGGTGCTATGAAACCCGGTTCCGTCGTGGTTGATTTGGCGGCTGAAGCTGGCGGCAACTGTGAAGCTACTGTTCCTGGCGAGCTGACCAAGTTTGAAGGAGTGTCTGTCATTGGTAAGTGGATGTACGTCGGTACAGAAACCCGACTGATGTATGGTTAGGTTACACCGATCTTCCATCTCGCTTGCCAACCCAATCGTCTACGCTTTACTCGAACAACGTGACCAAGTTCCTGCTTTCGCTGACTCCAAAGGATAAAAAGGACAAGTACTTCGATGTTGATCTTACCGACGAAGTCACTCGCGGAGCTATCGTCACCTACAATGGCCAGATCCTGCCACCTGCTCCGCGTCCTGCTCCTCCACCGGTCCAAGCCAAGCCTGCCCCATCACCTGCCGATCAAGCTGCAAATGCTGTCGCCTTGACACCGTGGCAAACTCAGACAAGACAGGTGGCGACGGTGACGGCTGGTATGACAACTGCTCTTGCCCTTGGAAAGTTTACCGGGCCATTGTTCATGTCCAATGCTTTTACGTTCGCCTTGGCTAGTCTGATTGGATACCGCGTTGTATGGGGAGTCGCACCAGCATTGGTACGTAGCGCTCTACACAAAGTGCGATTGCGACAAATACTAACCTTATCGACACACTGTAGCACTCTCCATTGATGAGCGTAACGAATGCAATTTCTGGAATGGTAGGTGTTGGAGGGTTGTTTGTCATGGGCGGTGGCTACTTGCCCGAAACAATTCCCCAAACGCTTGGAGCTCTCTCTGTCCTGCTCGCCTTTGTCAACGTATCAGGAGGTTTCGTCATCTCCAAAAGAATGCTGGATATGTTTAGACGCCCTACCGACCCCAAAGAATACCCCTGGCTTTACGCTATTCCAGCGGTTTTGTTTGGCGGAGGCTATGTAGCAGCTGCATCAACTGGCATGGCTGGTCTTGTACAGGCAGGCTACCTGGTGAGCAGTCTCCTCTGCATGACTTCCCTGTCAGGACTTGCATCACAGACCACGGCCCGTCGTGGTAACATCCTAGGTATACTCGGCGTATTTTCTGGTATCCTCGCTTCCCTGGCGGCTGTTGGATTCACTCCCGACGTCCTCACGCAGTTTGCTGGATTGGCTACAGTCGGTACAGTTGCTGGTCTTATCATCGGACGGAGGATTACTCCAACGTCTCTTCCCCAGACAGTCGCCGCATTGCATTCCGTTGTCGGTCTCGCCGCAGTCCTCACCAGCATTGGCAGCGTTCTCGAGCACACTGGCGAGATTTCGACTCTCCACATGGTGTCTGCTTACCTTGGTGTTCTCATTGGTGGAGTTACATTCACCGGGTCCATTATAGCCTTCCTGAAGCTGGCTGCCAAGATGAGCTCCAAACCATTGGCACTGCCAGGTCGGCATTTGATCAATTCCTCGCTCCTTGGAGCAAACTTTGCAACCATGGGCGCATTTTTGGCTTACGCTCCTGGCGCGCCCATGATAGGTGCTGCATGTCTTCTTGGCAATGCTGCCCTCTCTTTCATCAAGGGCTTCACGACGACGGCTGCTATCGGTGGAGCTGACATGCCTGTCGTCATCACCGTCTTGAACGCGTATTCTGGGTTCGCGCTCGTCGCAGAAGGCTTTATGCTTGACAATTCCTTGCTGACGACGATTGGAGCCCTCATTGGCGTCTCGGGTTCCATTCTATCTTACATCATGTGCGTGGCCATGAATCGGTCGCTTACAAACGTCTTGTTTGGTGGCATAGCGCCAACGGCGCAAACTCAGACCAAGGTCGAAGGGGAGATCACCAAGACCACGCCCGACGAAACGGCCGATGCTCTTGTCAATGCAGAGAGCGTCATCATCGTAGTGGGCTATGGAATGGCTGTGGCCAAGGCGCAATATGCACTCGCCGACTTTGTCAGCATGCTGCGTGCAAAGGGAGTCAATGTGCGATTTGCTATTCATCCCGTTGCGGGTCGGATGCCTGGCCAGTGCAATGTGCTGCTGGCCGAAGCCAGCGTGCCCTACGACATTGTCCTCGAGATGGAAGAGATCAATGACGATTTCGCGGACACGGACGTCACGCTTGTAATCGGTGCGAACGACACGGTAAACCCCATTGCCCTGGAGCCAGGCAGCGCGATCGCAGGCATGCCTGTTCTGCATGCGTGGAAGAGTAAGCAGGTCGTCATCATGAAGCGCGGAATGGCGAGTGGATATGCCGATGTGCCGAATCCCATGTTCTTCATGGAGAATACAAAGATGCTGTTTGGAGATGCGAATGACAGCTGCAACGGTAAGCCAGGCCCGGGCCAAATTTCGGCCATGCGACAGATGCTAATGACATGTCAGCTATCAAACGCGCGCTGGAGGAGAAGATCAAGGGGCTGTAGGCGGGCGTGTTGGGGGTGTGGGCTAGGGTTGGCTTTGGTATTAGTGGCTTCTGAACTTTTTTTTGCATGTTGTGCATGAATCGCAAAGTGCCCGTGATACAGACAGCCGGGCACCCATGAGACGGCGTGATGAAGGCCAGCGCCCTTGTGACAGGCGAGCAAAAGCACCTCTGGAGCCGCCGAGGGCAGCGTTGGCAGCAGGCGGGCGGAGTTGTGCATTTCACAGCGACCCTTGACCCTGCTGGCAGCCTGTTGCCATGGTCCCGTGACTGCGCCCTTGGCGGCCCTACTGGCCTAGCAAAGGCTCCGGGCGATTGGGGGCAGCCAGTCGCATGGGCGGGCCATGTGGTGCGGCGGTCCGGGATGCGCGAGTGGATGGCGAGGATGGCATGGCGAGGACGGCGATGATGACGATGGCGATGGAGCGGTGGAGCGGTGGATGGCTGGATGGCTGGATGGCTGGATGGCTGGATGGCTGGATGGCTGGATGGATGGATGGATGATGCAGCCGTCGCACTGGCACAGCGATGGCGAGGCCGTTGGGCTGATGATGCAGCTGCAGGCGGCGGGACCCCTCTCGCGAAAAGCAGCTAGCGCGGCTGCCTCGTCGGCGGCGGATCGCAACTTCTGTCACCATCGAAACCTGCCGGTGCCAGCAACCTCAGTCTCTCTCCCCGTTCCCCCTCACAGTCTCCCCGACCGGTGCCCGCAGCGCACAAAGGCGACGCCGCCCATGTACTTGTCTTTTTTCTCTCGCGGCGGCCGGCGCGGCGGGGGGCGCGGGCGACTCTGGCAGGGCTGGCCGGCGGCGGTGCAGTGGCGTCACGTGACGGGGATTACGGCTGGCGTTTCGTTCCAAATGAGACCCCAAATCGCGTTGCCCGCTAGAGCGTGAGGAGTAAAATCGAGTCCTCGCAGCTCGGTCACTCCCACAGCATTGTCCCGGTACAGCCCTCCAGCCGCCCGCTCGAGCCCCAGGCCATGTTCCTGTCGCACGCAGGCCTTTTTTCCCTCTCGGCAATCCATCCCCTCGTCGCCCTCTAAAGCTCGTGGAGCTTTTGGCCCGCCCTCTCCGCACCCAGCCCTCACAGCTGCGCTTCTCTACACGCCAGCGTCGCCCGCTCGAGAGCGCCCGTTGCGCGATACCGCCCGCCGTGCCATTGACCCGGCTCATCTCCCGCTCGTCGTCGTCCCGCTGCTGCACCCTCGTGCTGCTCGTTCCCGCCTCCTACCACGCCCGGCCGCACGCCCTCGCAGGCGCACCCAACGCCGTCGGCCTCGCGAGCTCCCCTCCCATTCCTCGATAGCCGCCCAGCTATCGCACACAGGCACGCCCGCCAGCCGTCCTCGCAATGTCGCCGCGACGCTCATCGCGGGCTCGTACCACCCAGCCCCCACCCAGCGTCGCAACCCACAGCAACTCGTCATCCTCCGTCTCATCAGCGCGTACCGATCGTGCGTCACGAACAAGCGCCAAACAGACCTCACCACCCAAGTCGTCGACCCCGCACTCGCTTTCCTCGGAGGAGCCCGAAGAGGCGCCTCACGATGCACAGCCCGAGCCGCCCTTGACACGCCGCCGAACACGCGAACACGACAATGACGAAGACGAGTCGGCCAAGCTCGACGACGAGCTCGACGACGACATCGCCGAAGAAGACGAAGTCACCCGATGCGTGTGCGGCTACCAAGAGTACCCGGGCCTGCCCTCGGACTCGATCAAGCCCGGCATGTCGCTGGCCGATCTGGAGGCTCAAGCTGACGAGCTCGGCGGCCTCTTCATCCAATGCGACGTCTGCAAGGTTTGGCAGCACGGTGGATGCGTCGGCATCATGGACGAAGCCGCCAGCCCAGACGAGTATTTCTGTGAAGAGTGCAGAAAGGACCTTCACAAAGTGACGACCAGTTCCAAAGGGTACGTAATTGCTCCAGTTCTTCTGCTGTATCGCCTTGGCCGCCTCGCGATTCGGTCATCTGCATCCTGGCCAAATCCCCCGAAGCTCAGCATCCACTCTTAACCGCCCGATGGTCTGCGAGAACGCAACAATAGCTGACGAGATTGTCGCAACAGTCAAAAGTATTCTCGCTACCTCCCCGTCTACGACCAGCAGCATGGCAAGCATCGTAAATCGTCCGTCTCCAAGGAGTCTGAAGGAAACTCGGCCAAGGACAAAGACCGCAACAACAGGGCCAGCGTAGACTCTTTCGGAAAGCGTAGATCGACCATGAACAGCCGAGCTGCGTATGACGAAGATGAAGTACTGCGGAAGGTGCTTGAAGAAAGCAAGCACGAGGGCGGTACAACTTCAGAGAACGGCAACAGAAAGAAGCGAAGCCGCGATGACAGTGAAGAGTGCGTCCCGCCTGCTACGCCCAGCGTCGCTGGAAGCTCAGCTGACAAGCTTTGCCACAGGACAAAGCCAGAAATCAAACGACAGCGCACAGGTTCGCGGTCTCCCAGCAATTCACCAGTATTAGAGTCGGAAGACGACAGCACCAAGGCCTCGGCACCAAAGCAGAAGCCTCGCGGTGCTGCCGCAAAGAGTCAGCGGGAAAAGGAGCAGCGCGACAAAGAGCGCGAAACCCAACGTAACGAAGCCGCAAATAGGCGAAAAGGCCGTGCGGAACGGAGAAAGGGAGATGGTAGGCTACAAAATTCTGGAATACGAACCTTGGCTAACAGTTGTAGATCCCGAAGATCCAGAACCCACACCCACACCCGCCGCAGAAGAACCCCCTATGCCTCCACAAGCTCCTGAACCCGCAGTGCCCGAACCACCAGCCGTAGAACCCAAGCCCATGCCTGTACCACGAAGAGGCGGACGTCCCCCCCAAAAGTCTCGTGGTCGACTTGGACGAAACCAATATTCGAGAGACACGGCCCCCGCAACCAACGGCACTTCACCCAAGAATGATACCGCACAGTCGCCACAAACGAGTGCCACAAACGGCATGAGCAACGGCCACGATAGCAGCGATGGGGCAGCTGGACAGAAACCGACCAAGACGAAGAACTGGCGACTACAAAAACTGTCTTGGAACGACATACGAAGGCCAGCAGGGGCCATGCAGAGCTATATAGCGCAGCGACAAGTCGAGATGGCTACTGCAGAAAAACACATGAGTGTTGCCCCAGCTGTGCAGCCGGCCATTGACGCGACCAACGGAGATGCGCTTCCACCTGCAGCGAAAGACGAAGATGCCGATTTGGCCAAGTTCAAGGATCTGAGCACGACGCAGATGATGGACTTTTTGAGCCGAGATCTTGTGCATTGGCAGCAGATGATATCGGAGCCAATGGACAAGTCACCGAGACCATGACTGTCAGTATTCGTCCATGTGTGGCCTACCCTGTAAATTCGGCGTATTGGGACATTTGTGCACGACCTCAAAACGGCGTTTTCTGTTTGATTGTTTGCTCGCGACACGGATACCCTCCACTTGGTTTGCTTGACGCTCTGGGCCCTCTCTAGAGCATCGGCCTTTTTTTTCTTATTTTGATTGATCCACATTGCCCTATTCGTTATAACAGGGCATGCATTTCTTATGTAGTGTATGTATGCAGGGGGGGGGGAGGTAAACGAACATTCGCATCCAACAGCCAAGGTCATGTTGATGCTGGGAATGGCAAACGGGGTTCTTTGATGGTACGTAGACTAAAGTTAGTTCCGCAGATTAATGCCCAGAACTTTTTGAGTCAATATATATATGAAGAGACAGCCTCGAAAGAAACAACCAAGTCGTGCAAAATTCGTCATTACCAATGGCTTCATTATTCAAGTCAAAATCTACCTTCTCCCCTCTCTCTTTTCTCTCCTAATTTACTTATTTCCTGTTTTTTTTTCTTTGTTTTCTTTTTTCTTTTTTCTTCTTTTCTTTGAAGAAATCAGATTATTCATTCATCCTTGCCGACCTTGATTTCCAAAACACCCATGGTCGGATTCGCCCTCAGCACCTCGAGCAAAGCGGCGAAATTGTCATCCGTCACAATGGTGTATTCGGGCCAGATTTTGGCATCGCGGCCCTTGGTGTCCCAGTGCAGGCGGAACTCTTTGATGTGCTCGGCCGGCCCGTCTTTGGCCTTGTGCTTGGCCATGACTTGTTGTTGTTGTAAGTGTTGGCGTTTGCGTGTTTGGATAGTCTGGGTATATATGGAGGGACGGACGGACGGACGGACGGACGGGAAAGGTGGGTGGGGGGAAAAGGGAAAAGGGAAAAGGATAACGCACATTCAGCGCAATTAGGACTTTGCGCCAGGGTGGCTGTGATTTGCTTGTTGAGGGCTTTGAGCGAGGGCTTGGCGCTTGTGTCGAGGAGCAGGAATTCGTGCCTGTTGCTGGGCGGGAGGGTGAAGAGCAGGGGGATGTGCGTCGACGAAGACATCTTTCGGGCTTTGTCGGGTTTGCGGTTTCGTGTACTGTGCTGCGCGGGTTTAGGGTCGAGCTGGTCTGGGCGTGTATGTATATCCGATGGATGGATGGATGGATGGGTGGATGGATGGATGGGTGTGCGATGGCTCCAAGTCGTTCAAAAGGTGTTCTAGTATGTATCAAGTATGTATGTATGCGTATGAGAGGGGCAGTAGATGGAAAGGAGAACAAAGTTGGACCTAACATTCCTTCCAAGATTTTTTTTTATTACCGTCAAGAGGCGTCGAATGCGCCACTTCTCTCTCTCCCCCCGTTACTTGTCTCTCTTCGTCCTTGCTGCCATTACACACACGCGCACACTCACACACAGGTTCTTGGGCTTGGTTTTGCGCGCTGCGAGCGGGTGCTTGCGACAGGGATGGTACGTCATAGCACGCTAGTTTGGGGGTGTGATCGGCGCTCATGACAGGGGAGACCTGGCGGTGCCCCGCTTTTGCCATGGGCTGAAGAAGGGCTGGAGGATTGACGGACTGCGTGGGTGAAAGATGGGCTTCGAGGCGGAGTGTTGGGGCGTGTTTGAGACGCAGATGTTGTGCATGATGGTGGGCTATTTTTTGCTTTTGCTGTCTATTTGTTTTATGAGTGGTTTTGACGTGCGGACGCAAGTGCAAGTGCAAGCGTTGGCTGCGGATAAGATATGGGAATGATGATGTCAGGGCAATGTATAGTATGGGGTGACGTATCTTGTGCGCTGACTGTCTGGTATTGTGCGACGACGACGACGACGACGACGGCGGCGCAATCGTGGCGACAAGTACTCAATGGAGATTTGAACCTCTACTAAGCACAAGAGAGGATGCTAAGTCGTCTCAGTATCCCTTGCCTGTGTATGTATCTGCGGCTTTTTTCGTCTCGGGTCCGTCATGCCTTTGTTGCTTAGAGAAACTTTGGTATTAGCTTCTGCATGCTAGTGTATCCGCGATTGCAAGATGCCACTAACTCATGTCTGTCCGAACGCCAATTCGCCGTCATATAATTTCAATCTCGAATATCAGGCACGCATGACCCGAGACGTGCGAGGTGAGGTTGCTTGGTGGCATCTTCGCCCGAGACTTGTCCCGCAATGTAGGTGTATACGCGGTGCGCTGAAGTCGCCGGGGCGCAGTTCTCGCAAACAACTGTTAGCCTCGCTGGTGTGTGGTTTGCATAGTTTCTTGCATTCTCGTTTCGAGATGCATAGGCTAGATTGACGAGCCATGGTTGAGGCGCGGACCTCGGCTGCAGCAAGCCGTGTGGTGTGGCCTTTTCGCTGGAGCGTGTCTACACCACACGACAACAACAACACGCCGACGTTGTTTAGTTCCAGAACATGGCACAAATTGGTTCGCTTTGTCATACGGTTCTCTGGCGTCGATAGATTAATCGTCGTCACGGTCACATGACTGCGCCACTCCGAGGACTCGCCATGATAAAGATGAAACCAAGCCACCGCGATAACAATTTGCATGCGCCTAACTCGCTCGCTGGAAAAGCGCCTCTGCGTTTCTGGCAAAAAATTACAGTGCTCTGACCCATTCCGGGAGCGCGCCGCAGCAGCTAGCTACCCCACACTCTGCTCTACCGGCGCCCGGCTCTTCTTGTTCCACAAATATGCATGTCCGGTATTAAAAGCACTATCCGCGAGCCTCATAGTCGTGGGTCATCTGGAGCTAACGTTAATCTATCTCTCGCGCCTCATTGGCCGCTTTTGCTAGCTTTAGATGAGAACACCAGTCTCGCACTCTGCAGCGGCCGGAAGCTAAGCGGCTTTCTGCCTGTGCTTTAACCAACCGTCCATGTGGCCATGTGTTTGACGGAACTAAAAGGCGAAGATGCCGGGGTGCTGCGTGCGTAAATACAGCGGCCGCGTGGGATTAAAGAATGTGCTTTGTGTCTGCAAATTTCCGGTCGACCACGCAGACATAGCATAACCTTCAGGATAATACTCGGTCGAACAGGCTGCTTGCCGAGTCAGCTGTGCTTTGGTGCTGGCGTTAGTTGGACATCCTCGTCAATATGTTTCTAACCCCGGTTTTCGCCACCCAGATGGTGTGAGTGTCTTCACCGCACCCCCCCCCCCCAGACGACTCAACTGCTCACAGACACAGGCATGAACCTACGTTTGGCGCGCCAAAACGAGATCCCTCTTCTCCTACCGCGCCCTCTGTCCTGTCTTCTGCATCCTCGGATGCGTCGTTTGGGTGGAGGAAAAGGAGGGATTCCACCAGCTCCAATGTGTCCGTGTCTACAGACGCCTCTTCTGTGCCTTCGGTCCAGCCCAGTCCGCGGCCCAAGCACCGCAAGACGCTTTCCAGCAGTTCCATTACCCGGCGTCTGTTGCAAAAACGCAAGCCAGAGCAGCCTCAACGGAAAAGCGAGCCACCGCCAACCTCAGCTCCTGTGCTGAGCCCGGCGCCCGTTGCGATTCCGCCGTCGTCTCCACCTGCAAGCGAAGAAAAAAGCTCAGACCTGGTTGTGCGTTGCAGAAGCGATGTCTATCACGTGGACCGTGTCATCATGTGCTACCACTCACGATGGTTTGCGAGGGTCTGCGCCGTCGTCATGTCTCCGGTATGCTGGCCTCATGCCTTTGCCTCGACTACGCTGACGCAAACCAGAAATCATCAAAGGGTGCCATAGACCTCAGTGCAGACGACCCCTCTGCCGTCGCTGCAATGATGCAGTACTGCTATCAGCTTGACTACGTCCACCAGCTGTCTGACTTTGACTCCGATGTATCTGAGGATGCGACCCTGCCCTTCCATGTAAAGGTATACATGCTCGCAGAGCGCTATGGCGTTGCTGGCTTGAGGGCCCTCGCACTGCAGAAGTTCAAGCAGTGTGTCGCTATAGTGCTGAATGAAGATGGCAAAGAAGAGCAGCTCCTGCTTGCCATTCGCGTCATGTATGCCCCGGATCGCAGAGCAAACGCCGACGACCTCAGACGCGTCGTCATCAAGCTGTGTGCAGATCACGTGCAAGACTTCATTCACGACACGGGTAAGAAGATGTCGCTCGTCTATCAGTCAATGGAAGAGTATCCAGACTTTAGAGCAGAACTGTTTGAAGAGATGGGGTCTCGTTGGAGACAGTGAGAGACTAGCTGCTGTGTTCTGATGGTGCGAGGCAAGCAATCGCTCAGTCTCTGTAGTCATTCAAGATCACACAACTGTCTGTCCAAGAGGGTAAAACTTGGTTTCTTTTGTATAATCATGCCAAAGGCCTCAAAAGCGATGACGGTTGAACCATTACACACAACCACTTCACTCGTTTGACCACTAGTACGACCGACTCCAGCGTCACGGTTTGCCGGAGCCTCACCTTCACTGATGCTCGTCAATTACTAGCGGGACCCCTACCAGACTAGGCGCGGTCTGAGCACCACAGTCACGTTCGTTTACTCGCGCGCTCTACCAAGATTCACCTCGTATCCAATGGGTATACGACGAGGCTCAAAAAGTTTTACAAAAGCTTCCTCCTACTTCCTCCTTACGGCGCACTCCATCCCATAGTCGCCACATCATAACACACACCACAATGGACCCGGGAGATCGAAAGCGTGGCTTTAGCAACGCCTTTCACCCATCCAACGACCCGTATCGCAAGGCACTGCGTAGCATCACTGGCTCCACTGCTTCGAGTCGTCCATCCTTCGACACGCCCATTGTCATGTTTGGCTCGAACAAAGAGAACAAGGAACCCTTCTTCAACACAACCACAGAGCTTATGAAGCTTTTCGATGCTCCTCAATCACATGTGCGCCAGCCACTAGGCCCCCGCTTCTTCGAGCCACATGCAGAGCTCCCGTATGACAGCATGGACTTCACGATGAGTGAAAACCCCATACCTCTTTCGGAACAAGGCCACCAGATCAACTCATCTGCAGTCGGATATGGTTCAGACCCATGTTCAAGCTCCCCGTTTGACGGCGTGCTGGCATCGTGCTCTTACACAGAGCCTGGACCCGTCATCTTCGAAGACCCAGACACCCCCGTCTATGATCAACTTGACCACACTGGCAAGGTGACCCCGACTGACCTGTCTTTTCAGGACTTGTCGCTGCAGGAATCTCCAGAGACATGGCTTCCAGGCCAGTGCCAGTCCCCGACTCGAGTCACCCGTACGAGTGTCTTCATGGTGGAGTCCAAGTCTCTACAGCGGTAAGTTCTCACCTCGTTCGTATCTGTGCACACATGCCTAATACCAGCACAGATATTTCCCAACCCTCGATCCAGAAGACATAGCCATATACTTTGACAAAGGCAAGCAAGTCATGAAAGTCAACAAGTACCTTCTCAGCAACGCATCTCACTTCCTCGCCGCCATGCTCAACGTACCGTCGCTCGTAAGTCGCTGTACCATTACGCCCTCGAAACTCCAACTCATTCGCTTGCAACAGGAAGGCCACACGCGCTGCATCCGTCTTCGAGATGACTTCCCCTACGCCATCGCCGCCATGGTGCAGTTTATCGAAAACGATATCTACGCCTTTGATCCCAACATGCGCACCCAGTACCCGCACATCACGCTCCTGGACCTGCACATCCACGCCTACATTGTCGGCGCCAAGTACAGCGTGCACAGGCTGTGCGACCACGCCATTGACGAGTACCTCAACATTGGCCGAATGATCCTCAGCATGGGCATCCGTGTCCGCGACACCGACACAATGGATTTCCCAGCCGACCACTCGCCACATGCGAACACGAACAGCCCCGTCTCGTCAGTCGTGAATTCCTTTCTCGACTCCCTCGTGCTCATCTGGCGCAACACGTCGCACCGCGATGACGCGTTGCGCGATGCGGTGCTCGAGCTGCTGAAGCCGCAGCTGCCGCAGCTCATGCACCTGAAGTTCTTCCAGACACTGATGATGGAGATGCCGGGGTTTGGCGACGATGTCGTGCAGAGTCTGGCCGAGGATGGCTTCGATGTCAAGGCTTATCCTGTGCTACCGGGTTTCCGCAAAAAGGGTACTGTCTGGTTCAGTGGCGCGTGAGTGAACTAGTTTGACGGCGGCGGGTTAGGTCTGGGAATACATGCGGCGTGGCATGCACGTCATGTGCAATGCGGAGATGGACATGGTCATGGATGGGGTGATGTGGCGGTCTGAGTTCCATCATGCGATACCTGTAGTTAGCTTGCAAAGACTAAAAGTACATTTGCTAATCAAGCGGTGTGTCACTGCTCTCATCTTGTGTTGTCTGAAGCGTATCGTTGTGCATGTCAAGTCCTTCATACTGATGCGAAAGCTATGTGTTTTGGAATGGCGCTTACTAAGGCCGTTCCGTACATTGAACGAGTAGAGGGCATGGAGATTGACAAGGAGAAGGTGTGGCTTGTGCACTTTACGAGTGGCTCACGCCAAAGGTGGCTGGCGACGCGTGGCAGTAGATGAACGCGTGTCGAACGCTTGCTGCACACATGATCAATGGAAATGAAGTAATCTTGGACCACTTGTAGTATTGCCATTTATGTGATATGTCGGACCCTCTTGTATGTCCATGCTGTCGTCGCTTCAAGGCTAGGCACAAAACTATAGCAAAAGGGTCAGTTTTACTCTTCGCGATCCGAGTGGAGTTCGATCGTCCATGGAGAAGCTGGACGAGACCTCAAAGAAGATGGCGTGTGTACCACAAAGTGTGGACTTTTTTTTTTTTTTTTTTTTTTTTTTAGACTTTGATAAATTTAGTATGCGAGCCCATGGCAACAATCGGGCCCGGCTTTCCATCGACTACTTTCGATATAGTCGCCGTGGTAAATGCAAGGGTGCCGCCCACTTTGTCTGCTCTGCCCTCGATCTCTATCGTGTCGCCATCCTTGGCTCCGCTCAGGTACGAAATGTGGATGTCGGTGGAGACACCGGTTTTGGATCGGTTGTCCCAGGCAGCGATTGCAACGCCGCCCACCCAGTCTACAAGGGTTGCAGAGACAGAGCCGTGTATACTGCCATGGGTGTTGACGTGGTTCTTAGTCAACGGTAGCCGTGCGCGCACGACACCTTTGGCCGCGTAAGTCAGCTTGATGTCGTCGAGCAGAAATTGGTAGATGGGGCTGCTCGGCTTGCGGTCCTCCCAGTACTTTTCGACATGGGCCAGGATGTCGGGGTCATTGGGAGCGTCGCTGGACATGGTGAAAAGGATGGGCCGGGTTTTGCTTGTGGGAGAGGGGCAGGCTGGGGTTTGCAATTTGTACGTGCAGAAGAGGTACCCACCCAACGACGCCTCGAGCGGCGTCGGCGTTACTATTTTGCGGCCTCTGCGATCATCAGGGCGGCATCTGTGAAACGGCCAAGGCAAGTATCCGCCGCCTGGGGACGCCACAAATTCCGTCTATCGCGCTGGACCATGCTTCACAGCAGGCCAGGACATCTCCCAGCTCTTAAAAGCCCGATGTTTGCGAACATCCAGCCACCATGACCAACAGCGACGCCGTTGAAGCACCCACAAGCCCGCCCAACTCCGCACTCGAACATCGCCATGGCGCTGACTCGCCACGCCATGGCACCGGCGTGACAGGCCTGGATAACCCCAAGGCAGATTCCAACACCACGGGCGAGCCTAATCCGCCTCCGCTCGACGTCAAGGCGCTTACCGATCGCGCATTGCACTTCTTGGCAACCGCCAGCAATGAAACCCTCGGGGCCTGCCTCGCTGGACTGGGCGCGGGCACCTATCTCATACTAGGCCGCGTCGGTTTGGTTCTCATAGGCGTGGTGGGCGGCGTAGTTCTGCACGCAACATGGGAGGGCCACCACGGCCAGAGCCTGAGCACACAGGGAAAGGGTGCTGACGCCAGGAAGCGCGAGCTGGGCGCTGACATAGCCCAGCGCGTCCTCGACTGGCGGAACTCGCAGGCCCACGACGACAAGACGCAGCAGCATGACAGCTACGACCTCAATGTGCAACTGTACTCGGGCAAGAGGCTCGACTACTCCGATTTCAAGCCAGAGACGGCCGCGGCGCTGACGGAGCTGACGGATGCAGTCATTCGTGACTATGTCAAGTATGTCCTCTGTGTAGTCTTTAGATACTTGTCTAATACACCGCAGGGAGTGGTACTCGCCCCTACTGCCCAGCGAGGAGTCTTTCCCAGACTCGTGCCGCCAGACCTTGACCGCCTTTATACTCTCCACGTCTGCGCACCTCTCCCGTAAAAGACCAGCCGACAACTTGGTTGACTTTGTGACGCGTTCCTCGTCCTTTATCATTATACTGCTCCAAGAGATTGCCACTGCCATACAAACCTCGCCCGGCGATGCCCCCACCGAAGCAGTCGACATATACCTCAAGATGAAGCGGGACAGCACCCTCGCCAACATCCTCGATCCAGATTACCAGATGAAGCAGTTCAGTATCGCTGCCGAAGACATACTGCAGAACTACCTGGAGCCCAAGACGTACAATTGCATGCCAGCACGTATCTTTTTGCACCAAATATTGGCCAAGCTGGTTCTAGAAACATTGGTTGTGAGCTGTTCCAAGCCAGAGTCGATCAACGGATGGATCGTCTATCTATTGGAAGCAGGCGAACCCGAGCTTCTGAATGCCATTGACGCAGGCGTCGAGGGCTCCTCGGGACAGCTGCAAAGTGGCACAATGGATGCAGGAAAGGGACTAGATAGTCGCGATGCAGCGGCCATAGCTGAAAAGAAGGAGCACAAACGTGTCATGAGTAAAGCCCAGGAAGCCATGGACGATGCTATGCGGGAAGCCCGGATCTTGAGCCAGATGATTGCTGAGGAGGATGCCAGACGACTCCAGGAGCAGCAAAAGCAGAGCGCATCCACTTCGACGCTGAATGACGACCAGTCCGAAAGCACCACTCAAGGCATCGTCACCCCATCTTCTTCAGAGAGTGACGCACATGCCGACATTGAGGCCACAGACTTGGGCATTTCAGGTCTCTCAGCTGCATCAAGTTCAGGCATCACACCGTTGTCTCCAACAAAGTCTGTGGACGAGTCTGTAAAGGAAGAGGAGACCAAAAAGGCTTTTACAAGCTTCGACCAGCTTGCGCTACCCCAAGGACCAACAGCCCTTATGGATAACCCACCAACTGCTGAGAGGCCGCCTCCGTTGACATTGTATAATAGCACAATGTCAATCTTTGACGATAGCATGCCTGGAGAAAAGGGCAATATCAAGAGCAAACCAACCGCCGAATACTTGATTCAAATCGAGCCGAAATCCAGCCACCACACGGGTTGGATGACAGCACGAAAATACAGCGAGTTTGAGACTCTACACGAAGTCATGCGCCGCATAGCAACAATTACCGGGACCGTTGGCTTCACCGAAGCACATCCCTCATTGCCAGGCTGGAAAGGCCATACCAAAGCATCTCTGCGTGGAGAACTCGAGCGCTATCTCAACCATGCTGTGCAGTACCAGCCGCTTGCTGAAAGCGAGGGTATGAAGCGGTTTTTAGACAAAGAGCTTGGCTCTGGGAAGACTCCCGGCAGTGGCTTCCCTGGTATGAACTGGGCTGGCCAAACCTTTGACACAGTAGGCAAAGGTATGCTGGGGGCACTGACGAAGGCACCCAAGGAGGTTGCTGGTGGCGGTAAGGCGCTTTTCGGTGGAGTCACTGGGGTTTTGAGCAGTGTGGCAGCGCCATTGGGAGGAAGAAAGAATCGGGACTCGGTCATCAATACTACCAACAACACTACGACCTCTGGAAGCCCTGCCCTCAGTCGGACTTCAACTTCAACTTCGACAGCACCTATTCAGACACGACAGAACAGGGCGGAATCGATAGTCTCAGAGCTACCCACACACATTCGATCAGAAAGCACCTTGTCTCTAGCAAATAAACGCGCATCCATGGAGTCAGTGCGTGATCCAAATTCTCCTGTTATTGATCAGCAACCGGCACGGGAAGCTCCAATGGAACGGCGACCCTCTTCCAACCCTGATGGAGATGGTAAACGCTCTGGCAGGTCATCGAGATATGGCTCAAGAAGCAACAGCCGGGCGCCAAGTACGCACAAGGTTGAAGAGCTCAGCCCCATGATGGGCGGAGACCAAATTCTGAATCTCCCGCCCATGCCCAGCGAGATCTCAGACGACTACAACACACCAGGCAACCCCACAGATCTCATGCACAACCGAAAGCCATCCCGCACATCCATGGACTCGGTGCCTTCTATTCCCCGCCGTACCTCTACCACATCCCTCACCGCATCATCCCCCACAAAATCCGCACTCAAGTCCCGCACAGCCCCCGCATACACACCTCTCTCCGAAACCGAAACCACCGTCGTAATCGAACTCTTCTTCGCAGTCATAAACGAACTCTACACGCTATCCTCCGCCTGGACACTCCGCCGCACCCTACTCAACGCCGCAAAAACCTACCTCCTTCGTCCAGGAAACCCACAGCTCTCCTCCATTACCTCCCTCTTGCAAACCACCGTCCTCGACGGCAACACGTCCGACGCCGGCCTCGCATACCACATCCGCAAGGTCCGCGAGAACGCCATGCCGACCAAGGACGAGCGCGAGAACTGGTCTGCACAATTGTCAGATGAGGATAAGGAGAAGCTTAGAATCAAGGCAAGGAGACTCCTTGTCGAAAGAGGAATACCGCAGGCCCTTACTAGCGTCATGGGCCAGGCCGCCAGCGGCGAGGCCTTGGGTAAAGTCTTTGACTGTCTACAGGAACCCAGAGTCGCCAGAGGCATCATGTTTGGCTTGGTATTACAAGGTCTGAGGGCTTTGACGCAATAAACGAAGACTTGTTTTTTTTTGGTACGACATTCCCGGTAATACGAGTTTAAGATTTTTTTGTTTTTGTCGGTTTTTTTTTCGGTCTTTTGGAGTCTCCGTTGTTTCTTTCTTTTTTTTGGTGGCGGGGGAGTTGATCGTATACACATACATGTAATTCATGAAAAGGCAAGGGCACACGACATATAAACAAGCAGGCGTGGTTCCTAAGTATGAATTCTTGTGCTTTTAATCGTTTTTTCTTTCTTTCTTTCTTTCTTTCTTTCTTTCTTTCTTTCTTTCTTTCTTTCTTTCGTTCGGGGTAGTTGAATAGATGACAATAGTCTTGTGGTGTTGATGCCATGGCACTTGCTCAATTCAAATGTTTTTTTAATTACCTAAAACCAAACCATTCTCAATCTCTCTCAACTCCCCACTCACAAAAACTCAGTTCCAACAACACTTGAAAACGACAAAATCCTCCTCACGCAACCCGTATTTTCCACTTGTTCATATATATCTCGCCGAGGCACATTTCTCATCTGAACATCCGTCTTGATGGTAAATCGCGCACCTTGGCTATTGGGCCGCAGGAACACTTGTATCGAGTTCCTCGAAGCGCCTGAGATCCATAGGCTCGGCGAGCAGAGGGATGACGTAAGGATCGAAAGTTTTCCAGTAAGGATTGTTGAGGTGGTATTGCTGGGACTGTTTTTTTTGGAAGAAGGGGGGGAAAGGCGTTAGTATGTTTGGAATTCTGTGTTGTTGATGCTGTTGGTTGCGCGTGGAGGGGGGTGGGGGGAGGGTTTGAGTAGGTAGGTAGGTAGGTAGGTAGGGTGGTGTGGTGTGGAATTAGTCGTAGTGTCATCCCACACCACCACCACCACCACCACCATTGCATCCGCACCGATTATCCAAGAACCGTAAAAAAACAAATGGGGGAAAGTAAAAAAAAACAAGCCAAAACTTACACTCTCCTGCACGTACCGCTCCACAATGCAAAACTTGCGCTTATCCGCCGTGTCCTGCATGACGAACCAGCTCAACGTCTCTTTATCCTTGGAATACACCTGGCTGGCTTCGACGAGCTTCGCACTCAGCTTGGAAATGCAGTCTGCATCGTCCTTGGCGACGAGGTGCACGACGATTGTGTAGACCATTTTTGCAAGTTTTTTTTCTCTCGTTTAGACAGGAAGAAGCAGAACAAAAAAAAGAATAAGCTTTCTCTCTCTCTCTCTCTCTCTCTCTCTCTCTGCAAGATAAAACTCTTTCTTTCAAGCAAAAGCAGGCTCGGCTCGTCAATGCGGGTAAGGTGAGGGGGGGGGGTTTTTTTCTCTCTCTCTTAAGAGTGACTTTTGTCTTGTCTTGTGTTACCGGAGTTTTGAGACGGAGAGACGTGTGTGCGTGTGTGCGTGTGTGCGTGTGTGCGTGCGTGTGTGTGTGTGTGTCGAGAAAGAAAGAAAGAAGGAAAGAAAAAAACTAGAACCCCCCCCCATCCAACAGAAAAACAAAAATCAAAAAAAGGGCTAAGAATTTACTAAAAGTAACCCAATACCCCACCACCACCACCACCACCACCTCGCTGCTTTATTATTCCCCCCAGTCCAACTCAGCTTTACCCCTCCTTCCTTCCTACCCTTGTACCCCTCTTCTTCTTCTTCTTCCCGCCTCACTACTTACTCGCGAAACAGCATCAGACAACCCTTTTGACACTTGCGTGGCCATGTATTTATCCGTGTATGCGCACGCGCGCGCGTGTGTGTGTGTGTGTGTGTGTTTTCTTTCTGCATGGCGACGGCTGCGGAATGACGTAACACACGCTTGCACTTGCACTTGCACTTGCACTTGCACTTGTCTTGTTGTTGTTGTTGTTGTTGTTGTGGAACCCCGCAGCGCCCCTCCCAAAAAGGTGGAGTGCCCAAGGCATAGGTAGTAGGTCGGTGGGTATGTACAAAGTAAGACGAACGATGCGCGCGTGCTTTTGCAAGCTAGCATACAACTTACACTTGCACTTGCACTTTGTGTCGCAAATGGAGCGAGCATCATTGGGCTGTTTGGCACAGCTGATAGAGGAGACTGGTATGAGAAGGATGTTTTGCTCTGGCTGTCTCTCGGGATTGAGGACTTGGGTAGACCAGCCAGTGCAACCGATCTTAACCATTATCATCATCATCATCAATAATATCATCACAATTTCCTAGTCAGTCACAACCACACCCGCAAGGCAGATACAAAACCGCAGATATTGTAAAAATAAAAAAGAGTAGAATTCTGCTACATATGTTGAACTGCACAGGACCAGGAAAAAGAGCATGTGCCTCCCAACACAGCTTTTTTCTCCCTATCCATGTGATTTTTTTATAAAAAAAAAGAGCTTTCTACTTACTCGCTTTGTTCCTCTACTCACTGGTTGATAGTGAGAAGAGAAAATTACAAAAAAAATCTTGCGCGGTATACGCTAAAGTTACACACGGTCATCCTCCCAATAGTTTCCACCCCATACCGAAAAAAAAGTATACATACCATCTCATGCCACGCCATGCCATGAACGAATGAAAAGCGTAAATGCATAAGACGTTGGATTACGCCTTGCTCAACATCTTGAGCACCTCTTCCTTCTCGCTTGTAGGCAGCGTGCTGAGCAAGCTCATCACACCCTTCAAGCCACCTTCGCGGTCCTTACTCATGAGCTGTGCAATCTCCGTCGCAATGCCGTCACTCTTGAGTTGCTCAATCTTCTCGTTGACGAGTGGCCTGTTCTCCTCGTACCATGTCGCCGCGCTCTGGTCATCTTGCTCCCAGTTGGAGATGTTGGACAGGTGCTTCAACATCTCGAAGCCACGAGCACGGGTGGCTGCGTCGGCCATGGGGTTCTCGAGTGATGGCGAGGCAGCGGCGGCGAACTTCTTGATCATGTACTCCTCGTTGAGACGGCGGCGAAGACGCCAGTAGAAGAAGCGGCGGGCGTTTTGCCAGCGGAGTCCCTTGCGGATGACGCCCTTGGCTTGCATACGGCCAGCACGGTCGTGGAGATCGGCAAACTGGATAGCAATCTGGCCGTAGATGGGCAGGAGCAGCTTCTCACGCTGAGTCATCTGGGTCTTGATCTCCTGGAGCTCAGACTCGGGTGTGTCCTTGTCGTTCAACTTGCGCTTGAGAGCACCGTAGATGGGGTCGTTGCGGGCCATGGTGTCGAGTTGACGCTCCTTGCGGTACTTGATACCGACAATACCCTCGGGCTCGAGAACACCACCGCGAGAGTCTTCGTCGGCATACATTTCCATGAACTGGGGGTTGATGGTGGGATCGACAACGACCCATGATCCACCACGCAGCTCGCCGAAAGGAGGAATGTACACAAAGACAGGCTGCTGGTACTTGACTAAACCATCGACAATGTACGAACCGTACTTGAGGACTTCGTTGTACATGTCGCGCTGACCACCAGAGAAACCACGCCAGTTGGCAAGGATCATCAACGGCAATTCCTCACCGTTGTTGAAGTCCTTGATAGCCTGAGCAGTCTTGAACGCAGAGTTGGGGTACCAGACACCGCCAGCCTCGGACGTGACTTGCTCAATAGAGTCTGGGTTGGCGGGGTCAGCAGGCGTGACGTTCTCGACCGAGCGGGTCTCGACAGCAATGACACCGATAGGGATGCCACCAAGGCGAGCACGGCCGACAACAACAGTCTTAGCCCAGCCACCAAGAGTCTCCTCGAACGAGCCGCGATCGAAAAGACCAGATTGGAAGCCATCCTCGTCCTCCTTTCCAGCAATGAGGTGCCTGACGTCGTAAGCAGACTTGCCAGGAGGGTAGTAGGTGATGTCGCGGTCCCAGCTGTCGGCCGAAGGAGAGATGGGCACAGGGTTGCCCTTCTTGTCAGGCACGTAAGACAGCCACTTGACAATCTTGGAGACACCCTCGAAGTCGTCATCGGCAGTTGCGTGCGACACACCATTGCGGTACATGATCTGGGTACCACCAAGCTGGAGGTTAGAGGTGTAAACCTCACGACCAAGCAGCTTGTTGATGGCCTGAGCACCAGTGAGGATAATTGGCTGACCCTCGATCTGGATGGCACGCTGACCGAGGCGGACGAGGTAAGCACCGATACCTATCGAGTGTTAGTAAAGCGTCGTAGAAATTGCAATGTGAATACATACCAACTGAGCGGCAAGTGACCAAGGTGATGGTGAAGATGTCCTCGTAAGCCCGCGAAGTCTCACCAGCGATAAGACCAGAGCCACGGAGAGACTCAACACCGAGACCGTCCTCGGCACCAATGATGGTGGTGATCTTGAAGCGCTTTTCGCCATTGTCCTCAATCTCCTCGCAGATGACATCGTTGCGCTTGCCATCAACAAAGTGCTCGTACTTCTCGGGCGTCAAGTAGAGGTACTCGAAGCCGGCCTCGGGCTTGTTGGCGTCCTTCCACGCGACCGAGAAGTGAGGAATGAGTTCCTCAGCAAGACCAATACGAGCACCAGAGTTGGCAGACAGGTAGACTCGGGGAATGCCGAGCGACCGAGCGAGCTCAGAGCACTTGTGGAAGAATTTGTCTTCCGCGGGTCCGAATGAACCAATCTTGAAGGTGATGTCGTTGGCAATGATGATGAAGCGACGGCCACGGGGGTATTCAGGTGTCTTGGCAGTCACGATCCAACCGACCATACCGATGTTGTTCTGGCCGGGGTCGCGGTTGACCTCAGCAAGATTGTCGGTGTCATCAAGCACCAGCTCGTAGGACTCGAGGCATTCTCCCTTGGCCGGTTGTGTGTCGCGGAGATGGGGGTGCTTCTTGATCGCCTCGATCCAGCTGTTCTCGGTGGCTTGACGGAAGAGCTCTGGGAAGTCGTAGACGTACTGAGTACCCATGAGGTGGGCCTTGTACCTCTTGGGCTGAAGGGCACCCTTGGTGGGGTAAGGAGTAGAGACTGGCTGCAGGTGAAGCGCGCCAATCTTGTTGGTTCCGCCAATGCTGTGGAAGAGCCACTTGCCAGCCTTCTCAGACTTGCGCTCAGCGTACATCTCGACCTGGATGACGTATCCAGAGGTGTTGGTGATGATGACACGGAGCGGGTAAGGAATGCCCGTCTGTGGGTCAGTGACGTTGATGCGAATCTCAGCGCCAGTGACGCGGAGACGCCAGAGTCGTCGACCGAAGCGCTCCAAGAAGCCGCCAATAGCCTCCTCGATCTCGGTGGGGTTAAGAGGGAAGACGTGCGAGAAGTTGATGAAGATGTGGTTCATGTCGGCCTGCGAAGTGCCAACAATCTCCAGAGCATCCAGAATGTCCGTCATCAACCTGTCCGTCTCGGAGATCATGTACTCGGCGGTAGGAATCTCCTCCCGGAGACGGCCTGATCGAACAACGGCCCTCAAGAAGTAGCGCTTGTCACTCTCAGCACCCTTGCCAATGGCCTCGTAAATGTGGACATTGCGGTTCTCAGTGAAGACAGGCTTGATGTGGAACTTGGACAGTCTGCCGAGCTCAAGCTGGAAGGCAAGAGCAGGCTCGACGTGACGGATACTGGCATCTTCCTCGTAGGTGGGACCACGGAAAGTGTAGTAGCCTGGGTAGGTTCCGTCCTTGTGACCGCAGATGAACGAGATGCGGCGAATGCGGCGCGACAGAAGCTCGCCCTTGAAGTCTTCGACAATGGGCAGAATGCGGTCGAGAATCTCCTTGTCGTCGTAGCCCTCAATGTCGCGAACAGCAACATTGAGCACGCCAGTGAGCTCGTCACTGTGCTTGGGCTCGCTGACACCGGTAGTAGGGGTGCGCTTCATAGTCAGGCCCTCCCTCAGCCTAGCACCGCCCTTCTTCTCCTTGCCACCAACGTTGGGGAAGATGTCCAAAGCCTTGCTGATGAGCTCATCAGCATCGTCAATGAAGTCGACGGGCACGACAACACCCTTCCTGGTGGGCTCGCCCTCGAAGCGGTTTTGCCATGCGGTCATGTCGCTAAGAGACTGGATGCGAGGAGGACGTTCAAATCCAGGGGTGCTTGGGGTGCCAGGCTCCGAAGGCTCAACAGCCAGGCCATATTCGGCCTCACCGACTTTGCGGAGGATAAAGTCCCAGGACAGGAAGCACTGCTGCTCGCCCTCGTTGTGGTAGTTGATGTTCTGGAGCTGGTACGCACGGTAAGCGCGGCGGGTGTATACCTCGAGGGCAGCAAGAGAGACCCATGGGTCGGTGTGGACGAAGAACTGGGTCAACACATCGAAGACGGTGTACCTCGAGTCAACAACCTCCTTGATGACGTCGAAGTTGGGCTCACGGTGGTCCCATCCGCTCTCGCCGTAGCGAGACTCGACGACTGAAGAACGCAGGATGTGCTCCATCTGTGCAGTACGCTCCTCAAGCGAGGGCATGGCGCACTGAATCAGGACCTCACGAGCCTTGAGGGAGACCTTGGCAGTCTGCCTAGACTCCAGCTCGGTAAGCTTCTTCAGAATGTCCTTGAAGTACTTGGCAATGTTGCCGACACCGGGCTTGTTAGGGCGGTAAAGGTCAAGGATGGCGATAACAAGGTTGTTCTTAGCGCCAACTCTGGTGTGGGACAGGACAGTCTGCACGACGCTCGTGATGTTGTCACGGTTCTCGTCACGGAGCTTGAGAATGACTTCCTCATCACGCGAAGTGCGCGAAGAGAAGAGCGACTCGGTGGTCCAGTACAGCTCGAGCAGCTTGATCATGACGCTGTACTCGTGCGCCTTAAGGCCCTCCGAGTAGCGGTTGATGACATCGGCAAGAGGCTGCAGCGCAGTCTTGAGGAGCGCAACATCGCCCTTGGCGACGTTCTCCTCAACAAACTTCTGGAAAGCCTTGTTGAGAGCCTTGCTGGGGAACTCGAGGTTTCGGCTGTGTGCCTTGTCGACGATCTGGGAGAAGGTAGCATCAAGCTTCTGCGGCATACGGGCGTGCAGAGCAGAAGCCTGGGCGTTCCACTCGCCATATGGCAGCTCGGGGTCCCTGAGAACCTCCACAAGCTCCTTGAGCGTGCTTTGCATGATGACCTGGTTGTCGAAGCCCTGGAAGATATTCTCGAGGATGTAGTACAGGTAGACGAATCGCTGCGGTGGCTTGGCTCCAGGCACTTGAGGGGCACCCAGGTCAGGCAGCTGGCCAGTAAAGTTCTGGGCAGTCTTGACCTTGGACGGGTCATCCAAAGCTAGAACACCGAGAATGTCACCAGCTTCGAGAGTAGCTCCTGGCTGCTTAATCAGGTTGACCATACCGGCCTCCTGGGCGATCAAAGGCATGTACATCTTCATGACCTCAACCTCAGCAAAGGGTTGGCCCTTGTCAACGTGCTCGCCGTTCTCAACAAGGAACCTAACCAGCTTACCGGGCGACGGGGTTCGCAGTTGAGTGGGGTCGTTCTCCTGCTCGAGAAGGCACGTCTTGCCATCGACGGAGAGACGAGTAGCGCCAACCTCTTCCTTCCAGTAGACGCTGTGCGACTTTCCGCTGAGTAGAATCAAAAGACCGCCGTCGGCGAGCGCCCTAACACCGACTGAGCACTTTGTTCCGTTGATGAACAGAGTGAAGCTGTCGATGGTCGACTTGGTAGCGGTGAACTTGTATCGGTGGCCTTCGTAGATGAAGTCGATAGGGAAGACAGTCTTGAGCACATCCTTTGACGGCACCTGACCCTTTTGCAGACTGTTGGTGTACTCGCTGATGCATGCCTCGCTCGCAGCATGGGCCTTTGTGACAGCACCGCAAATGATGGCAATCATGGTGTCGGGTCGCTCGGCAGTCAGCCTCTTGGAGATGAGCTCGTCGAGCCAGCCAGTTGTGATGGTGTTTTCCTCAAAAGCAGGCGTCTCAAGTAGCTTGATGAGGTACTCAACCGTTGTGCGGAAGTCACCGCGAATGCTCAATTCCTTGAGCGCGACAACCATGTGCTTTCGCGATGCCTGTCGGTTCTCGCCGTAAGCGAAGATGTGACCAAACTGCGAGTCGGAGAAGCTGTGGATACCACCAGCCGAGCTGACGGAGAAGTAACCCCAGACGTTGGAGCTACTCCTGAAGTTGAGGTCGTGGATGGTACCACCGGATGGCTTGAAGCCCTCATCGGGATCCTCGGAGGTGATACGGCAAGCCGTGCAGTGGCCCTTGGGAGTGGGTCGTCGCTGGCTCTTTGCGCTGCCCTCGGTGGAGAAGTCAAAGTCAATGACGGAGCTGGTGTGGGGGTCAGCGCCGTAGAGCAGACGAATGTCGCGGATGCGGTGCAGGGGGAGACCCATGGCAATCTGGAGCTGGGCGGCTGGGAGGTTCACGCCCGTGACCATTTCAGTGGTTGGGTGCTCGACTTGGAGACGAGGGTTCAGCTCAAGGAAGTAGAACTTGTCGTCGGCGTGCGAGTAGAGGTACTCGACCGTACCCGCAGAGACGTATCCGACGAGCCTTCCGAGCGAAACGGCGGCCTTTTCCATCTCCTGGAAGGTCTTTGAGCCAGCAACTGTTACCGGTGCCTCCTCAATGATCTTCTGGTGTCGTCGCTGCACCGAACAGTCACGTCCGAACAGCGAGATGTTGTTGCCATATTGGTCAGCCAGCAGCTGGACTTCCAAGTGGCGCGCGCTGCCCGCCAGCTTCATGATGAAGATGGGCGATCCGGGAATCTCAGAGGCAGCCGCCTTGTACAGCAGCTCAAAGTCTTCCTCGCGCTCGACCTTTCGGATACCCTTGCCACCACCACCTTCCGAGGCCTTGACCATGACGGGGAAGCCAATGGCCTTGGCCTTTTCGAGGCCCTCCTGCCATGTCTTGGTGCAGCCCTTTTCGTAGACCGAGTCTTCGACTGTGACGATGCCCTGGCTGTCCACCTGGACCTCGTCGACGCCCGTTCCCGACCACGGAATACATGGCACTCCTGCGTGTTGTGCGACGATTGTGGACGAGATCTTGTCACCAAGCGAGCGCATGGCAGATCCGGGGGGGCCAATGAAGACAATCTTCTTGGGCGAGGCGGCGAGCGATTCGGGCAGCTTGGGGTTCTCCGAGGCGTGTCCCCTGCAACCATGTTAGCCACGAGCCCCGCGTCATCTTCTCAATTGAACGCTGCAAGTACGCACCATCCGGCCCACACGGCGTGGACGTTCATCCGCTCCGCTACATCGACAATGAGCTCGACGTTGGCGTAGTTGTTGTTGTTAGTTCCGCCGGGTACCTGCATGTGCGCGTTAGCCATGCACGTCTCTCGTCGCAAGTTCGCCACTCGCACGGGCGGGCAGCACTCACCTCGACGTATTGGTCTGCCATGCGGATGTACTCTGCGTTGGCCTGCAGATCCTCAGGTGTAGCCATGACGGTGAATTGGATTGCCCGTTCATCGCCAAACGTCTCGTATGCCCATTTCCGCACCGAGCGGATCTCTTTGACTGCGGCGATACCGTTGTTCGCAATGAGAACCTGTGCAACAAGGTCAGCGTCAGCGCCCGAAACACCCAACTAGGCCAAATGTCTTCTCTCGCTCGAGGGGATTTTTCTTACATTGGTAATGACTGTGTGACCATCGTGCGCCGTGACAAAGTCCTTGACCTTGCCGGGCGAGGCTACGCTGAGGTTGTTACCGCCAATGAAGTGCGGAGCAAGATCGAACTGGGCGGCGTAGGAGCTCGGGGCGCCATTAGCATCCCCATTGACTCCGTTCTGAGCAGCGCCGGCCATGTTGGTTGCTGGTAATCCCATGCACTGGGGGAGGGATTAGTGTAGAGGTGGGAGGGTTTGGGAGGGGAAAGTTTGGGTGCAGTTCGGCAAGCGACCGGGCAATTTTCCGCTGGATAAGGGCAAAGCTGGAGCTTCGGCCTTGTTAGTGTCGTAGATCTTCGGTGTACCCAACGTCGGTCCAAGAGCGAAAAACAGGACCAGGGTATGCCGACTTTTTTTTTGGTTGGACTTTGTTCCTTTACACACTGTGTTTCTACCAGCTGCTGTCGCGGTGGGAGGATCCGAACAGAGTATTAGTAGATTACAGGCGTTGTATCGGTGGCGATAATGGCCGAAAAGCAAATGCTTCCAATACTAATGGGGGTTTCCAAGGGTGTGTGAGTTGCGGTGCCGGGAGGAGAGCACTAGCAACAGATACAGCAATTGGTACTGAAGGAGGGACAGACAGTGCGTATACAGCACTAGGGTATATGTCTGTATATATGAGAGGGAGGTGGAGGGAGGAGATGAGGGTGTACAATGATGCGACTCTTGGGAGGCGAGGCGAGGCGAGGCGAGGCGAGTAGAGAAGGAGGAGGAGGGAGGGAGGGAGGGAGAGAGAGAGAGAGAGGAAGAGAGAGGAGAGGCAGCAGTCGGCAGCAGACGGGTAAGTAGGCTCTTGTGTAGAATATAATTTTTTGCAGCAGGCTGGCGGGAACCCCCAATGCACTTCCCGAAGCGCGAGCTGTTGAGCTTGAGCCAGAGCAGCGTGCCCCCCTCCCCATTGCCGGCGATGCCATGTTTGGTATTGGGGGGGGGGGCTGCACCACGTACCCCATGCCGCCCCTGGCCATTCCTTTGGTCAGCCACCGTCGTCGATTCGGAACCCGCTCGGAAACACGTTTGTGTAAGCTACCGCGACTCCGCTGAAAAACTCCGCCTGGGCGCAGCCATGCCTGTATCGCGAAGAAACAAATAAAGGGCCCCAGCCCGTCCCGACTAGACGCTTCGACGCAGGCGCGCATCTTGACGGCGCAATGGAGCCAGCCGCGGAAGTAGACCTTTTGGGTGTTTGCCCGCCCGCGACGCTGCTATCGGCCTGTTGGGAGCCAGAGCCGCATTAGTCCACGGCTGTCTGGCTCCCAACCCGATCGCGAGCCCCGAGTTAGCTGCCAGAGAGCTCCCAACCCGATCGCGAAGCCCGAGTTAGCTGCCCAGAGAGCGCCCGCGCGTGGAGCAATGCCTATCTCTCATCAGAAAAAAAAGCAGGCCCTGCACCCTCCATCTCACGCTCACGCTCTGACTCAGGCCAGACTGTCCTGTCCTGTCCTGTCCTGTGCCGCCCCTGTCTGTCCCTTTGCCCCGATGCCATTGCTTGCCATTGCCTGCCATTGCTACCCCTCTCGCTCAACAAGCGGGCTTGCCTTCCGACATCCTCCACCCATCTCTCCGATCGCCCTGCCCTCTGCCCTCACCGCCAGCGCGCCTCCCCACTCTCACCACACCTTTTAATTAGGCTGCGCAGTCAGAGACACGCAGGCTAGCAAACCGCCAGTAAGCCCGCTGCTTTCGCCGTGTCGCGCGCCGTGTCGCAGCTGCGCCTGGTGCTTCACCAAGACAGAGAAAGAGAGAGGCAGAGAGAGAGAGATGCTCGGGTCTCCTCCTCCGGTCGTCTCCCATCGGACTCCGTCGCGGTAATCCAATCACGGCCCAGAGCGCCCGCATTCGGAGCAAAGCCACCACACTCGGAACATATCGAGGCTGCTGGATTGCGCACATGGATGACGCTTGAACAAGACGCTGCGCGCACGCCCGCCCCGGCTTCATTCCCCTAGTGTCGCCGCCGAGTGCACCAAAGGGGGCGCGGGCCTTTGGTTCGACAGAGCCCGTGACCCCCTCCCTCCCCCGGTCGGAAAGGCAGCGCCAGCCTCTTCTCCTTTTCTCTGCGCCTTCCCCTTCTCTGCTTATCCTGCGCGCCCGGGTTTTGCGAGCAGAAAAAGAAGCCACCAGCAGATACGCACACACACGCACATATGTGTACATGCTCGACGCCATCAGCACGCACACTAACAAACGCGCGCCCAAGGGATTCCGACGTGCATTCCGAAAATCCAGGGTCTTCTCGCGTGCGTGCTGCGTGGGCGGACAGTCCCGCGCGTTTGACATCAGAATCGTACGATTTCCTCCCGCTCGAACACCACGCCGGTGCACCCTACCCCAGATTTACTCCAGGCTTGCCCACACGCCCCCCCCAAACGAGCAGTTGAGCCGCTTGCAAAACTGGCGCGAGCACCCACGTGCGAACGCACAGGCGATAGTTAAAATCAACACATACACATGTCTTCAGGTACCTAAAGCCGGCGCCAGAGCCTAGTCTGCAAGCCCACGCCCCCCGAGACTATCGTATGGTACAAATTCAGGGGTATATTCTTTCGACAAAGGAAAATGGTGGTATAAGCAATATCTAGTAACTGCCCCAAAGGGCTTGGCTATCGACACGGCCCTCGCTGTGCTCCTTAAATGCGACCATGCTGCCCAAATGCTAGCAAGCATACCTTTGGGGCTCCAATCTGATCCCCTCACCGGTAGAGAAGGAGAGAAAAAAAAAGCTAGTCCAGTACCTGCGTCACTCGCGTGCCGAAACTCCAAAAACGCTAGAGGTATAGTGCCGCAAAATCGTGTACCGATAAAAGCCCAAATGTACATGCACACGTCCCTGCAGAGAAGCTTCTGCTGCCACCTCGCCCCTAGTATGATTCCTCCTCGGCCTGCGTCGACATCTTCCGCGGTCGTACTACGGGAGGTCCCATTACGTCGCTGTCTTGGCCTGCACTCGCTCTCCGTCCGCCGCTCTGTCGCCTTGGAATCGCGCTTGGCCCGGGGATCCCCGATTTGTCCATGGTGAACCGGCGCGCCATGGGCGTTATCACCCCGCTCCCGTCACTATTAGTACTGGCATCGCTATCCCGCAACGACTGGGAAAACGACTGAGAGTGACTGTGCCCATTCGAATGCCCGCTCATCGAGCTGCGTGATCGTTGCATCCGCGACTCCATCCCGCTGATCGATTGCGACTGGTAGTGATTGACGGGCGTGCGATTGCTGCTTCGGCTCGCTGGCCGCGGGATCCCCGGCTGCGATGACACCGACGTCTGGCTTTCCGGCCGGCTTGGGACAGGTACTACTTCCTTTACAGAGTTGGATACACCGAAGGAGAGGCGGCTGACACCAGACTCGTACGCGCCCGTGACAGATGACACTGCCGATGTTTGCGACGTGCGCTTCCGCCCGCTCCTCATGGTGATGCTGCCGTGGCCCGATGCGTTGCTGCCCCGTGGGCTTGCTCGGGGCGGCGTGTTCGTGGGCGCAGGCAGCTTGGATCGTGCTGTTTGGACTCGTTCTTCGAGTTTCTGCATCTTACCTATCAGCCCCCGAATCTGGTAGAGCGAGCCTGACCTAGGCAGACCTGCTGTCGAAGAAGTGCCAAAGCCCGGTCGACTTTCTCGCAAAATCGTCGCCGTCGTCTTCGAAGAAGGCGTCGCCCGCCCGCTCGCAGCTGAACTTGGCGGCCGTGACGATCCCGATACACTAGGTACTCGTGAATGTCGCTGCGTCCGCTGGTACATACCGGCACGTGGTGTAGTTCCGGGGTCTAGCGGTGCAGCCGAATTCTTCCGCCTAGGCATGGGCGTCGCAGGCACCATTTTCGTGGTAATGGGCGCATCCGAGAGCGGTGGAGACGGCGGCGTCGTGTCTGGGTGGAGGATGTCTGCAATCGAGTGCGGCGGGGTTGAGGCGGCTGTCGGCGACGAAAGCGTCGTGGCAGATGTTGATGCCTCCGACACCGGCGAGCGCGGCCGTATCGCATCACTAGCGATGTGGCTGGTGATTTTGCGCTGATGGTTGACTTCGATGGTTTCTTCTGCGATGCGCAGCTTCTCTTGCACGATTTCCGCCTCGATGCGCAGGTCAGACAGCTCGTCGCGGAGTCGCTGTGTCTCGATGCGCAGTTGCTCGCGCTCCTGTTCGCCAATCTTGATTTCCTCCTCCAGCATCACCCCACGCTCAATAGCCACATTGTACTTTGACTCAACATCCTCGAGTGACGACGTTTGGTTGCGAGCCTGGCGCTCGAAATCATCGCTTTGCACCTCGATGTCCCGGAGTCGCATCTGCAGCGCGCGTTGGCTTTCGCGCAGAGCAGTAATCTCCTTCTGCAGAGTGTTCTGCGCATTGTTCGCTTCGGCCTTGCTTTGCTTGTACTTGGTCTATGCCAGCATTAGCCATTGCCCGCGAAATCACGCATACGCGGCACGCTACGCCCCAACGTCACGTACCTTCCACTCCTCGACCTCAAAGGCCAATCGCTCCGCTTTCTCTTGCAGTTTCCGTTCTCGCTTCTCGCTCTCCTCGATGTCGCGCTCCAGTTCAGCCTCCAGTTCCTTGCTGGACGTCTGAAACTCCTGAAGTTCGTTTTCCAGCGTCTCGTATTGCGTCTTGTAGTAAGCCAACTCCTCTTCCAGGCTGGTCCAGGCCCTCCGCTGCGCGGCCGGAGACGGGCGGGATTTTTCGACGACTCCCATGGCGGCTTCGCGGCTGTGGTGGTGGATCGCAACCCAAGTTCAGGGGAATGGGGTGGGCGGGGTGTCGTGATGGCACGGCGAAAGGCTTCGGCTGGTGTCGTGTACAGTCACCAGCGCTCGTGACATGGAGCTGCACAGATCAGCGTGTGCGCGAGAGTCGGGCGTGTCCTCCTGGCCTGACGAGGGTGATTCCGCTTGCGTCGAATACGGCGTGATGCGGCCAGTCATGCGCCACGGTCGGCTTTGTACGGTCAGCGGGCGCCTTGTCTTCGCTGCAAGGCCGTCACAGTGCGTGTCCTGTTCCTATGAGTCGTTAGTTGTTAGTAGGCCGCTGGACTGCGGCGTGCAGTGCTGAGCGTCTCCAACAGTGGGTTGTTGATGGAGGCGCTGCGGGCGGAGCCCGATGGTTAGCGCACTGACCTCTCCAGGGCAACCGCGGGCAGGAACGACCAGCCACCGGGTATGACACATGCAGCGTGCCGCGGGCGAGACATCCCCACATTGACAACGCAACAACAACTCAGAGCCTGTTGCCATGGACAGCTGCGCACCCGGGCCCAGACATTGAGCAAGACTCCCTTGTATAACGCGGGCATTGGTCTCGCATTGCCAACAAGAAAAAAAGCAAGCCATCTCGATCACTTTCAGACCGCTTTCGACGTATCGCACAGGGTTGCAAAATTCACTGCGTTTCAGGTTTGCGTAAATGTAATTAACACCCCTCGACGCATATTACCAGTATAGCGCACAATGCCCTATAATCCCGACATATTCAAAAAAGCCATTTTCTTCATCCGGAGCTCCGACCAAGAACGCTAGTCAAAAATAAAAGAATCAGGAGAATGCACTCACCAAATAGGCTCGTGGCAGGCTCAACTGTCACGTGACTCATTTCTTGATGCCTGTATCGGGCCCGTTGATGTCCCTGACGTCTGCATCAACTACCGAGCCTTTGGCCTGCTGGGACGCGTCATTCAACCCGGCCTTTGCAGTTTCAATGGCATTTTCAACATGTTGCGAACTGCTCGAGAGAGCATCGTGAGCTGTGCGCGATGCCGTCTCAGCCACCTCCGTGCTCTTAGAATAGACACCATCAGCTTGCTCTTTACCCCTATCCACAAGGCCCTGGGCTTGATGCGCGCTCTCTGCCGCGACACGCTTGACCGACTCGCCCATGCTTCCAACAACTTCCGTGCCCTTGACATAGGCTTCGCTTGCTTGCTCCTTGCCCTGACTGTAAGCCTCTTGCACACTGTCCGAGGCAGACTTTACGACTTGTCCCGGGCTAGGATACTGGTGCAGAGCCTTCTGCAGTGTGAAATACAGACTGATGATGATGGAATGGATGCGATCCTTCATCAACATGGTGATGCCGTGCGAGAAGAAGCCTTTCAGTACCTCAGGGCCCAGGCCTTGGTAGAGAGCCCAGATTCCTTCCGTCTGCGCAATACGCAGAATGGTGCTGAACACAGTTCGCTGCCTAGCCTGAAGAGCCTTTGACTTTGCATGGTCCCCAGACTTCTCCTGATCCGACGTCTCCCCACTGCCTGACAAAGGCTTCTGCGCAGACACTTGAGCGCGTGTCTTTGCGAGTGAGAATGGATAGGTGGCAGTCGAGGCCAGCACTTTGCTGATGGCAGCGAGGAGAAAGGTCGCGCGCGCACCTGGATCGTCGCGCTTTGCCCTCGGCACTACCAATCGCAGCAGAGCCTTGTGTAGCAGCATTGTAATCGAGGGATTGAGCGTCAAGACCAGACTGGCAGAATACCCCGACCAGAAGCCTTGTATTCCCTTTTCGCGTCGGATTTCAGACGCAATATCCTTCATGCTCAACGAAGGCGGACTACCTGGAGAGCCTTGGTTCATCATGGCGGCTGTTTGTTTGCGCGTGACAATCTGCTGAAGTGGTGTTGTGAAGAACTTGGAGAAGGCGCCTGCCACTACGCCAACGCCAATTTCCTCCAGGGCTGGTAGACTTCGACCACCGCCTCGCGCATTGAGCCGCTTCTCCCGAACATACGAGTATGCGAGGAAGAACAGGAAGCTGTCCACGACACTCTTCAATGTTTCCTGGGCCACGCCACTGTAGAAGGCCTGGGGTCCTCCCTCCCTCTCATAGATCTTCTCGATAGCGTCTAGGAAGCCGTTGTAATGGGGACGTTCGCCGTCATGCTGTAGCTGCCGCTGGACTTGGAGGCGCGTGACCACGACGTCAAGAGGGTACGTTATGAGTTTGGAGATGGCGGATCCCAGCGCCCCAGACGTAGCATGGCCTAGGGCCGGGAGGGCAGGCCCGACGGCGCTGTGGTCATTCTTGTCGTGCGAGATATGGTAGAGCGTGAAGGCGTCCTAGATATCCGGTGTTAGCTCGTACTCGGCAATCACGAGCTTGGGGCGCTTACCAGCTGTGAGTTGTAGATGTAGCTCAGCTTGTCGGGGTTAGCGTTTGTAGCCATGTTGGATTAAAGAGAGGCAAAACCTCATTTGCAAAAGCGAGAGAAGCAACTAAGCGTCGCAAACGCGGGGGGAGCTCTCGACGTTTTGCGGAGGCGAGTCCGCATGGCGCTTGTTGTGTCACCCGTTACAGACGTCATTGGGAGGCGTTGACGTTCGCATGAGGCCAGAGCTCCCAGCAGATAGCCGAGCTTCTCTGGGCAAAACTTTCGCTTGTGACAGCGGACTCTCGAACTTACACAACACCACCAAACTCTCACCCGACTCGCGTCCCGCGCTGATCCATACCATGCTGTCTTGGCTTTATCTGGCTGGAAGTATTGGCGACAGCGCTCGAAAATCCCACGGTAGTATGGAAATATCGAGTTCATACTAGTATCCAGAGGCGACGCGGACGGTTCTTGCTGCCTGGGTCGTCGAAAAAACAAGCAACAATGTACCAAACATACAGCCTGAGGAAACGGAGTACTCAAAGGGACTGCGAGAACCCTCCAAGGGTACTGATCGCAGTTCAAAGTATCCTCCAAGAGCAATTACGGCCGGCGGTTGATAAGACGTGGATAGACTCGTTCGCGGGGAGGACGTCCATTGTTTCGCCGCTGGCTACATTATTAAATGCAATCTACGGGACACAGCTAGTCTCAACCGATGATTAACCAAGAAGCTGCTCAGACTCCACGCCTTGCAAACAGTCGTGTGCGGGCGCATATACAATAGCTTGAATAGCCAAACTATAATTCTCGTACCAAGCGGAAACCACATACCATGGTAAATTACGGATCATCTTGCAGTGGTGCCTCTCGCATACTTGATCAGACGCAGACTCGATAAAGTCAAGGTGTTCTTGTATGTGTGAGCTCATAGAAGAGATGGTTTGAGAGAACAAAGTGGCTGGTGATACTTCAGGAAACAACTCGCATCACATCTAGCTTCCAGAGAGAGCATGCATTAAAGAGTCTGTTTCACAAAGGTCTCCGGATGATATCTCAGCTGTTTGTTGATATCACATGTCGAAGTTGATATCAACTGCTTCTGGCAATCCAACAGGCCAAGACCATACACCAGCCACCAACACTACTTTGAACACCACGATTGGCTGCACCGACCACTCAGGCAGCAAAGGGCTGCTGCACGCCATTTCTAGAGTGGTGAATGTAACTCAGGAAATGAGCGCATAGCTGCTGTGGCTTTCCTGGCGCAGTTTCTATGAGCCGGCGGTAATGATTGGTCTTATGATGCATTGCACAGCCTCAGCCCACCGCACTGCACTATCAGGCATCCAACTCCTACACCACTCAGGTGTGCTGGTCACCGGCAAGAGCGGCAGCACAATGAAACGATATAAGTTACAGCCGTTCGTGCCGTCTCCTTGATAAAGTCATCACCTTATTGACAGCCTAACACCATACTCGAGGAAAATTAATTCTTGAAATCCTACCTACCAAATCCATTTGTGACTTGATTGACATCTACACAAACGACCAAGAACAATGGGTATTCCAACCACACCACCCAGCGAAGCAGCGCCCGCCTACGACGACGTAATCAACAACCACCCTGTAAATCGGTACTCGGCATCTGGCTCGACCTCTGCTGTACGCGCATCCATCCATCTTCCAATCTAGTTCCCCCTCAAAAAAGAACAACAGCAACAACAAGAAGGTATCGAAACTAAAACTGCAATCTCCTTAGTACACCGTAATCCCGCAATCCGACGACACCGAGTACCATCAGCATGCAGATACCGATATTGAACTCCACGCGCACAACCACCACACCCCCTCGCAGCAAGCTCCTATCCCTCTACCAGCACCCGCACCAGCACCAGCACCAGCCGAAAGCTTCACCCAGACACTAGCCAGTCTCCTTCGGCCGCGCGCCGAAACCCCGCATACGCACTGCGCCGTCTGCGACGAGCAGGTGCTGACTGCCGCGCGGCATAAACACGAGCAGGAAAGACACTGCTGTACCATGGTTGCCGTGACGTTTATGTCGCTGTTTTTCTGCAGCATGGTGCTGGGTGTGGTGATTGTGAATGCGGGTTTGAGGCGCAGGCGGGAGATGGAGGGTTTAAATGGTGTTTAATGGATCTTTAGTTTTTCTTGTTTTTTGTTTTTTTCTTATACCTTCTTCTTTGGTGCTTTTACGATGTACTGAATGGTTTTCTGGGTTCGTTTGGGTCGGCGGTTGAGTGTGTGGGATGGTGCGCTACATGTCTGTTTTTTTTCTTCTTCTTCTTTTCTTTATTTCTTTCTTCCTCTGTTGCTTGATTGAATATGTTGCTGGATGCAAAGTGTGGCGGTAAGCTGAAAGTGTATTGCGGTGAGACGTCTGCATGTGTATGTGTGTTTTTTTTCATCGTCTTCATCCTTTTCTTTTCACGGGTGGTTTGATAGATATCCAATATTGTCTTGAGTTGGTTAGTCTGTAATAACTAAACATGTTGAATCGGTATGTCTATTATTACCATGGCCGATAAGATGGAGAGAAGTGTTCTAGTCCATGTTAGGACAGATTATGCACTCGTTGCTGGTGGCTTTACTGGAAGAAATAAATGCAGAGGCTGACTAGGTGGAAGGATGCAGCAATAAAGACCAGATACAAGACATGCCCTAGGAACAGAATATGCAGATTTGATGAGCAGACTAGATCGAAAAGGGGAAAGGTACCACTTGCTGCTGAGTGCTATTGCAAATCATGTATCATTATTAGCGAGCTACACTAAACGCGCAGCATGCCTGACATTCTATGTTTCTATTTTACATAGCGTTCGGATTCGCTCAGGCCAGCCTCTTCCACTTGCACCTTTCATCACTTAGATTTTACTCCAAAAGAGATGCCTGGTTGGTGTAAAGCACGTCAACAACATTGCTGAGCTTCTCAAGAGTGCTGAGCGCGGCATCGTAGCCTTGATCACGTTCCGACTCGTCGTATACGATCAGGCACCCTGCGCCCTGGTCCAAGACTCCGATGATGACCTTGTCCAGAATCATCTGAGAGAGCTTTCGCTCGACTTGTACCGTGTCCAGTCCAACCATCTTGGCAACGTGATCAATCTCGACCCTGCTAAAGGGCTCGATGACCTTGATAAGGTTCTGCTCCAACATGTTGTCGTACAAGCGGCGAAGGTGGGATGTGATGAATCGATCGCTACCAAGCTGTTGGCGGTAGTCGGTCAGGGCGGTCTCGTACTCCTCTAGACTGCGGTTGGTGTGTGCTCGCGCAACGGCCTTCATGGCTTCTAATCGCTTGCCGGCGTACTTGACGGCGTGTTTCGAGGTCATGAGCGATGTTACGTCATCTCCAAGGTTGAGCATGATCTTGCAGAGCAGCATGTACTGCAATGCCGACGTTGCTTTCTGGTCCTCGTCCTGCGAGTGGTATCCTTCCATGGCTTCGATGAAGTAGGAGAAGGCTGTGTTGAAGTCGCCATCCTCAGCGTGAAGCATACCACTCTGCATGTCCAGTCCGGCCTGCAACAAGGGCGGCGTGTAAACGGAAGCAGCCGATGTGCGCGCGGACGTGAGAGCGGCACGGCCCTTGGGTATGTTGCCCAGTGCGTGGTAGACCCTCGATTCCAGCAGCTGCACCTCGACCAAGACCAGCTTGTCGTCCAAGCGCTTCAACTCCTTCAGCAGACTGTTGATGAGCGTCAGAGCATCGTAGTAGGACTGCTTCTGCATGTACAGGGCGACCAGTCTGGTCTCGAGGTTTTGCCGTAGGAAGCCTCTCCGCTCGGAGACGGCCCACTCTATGCATGACTTGGTGACGGCGATCTGGATGTCGGCGGTGTTCGGTATCGTGGTAAAGAGGTCGAGCAACTGCCTCACTGCTCTGCATTAGTCATTGGCCGCGTCTGCCACGGGGCGGAGATGGATATATACCCAATTTGGATGTCTTCGCTTTCGCAAACGAGGACATTACTGACCGCGCCTGCTTCACCAGCTCCGCAAGCGCATCCACCTTGTTCTGGTCGCGGTAGAGCTCGCCGAGCCCGACCAGAGCCGTCTCATAGTTCTTGATGGCGGCCTCATTGGAGCCGGGGTTTTGTGAGAGAACGTCCTGGTAGATCTGCTCGGCCTTGGAGGGATCCGACTTGGCCAGCTTCTGTGCCTCTGCCACCCGTGATGTCGTTTCCGGGACGGCCATGGCTGCGTGATGGATGCCGGTAGGTGTGTAGAAGACGGGCTAGGGCTCTGTATAGGCAAGTGGCCGGGCGGGGGTGCGGTATAGCGTGGCGGAGAGGGAGCTGTATGGAGATGATTAGCTGCTCGCAGCTCGCACGGCGATGCGGCGGCCCCAGCATCGGCGTTATGTATCGCCGATGAGGCGGTGGCGGCGGCGGTCGAGCCACCTGCGCCACAGGCCACAGGCCACAGCCACAGCCACAGCCACGGCCACGGCGGCGTTATCGACAACAGCGTTGCGACAAGGCCTGACAGCACGACAAGCGACGTGCTTGTGCACACCACCCACACTCGACTTGATGCACACTCGCCGCCATGCTATGTATGCCATGCGCAAGCGTCGATTGGACGCCCGGTCGCGCGCGCTCCCCACTGTCAACACAGCGGTGTGCCTGTAATTGGCGCCCCAAAGTAACCGGGAGGCGCCTTGTTTCCCGCCTGTGCTGCCCCAGCGACGGCTGCGTTGGCAGGTTGCGCTGCCATCGTCATCGCCCATTGGCCAGTGCGCGTAAACAAACCCCAACATTTGATCAACACACTGTTCCCACCCTGAACCTGCACTCCAGCTTCTCACCCTTCCACCCTCCCCATCTCACGAACGGTTGCACATAGCCTGCGCTGGATCGCCGAAGCCCTTTGCGATTGATACCCCTCCGCTGCTCTCTTCAAATATCCCCACGCACCCACCCCAGCGTGCGCCCGCTCTGCATTCCATTTCCCCTCCACCACTTCGCTGTGTTGAACATCCGCCACACCACACATTACAATGCCTTCTTCAGACCGAGAACCTTCGCGCGACCGCGAGCTCGTCCGCCACTCCCATTCTTTCTCCTCAGACTCGCGAGCGATTCCCATGTTCGTCCTCTTCTTCTTTCCCACACCGCCACATGTCGCTGCTAACACATTGCATTCCAGGTGGGATAGCGCTGATCCAGAACGTGCGCCTCCGCCATTGCCACTGAACCCAGGGTCGCCAAACCTCACAACCCGCCCCAACACATCCGCAGCCATTATGCAGGCCGCCAAAGCGCTAGAAGAGAAGGCGCGCGAGAGCTTGCCTGCAAGCTCGTACACTACTAACCCCATGCCGCTCAAGTCGCTCTCTCCCGAGCGCTCTCTGATAAAAGGCAACCAGCACAAGCGCATGCAATCGCTCCAACCAGGCAGTGTTCGTGATCTACGTAGCTACTTGGACAATCGCTCACCAGACCGCTCCCCAGAGCGCGACCGACCGACAAGTAGAGGCGGAAGGCCAATCTCGCGCGATTGGGACAAGGACTACTTTGGCAAGGACCCTGACCTCAGTCCTACACGGCATCTCACGCCCTCGCCAGCCTCGCGCATTGAAATCAGGGACACGCCAACTCTGAGGCCCACTCACAGGCCTTTCCTGGGCGAGAACACGCCTCCTTCTGCTACAATGATGGCGCTCCAGACAATGTCTATTCCTCAGCACATGCTTGACCCCCCACCGGCGAACCACACCAGCAGCTCGGCACGCTCTCCATCTCCAGCTGCCGTGTCCACGCCAGCTTCAGCACCAGCTTCAACGCCTGCACCTGCGCTTGCGCCTGCGCCTGCACCCGCACCTGCACCGGTACAAAGTCAGGTCCCATCACACTCATTCGACAACATCGCTAGTCAACTCGTCAGCATCAACAACATTGTCTCTAGCCTACAAAAGGACATGTCGCAGCTGAGTCGGAGGAGTAAGGACAATGCCACCGATCTCATCAGCCTAAAGGAGGCTACAAACCTCCGTGACGAGGACATCCGAAAATCTCTGAAGGATCTCTTGTCTACCATGTCCCAGAAGCAGGAGGCGGCTGTCAACGCCCACATACATGCAGACAACTCTCGGTCTAGCAGCCTGAATCTCCAGGATCCCCATATGACGCCCACGAAGCAGTTCACCTTCCCAAGGATGACATCAACTAGCCCCTGGGCTGATGAGCGCATCGGCAGCCCGAACCCGTACTCGGTCGAGGGTGCGGCCAGTGTCGCAATGCTGGAAAAGATCATTCGTGAGATGGTGACCAAGGATGGCCAAGAACGACTCGTAGCAAACCTGCAGAAGCTGGTCGACAAGGCTACTGGTGAGACTGCCAAGAAGGTCGCCGAGTTGGTTGAGTTTGTGAAGCAAGGCTCTGGGCCTGCGGCCTTCCAATCCTCGCCAGGACCCGGTGCGCTTACTCGCACAGTTTCAGCGGATAGCAAGGCATACGCCAGCCCCAAGGCTGCCGATTTCGTCAGCGAAGAGATGTTGAAGTTCCTGCGTAAGATCAAGGATAGCGTCGCTGAATCTGGCTGCGTGACCATGGCTACCAAGTCAATGGTTCAAGATCTTCGAGGCGAGGTGCTAGGCATGGGCCGTGAGATTGCTCGCAAGCTTGAAGAGGCGGAGCAAGCCAGAGCTGTCGAACCCGAGTCTGAGTCGGCGAACGAGGACATCAACGCCATTGTCCAAGAGGGTCTCGCAAACCTCAAAGAGCACATGGACAAGGTCATGCGTGAGCGGAGGCGACAATCCATGTCATCGGTGGTCACCCGCACCACTGTCGACAACAACGAGGTTCACGATGTCGTCAAGCAAGCACTCGCAGAGCGAGGCCTCGACCAGCCATCTGCCCAGTCAGCTGTCCTGGACAAGGAAGCCATCATAAGCGCCGTACGAGAAGCCTACGACGGCGTCGAGATGAACCCCAATCATGAAGTCCATCAGGTGGGTCTGGGCAGAGAGGAGGTCTTGCAGTGTCTACGCGAAGGTCTGCAGGACTTCAACGGCTCTGGAGCAGTTACCAAGGAGGAGATTGAGAAGATGCTGCATGAGTCTCTACAGCAGATTCAACTTCCGCCTCCAGTCAATGAAGTCCACGAAATCCGCGAGGAGATTCTTATGGCCGTGCGAGAATCCTTGGAGGAGCTGAAGCCAGCTCTTGCTGCCCAGCCAACCCCAGCACCCCCAGCGGAAAGCCTTTCCAAGGAGACACTTGAGGAAATCATCCGCCAGGCCCTTACGGAGCACAATGCCACTGGCCTGGAAATCGAGATTCCCCCAGAAAGCATCCAAGACGCTGTGAAAGCTGCCACCGAATCGCACAACGAGTCGGTCATGGAGCGCCTACAATCAATGGTGGAGGAGATCCAGGCCCAGTTTCAAGGATATTCTTCTACCAGCGGGAAAGACACAGATCGAGTTTTGGAAGCGCTTCAAGAGGGCCTAGACGGTCTCCGCGCCGAAATCAAGGGCTCGCCAGATCAGCCTCGAGAGATCACTCAAGACGGCGAGTTGATTGACCAGTTCAAGGCCGAACTTGAAAAGCTGCGAGAGAATGTCCAAGGCTACGTTGCAGAGGGTCCTCGTGGAGACCAAGCCTGGAGCCGTGGCGATATGGTGACGTATCTCAAATCCGAGTTTGAAACCCTGAATGAGCAGTTGACCACTAGCCTCCTCCCCGCCTCCAAAACCAACGAAGAGATCCTTGCTGCTCTCAAGGCTGGGTTTGAGGAGATGAAGTCACAGGTCGCTCTTCGGGCTGAGAACGACGATGACGTCGACTCGAATGAGGATATCAGTGAGGCCATCAAGCATGAGTTCGACCAACTCAAGGAAGTCGTTCTTGGAGATTCTTCTAGCAACAAGAACGATGTTCTCGAAAAGCTGCAGGCTGGTTTCGATGGTCTCCACACCCTCATGGCCGAAAAACAGACTGCATCCACATCCAACGAAGAAATGCTCACTTCGCTCAAGGCAGAGTTTGAGACTCTCCGTGAGACCCTGAGTAGTTCGCTGGTCAAGTCAGGTGGTTCAGCTGAAAAGGATGAGATCGTCGATGCTATCCGAGGAGTCGTGGAAGGCATGCACACCTCTCACGAGACGACTTCAAAGGAAAATCTCGCCCTTATCCGCACTGAACTGGAAGCGCTGAAGGAGTCAGTCAGCAATGCTCTGGTCCCTGCTGGCGATGGCGATAAAGCAGAGATGTTGGTGATAGTGAAGGCTGCTCTGGAAGACATCAAGGCGAACTTGAAGTCTGCTGGAGTCAATGAAGAGCTTCTGGAAGCTTTCAGGGGAGAACTTGACCATATGCGCCAAACCAATGGTATAATGCGACAACACTCCCGAGCCGACACTGAAGAAGTCCTGGAGGCTGTCAAGCTAGGTCTCGACGACCTGCAATCTCATATTGACAAAAAGTTCAATACTCCAGAACGCACCAGTCCTTCCACTGAAGACGTCATTGATGCCATGAACGAGGGTATCGAGAGTCTGCGAGCCGATGTCTCCAAGATTGTTGAAAAACCCGTGGACATGAGCGTGTCGCACGAAATCCTGGACACGCTCAAGGAAGGTCTTGCCGCCTTGCGTGCTGACGTTGAGACGCTCAAGGGTATGCAGCACGAGACTCAGCCTGAACAAGATGCCGCTCCAGCTCCAGCGGGTAATGAAGTGGTCCTTGCAGACAACTCCGAGGCTCAACAATCCACATCGCGCGAGATCTCTGGAGACGCCACACAGGTTGATGCACCACAGCAGCCCCTGACACAAGCTCTGGATGTCGCTAAAATGGAGAATCTCCTGCTTCAGATTCAAGACAAGGTGCAAGCCATGGATGCCAACGCACAGAACCCGGCCCCAGCTGCAGAGCCAGCGGCTCCAGCTGGGGTAGCCATGAAGGAGGATCTCGGTGCTATTGAAGAGCTCCTTAAGGATGTTCAAGCTGCTGTCCTGCTCATGCAGGACCGCGAGACGTCACCACCCGTGCTGGAAGGCATTGCTCGAAAGGAAGATACTGATGCTATTGAGACTCTCCTCGCGAACACAAAAGCCAAGATCGAGGAGCTTGTCCTGCCGGATCCTGCAACTGCTGTCACAAAGGAGAACTTGGAAGATGTCGAGCTCGTGGTCCGTACCACCTCTGAGGCTTTGGAAGCGCTTGCGAAGAAGATCGAAGAGGAAGGTGCTACCAAAGCCGATGTTACCGTCGTTCAGGTACTAGCGGACGATATCAAGGTCGCCCTAGACGAGATGAAGGTCGCCAAGCCAGAAGATGAGAGCAACCCGCACGCTACCAAAGCGGATATCGATGCTGTAAGCCTTCTAGTGGACGATCTCAAGGTCAAATTGGACGACATGAAGATCCCAGACCCAGAGGAGCTTGCATCCAAGGCCGAACTGGAGCAGCTTACTGGACTGATTCATGATTTCCGTGATAGCCATGAGAAGATGAAGGACACCTATGAAGCGGATATCCAGAAGACTGCCAACAACTTTGATGAGCGCCGCGCCGAGGCCACTCAGATTGTAGAGGATATCTCTGGTGTCAAGGCTGCCCTAGATGAGATGCGAGAGGAGATCAAAACCAATCTCATTGAAGGCGGTCCGATCGAGAACCTTCAAGCTTCATTCAAGACAATGGAAGAAACCATTGGTGCGAGCAACGTTACTGCTGACGTCAAAGAACTCATGGAAATTCTTACCCGGGAGTTCGAACGTGCCCATGGCTCTATTGAGGGTCTGCAAAACGACAGTGCCGAAAAGTCCGCTTTGCAGCTTGAAAAGCACGACGAAACCAAGGAATCCATCGTCGCTAGCTTCACCGAAAGCCTAGAGGTCAAGTTCAACACCCTCATGGCCAAGTACGATGACGCTCAACTCCTAGCCGACGAGCTTGCCAAGGTCATGAAAGAAAAGGCTGAAGAGCAGGAGAAGATGCTTGAGAGCACCAAAACAATGGCCGATGAGCTTCGTCTCACCATCGATACTCTAGGTGCTACCATTGCCGGCATGAACGACCGATTCGAGGGTGCTACTACGCAATGGTCCACCGACTCCACCGCAGTCCTCGGAAAAGTTGACGAAACTCTCGCCAAGTTCGACGAACAGAAGGTTGTGACCATGGAGAAGCTTGAAGAGCAAAAGCTTGAGACCATTGCCAAGCTGGAGGAGCACATTGCCAAATTCGAAGAACTCAAGCTTGAAGACAAGGGCGAACATTCTCATACCCGCGATGAGATCAAGAACATTGAATCAATCTTCAACAATCTCCAGGACAACATCACCGAGTATCACCCCAAGTTCATGGTTGCATTGCACGAGATTGAAGCGCTGGTCAAGGCCCATTATGAACACGCGCAGAAGTGCAAGGAAGAGGCAGATGAGCATGCCAGAGCTTGGAATGAGGAAGCAAAGGCTCGCTCTCAAGAACTACAGGCGCAGTTTGAAAACCTACCGAAGCTTCTGCCAGCCCCTGTCGTACCCGTGGAGCCTCAAGAAAAGTACGATGATGGCCCTGTGCAAGAGAAGCTCGACAAGCTGCTCGCAATCGAACCATCGCCTAGCTACAATGACGGTCCCGTGCACGAGAAGCTCGACAAGCTACTCGCGATTGAGCCGTCACTCAACTACGACGACGGTCCTGTACACGAAAAACTCGATAAGCTGCTCGCGATCGAAGCACCACCTAGCTTCGACGATGGCCCTGTGCACCAAAAGCTTGATAAGCTGCTTGCGATTGAAGCACCACCAAGTTTTGACGATGGCCCCGTGCATGAAAAGCTTGACAAGCTTCTTGCAGCTGAACCGGCGCCTAGCTACGACGACGGCCCCGTGCACGAAAAGCTCGACAAGCTACTCTCCGTTGAACCATCACCTGCCTACGACGACGGTCCGGTGCATGAAAAACTTGACAAGCTTCTTGCGGTTGAGCCATCGCCCAGCTTCGATGACGGCCCTGTGCATGAGAAGCTTGATAAACTCCTTGGCCACGCCGACGAGGCCAGCAAAGCACTAGGGAACACCGAGAAGCTCGACGAGATACACAACCAGGTCAAGATTACCGCCGCTGAGCTGAGTGAGTTTGTCGCAAAGCAGACTCAGTTCATCACCGATGGTAATGACGCGAAAGAGCGAGAGGCTGAAGAGCTGGCCCTACTCATTGAACGCAGGACAACCCAGAAAGAGCAGCTTGAGATTGATCTTGAGAGCTTGAGGGCTGAAAAGGCCACTCAGAAGGAGCAGCTTCTTGCGGATATCCAGGAAATGAAGGCCGAGAAGGAAAGGGTTATTCAAGAGTTGAAGGAGGAGAAGGAGCGCGTCATGGCCGAGTTGCAGATCGAGAAGGATCGCACAATGCTCGAGCTCAAAGAAGAAAAGGATGCGCTCTTGACTGCTGTCGCTGCGCTCCAAGCGGAGCGCGAAAACCTGGCTAACCAAAAGGTGCGCCTCACTGGCGAGGTTTCCTCACTCAATACCGCACTGGAAATCCGCCGAGAGGAACTGCACATTATGGACAGCAAGGCAGATGCACTGGAGCGACGCATCCTCAACGGCATCATGGATCACTCCCGAGCTTTGATGATGAAGGGTCCTTCAAAGATCAAGAAGCGTGTGAACACTGATGCCGGCACAGAAATGCCACCTCCAAGTACTGCAGCCAACGGCATCTCTCTTGCACTCAAACCTCGCCCGGCTATTCGTCGCAACGGCCAGTCCACCAACCCAGCACAACGCCGTATCTTGTCCCTCAGCCAGATTAGCGGCAACACGCCTACAGGAGCGCAAGCCTACCCCACGAGCACTGCCGCGAAGAATGCAAACGCTGAGTTGAAGCGCAGTCACTCTGTCAAAACTAGCAACTACTCGCGGAAGGGATCTTGGGGTACACGACCCAGTGCCGTGGTTGCCATTAAGGAGAACGGGGCCTTGCCTGAAGTCGATGAGAATGAAGCCATGGCTCCTATTTCTCATTCTGTGATCGAGGAAGATGCCCAAAGCGAGGCTGGTACTGAACGCCACTACAAGCTCGACGAGCGCAGCTACGCCGAGAGCTACGCCGAGGGCGAGACGCCTGGCTGTGATGCGCGTTCCAGCTTTGGTGGTGCAGGCAGCGACTACACCTACGCTTCCGGGTCTTCCTACATGACAGGCAGTGACATTGACCAGGAGCGTCGCACCTCTTACGGTGCCCAATCCGCTAAATCTGCCGCTCAATCTGCCGCTCGTGGCGAAGAGCCATTGCACGAAGAGTCCGAAGGGTCTGAATACTCCGACCACGAGGACGATGAGCACACGGCTACCATCAACACGTCCAAAGTCAATGCGTCCGAGGTCAATGCGTCCGAAATCAACCCTTCCGAGATCTCAACCGCCACCGCTGACAGCGACGTCGACTTGCCAACTCAATCGGAGATTGTTCGCGCCATCGATGCTGTAAGAGAGGAGATGAAGGAAAATTACTCTCCTCCCAGCGACTCTGGTGTTGGCACCGACCTGCCCACCGCCGCTCTTGGTAGTGAGCTTGAGCGCGACGCTGACTACTTCCGTCGCGCGGCTGAAGACGAAGCTAGTGTAGTGGAGTAATCAAGTATCCGCGGATGTTGATGTTGATACTCCGCATACACTTCTATCTGACGTCTCGCTCCGCATGTCCCTCGGTTTGAGGCTTTGACTCGCCTCTTGCGGGGTTTTAGAGTTGGCATCACCAGAGATGTGCGTCGAGCTTGACGAGGGCAGGGGTTTGTGGGGTCAGCAATACTTGACGCCTTGTTTGGATACACGGTACAGCAGGACGGGCTGGACTCGTCTTTTCTACAATGATGTTAGATGACGTGGTATGACGGTTGTATACGCATGATGGAACGGAGATATGAAGTTGGCTCACGGGGATTGGAAATGAATGACGTTGGTTGGTACGCAGTTCTTTAGGATGGCGTTATGGCATCGCCAGGTGGACTTGACATTGTTTTCTGTTTTCCTTCTGTATCACGTACCAAAGCTTTTTTGTCTTCTTTTTTTGTTCGGCGTCACGCAGGTATCAATGGAGTAGGCTCGCGCTAGGAGTCGTAATGAAATGGATCTCTCTCAATCTTATAATAATCTCCCTATGGTGTACTTATTAAGTGTCTACAAAAGATATAAAGTCCCTCGGCTTCGCATAGGTGTATGTAGTAGTATCAGACACGGGTTGTATGGCATGGCACATGAGTGAGACGAGATAAAGACAGGGTTATGAGCATCTGTTCAACACTGTCCATTTGATTTCAATGCATCTGAGACTCCTCACTTCATGACCTTTTTCACACGCGGAGCCCCTTCACTACCCTGATGCATTTCATCCAACTCATCCATGGTCGTTGCAGAAGACCCAGTAATAGCTTCTGCGCCTCCATCAAGCGCCTTGGCCTGCGCTGCAAATGTGTCTTGCAAATGACCCAGAGTCTCGGCGACATCATCTTTCGCTGCATTGTCCAACGTCTCCGCTTGCCACTCCTTGTGTCTCTCTCGCCAGCCCGGACCCAGCACATCGACGAGATTGATGGAAGCCCTGCGATTGATTTTCCGCCGCATACGCGGATGCCACATGTGGTGATGCAGCATACCTGAAGCAAAGAGCTGAGGCTCTTTGAAGAGTGGGCTGCCCCACATCTTATTCACCTCGTGCACGTATTGAGCGTACGGCCGCGTGTTGGTTCTCTCCATGATGCGGTTTTCTTTGATCCGCGATCGCCCTCGACCGAACATGATGACGAATTGCTCCTGCAGGACTTTGACGACCGTGTGCCGGTGCACATAGACTCCGAGGTCGCGCAGCTGTACTACGATTCGAAGACCGATGTTCCAGTCAAGGGGATTAAGCACGCGGCTGTCGAGCAAGCGGCGGCGGTAATGTTTCTTTGCGAGTTTAGAATTGAGCATGCTTTGTTCCAGGGAAGCATTCGGGAGTAGCCCGGCTCTAAAGCCCCATCTGATGAGTCCCTGTATGAGTGAGGGTGGGAAGATTTGTCGCATGGGATGAAGCTTGTTTTCCTGTTGCAGGACCGTGCCAGGGAAATTGAAGTAGCGGTTGGGCTCTGGATGATGAGCACGCAGCTTTGAAGTTGCCGAGTCTCGGAAAGGCGACTTTGGTAAGGTCCCGAACTGCAAGCGGCTCCTAGGCGCGTACCAACACAGCAGCCAGAGCAGAAGACGCCTTAGCTCTCTGAGTCTGCCCTCTTTTCCAAATCGGCGAATGATCTCGCGCCAATGGAGCGGAGAGATTGCCCCAATGCCCATCTGGAGTATCATCATAAAGGCACGTGTTACGAAGCGAAGGTCATCATACGTCTTGTGAGAAAGAGCGATAGGTTTGTGCCCTCTTTTTCGACGACGTAGTAGACCTTTGATAGCCGCGATTGACTCTGGCGTCAACATGATGTTTTTAGCATGCATATCTTGAAGCACTCCCATAACGTACCCTGGCCCGGTGCGTTTAATGCAGGCCTGTAAAAGCAAATTCCACGACTCTCGACTGGGGTCGTTATGGAAAAGAGTCAGGATGGCTAGGGTGCGCTGAGCTTGCAATTGATCGCCCTGCTCAATGTAGAAATCGAGCAGTGTCCGCTGCACCTCAGCATCGCCAAATACGTCCGGATGCTGGTCGCTTTCTATCATACTGCGCACCAACTCCCACTTCTGCTGCGCAACAAACTGTTCCAGGGCTAAAGAAAAGACGCAGCCCTGCAAAGCAATGCCCGCGGCTCGGAGCTCTTCAAACCTGATTTTCAGGTCTTCTATTGGCTCTGTCTGTCTAGCCATTGTGAGCACAGCCTGGGGCCCGATTTCATTTACGCCCACCATGGCAAGCCCGTGTATAATGGAAGGTGGCGGAAAGGTGCGTGTTGCGAACATGCGAGCAACAAAAGCATCCTCAAACCGAACTGGTGCATTGTCAGGGCCTGATAGGCGACGCATGAGCTTTTCGTTGTACTTGATCGTTTCATTGTTGAGAATCTTCCTCGTGCCTGTCACATCGACATGTACGTTATGGGCTATGGCTTCCGCAGTAAAGAGTCGAACGACAGGGCGTGATGCAACGCTCTCTGATGGCATATCATGGCGCGAAGTACAAAGCATGTGCCATTGGCGTGCCCTCGCCATGGCGCCTGCTTCGATTAATGGTGGTACCACTTCGTCGTAAAGATCCCGTTCGTTACTCTGCTTATATATCTCCATCAACACGTCGTAAGAAGGTTTCTTGAAAGAAAGGCGACCTGAATGCGCCACAGCGCGCAGATGGATTTTCTTGAGTTTCAGGCTTTTCACCAGCGCATAGTGATATCCCAAAGCCGTCTTTGGGTCCCTTGGAAGCCAATGGCTCATGACTACGTCGTACAGACGCGGATACACCTTACCCGTCTCGCGAAGTAAGTCTTCCGCATACTCCAGAGCTTTTTTTATAACCAGATGGTGCTTAACGAAAGTCCCCCACAGGAACTCGGCGTCTGGCGTGTCCTCGGTGGGTAGTCGGTAGCCGCGGTAACGAATGCTTCGCCAGACATTGCGAACGCCCTCGGCGCCATTGAGTCTCTCCTCGTGTGAAAGGATCGCGGCAAGCCGAGAAGGTTCATCCTCGCGTTTGGCTAAAGGTATGGCGTGGGTTTCAAAGACGTCGATTGTGGGCTTGATGGCGTCGTTGGCATCGTCATTTTGAAGTGCTTTGAGCACTTGCTTCCGTAACACAGCTTCCCTGTCGGCATCCTTCATACGTCTCCATTTCTGCTTTCCCAGAGGGCCTGACCGGTGTGCCGTATGGTTTGAATGGTTGCGGCGGGGTGCGATTGAAAGACAGCACTTTGTGGCTGCGGAACAAGCCAGAGGAAGTTCGGGGGCATTGACAATGGAGCGCAGGAGTCGCAGGGCGGACGGGCTTGCGAGGAGCCGGTCCAGGGCCGGTGGCATCAACAAGGCGAGGGGCGAGGGTGATATCAGTCCATTGGCGGCCGCAATCGCCTCGCTTTGTGTGATGCTCGAGCGCAAAGACGCTGAAAGTTGTCGTGCCCAAACGGGTCAAGGGCCTTGGCGCTGGACTCTCTTCCGCCGATGGGATCATTCGACCTCGCGACTTGGAGGAACCGCCCAAACCACGAAACCACCAATTGACCCCGCAACCCGCGCAAACACACCTCTCTACACTTCAAAATGGCAGGGTACGTCTTTGGCAGAGCTATGCGCAGCACACCGGACCCTGGGCGACGAGTCGGCGGCGGCTGCAGGCTCCCTCGAATACCACATAGAGCTCGATACTGACAGTCGGTAGCTGGATTATGCGCGAGAACCGCGTGCCTCACTATCAGCGCGAACACCAAAGGCACGATGGACTGAGGACCTGGGAGAAGGTGCGTTTCTGGATACAGAGGAGAGGAGATATGCCGATGATGCGGTCACGGAAAGCATATGACTGGGCCATCACGATTCATCGCCTCTCGCGGCAACGGCATATTGGAGATACACACGCTAACATAGCTTGGTACAGGGCCGCGGCAAGTGGATGGTCCCCGGCTACAAGATGCTCATGTACACCAGCTTTGGTGCCAGTATGTACATGATGACCCGCCTTGTCCTCGTAAGTGCACACACCAAGGAATGCAGAGACAATGCTAATGATTTCTTTAGGGACACAAGACCTGGTACAACAAGAACTAGAGAATGGGTCGAGCATGATATCCAGATATGGCTGGACTAGACAGACGCGTCCATGTCCATGCACAAGCAACCAACAAGCATTTGGCCTACAATGAGCAGCAAACCCTCTCTTATCTGAATGAATAGACCATTCCGCCTTTCGGCCTATATAAGTCCTGATGTTTCCAAAGTTCAGTTCCTCCTGTCGAAGCTCAACAGTCTGGGCACATGCGGCAATCGAGAGGTGATATTTGCTTGGGTTGTCTTGACTGCGGATTCGACTTGATTCACTTATTGCAGCCCTATTTTACTTGATTAGACGAGTTGAAATCGCCAGTTCATGCTGTCTTTCGGATGCGCCCTGTCCCAAAGAGTGACGAATGGTTGCAATAACAGGCATTGGCATCGAGAAATTCAGCAAATCAGTGTACATATGGCTATGCAGTCCCGCGATACGGTCAACAGCACATGCACATATGCAACGCAGGCGACTGGTGGTGTATTCAAGATCTTGGCTTCCAAACTGTGCCCCTCCATATGCGTGCTAGTTCCTGTAAAATGAGGTCAGTGCCAACATCGGACTAGGAACCGAGCCGAGATCCAACCCCAGACGTCCCGCGCCAGCCAAAACTCCACGTATACCCGTTAATTGTGAGCTATCGACGCAATGGCAGACTTCGTCAAGGGTCTCTTCGGGGGGCAGAAGCCTGTGCAGGCTCCAGCTGCAGGCGATGATGGTACGTAACCCCACGTCGGCCGCACCATTGGAAGCCCAGCGACCCGGGGCGCGGAGCCACGCGACACTCTTTTGTTTTGAGACGGAAGCATGCCTTTGTCTCTGAAAAGGTCGCCTGGGTGCTCTGGTGTCGCCGCGGGTGGCTCAATTGGTGGCGGCTAGACGAGAAGACGTGCACATTCGACTGACACAAGCAGACTTCGCCGACTATGCGGGCGCCCCTGAACCCACGCCAGCAGCCATTTCGCCTTTGACGACCGGTACTGGCGCAGCGCAAGCGGCTCCTACATCTCTCGGCGCGAACCGACCGTATACCGCGTGGTACCGCGTGTGGGAGCGCACGACCAAAGATGACTTCCAGCTGGAGATGTACATCCTGCCCTTCATCTTCGTGCTTGTCGCTGTGCATCTCTGGGGCACCAAGCGCAACCGCAGCAAGGCCAAGGCATGGATGAAGGCGCACGCACCTGTGCTGACGCAGGAATTCGCCCAGGTCGGCTACAGGCGCCCGCAGTCTGAGCAATCGGTCGCAAATGTGGACAGCATGCTCAAGGAAAAGAAGGCCGACGAATACCAGACTTATGCGACTGGACGCCAGAATGTGGCTTTTGTGGATATCAAGCTGTCTATGGCCAAGTACTTCAACCCCTTCCTGTGGGTGGGCGAGAACATGCTTCCCCTCTTCTTCGAGAGCTTTGCTCCTCCTGTCGAGCGTATCGAGGCGGTTGCATATGCTTTCGATGGGCGCGAGACCAAGATTGCGCCATCGTACGGCCAGGGCGACGCCAAGAAGGTGACCAACAGCACTTTTGACGGGTTCGTGTTTGCTGTGGTACACAAGGATATGATGAAGCGTATGCGTGACGAGCGATACGACCTGTCTTTGACGACCACGCGCGACAACGCCAAGTTGCCTGTGTGGACGACGGTCATGAGCGAGAGCGCAGAGGTTACGGATTTGCTGCTCACTCCTGAGCTTATCAAGGCGGTTGAGCAGGCTGGCGACAACTTTGAGGCCATCATTGTCAGCGACCAGCCTGTTGACGCACCCAAGACGTAAGTGGGCGCATTATGCACGAGTTTGCAGTTTTGCCATGAAGCCAAGTATCGCAGTTTGAACTGGGCTAACAGCATGCAGTCTCGACGAAACCAAGCCCCGCAAGCGCCTCCACCTGTCGCTCAAATACGCCTCTGACTACGAGACGACGATGCCGCTGTTCCAGTACTTCCTCCGCCTGCCCGACCAGCTTGCTTCGTCTGCGCACTTCCGCCCAGAAGCCCTCCGCCGCATCAAGCAAACGCGCGAGGAGCAAATTGCCAAGATCCGCAAGGCTGATGACGAGGAAAAGGCCGAGGAGCGCAAGCTGGCTCTCGACAAGCTCAAGAAGGAGCAGCGTGATGCCAAGCTTGGACGGTTGAGTGCCGATGAGCAGAGGAAGTTTTTGGAAAAGGAGCGTGAGAAGAGTGCTCGCAAGGGGATGAAGAGGAGTACTGTTAAAGCGTGATTGGATTGCTTTGGTAGGACTTTGGGATTTGGGGGATTAGGAATTGGGTTGGGTGAAGGGTTGGCGGTTGGCGGTTGGACAGGGTATGTCTGGATGGCTTTATGATGTGGTCATGTGGGATGGGTGGAATGGATGGAAGGGATGGAATTGGATGATGTACAAGTATCACGCGAGATTTGCATGTGTATGAAGAAAAGAAATGGGGGAGATTGGTACATGTTACTATTAATCACACGCTTTTTATATGCACTGTCTGATTGTATACGACATGTTGCTTGGCTGGCTGGCAAAATTCCATATATATATATACCTTTGTGTTGGTCGTATCAAATTCCAACAGTAACAATAATAATAATCATAATAATCATAATCATAATAATGATAATAATACTCCCACATGACATGCTTTTGCCTTTAATCTTGTAGAATCACCCTGATTAAAAATTATATATTATGCCCATACATATCTCGTATTCTCCGCTTCTTGCCCCTTTTTTTTCCTCATTTTCTTCCTTGCCTTACAACCCTATATATTATTTATTTTCCCCTATTCCTTCTCAATCTTCATATCCAATCACTCCACGTCTCTCGTCTCACTTCCTCTTCTGATTAACTTTGTCTGGGCCTAGTTTGACATGTGTGTGTGTGTGTGTGAATGTGTGAATGTATGTAATATGGATTTGATATTGAGACTAGGAGGTAGGTGTATATGTATGTAGTTTAGAGGGAGTTGTCAATGTAGTAGGCTATGTGAGATGCAGTGTGAAGATGTAGATGGTAGATGTTTGCAATATAAAGTCTTGTCTCTTTTGTGGGAAATGCGCTATGTAGTGGTAGGGTAAGTCATGTATACTTTGCATATACATAGCAGATATTCATATTCATATTCATATTTTACTTTATTTTGTTTTTCCAGTTAGGATGTCAAGTATCTAGGTATAGTTTGGAGAAAGATTTCGGTGCTAATATTCGATATTATACAGATTCTCTAATTTTTTTTTAATTTGGTTTGTTTATTTAGTTGTTAAAACGGTATACTGGATATACTAGATGTTTGATGGAAAAGAGATTGCATCATCATATAAGTAGTTAGTATGTGTCTCCTATTTCTCTTGCTCTACTACTGTAAAACTCGGACAAGTTTGGGCATCTTTTCTTGTTGGATCGAAGGCTGTGTGAAGCTCATGTTGGATGCTATGTTATGATGGGAGACTACTACATTTGGCGGTGTGCTGTTTGTCTCTGTGGTGATACGACATTTTTCGTGTTCGTGGTAGATATAATGACTCGAATGTGTCGATTTTACTGGTTCCAGTGGTATGACGAGCATGGCATGTTGTTTGATGTGGAGGAATTATCGCAAGCATTTCTTTTCCTGTACATATCAAGCGAGATTAATTTTTTTTCTTCGGCCATTGGAACCGAGAATCTAGAATGTCGGGTTTGTTTTGTTCACTTTTGTTCCGGTGAGAATCTTGGTGTTCTTTGAGCTTTGAGATGGCGTTGCTTTTGTTTGATTTTTCTTCATTGACAGCGTGCGATGGACATTTGGTGGAAAAGCAAGCGTGAAATTGGGAGGTCATGACATAGATATTGATGGTAAAAAAAAAGAGAGAGCTAGACAGCACATGGAGGTGTTGTTCCATGGTAGGTAAGTGGTGGGTGTACAATCATGATAACAGAACAAAGAAGCAAGCAATGCTGTGGGCTCTTTGGGGTACCTTGCGGATGGGGAGCGATAAGCATGAGAGATATTCTTGGCAAACTTGTGCATTGAAGAGGCGGCATTGGATACAGCTGGCATGATAGTTTTTTTTTGCTCGAGCTGATGCGACGAGATGCGCTCGAAGATTCCAACGCGACGCGAGACGGGCGCATCGCGATGGGCTAAACTAGGGCCGGGGGCTCTATACGTAAGCGGGTGGCGGCGTCCATGTGCCAAGCCCAGCAGCGGCGGGCGGTTGATAAGAGGGAAAGGATGGCGCTTAGGCAAGGCACTAGTCGGCGAGTAATAGTAATGCATGCATGCAGGTATAATTGATTGTTTTGGGATTGTTGGTTTCGGGTTAGAGGCGACGTTCCGGTTGGGCTGGAGGCAGCATCATGGTGGGTGGCTTCGGGGCAACGTTACGTAGTCGACTCTCTTTGCGCCGGGCGGATAGCCGAGGCACCCCCAACAAGCAGCAGTAGCGAGCAGCAGTAGCGAGCAGCGAGCAACGGGCGACGAGGCCAAGCACAAGAGCGCAAACCACTGCAAACACGCGCGCGCGCATAGCTGCCATGGCCTCTCTCCGTGGAACCAGAGGCGTGTGCATGCGCTAATTCCATGTTGAGATGCCATGGCCATGGGCGATGGGGACATGGCATATCCAGACTTTGGGCAAGCCGGAGAAGGAGTCGTGAGGCATTTGCCGTTTCCCTCGTCGTTGCGGGCCCGGCTCCTCAGCATTGCCGCCTCAGGATCGTCGGGCGCGTCACAAAAAGAATGGTGATGGGGTACACGTTGTCAAACCGGTTTCTAATTGCACAGATGGTCAGGCCATGCAAGGTTGTCTATGTAAGATGCAGTCCCGGTTTGGGGGGGAGCCTGGGGGGAGATGATGTATTATGTATCAAGAGACGCGGCAGTGCGGGGATTCATGCTGGCCATGGACATGTCGAGTCGAGAGGGGGAAGAAGGAACAATGGCATGGCAGCAGCGTGGCCGTTGCTGTTGGGGGGCAGGGCGTGAGTGGTGGTGGTGGTGGGATGCAGGCCCGGGCACCATGGCCGATGGGGGAACGGTGGACGATGCGGCGAGAACCACGGTTCACGTTCGGACGGTGGTTGGTGGTTGGTGGTTGGTATTGACGCAGGCGAGCCAGGCGAGGAGGAGGCGCGCCTCGCCTGGGCCGGCGTCCATGGTGGGGGCGGGCGTCACGTGATGGGCCGGAGGATCCGTGATCGCCGGGGCGCCCAGGCTGCACGCAGGGAGCTTGGGCCCCGGGCAATCGCGCGCTCCGGCCGATGACGACGCGCCGAAAATGAGGGGGCTGGGGAAGGGGTGGGAGCTATGGCATTGGGGCATGGATGCACTCAGCTGAAAACGCCCAATGCCGCGTCTTAACCACCTGTCGACGGCATCATGCATGGGCAGAGGCGGGCCAGCTCCAATTGCGCTGTTCCACGCAATTAACAATCGGCCCACCGGGCTGCAATCGCTGCAATCGCTGCAATCACACACGCACAGCCAGCTGCGCCCGGGGAGCTCCCAGCAGCCTTGAGGAACGTCAGCAGCGCCATCGCCATCGCCGGGCCAACACCCGTGCGCAGCGGCCATTGCGCGTCGCCCAAGTCATGGCGCATTCGATGCGCCCACTGCCCCCCCCCCCCGTCCAGGTCGCAGTGCAATTCCCAGAGACACTCGACGCCGGCGTGTCACGGGCTGCCCGCCGTCGTCTGTCCGTGTCAGTCGGCCCATGCCGCAACCGGCAATGGCCAAACAGGCACAGGCAGAAATGGGCACGCTCGGGCGCGCTTGTAAGCGCGCTAGTGCCCGTGTAAACAATGCCATGCCGCTTTGGGACAGCTCTGCCAGACGTCCCCCAGCCTCCGCTGCCCTGCGAAGCCTGCCAGGCCGTTGCAACAGTGGCCCAACTGACCGCCAATCTACTTGATCCCCTCCTCGGTCAGTCAGACTCCATCACTCCTCCACCTACACCCCGCTACTGCACCCAATTGCGCTTCTTTTCCTAGCTGCACGTCAACACCACAAACCTGGCGCCTCGACAGTAATCCCTTCATCTCCAAAAAATCTCTCCGTGAGACCCCCAAAAGGAGCCAAGAAGCTTTTTCTTGATTCCTTTCGAATTGTTTTCGAACGGTTCGAAGGGTTTTCAAGCAAGAGCAACCCGACTCCGGCAAACTGGATTTTGAAGCACGAGTACGCAAGCCTCGTTCGCCCGCCAGGGGCACCCTAAAAAAAATTCCCCGTGTGCTAATCCGTGCAGGTTCCGATCCCCTTCAGTGTCTTCCCGTCTGCGTATCGGAACGCGGAATTCAAAGACTCTACCACTGTCCAGGTAGAACAAGAAGCACAGTTTGAGCAACAGGCTTCACACGGACGGGAAGGTCACGAAGAAATCCACGACTCCTTCTCGCCCACTGTCCACCACCGTACTCCTCCACCACCACCATCGCCATCGTCTGTCGCCTCCACTCCTGCCCCGCCTGCTGCTCAGCAATTCCAAGACACCCACGTCAAGGAAGAGGTCCGCATTTTTGAAGAGGGGCGTTTCGGTCGTCCTCAGCCATCCCACAAGGCGCACACCCCTCAGCAGCCACAATCACCCCAGACCCCTCAGCAGCAGCAACACCACCACCAGCACCACTCGGAGCACCACTCGGAGCACCATCACCACCATCACCAGGAGACTCGTCAGCACCAAGAGACCCGCCAACACCACGAGACTCGCCAGCACTTTCGCGCCCAGCAAACTCCCCAGCAGCCTCACGTTCGTGAAGAAATCCACATCCACGAGGAAACGCACTTTGCACAACCCCAGCAACAGTCGCAGCACCACCAGCACCAGCACCAGCAGGCCCAGTCGCAGTACCAGCAGTCGCAGTACCAGGCTCAGTCGCAGCACCCAGCCCAGTCTCAGCACCACCAGTCCCCCCAGCTTCAGGCCCAGCCCCAGCTCCAGCCTCAGCCGCAACGCGCTCAGTCGCACACTGCACGCTCCCAGCACTCGCACGCTCAGCACGCTCAGCACGCCCAGCGAACTGACCGCGTAGAGTTTGCACGTTCCCACGACCGGTAAGTAAGCTCCATTGTTTTGCCAGCGCATCTTCGCACGGATCAGCACAACAGACCAGCCCCCTGATTTTAGCGGCCCCCAGCCACGCGCCAGCCGCTAGCCTGTTTGGTTTGTTGTTGTCCTAGCGACATGCAGTCCCCACTTTTCTCTCACCTCCTCTAAGCTCTTCCTTGCCCAACCCCAAGCTGACCTTCCTTTCTTCCTTCAGCTACCAATCCCAACCTCCTTCCTCCCACTCTCCAGTCGAGGTTCAGGAAAGGTCCTACGATAAGCACTTCAAAACAGTCCACGGCCCTGCCACCGACTCCGCTCCCACTCCCACTCAAATCGACATCACCGAACGTCAGTTCCGTGAGCACACCCGTCCCATCGTCGCCGGTGCTAGCTACTCCAAGGAGACCTACACCACCCAGCGCGGCACCTACCCCAACAACCGCAAAGTTGACCTTGTCGACAACAAAACCACCACTGAGGTTCGAGTAGAAGAAACTGCTCGTTCCACTGCTGCACCCCCCAAGAAGTTCAAGCGTGATATGGGATATTACGACAACGAGGGCAAGTACCATTCGTTTCGTCAAGGAATCTCCACCGCCGCACACAAGGTAGCCGAACGCGTTCAGCACCCCATCCACCCTCACCGCCATCACCACTCCAAGGAACACTCTTTCCCTGGTGCCAAGTACGACGACGAGCGCGAAGAAATCGTTGTAAAGGAGAAGTACTACACTGCCTCCCCTTCCGTCGTTCCCAGCCCTCCCGTCCAATCCGGCGTCCCCGTTGAAAGGGTCGTTCGCGTCGACAGCTCAGCTCCTGCTCCAAGGCCCGCTACCGTCGCCCCCAAGCCCATCTCCACCACCCTCACCACCGCCCCAATCTCCACCCGCACCGTCCGCAAGATGACTACCGGCAACACCATCACCATCCCCTGCCACCACATCCGCATTGGCGATCTCCTGATCCTTCAGGGCCGCCCTTGCCAGGTGATCCGCATCACCACCTCGTCGCAGACTGGCCAGCACCGCTACCTCGGTGTTGACCTGTTCACCAAGCAGCTCCATGAGGAGTCCAGCTTCATCTCCAACCCGGCCCCGTCCGTCGTTGTCCAGAACATGCTTGGTCCTGTCTTCAAGCAGTACCGTGTTCTCGACATCCGCGAGGACGGCCGCGTTGTCGCCATGACCGAGGGTGGTGATGTCAAGCAGGGCCTTCCCGTCCTTGACCAGAGCGGTCTCCTCTCCCGCTTGACAGAGGCCTTTGACAACGGCCGTGGCAGCGTCCGCATCCTCGTCATCAACGACGACGGCATGGAGATGGCTGTTGACTTCAAGGTCGTCCACGGCTCCAGGTTGTAGATACACTCAGCCACTGGTATGTCTTATCCTTCATCACTGCCTTGCATCGTCTAACCTTTCTCAGGTCTTCTTCAAACGTTCGATAATCAATCATCCCTTAGGCGTTTGTTTCATGATGGCCGCCCAGTCTTGTCTATGTGTTTATAACTTTTGCATGCTTGCTTAGCAGGAAGCATTGGGCTTCACTTGGGCCTCAGTTGCCTTTGTTGGCTTCTGTTGCTTGGGTGATGTGCATACTTTCTGGCTTAGTGATGAAGATATCGGAGCTCTACGTGTCGATAGTTAATGGAAATGCGTCTCTTTATATATGTGAACCTTGCATTGTTTCGCCTGTGACTTGCCATGTCCATCTTCGTCTCCGCCTACGTGGTTAGCTATCAGACCCGCCGTTCGCTGCAAGCTCCCGCGCCTACCCCACGTTCTCCACGCGTTTGTCCTTTCGCCAAACGACCCGCTATCTCATGCACCTGATGTGTAGCGTATGACTCACTCGCGCTCCCCTGTCTCGCATATGCTAGAAGCGTCATTGCTTGCTCCTGGGACACTCCAAGTCTTTGTTTCCTGCCCTCGCGCTGTTCGCAGACCCGACTCTGACCTTTTGTCACGCGAAGCTTCGTAGCTAGACGACCACAATCAAGTCCACCATCAAGTCTTACCACGAACCACACCTCAATATCTCGCGACAGCTCTTGACAAGCTGAGGGAGAGCTATCATGATATACCACGGCGACGCATTCATGGGAGATGGTTGTGAGACTTGACTCTCTCTCTCTCTCTCTCTCTCTCCCTCCCTGTCAAGGGCCTATTGCCATGTCGCTGTGAAGATTTCTTCCATGGAAAGCTGAATAGCTAGAGTATGAAGGTACGCTGGAACATGGAACATGGAGTATTTTAAGCAAAGGTACGCTTGACACGTCTTCGTCTTGGTCTGTTACGCTGGATTTCCCACAAAAGAGCTAACGCATTCCCCACGTCTCGACAGTCCCATCACATCACACACACACACACACACACACGCTGCATACCCATCCAAATCCAAACACCGTTTCCGCGCTTCGTATTTCGACGTACCAATCGCCGTTTCGACATGATACTGTCTCGTGTATCGGCGTGGGCATGGTAGGTTTGGATATGACGCGTCGTCGCATGCGGGAGAAACGACACAACATAATGGAGCGCGTTGGCTTGGAGCGGCGCGATCGGCGCGTGTATAATTTGGGGATGGGGAATTCATGACGCGGTCGGGGCTGGACTGGGCCGGACAGGACATGATAGGATAAGGCAGGACAGAGTGGAAACAAGTGATATCTGCGATAACGCGCGGAGAGGCAAAGCACTGTATATCAGTTCGCGAGCACGACGTACACAGATGGAGATGTATAGGCTTGAACTTGAAGTAGGAAAGCGGTGATAGCACTGTTACTAGCCATGTGCGTGCGCGTGAGCGGAAAGAAGAGACAGACAGACAGACAGAGAGAGAGAGTATGCGTGAGAATGAGAGACAAAAGGGAAGGGACAAAATATTCCTTCTCATTCCCCGTTGCATAGTCAGTTGGTTCGTTCCCGGGAAGTACAGGAGAAGCAAGCAAGGAGAGTTATATACATACATATTCCATAACTATATTTAACATACAAAAGTCCTACTTGTCAGCAGATACAGCTTGCTTTGCTTTTATACCTGCTTGCTTGCCAAAGGTCCACAACGCCATGCATGTCCTTGAGATTTACAGTTTTTTTCTTTTTTTTCTTTTTTTTTTTACTTTATTCTTCTCGAGAAACGAATCAAAGTCTGACTTGTAAGAGAGATTTAAAAGAAAAAATACTTTGACAAAGTTGAACAGGATGCCATCACCAAACAGAGTTCACAAATAGATGGGGTAGCATGAATGTGTAGCTAAGGGGGGGGGAGAGAAGGAGAAAGGAGAAAGAGTAGATGAAAGTGTCGACGGAAGAAAAGGACAAAATATATGGTAGCGGTAAGCGGTAAGCGGTAGCATGCAAAGAGCAATGGGTAACTTTGAGCTTTCTTTTTTTTAACGCCTCAGCTTTGTACATGGTCAAGTGTGATTTATACTTGAAGCGTTTGTTTCTTCTTACTTTTTTATTTTTATTTTAAGTTGATCGAGTATGCATGTTAGCTCACTGACTGGCTAGCTGGCTGGCTGGCTGGATACGTAGATAGGTAACACCTTTATTTCGTGCGTATTTGTTATTTTTCCCATTTCTATCTCTTATATCTATCCATCCATCTTAAGATCAGATTGTAGCATTGTACATATATACTAAATATACGAAGTCTACCAAGTACTTACATTACGACCAACACATGCCAAAACTACTACTACTACTACTACTACTCCTACTCCTCCATACGCCTCGCCATCTAGCTCTCTACGTGTAAGACAGTATGCAAGATACACGAAATCCAAATTCCATACTAAACGCGTGGAACAGAAAAAAAAACGGGCGAAGAACTCGTGGAACAAAAGCCAACTAAGTAAATAATTATACCTCCCCCCCCCCCAATATATACTACAATTATCGACGCGGGAATGCCTAGGAGGCTCCAGTTGGTTAAAAAAAAAAGCCGAGCAATGCATTGCTGTACTTGGTTGATTTGTTGCATGTGAATTTTTGTGAAAATCTGGCAGGTGATAGGAGCCTTGGCCAAACTTTGTCCATGTATTATGGGAAGTAATGCCCAACTACTCTTCGCCGTAAAATATAAAAGTCGTAAGTGAGGATGCTTTCTACTCCCTTGCGCAACAGGCTATATAGTTAGCTTCGAGGACATCAAGTACATCAAGTACATCAAATCCTTACCGTTAGTAACAAACAATAATCGATATACACGAGCTCAATCACGCTGAGATATGCACTTTAGCTTAGCTTAGCTTAGCTTAGTTCACGCCCTCACTCAATCACATCAAACGCACAAACACACAGTACCACACACAGTACCACAATACATCAGGAACTTGCTACTTCTTTTTTTCATCACTGATTAACTGGAATAGAACCCCTTTGTCCTGAGAACGCTCTCGCACGCTTGCGGCGCAAACATCAGCCAACATTGTCTAACTCATTCCAGGGAGAGAGAGAGAGAGAGAGAGAAAGACAGGATAAGGAAACACTATAAAAGAAAAGAGAAAAAAAAGCATGATTTTGGGAAATCTTCAGCCGGTAATGGGGGGATCTACTACAATCAACCCTTCTTCTCGGCCGTGGCCATCAAACTACCAATAAAGGAGGTGATAAGCCTGCTTTGAACGGCAACAATGTCATCAGGTACAAGCCAGATGGTCGCGCCCATCTTTCGTGCAATACTAATGGCCAACTTGGCGTTCTGGTAGCACTCGTCGTCATTGCGGCCAGGAGCAACGAGGTCGTAGTCGACGTATGCGGGCTTCATGCCAGCCAGAACATCCAGGAGGAAAATGGCATTGCTGAGAGACGAGTCCTTGAAGGAGCGGATTTGAGTGTTCTTGCCGCCCTTCCTTGCCATGTCGTTGGCCCACGCAATCATATCTGAATCCGAAATTTCGCGCCTGCCGAGCTGCTGGGCAAGGCCGTTGAGCGTCGAGACAATGTCCCTGCGCATGAGCTGCCATACGAGACCAAGAGTAAGTGTGCGCTGGCCGTCGGTGATATCAGCACCCTGTATACCAGGGAGCGAGAATTGGTTAACCTTGCCGAGCTCAACAGCGTAGTTGGTGTTCTCGAGGGCCTTGAAACGCATCAGCTCCTGACCTTCACGTGGCTTGTTCACGTGTCGCCAGTTGACACTGCTTGGAATGACCTTGTCGTAGGCCTGGAGAATGACGGTTCCGTCCTTGAGGTCCTCGTAGAAAGACTGCACGACTGGCTTGACGTCGAGAGAGTTGAGCCACAGAGTGAAGACACGGGCCTCACGCTCTCCTGCCGCATCGAAGTCGTCAATCTCAGCCTTCTCCTCTTCTGTGATGGGGTCGAGGCAAGGGTGTGTGTTGAACAAGTTGGCGACAAAGGCCAAGTTGAGCTTCGGGTTTCCGGCTACAAGTGATTTGGGGGTGAGGAACTTGCGGCAGTCGAGGGCGTCGGCATTCTGCAACACCATCTCGGCGCGCTGAAGAAGGTCCGTCTGCTGGAGCGGAGCGCGAGAGCAGATTTCGGGCGCCAGCTGGCTAAGGAGGACGGTGTAGTTCTCGCCGTCTTTGACGTCAGTCGAGAAGTTGGTCACACTGCAAATGTTAGCAACGGCCATGTGCAATCAAGCCTAGCGCAGCAGCTTACGTCCTATGCCACTTTGCGTTCTTCAGGTGGTAGTTGAACCACCTCAGCAGAATCTGCTCCGGAGGCAGGCGCAGGAACTGGTCTAGCGTCTCATCGTCCTCCAACAGCCTGTAGAGCTCCGGGTGTAGCTTGATATCAATCTTTCCCAACAGACCTCTCCTGATGATCTGCCAGATCAGACCTAAAATCAAGTGCTCGCGCACTTCGATGATGTCCTGACTGCCAATGTTGACGACCGAGCAACCAATACCCTTTGCCGACTCAATGACAATGTTGTTGTTCTCGGTAAAGTGGAAGTTGTTCAGCGACTTGATCTTCTTGCCCGGCTTGTTCAGCACACGCTCATCAATGGTGTCTGGGACACTGTCGTTGATGAGCTTGGACAGCACGAGACCGTCCTTGCAGGCATCAAACATCTCAAACGTGTCGGTCGGGAAGGGGAGACGATCACCAATGTCGGCATCGCCAGCAAGCACGGCGTTGATGTGGCGCGTAAACTCGGTGCGCTCATCTTCGTTGATGGTGTGCGTGACGTTGGCCGACGAGCCCTGGACGTGGATCCTGCCGCCGCCCAAGCTACCCTTGGACGAGTGTCCGGGGTTGGAAGGCGAGTTGACGCTCGTAGCAGTGCCGGCGCGCGGGCGGCTTGGGCCGGTAGACATGCGCTGTTGGGCCGGAGACGAAACTCGCAGTTTGGAGATGAGCTACGGGCGTTAGCTTCGACGTGGCGTCCAGCGAGCCGCAAATGCCTACATCAACATAGTCCTCGAGCTCGACTCTTCTCGACGAGTCCAGCTCGACCTCTTTCAGGGCCTGTCGCACGACATCGTAGGGCTGGTGCTCCGACTGCTGCGCGGCCTTGATGACGGTTCCCTCGTCGAGGTAGCCCTTGTCGTCGACGTCGAGCCTGCGGAACGCCTCCTGCAGGCCGAAGATCTCGCCCTGCTCGAACTGGGGATACTTCCTGTTGGCAATGTCGTGTCAGCGACGAGTGGAAGGCAGCGGACGGGCGTGGAATGAGGGGCGGCCGACGTACTTTTGCAGCTTGATGATGTTCATGTTGGCGAAGTGCAGATGAACAAACCAACCGAGGAGTCGGGAGCGGAAGGGAAGGATATACTAGGCGGCAAATTGACTGCCTTGCTCCGCCTCGTTGCGCGTTGGACCAGTTCGTGCCTCTTGTTTTGCTTACCCGATGACGACGTGGGGCTACTGCCAAGGCCCGCGGTTCGAGGGGCACTCACACTCACACTCGCACTCTCACCCATACCAATGCCAACACCATGCACGCACCCGCACTCGCACTGCCAGCTTACGTATGCACGTCACATGTGCCTCCCTGCATTAGGCTCCCGTCGCTGCTACCACGTCCTGTCCCGCAACTCGCATCCCCAATGCCACGGCCATTCTCTCGCTGCCTGCTGCGCCTGTTGCGCCTCCAGACGCGCACTCGTGTCGCTGCTGACGGCCTCATCATGGCCATGGGCATGCTTTGGGCCTCGATGCCCGAGCCGCTCCCATGGGTGCCCTAGCTCCCAAGGCGGTGTCCACTGCCACCTCACCCGCGGGCCACTAGAGTGATGCCTTAGTGGTGCAAGGAACCCGAAGCACGACGTCGCCGCCGCTCTGTTACATACACATTGTCCATGGCAATGGCGCCCAAAAGCCCACATACCCGACCACCCCTCAGGCCCGTGTACGGCTACTGCTACTGCTACTTGGCCGTGCACACCCACCCACCCAACGACACAAGCAACAACACCGTCGTCAAGGCAGCGCATCAGTGAAAAAATAAAAGAGCTTTTGATTCCCTCATTAACGTCATAAGGTCCCGGTCGCCGGCTCGTCCAACAGAAGAAAGACAGGAAAATAAAAACACCAAAGCAGCTCCTCACGCCGTCTTGCACTCAAACATCCAACCTGGCCCGACAGCCGCGCCCACGCTCATGGCAGCGCCATCAGACCACCTAGCTACAAACAACATTGCGTTAAACTTGCCCTCTGCATACGATGCCCGCCAAGCAAATATCATCATTGCGTCAACATCCATCAAATTCGTGTGCGTCCCTGGTTTTCGTCCTACATGGCGGGCCCTTCATCTTGAAGCACGAGGGGGGGCGGCGAGCATGCCTTACTCACGACGTCCCATCGCATTACCACGTACGTGTTTTTTTTTTCAATAGTAACGCTGGTCAAAGTTGGCCCATGTCGAGTGGGGAATTCACTGACGTGGCAATGCGGCGGTCCTCCGTAACATTCCCCCATATCCTCCCCCCGAGCTGGCAGAAAGGAAAGAACAAAAAAGCGACTATAGAATGTACAAGACTTGCACGTGCTAATGCCGCGTGCACAAGTCGTGTGTCTTGAGGGCAGAACAAGCCTCAAGACACGGTGTGGGTTGGAACCAGCAGTTCCACGAAGCAAATGGTCGTTAAAGTCGTGAATGCCGAGAGTTGCTGAAATGTAAATGAGAAATGAAAGCGAAATCAAGGAAACTTAGACACAAGGAAAATTAAGAGAACGAAGTTTCGCGTTCGCACGCAATCTCTGCAAGTTTCGTCATGGTTGAAGAGACGCCGAGCGACAATGTCGCCGTGGGCATGTTGTGATGCTTGTGAAAGAGATCGCTCGCTTGATGCCAGGAAATCGCTGAATATCGAGGCAAAAATCTGCCTTCTAAGCCAAAAAACGGCAGCTGGCCACCCGTACAATGTCTGCAAAGTCTTCGGTTACCGTCTAGCCCGTTGAGCCGACATGGTGTGGGCACGTTGGAGACCAGGAGTAGCGTCGGCGTAGGGGCCACCGACAGCGCCGCCTTCGAGCGTCTTGCGTCGCTTCAGGCCGCTCATGTCGTCCCCTTGAACGCTGTCAGGGCGGTAGGGGTCTTCGTCTTCATCGTCACGACCACGTTTACCCGAGTTTACACCGTTCGACGGAGGGTATCCTTGCGTGGCATACTGGGGTACAGCGCCAGGCCCTTGGTAGGCATCATGGGCCGAATTACCGTTGGGCGCACCGCGGGGGTCGCTCATTACGTTGTAAAGATTGCTAGAAGGTGGTGCTTGACGTTGTGGAGTGGGGTACCCCGAGTTCCACTGCGGCTGGCCAGCGGCAGCTGAACGGGGCGTAGCACGCCCGGAGCCGTTCTGGTGAGGCGAACCAGTCATCTCTGGCGAGAGGTGAGGGTGATCCGGGTGCATGGCTCCTGGTGGACCGGTTGGCGTGTATCCGTACGGCCCGCGGTTGCCGTTGTACGAGGCATTCGAGTGTGTGTACTCGTTGCCATGTTCATGTTCGCTTTCGCCGCCTTGTGGGGGCGGGGCAACCTGCTCGTGACCTTGAGGCATCATGCCGTCAGGTTGCTTGACATCACCCTCATCGGGAACCTCGGTGATGCGCGATGGCGGCGCCATCTCCGTCTTTGGGTAAGAGCCGTCCTGTCGGTAACCCATCATCGGCTGTCCTTGAGCGTACTGGCCAGGCTGCGAGGGGGGTCCTGAGTACAAAGGCCTGGTTCCATCGAAGCTCTGCGCAGATGCATACGACATGCCCTGCTGGACAGCTCCCGGTGGCGTGCTCGCAGGTGTTGTCGGCACAGAGCGAGTGTTGCTCAGACCCGTGTCAATGGATAGCGGCTGGCCGCCCTGGGGGTTCTGAACGTTGTTACCGCTCCATTCGTAAGAGCTTCCTTGATTACCCATGCCCATGATGCTCGAAGCGCTTGTGGGGGGAGTGGGGAAAGTATGGGCTCGATCAATGCCAGGGCGACCTGAAGAAGGATGAGGCTGAATGGCGTGCGGGGGTTGAGAAATGGCACCGCCAATTGGGTTGCTCATCGAGTGATGATGGTGTAGCGATGGGGGTTGCGATGCCGCCGGCCCGGAGAGATATCGCTGGTGAGTCTGCATAGGGTCAGGTCTTCGGTTGCGGTCTACAGCAGCCATGGCAGCGCTTCCTACACTTGACCTCGTCTGATTAGACGGATGATATAGCAGTGCACCAATGTCATGGACAAACAGAGGGTACAGCTGCTCTGTAATCTTTTCCTTGTTGGCGAACTCGAGGGCTCGCTCGAAGGGAATCCTATACCGTGTTAGTTTTCTTTTCTCTTGTTCAACCAAGAGTAAATGACGTGGAGAACTAACCAAACGCCCTTGAGATGCATTGGACCAATCTTGACGACATGACGTGTCTTCTCACTCTTGAGAATGCCGTCTCGTCGACCTCGTGTCATGCCTGCAACGTTGAGAAGCTTTGTGCCGTTGATCATGTGATTGTCTACAAGGTGTCAAACTCGGTGATTTTCCAGAGGAACAGCAATGCAGACTTACCCTCACGACGTGCAACACAAACGCCCTTGGCCTCGACTTGGAAGCAAAGACTGCCTTCGTCCTCCCATAGTGTGGCAGTCACACGTGGCTTCATTCCCGGGGGAGCAACTTGGCCCGTGTGGTCAAAAGTCTGGGTTTGGTAGCTTTGAGAGCCAGGTAGTGATGATGCAGGTGCACCAGACGACATGGCTAGAAAACGTTAGCCTTGTAACCATGGGAGACGCGAGGGAAGGAAAAAAAACTAACCTGGTAGTTGCAGTGTCGAGGGGACCATGGCCGGGTTCATTGACGAGGAAGCCGGAATCTGCGAAGGCACTCCGCCCGGGTAGCCGTATGAAGGATATCCGGGCTGACCTTGGTTGTACTGATGCTGGGACTGCATCATGGAGGGCTGTGGGGGGTAGGAATAATGCGAGAGCCCTGATGGAGGAGCCGAAGCTGGAGCGTGAGCAGCGGTAGCCATGTGGGGTTGATGCACGTCAGCATACGATTGCATCTGGTTCATGCTGTTGTAGCCTCCGGGAGCAAAGCCGTATCCGTCCTGAGTGGCAAACGGAGAGCTCTGAGCAGACTGCGCGTTCAAAGCCTGTTGGTCTCTGCTCAAGGATTGGGGAGTGTGTTCGGGCGAGGGAGTCTTGAAGCCCGTGGTGTTGCCGGTGACCGACGCGGCGTAGGACGTGTTGGAGCTAGCGCTTCCACCACTCAGAGAACCCGAACGGATGGAATCACTGCGGGGCGAGGATGAGTTTGAGGATGCGCTTGGGTGCGACTGAATCTGGGGCAGCGCTGGCAGGCGTTCGCTCGATAGTGCAGGTTTGAGTGCGTAGTGGGATGGGTACCAAGTGTCAACTGGGCCGCGGGCGTGGACCGACGAGATTGATGGGAGCTCCAGCTTTACGGTATTGACGTGGTTTCGAGAGCGTCGTTGTGGGTGTGCAGCGTCGAGCAATTCTCCGCGAGAATCCTCGAGTCAGCTGTCGAGATAGCCGAGCGGATCGGTGTGCAGAGTGCAAGCGATGGATGCTCACACTATTTTGCAGCGTCTGCGCACGTATTGGACAAGACGATGGCTCGCTGATATGGAAGCAGACGGTGCAAGGTTGACAGAGCGAATGATCTTCACCGCAAGTTAGTTGTTTGCTTGCGAATGAGAGGGTAAAGATCGGTTGACTGCAGCAGCGGGCCAACAAAGACGCGGCCAGACAAGCGTGCAAACAAGGGCCAAGTTGAGCGGCTGGTGTGGGGAGTGGGCGGCTACGGATCGATGGAGAAGAGAGGGAGTGTAGTGGCACGAGGCAGAGTGGGGAAAAACATGCAGTGGTGCAGTGGTGCTGACGGCGGTCGTGGTAAAAGGTGAAATGGGGGAGCTACTGACCAGGGTGGCTCGGCTGCGAACAGACGTGACAGAAAAGCCAATGTGCTCGGGAGGCTTGTGGACGAAGGTGAAGGCTGCAAACAATGCTGTAGTGCCGAAAAGCTAGTCGTTACGTCGTTGCAGGTCGTAAAGCAGGGAAGAGCTGGTAGTTGACAATGCTTTTGGCGCTCGTTTCAAAACACGCAAAGGTACGAATGGACGAAGGCCGACGTGGAAGAATAGCTCAAGATGTCTGCCAATGCCGGGAACATGTGCTGCAGGGGTGGGTGGGCGAGGTTGTCGTAAAGAGTCGTAACGTCGTCGCGCTTCGTTAAATGCGGGTCGAGCTGGTATCGATAGCGATAGCGGCTGCAACAGCAAGAAAAGACTACGCGCACACACGCGTCAGTTTACGGCGAGTGGAGGGCAGGGGCAGCGAGCGAGGGGGAGGGCGGAGAGGGGGGGGTGTGGGAGAGGAACCGACGGTCTATGAGAGGTGAACAGGAAAGGCCGGGCAAAAGAGCTTCTTTCGCAGACTGCGGTGGGGAGGCGGAGGTTTAGAGGCGGAGGTGGTTGGGATGTGACTTTGATGCTAGCGCTGCTGGGCCCAACCAGACAAGGCGACGGATAGGCGAGGGCACGGGAAACACAGGCGGCGAGTCCGGGTGGCCGCGCAGTGGAGGGCAGCGGCGGCGGCGGCAGAGGGGCGGGCGACGAGGAGACTCACCAATTCTTGGGGGGTGTTGATGAAGCTGCTGGTGGTGGTGATGGCGGTGTTTGCAGCTGTTGCAGTGGGTGCAGGCGCAGGCGCAGGCGCAGGTGCAGTTGTGAGCAGACGCGAAGGGGGAGCGGCGCAACGATGACGGGGTGGGAGGGTTGGTTTGGGAGTGGAGAAGGGAAGTCGTTCTCTCGCCGGCAATGCTGCAGGATTGTGTGCAGCGCGCTCGACAGCAGGCAGGCGGCAGGCTAAGAGGGCAAGAGCGAGGCAGGCGAGCAGCGCACGCCCCGCACGGCAGTCTGTCCCAAAAGCGGCCGCTGGCTCTAAAGACGGCGCGTCCAATGCCTCGACGGCATCAGTGCGCGGCGGGCGTCGCTGACAAGTTGTTCCGGCGAGGCAGCGCGCTGTAGCTGCGTCGGCGGGCCGGAGCGAATTTGCAGCAGCGGCGGCGGCAGCGAGGGCGCGTGTGAGAGTGTGAGTGTGTGAGCGTACGCGTCAAATATCTCCGGCCGCGCTCAGTGGCCCGTGGATTCAGCCGTGTCATGGCCATCGGGAGGCTAGCCGATGCCTCAGAAGGCGACACACGCACACACACGGTCTGGCGAGGTCGAGGAAAAAAAAAGTAGGCGCCCGCTAATTTTGGAGCGCAGTACCCTGGGGCGCCTGGCCGGGCGTGGGAGGGGGCGAGGACAAGGCCAAGTGGGGAGGCGAAGGAGGGAGGGAATTGGAATGGAGGGCTTGGAGCGAGGGAGACGAGGCCAAGGCAGCCAGGCTGACGCTCCATGGCCACTCGAGCCAACCGATCTGCTGTACCGACATGGATGGGATCTGTCGTGCGCGCGTTGCTTTCTTTCGCCTGGGCAATGGCTGGTACAGTCGCCCGCTCGCTTGCGTGCATAATCGTCGCGGTATAGCCTGGCAGCCCTGTCCCTGTCAGCATTCTTTCTCCACTTGGGCGCGCCCTTGTCAACCGCACCGGGCGGCGGATCAGCCCAGTCAGCAAGCTCCATGGGCCCGTCTGTGCGCCGCGCAGCGAAACGGCCTGCCTTTCGCGGGTTTGTTGCTGGCACGCTGGAGTGAGGTGTGAGTGAGAGAGGGTGTGTGGTGAGGTGGGTATGGGTGTGGGTATGGGTGTGTGGTGTGGTGTGTGTGTGTGTGTGTGTGTGTGCAAGCCGGGCCACCCCCATGCCATCGTGCCCTCACTTTCCCTCCCCCCCCACCTGGCCCGATGTGAATTTAGATTGTGTGCTCGCAGCGGCTCGTCTGTGTCTGTGTCGATGTGGTCGATGCGTCGATGTGTGTGTGTGAGTGTGTGTATGTGTGAGTGGGTGCGTGAGTGAATGAGTGTGGGTGGGAGAGAGTATGTGTGTGTGTGTGTGTGTGTGCGCAACCAAGTCCGCGAACATGTCCACCACGCCGTCTCCAAGTATAGTCCCCCCCCCCTCCCTCCCACTGTATACACTACACACGCACTACGCGCACTACACACACTACACATAGTCTCGCTCTCACACACATCCTCACACACTCACCGCCGCACGCAAACTAAGCTGAGTTGATAGGGAACAGTCGTTGCAAACTGCGCTTTGACTAAGCGGCGCCGGACCGTCTTGTTGCGGAGCGCCCACCACACGACGCCCATCTCAACGACGCCCGTCGTCCACCACCACCAGCACACAGCACACATGGCCGTCGGCTGTTCGGTGCTGCCCTGCCCGCCACGACGCCACCATTTGCCCTCTCTGTCCCCGGCTGCGAGTCAGAGCGGGACACTTGGTATGTGGTGAGCAATGAGACGAAAAAGCAGAAGCAATCTGGCAGCACTGCCGGACAGCCACGTTCCTTCTGAAACAGGCTCAACTGCCGCGGCACGCTCAGGTGTGCTGGTGGTGCTCCTCCTCCTCCTGCTGCTGCTGACGAGGGCCGTCATCCCTCCACTGTGCGTACATGGCCGTGACAGGATTCGGTGCTCCGGCCTCGAGCAGACGCGCCGGCCAAGACGTTTTCTTTTTCAGCAAGCCCCGATAATAACAATATGGACCATCGTCATCGCGGACGGATGCCATTCCTAGCACAGGCTAAATCAAATGGCCCTCTATCCAGCCCTTCTTCGCAGGGATGCGCCCCGAGCGCGAGCGGGATAGACGGACGGTAGGCCGTGCCAGCCAGGCGGCTGGGCGCTGGGCTCGGGCGCGCGCTGATTGGCTGGGTAGTCGAAGGCGTTGCTGGACCACGACCCAAGCCTGGGACCAGCGTCTATCTGCTTCCCCACGAGGGCATCCACTCGACGGCCGGCCGATGCAAGACATGTAACGAGCATGTGAAGCGTGTGCAACGTGGAATCTCGACAGTGTACGACGGCCATGTCATGTCAGCGGACCATGGCGACGACCAGACCCCCAGGCGAGCCACACGGCACACGACTGGAGCGCCGCGGCGCCCCCCCCCTCGTCCATGGCTACTCGCGCCTGCTGCTCACAGCCATCCACTCGACCCTCGAGTCGACTGACAAACGTGCCGACGGTAACACGGGCTTGACGTTGGATGTGGACGCCCCAAGGTTTGATAGGACGCGTGCTAGTTGCGGTGAGTAGATGCGCTGGCCGCGCTAGCCCGACGCGGCTAAGCCAAGCCTCGGTCACGCTTTCGCACTTGGTCCTCAACAGCCACCCGCACCACGCATCGCCAGAGAGGGTGCGACTGCGACGCTGGATATCCATGGCCGTGTCTCGCAGTCGGCATGTCTACGCCCGTGGCCCCGAGCAAGGCGGCGGCCCAAGTCGCACAAGGGCGTCCCTTTGGGCCGGCTGAAACAAGAGACCAGATGGACGCAATACGGCCAGAGACGCCACCGTGGCCGCAGTAGGGACTGGGAAATATTTTAAGAAAAAAAAAGAGAACCAGACAAAGCCCGCCACCCCCCCCCTCACCCTCGCTCGCGCTGGACGGGTACCGCATCACGGGACTCGTAGCACGGCGCACGGGAGAGTCCGCCTTGATCCCTGCACCAACCATGCGAACGGTGACAGCCTCGACCTCTGCAACAGCCAGCAGACCATGCACTTGACAGTTGGCATGCCTCTCGTCGCCTCAGGCGCCAAACCAAGTGTTCGCATTCCGTGTCATGGCCGGCTAGTCACTGGAAGCGTATCCAGCCGTGTCCGCCGTGCCCCTCCTGGCGTGCCCCCCCCTCGCCCCTCGACCCCAGCCAACCCTTTTGCTACGTGATGCTCCAGACTGGCATGGGGGCGGCCAAAGTTTGGTCGAGAGCAACATTGTCGGCGGCCGGTACCACGACTGACGGCATCAGATGAGAGGGCGGGCGGAGTCGATGGCATCATCAGGTGACGGGCGGTGCGGCGTGGATAGACCATGCCAGGAACTCGATTACAGAGCGGTGGTACCGTCGCTAGTGTGTGTGGAATGCGCCATAGGCCAGAGGTATGACGAGGCACCCAAGCGACCCGGGTTGTATCACGGTGGGTGTGGGTGTGCAAAGCGCAACGAGTGCGGTCAAGTCCTTCTTGCTCGAGGCGCAGTCACACGGCGACCGCGTGGACTAGGGCGCCTAGCAGATATGCACAGGTGGAAATAAACGTGCAGTGCATCGCAGCCGGCGCGATGTGGGAGCGGATCGTGGAGAAAGGCCCGCGCCCGTGTGTGCTTGGACTGGTGCTGGCGAGGTGCTGGCGACCAGCTACCTGGCTGGCTGGACGAAGGGGGGGGGGCCAGAATAGACACAGAGGCTGACGGATGGGGGGAGGACGTGGAGCGAGTCAGGCCATGGCGGGCTCTCTGCACCCGCACATGACGAAGCTTCTTCCCTTTTCCCAATACTCTCGGACAGGGTTCCGGGCAGGCAAGGGCGCCTCCTGCTGTGCTGTAGCCGTCGTGGGCGTGGGCGTGGCAGCGTGGTGCTTGTCTCTGACCTTGTCGACCAGATTGCGTTCTCGTGCAGTGGGGTCTGTGTCGCTGGCTGTCCAACTGGCAATAAAGCGCAATCTGGGCTCGGGTGCCGTCTATACGCAAACTCGGCCCTGTGTGCATCCCGAGTGGGAGTGCGAGTTGCCACCTACACCTTTCTACTATTACCTTACATGGCCAGGCAGTGTGTGCTGCATGGCGCGTGCTCCCACGGCCGGGAGTGGTGGCTAATCTGACAGACTTTCTGACAGTGACCACGCACACAGACACTCGCCACCGCCGCCGCCGCCGCTTCTTCTTCTTCTTTTTCTTTTTTCTCTTTCGCTCTCTCTCTCTCTCTCGCGCGCGCGCTGCATGCACACACACGTCGCGCTGTTTCTCTGGCTACATGGCAGATAGTCTCCGGCGGTCGCTCATACGCCCGTACCAACGTTCCTGCAGCGTGAGGCAATCCCGCAATGCAGCCACGCTTGGGCGGGCTCTTGCCCTCGGACTGGCCAGAGCTCGTATGCAGCGAGCCGCGCCTGCATATGCGTGTGATGTAGGGGATCCCTGCGCCGTGGGCGCCAAGCCACAGCCCCTCCATGGCCCAGGATGCGATCGTGGACCCGATCCAAGTGCTGCGACGCAGAGAAGGAGAGCACGGCGGCGGCGGCGGCGGCGGCGAGGAGAGGGTAGCAAGCAGCAGCGGGCGTCTTGGTGGCATGCCGTCGCACCGATGCGCCCCTTCTCCGCAATTGGCGCCTGGACCGGTGCTTGCACTTGACAGCGCCCACGAGTCGAGCTCGCGCAGCCGTCATGGATACATGGAAACTTGTCACGCCCTTTGCACGCAGCGCGCTCTCGAGCCTCTGAGGCCATCCTGATCAGCGTCGCATGCTCGCTGGAGTCGCCAGATAGGCGCCCGCCTGCCAATCACGGCCGGCCACGTCAGGAGCCAGTCGAGCCGTTATCGGGATATCGACGGACGACGCTAGCCACGCCCGCTCCGTGCAGCTCGTGGGGTTCAACGCCGCCGCGTGATTGGCCGGCCCAGCCCTTCACCGGTCTCGCATACCCATGGCTCGCTCTGCTTCTCTGCCCCACTCCCTCTCGCTCACTCCCACTCACACTCACACTCACGCCCCCAGCCCCAGCCCCAGCTCCCTTGGCTTCCCATTCCCTTCCCTTCCCTTTCCCTTCCCTTTGCTTCGCTCCCCCCCCCCCTCCATGCGCCCCCTCCGCCCGCCCTTGTCACCTTCTGGCGACGACTCGCCTGTTGCAGCATTGTCTAGCGTCCTTCTGCGCCCACTCCACATGCTCTTCCACGCCCTCAACAAAGTTCAACAAATAAACAATCCAAGTGAGGGGTTCATTGTCCGCTGGAAGCAGCTACCCGCTTTGCCGGAAACCCTCGCACACCCCCCTCCCTCCCCCTCCGCCCCCAATACTCCGTCTCAGACGTAGCCATGCCTTCACCGCTCTTCCCGTCCTTTTTTTGTCCTTTCTTTTCTTGTTCGTGGCATCATCAAAAGCAGGGTACGCACAATCAATCTACGCCCTCCATCGGCTAGGTGTGCTGTACACCTACACTGCCCCACTGTGCCGTCTGGGCTCGGACCCAGCGCCAGAGTACATAGATGGCAGATGGCGGCAGATGGCAGTGGCAGCAAGATGCGGCGGCGCCTTGCACTTGCATCGACACCAACTTGTCCGATGAGGGGGAGTGGGCGTGGGCATGCGAGCGCGGAGAGGCTGGCTCTGCGGTCGGCCTCCGTCACCACGCAGCATGGCAACGGCTGCCAGAAAAGCAGGTTGCCATCTTGCACCAGCACCGGCACCAGCACCAGCAGCAGAGCCGCTTGTCGTCAAGGCTGCGCATGATCCGCCCGACATGCTTTACGTGCGTCGCCTTGGCGGCCCGCCACAGCTACAGCTACAGGGTGCGCTGCAGGCTGGCCGCCCATGGCGTGAGCGGCATGATTGCCATTGCGCCTGCTTCTGCTGCTGCTGCTGCTGCTGCTACTACTACTACTACTACAACGTGTGGCTGAGGACTTGGGAAATTCTATCTGGCACTGGCACTGGCACTGGCACATGTCGACTGTCAAACTTCAGTTGGGACGTGTGCGCTACCGACCGCCGTACCGACCCGGCTCGCAAGCACGCACACACGCAAAGCCGCTCTAGCCGCATTCGGCGACGTCTGGAGGGCCACGATAATGGTCACGCCATTCACTCGATTGGCATGTCCGTCTTCGTCCCAAGACTTGTTCGTCGCCGGCTGACAAGCGACTCTCTGCAAACTCGAGGCCGTAATTATGCCATGTGTTAATGACATGCCATGTACAGCAAGCAAGCAAGCATAGGTTGCCAAAAAGTCGCCTGACTCACCCCAGCCGTGCAAGGATTGCCACCCGCCAGATGGGTAGAGGCGCCTGGATAAATCACAACCGTCGGCTCTGTTGGGTGTATACTGGAATCCAATACTCGTCGGACGCATCGATGATAGGCATCTCGAGGCGTTTGCTCCGAAACGCTGCGTAATAGCGAGCGCTGCGTGTTGCACAAGCATCCACTTTTCTCCTCCAAGACGCCCCGTTTAGCCTAGTGGGCGTGTAGTCTAGACTTGCCGGCCTTACCTGTATATACGAGGTCAGAGAGAGAAAAAAAGGCTCCTGCCGAGTTAGCTTTGGTGAGTCGATGCATCAGTGGCTATACCATCGGACTACCCACCAGATTGACCACACCATGACGCTCTAGCCCGCACTACGTGTAAGCAAAATGGGTGCTAATTGCCAGCGACGCGTCAACAATGTCCCGCACTCAGACAGAGATGCTCCGGCTTCTCCAGCTCCGTCCGACATACATACCGAGGATCAAATTTGCTCGACCAGCCATCCTAGCCCGCGCTGGGGTGGTTGGGAAGATGGGCTGATCTATCACGAAACTCTCTGCATGCATTGCGGGCCGAGAAGGTGTCGCGCCTGGTACGTGTTCGCGGTTAACGGTCCATTAGCGGAATCTAGCGGTGCAAAGATGCTGTCCGTGTCGTGGTTTTTGAGTGGCTGCGTTCGCAGAATGCGAACCATGGTACAAGGACATAGCGCCCATACTAACCATGGCATCAGCTCGAGTGCGAGCTCGAGCTCGAGGGACCGGATGCCATGGCCGCTCTGCAACTGGACGCCAGGCTAGCATCATTCATTACGTCTTGCGCGCCTTGACTCCGCATCCGACACGGCGTTCATCGGCTACCAACCACCGACTCTTCGCATGGTTCTGCCCTCCAACGGGGTTGCATGAGGCACTTGTCCATGCATTGGCCCCAGTCGCCTTGTATTGGCATCCAAGATTTGACTTTGTTGACCCCAAAAGCATATCAAGACTGCCATTTTCGAGCTGCCATTTGCGGAATTTGTGCGGTGGGTCAAAGGAACCCGTACTTTTCCCACACGTCGGCTGTATTATTTTTTCATTCTGAACTGGGAACAAATTGTCCTTGTGAACCGGCTAATTCCGGAACCCAACCCCGAAATCAGCCAGCTCCAGGCCGAGGAAGAGCGAGAGTAATTGAGAAAGAAGGCAATGCAGAAAAAAAAATAACCAAGATAGGCTAAAACCCTGAAACACATGGTTTGGCAGGAGAGAAAAAAAAAGGACGCTTGGTTTCCGTGGGAAAAAAAAACCCCCCGCGGTTCGCGCAGTTCCCACCCCCTCCCTACCCTGCCCTGCCCTAACCCCCCCTCCCCCTCCTCCAAGCTGCAATCTTGCTGCGAACACATGATGCAGCTGAAACACTGGCCGTCGCGAAACAACAGCCAACATGTTTCTCTACCCTAACCCTTGAATTTTGGCTCCCCTGCACGCAAGCAAGCAAGCAGGCAATCAAAGCAAGGCAAGGCAAGGCAAGGCAGGCAAAGCGGGCGTGTGCAGTGTGCGTGCACGCCTTTATGCTGCCTTGTTGCAACAAAAAAGGGCCTGCCGAGTAATTGACATGCATCGCATCGCGGGTCGGCTCTCTTGCACCTGCTTGCTTGCACATTGCCTGCTTGCTTGCTTGCCTGCTTGCACTTGCACTGGCTGGCTGGCTGGCGGGCTGTGCTGGGCTGTGCTGGAATGGGCTGGCTGCATACCTTCACCATGTCATGTCATGTACCCTTTTGACCCTGCATTTTGGCCACATTTTGCGGAGAACAATGGGAATTGGGATATGGGAGAGAGAGAGCTGCTGCTGCCGCCGCCACCACCATCATCATCATTGCCATACACATGCACATGCACATGCACACACATGGACGGACGGACGGACAGATGGTCGGCTTGCATGCGTGGCACAGCCCACAGCCCACAGCAAAGGACATGGTATGTGTTTCATCTCAGACATAGCATGTATGAAGTTTCCGCGTGTGTGTTATTATCTTTTTTGGCCCCTGCCGGTGATGCCGATAAAACAAATAAAAATTGCCACCGGGTCTTTTGGATATGGCGCGCTCGTGTGTGTGTGTGAAAGAAATTGTCAAGTAACATGTCAGACGTAGGGAAATTATCATGGTCTGCGCGGGCGCGGGCGCGGGAGGGCGGATTTGCGAGGCGGGTCGGTCGGTCACGTGAGTTGACATGGGAGAATGACTGTGTAACGTGTTTTATCAGTAAGCGGCCCACATCAGTAAGTGGCCCACCCCACCAAACCTGACGCGATACTCTCCACAACCACCACTATGCCGCGACAACAACGCTCTGTACAGACTTCTCGTGAAGGTAGAGTTCTTCTAGCATCTCGCGCGCTTCAAGAAAAACGTGTTGTAAGCCAGCGCCAAGCTGCTATGCTATACGACGCTCCACGAACAACGCTCCGACGACGCCTCCGCGGTACCAAGCCACGATCAGAGACAGCCTCCGTCAATCGCAAGCTATCAGCTGTC